CTTTCTTTCTTTCTTTCTTTCTTTCTTTCTTTCTTTCTTTCTTTCTTCTCTGTCTTTTCTGTTTTCACTCAAATATTCTGCTTTTAAGTCATTTTGAGTTGGTAAAACTTACATATGCAATGTGTCTTCCCAATAGGAATGATTCTATAAACCAAAGCGGTAGGAATGCCACTATTAAAACAATGAATAGTGTAATCCAGATTGAATTGACCTCGGGGTAAAACTTGGAACTGGACGGGGCCTGCTGGCACAGACTGGAGTTGTCATTGTTCAGCCAGGGCATAAGTACCTGCCAGGGCCTGTCAGAAGCTGGCTGTAACATTCTTCCACGCTGAGGAACCATACTGCTTTCTTTTCAGACCAAACGTCTCTTGTGGCACACTAAAAAGCCTTCTTCGTGAAAGCTTTGTGACACAGAGAAGCAGAGGGTGAGTGCCACTGTTTCAGACCTCTGGACTAGCCCGGAGTACTGACTGGATTTTAGCTTTATGCACATTCCCGCTCGTCAGTCCACTGTGGTACTGACGCACTATTTTGTCTGTCGGTTCTTTTTTCTCTTTTTACTTATTTTTTCCATAACTGTATTTAGAGTGTTTTTTTATGGTAAACACCTCATAACTGGAAAGAGTGCCCCATAGATGATCCAAAAGATGAAAAGCAATTATATGAAGCATTTATCACATTTTCTAATTCTCCTGCTACAGTCAATCCAGCCAACCTTTTTAAAGCCCTCAGAAAAAACACCATACTGGCCCAATAGCCTTCCTGGACATTAAATGTAATGTACATTTATTTTCAAATGCTATTACAGAAACAACATGGGCTTGTTAATGTATTTAAGAGAAGAAAATAACAGTAGTGCAGAGGAAGAATGGCAAATATTTCCAATAATGGAGGAAAACAAGCCATTAATTTGGCGTTGGTGGTGATGACTGAGAGGTATCAGTATGTGAAGAATCCGTTCTTGGAAAAAGAAAAACAATATCAGATATGGTCCATGTGTTTTGTCCATGATGCTTAGCAAGAACATTCCAAACCCCCCTGTGAGGCGGAAGAGGGAGAGTAATGCCCTGGTTTTACTAAAGAAAAGCTTTGATGATTAGCATGTTTTAGCAGTGAAGTCACTGGTCGCGTGATTTTGCAGAAAGGCTTTTTTTTTTTTTTTTTTTGGCTGACCTTAGCGCTCTATTGGTGCTTTAAAAAACCTTCTGCTTGATGTTTGTCAGATAGTGTTTCTTCTTTTTTTTCTGTGTGTTTGTCTGTGTGTGTGTCTGTGTGTGTGTGTGCGTGTGCATATGTGCACAACTAATAGCTTCCAAAGTGCTGTCAAGGTGATGCAAGACACGATCAAACACACACAACATCAGGGATATATGTGTGTATAAACACTGACCCCTGCTGGTGACACTGCCTATGTCAAACGTATCCATCTACTCAAATCAGATATTGAAATGATTCTTTAAAGTCAAAAGCTTTATCCACATAAACACTACAGGCAAACCAAAGTAAATCTTATTGCATTTGTGATCAGTGTCTAAAACTGCTTCATGTTTGTTGTTGTTCCTATAAAAGTCAAGGGCTGTGGCTGTAAAAAGCTTTTAAATAACATGCATTGTTTGTAGTTTGATCATTCTGAGCATGAGCACAGAGGGAGAATGCATTTTAAGCAATTTAAGAAATTATGTGCGCCTGACTGTTCTGAGATGCAAAACTTTGATTTTCTGCCCCACTGTCCACATCATTTTACTGTTTTTAGCCAGCTTTGTGGGTTTATGATGGTGTCTTTGAGGCTTCTTTAACAGTTGTACCTTTGCATCGCTCACATAGAGATAAAGTTTTATTATGGCGAGGTTAAATGTTTCTGTTTAGTGTGCCTAAGTTACCCAAACTTCACTGAATTTTTGGGTTGTATGAACCTCTTGCTAAATCTTAAACTAAAATCCTCCAGACAAAGTTACAGTCATTCATAAGATATACAGGATCACAAAAGAGTTAATTAATATATGTAGTTAGTTAGTTATCTGATGGTTGTATTTACTGAATAGTAATAAAACCAGTAAAAACATATACAATTTGGACATCTTAATACACGTGTATAATGGTGTTGCACCTGTCTGTTTCAAAGGTTTGGACCTATCACTGGTCTTCTGATTTATTCCAGCCAACCGTAAAACTAGCAATGAGCAGCTTAGTCCAGGCTTGAAATGCACCTGAAACTAAGTGGCACTATTTTTTCCTACTCCAAGGGGCTCTGGAGTTCCCCTTCCATTTCCTCCCACACATGGAGAGTATCTGCCTTTTGTTTGTGATAATTCCAGCATACATACTGACACTCTAACTACGCAGTATCAGTGTCTATCATATTTGATGTAAAAAATTGCAGAGGGTGGAGCCAACAGCAAAAATGTGCTGTTTAAACGCTGCTAGTCTATGGCTGCACCCAGCTTCAACCACTCTTTGTGTATGCAACCACAGTTTGAGGGATGTAAGAAGGCTTTCTCTCGCCTTGAAAACCTGAAGATCCACCTGCGCAGTCACACCGGGGAGAAACCCTACATGTGTCAGCACCCGGGATGCTACAAGGCTTTCAGCAACTCTAGTGACAGGGCTAAACACCAGCGCACACACCTGGACACAGTGAGTGGCATCCAGCATAAACATGTATAATTACAGATGTTGTTTGGGTTGTGTGCATCGGTGTGGACTCCAATTTGTGTTTGTATGTCTGTGGTTGTACAGAAGCCGTATGCATGCCAAGTGCCCGGCTGTGCAAAGCGCTACACTGATCCCAGTTCACTGAGGAAGCACATGAGGTCCCATTCAGCTAAAGAGCAACAATTACGGAAGAAGGCAAGTATTGTGTGAAAACTCGCCCCTTAGTTTTAACTGCGTTTCCTCCAGGTTCCAGAATATGATAAATTACATTGTAATGTTCTGGGATTTTAGTCACTATCTATCTGATGTTTGCATTTGTGAGTTTAATTTCACAAGCAGGCTTACCTTACTTAATATCACAAACTTGATCAGTTTAAGCCCCTCCAATATACTGTATGTCACATATTTTAGTTCATTGTGCTTTCTTTCATCTTAATTATCTCTCTGACAACTTTGCATCCCACTATGTTAGCTCTGCAAAGGAACCGTACACAGATGATGTTATTACCTTTAATTAAAGGTGTGCATACAGGTAGATGGTTAACAGGGACAGAAATAGGCCTTGCAAAAAAAAAAAAAGAAGTTCTTAATTATGTTGGTTGTCATATCGTCCCTCTGATCCCGCTTTCTTCCTTTCTTTTTTACTCACTGGGAGCCACTTCACAGCACGATGCATCAGTTAGGATTTTAACATATGTGTAATAAATGCTTTTTAGCTCTGGGGTTTATGTCACCATAGATACGAGGGAAAAAAAGAAGGTGGGTTGTTACTAAATAAAGTGATAATTCACAAAGTCTCCTGCACAAAAAACTTCTATCATATGAACCTACATTACAAATGTTTGTTGTAATTTCACGGGTGATTGCTGGTAATATTTGCTCCCTACAACGATCACTTCATCTTAGCCTACTGTCTGTACACAAACCCTTGTAAGCATGCTGTCTGCCAGTCTCTGCCAATAAGTCAGAGCGTAGTGTGCATAAAGCAGAAAATGCATGCAATTGGACATAATTCTTCATTCTGTATTCTGTGTCGTGCCTGTAAATGTGAGAAGGAAGTAGACAGAGTGTTATGACAAGGCGTGTTTTAAAAAAAATGTAGGTTGTCTTTCATTATATTTTCTAGGAATACTTAACCTACAACTAATATACTGACCAGCCATGTGCATATATTTTGATGAATTATAATTCTTAGTATTCTGTGTAATAATATGAATGAAAATGAGTTTTAGAAATCATTGAATGTTTATATTTCTGATTTTTACCGTCCCAACTTTTCTAAAACTGGCACTAAACTGTAACTGTGGTGAAGGATGAAAGAAGATCAAATCCTCTGCATCCAGCGCTGTCAGCAGTAGAATTAGGTTTTTTGAGGTGAACTAGCTGCTTTTGGTCCTTCCTCAAGAGCTAAAAGCTTTAATAAGGGTAACTCCGCTTGTTCCTCTTGGCAACCGATCTTCTTTTTCTTGACAAGCAAGAAAAATATGTGCGGCTGCTCTTATTCAAGCTCTTAGGATTACCATGACCTGTGTGACAGAGAGTTTACAACAATTCTCTTAGACTGAGAAGAGGACGTTGACATGACTTTTACAAAGAAATAACTATACTCTCCATTCACTCTTTTATAACATGGCTTGTGTGCTTATAGTCTTTATCTTGTTTAATGACTCAAAAAATAAGACAAACAATCCAAGGCCGTGTGGAGCCAACAGGGCTCATCCGTCTTACTGCTACAGTTGTCTTTCAGAGATGGGCTAAAATTATTTTAGCTTGAAATGGATTATATTTCATTCAAAACCTTTTTCTAGCAGCTTCTGGCTTTTACGTTGTTTCAGACAAAGAGCATCGGTACTAAAAGTGTAACGATGCTAGCATATTATGCTAACAATAGAATTGTGATGCTATCTGAATTTTCTTCTTTTTTATGCTGCTCATCATTATTTATGCCAACATCTGTTGTGTGATTTCTCTAGATGAAATCCTCTGCTGATGCAACCCAAGACACCCTGACAGACTGTTTAACCATCCACCCCCTACATCCCAACCTCACCCCTCTGGCAAGGCTAGACAACAACTTGAACTTATCTCCCGGTGCCTCCCATGAGTCATACTCTTGTAAGTCTTGCTTGGACTATTTGCATGAATGTGTTTGATGCGAGAAAAAAAAATTAAATAGATTCATAAGTGTATCCCCCTGCAACCATGTGCACATAATAGGTTTATCCATTAGATTCACAGCCCTGAAGTGTCTGTCATCCCTGTTCCTCAGCTGCACCGCAAGAGCAAGATTTCTACAGCAGACCTCACCTGGCCCTGTCCTTCCCTTCACCAGATAACTACAGGTACTAACGATGCGCTGGTTGGAATGTAAATTGAATAATGTAAAACAAATACGAAAACATAGGTCATCCACATAGTTGTATTTGTCCATTTACAGGAATTTTAACTCTTTTTTTCTTTTTTCAGTACTGTGCTGTAATTAGAGAAGTTAGTGCTACTCAACCATCTCATCTTTGTAATTTTACTTTAATTCAAATGCTTAGCAGATGTTTGTTTTTTAATCTTTTGGTGAACTGGAACAAGAAAATAAAGAATTGGTTGTCATGGTATCAAAATTATAAAATTGTACTTTCAATTCTATTTTGCACCTTGATGAGCTCAGGAAGAGGCTTTTTTTAGGTTTGAAATGGCCAGCAGCACATTTTGCATGTTAACTCATAGGAAAACATCTCTTCATCTACACACTTCAAAGCATGTGATAAAGGATTTCTGTCATCCTGAGCAGCCAGATGCTCATGGCTCCTCGCTGGTTTTGATTGTTCTCATATCAGCAGTAGGCCAAAGCATTCACTGCAGGATTCTGTGCAGACAATCGGCCTGGGAGAGCAGACCTCGGCTTGCCTCATTGGTCTCAACCTCTCGCATCAATGGATGCTATAGTCACCGACAAGAGCTGCTGAGGAATTCAAAGAGTGAATCATAAAATCTGGAAAATGCAATTTCAGGTCCAATGGGAGAGAATAGAGGGTTGTAATTACTTTCTTACATGTTAAATCAATTGTGAAATCCTTGTTGCCATTTTTCGTACACTTTTTTCTTTGAGTTCCTGCTTAGGTTTCTCTGTTTTGAGAAAACTTTTGGGTTGTTTAATATTCTTGTTATTTTCAAGTGGACATGTTAAAGTGTCACTTGGCAGCGCCTAACAGCAGGGATGTCAGCTGCCATGGCCGCTGGATAGCATCAGTTTAATTAGCCCTCTCAAAGAAGGAGTTGTGTTCTTCTGAGAGAATATCCATATTCCTTTAGATTGTTGAATGCTGTAGGGGCAAAAAAGCACCACTCGCTACAAGGAGTGAGAAATGAAAACAGTTTACCTGCTGCGAAGGGAAGTGGAAGAAAAGTTAACCGTGCTGCTTGTGTAAAAACATGCACATCATAAAAATTATTTTTACCTCATTGCCATGAGGCAACTGTGCTAAACTCTGCACCACAACACAATAACCTGGACGTCTTTGTGTTTTCAAAAGGCTGCTGTTGTTTTAAACTTCTCCTGATTCGTTTAAACTTCAACATCTACCATGAAAGGTTTAAAAACAGTTTATACATCCATCTATTGTCTATAACACTTGCTTTTATTAGGGTCTCGGAGGGGCTGGAGCCCATCCCACCTGACACTGGGCTACACGCACTGGACAAGTGACCAGTCCTTACAGGGTCACACAGTTTATAGTCTTCAGTTAACTTAGCATGCATGGTTTTAGACTGTGGGAGGATGTCGGAGGACAGGGAGAGAAACTCCCAAACTCCACACCCCCGCTCCCTCTTGCTGTGATACCATGATGCTAATCACCACACCCCTGTGCAGCCCTTTAAAGAGCAATTATATCATTCAAATATAGAAGACCCACTAAAAGTGATGTTCTTCTATAGCTTATTTACCATATCAAAGAAACTGAACTTGTAAAAAACAACATCCTTTGTTAAGAACAAAACAAAAAAGCCTTGAAATGACAGCATCAAGAATAGGTTTAATTAACTCAAATGTAAGCCTCCAAGGTTCTTTGTGCCTTTTCAGTAATTACGTTTCATTAATAATAAAAGATGTATTTTGGCAAACAAGATTGTTGAAATATTGTTTGAAATATTTCAGGTTTGTTGATCCTTCCCCTCATCAGCTTATCCCAGGGGACCCATGTGGGCCTTGCTCCTCCACCTGCCTCCCGCATCCTCCCTGTGGACCCTCCCTACAGCACATCTGTGATCTGAAGCAGCTCGGCCAGCCTCCTGATGTGGCAGATCACAGCCCAGGTACTCAAAGGTTTAGAATCACCGCAGATTTCAGGTTTGCCCAGATTTTGGGTTCATAAAGGGTTTTTCACATGAAAAGAAATGTGTAAGCTTCTCATGTGAAGAGCCTATTAACAAAAGAATATGTGGTGTAGCAGTCTGTCTGAACAGAATGTTTTCCATGCAAATCAATAGTAAAGACAGGGATTATTTTGGGGATATTGTATAGCAGGAGACTGACTATTTTTGTATACACATAATCGAGAACTTACACTTCTTACACCTTTACAAGGAACCCTGCAAAACAAGTATTTGCTGTTCAAAGTTTTACTTATAGGTATTGTTTAAAGATAATAAGCTGAGTTTCTTACTTACTGTTAATGTTAACCTTTCAAAATGCCTTATCTATGCCACTGCATTTTCAAATATAACCTAAACACAACTGATCAAGGATGAGCCCATTATTTCAAATGGATTTCACAAGTCTGTGCATTCATGTATGAAATCATAAATGTATATTTTTGTCTGCTCATCTGCAGAGTATGGTATCCACTTTCAAACTGGAGATGGATCAGCAAATCAAGACTTAGAAGACCGAAATTACTTCACTGTAGACCATGGCACAAGTGAAGTCTCATGCATCTACACACAGGGATGATACTGCTCACACAGAGACATGGCTGACTTACCTTTGCACTATTTTGTATTCCGGATCTTTTAAATGAGACATTTCACAGCGGGAGCATACACATGGCAAAGCATCCTGAAGCACGTTTAATTTATAAAAGCATATTATGTGATGAAACTATCTGAAATCCTAAGAATGGAGAAGTCCATTTTTATTCCTCATGTCTCTGTAAATGCATAATCTGACTCAACACCCTTGGTTCTTCTCCCGATCAACGCAATGACTGTCCCTTCAGGGTTTTGATATTTGCTTTACCAGTTTCATGCATTTTCTGTATAACATGTTATACATCTGGTAGTTTCTGGTGGCATTTTACACAATGTCAATACTGCAATCAAAGCAAAGTGTGCAAAGGATAATTTATTAAAGTTTTTCTTAGAACCATATCTTTGTAACTATAGTAACAACACAGCCTTAACATTTCACTGTAATGTTCACACGCCTTACCTTTTCTTTGAATATACAGTACTTATGTGGTATGATTGCTCCTCTTCCTATCATCAGAAAAATGTGTACGTGATGGAACCAGTGCCTTTGAATGTTTTTCGTTGCAGATTATTCGCACTTTGCATTGTAGTTAGCCCTCTGGAGGCGTGGCAAACGGCTTTACATAGTTGGACCTCTTTGTTTCCATTTTATATGCATATGTTTTAAAAAGTGAACAAGATGAGGCTTCAAAAGCTGCATTAGACTATGTTCAATTAAGTGTAGCTGCTATGATAGTTGCCTATTTCTAATCTGTAGTTTAAAGTGCTGACTTAACATTTTTTACTGTGGCCATGGACATAACACAAAAGAAACTTTCTATCTGGTGAAATTGTTTCACAACTCCCAGTGAAAAATAGAAATGGCCTTAATTAAACATGTTTTAGCTTAAAATGAGTTTTTACGCTAGTTTTTCAATAGAAAATCTGTCAAAATGGTCAATTTCCATTGCGGTTTCATGCTGCTCATGGTTGTGGGTGAACCTGAACCAGATGTCAAAGGGTAAGAGCACCATTTCTTACGTGTATTAGCTCATTCTTTGGTTAAGGAATAACCATTTAAAATAAACTTGCCTTATGCCAGTCAGTAAGTGTTTATTTTCAGGAATAACCACATCTGTTTCCTTAATACAAAGATTTTGTGTGGGTCCAGTTGGCACTCCTCTACACAACAGCGTGTTCTTCTTATCTAAAACCGAAAGGACAAACTGTTTTACTTGAAAATAATTCTTTTAGCTAGAGTGTCATGCTTCAGACGGGGGTTTCGCCAGTTGCTTAGCAACAACAACAACAGCTTTTCCAAAAAGCATCTGTTTAGTAACTGCTAATCAAATAAAAAGTGCTGTGCAGTGGACACAGGTGGTTGGTTAAGCTTTTTGTTCAGTAAGATGCCGCTTAAAAACTCTTACTTTGTTTGCTCACTATTAAAAGTTTCAAAGTATTAAATATATTTTTCTCCTCCACAGCGATCTGCAATGTGGCAAAATCATTTGACTTTTTTAAAAGTATATTTCTAGTTTTACTACATCTGCACAATCATTCTATCCACTCCAACTACTACTCGCTTGCATACCTGGTATCACTAATCATAACTAGTTTCATAAAAGGGAAAGTAATGTGACATTTATTAGAGGTTTAGATATAGAAAGAGTAAATATGACCTTTTTTTTTCTCTTACAAACCTGTTTGCCATCGAGAAATGTAAATAGACAAAGCAAGTTGAAAATTAATAAAGAGGAAGGATTTCTTCATTGTGAAATTGAGAATTGTGTGGGGGAAAACGCAACATAATAGTTAGGAGAAAGGAGAAGCATGGGGTGGCCTATCACCTTGTTCTGTCATCGGAAATAGCTGGCACTGCTTGGGCACATTTTTGGTAATGTGTTGGCACACAGCGTGGGGTCTGACAGGTTAAATAACGGCAACAATTCAATCACTCTTTCTTGAAGTGATATTTCAGGAGTTTCAGTAATTTTTTTTATTCCATTGATTTTGTAGGATTTCTTTATAGCAACTGAAAAAGTGGAGACTGATCTTGAGTTGGGCAAAATTCGGAATCAGAAATGCTCAGTTCTTAAATCTGATAAATAAAAAACACAACATGTCATGTTAGAACACATGTAAGATCAGATTTCTCACTTAGTAGCAAGTCTTTTAAAAAGATTTTACCTCTGATGTAGAAAGTTTGAGTGTAATATGGCTATGAATAATGATTCAACTGTTCAAAATTATCAAATTCAAATAGTTAGTAAATGATCTGCTATAGCCATCATATTTCATAATTGTATCAGAAAATAAATCCCCACTAAACATAAGTGAAATAAGTAAGTTCTATTAGTTTTTTCGGACTTCACAGGATCATTTTCTCTGTCTTGAAGAACTTCACCCTAATTTAGAATTCACCACCTCCAAAATAATCAGACCATACGTGTTATTATGGCCAGTCATGAAAACATACTCACGGTGCCTCCTAAAGCAGATGTATTTCTGTGTGATTGCGGATCTACTCGTGTTTATGTGCGCTCCTCCCACCTGCCTGGTAAGGCTGCGCGCTGCCGATGAGTTTTATAGCAACTGTTGCCCAGTGAAGCAGCGCCATAGTCACCGTAGTCCTGGCGACTGTAACCCACCAACAACAACCTCTCGCTCCATCATTACCACCTCCTCCACCATCCTCATCTTCATCAACCAGTCCACAGCTCAGGTTTGACTCAATTCTTTACTCTTTTAGCCTGGCGGCAAGTGGCTTCTTGCGTCTCGTGGTAGGGGTTTTATGAGCGAGGTTTTTCTGCGCTTGTGGTTAATGTTTTGTGTGCTGCTGAATGAAGGCTCGCTGGGGTAGTTTGCTAGCGAGGGTGTTTCTTTGTAACGTGTTAGCCTGCTTGCTAACGTTCCCTGTGGATACTCACTGTGGTGAGAGGTCCTGCTCGCCAGCGGGGTAAAGCTGTTCACCCTCACCGAATGCTTCGAGGCTAAACCTGACCAAAATTGTTCAGTTTTTATTTTTTAAGTCTCTTCTATGTATAAGTTATCAGTCTGAACTTACCATGTTGAGTAGTAGCAGAGGTCCGGGCTAGTGAATGATGCTAACTGGTCAGCTGGAGCAGGAGCAGGTGTCTGTTGTTGCTAGGTTGCTAACGCAAGCGATGCCTTCCGACAACGCTTGCTGGTGTCCCATTTTTTAGGCTAATGTTGCCGTAATGTTCCAAGTCTGTGTTTTCAGCTCTCGTTGGTCGTCCAAAACGCGTACGCCCAACTGCAAATAAAGTGCACTCAGCCAGCCTTCACCTCACCAACTGGTTGACAATAGCTAAGCCATTACTTTCCCTTTTGTCTTAGGGAGCAAGATAGCTTCGCTAGCTCTCCATATGCCCTCTTTGTGGCATCAGACTGCTTTGATAAGGTTTGCGATAACGCAAGGTTAAGTTTTGCAAGGGCCAGCTTGGAGGAAATGTCACATTAATAATTGAATATTGTACAGTTTTGCTCTTCGGGTCGTTATCGTTTTTCATTCTGTATATTAGTGCAGTCTGATTTCCACATAACAGGCACTGAGCAGAATGATGGAGTAGAAGTTATGGATAGTGGTTATTTTTTAATAATTGTGTTTGTATTTACCTTGGGTGAGCAAGAAAAGGAAGTAGAATAAGTGTGTGCGATCTGTTGTCACTGGATAATGGTCAATTCTTGATAGCTCCAATTTCTTTCCCAGTCTGATCTTTATTTAAAAAAGTATTCTACATATATATTCCTCCTATAAAGAAAATCAAGAAATCTCATAATTTTCTTAATCATATTGGCGTTTTACGGTAAGCGTGTTTCTCAGTGTTGCATCACCTTTACTCTTTGGTCCACTGGGTCCCCGGGTCACCTGCACCCTCTGATTCCCATTAGGGGAGAGAACAGGTGTGTGTGTGTGTGTTTGTGTTGTGAGGAGAGGAGAGGCAAAGGAAGGGCAGTGAGAGACTTAACTACCCAGACTTATTTAAACGTTCGAGTCATTCAGAGGTAAACACACTAAAACTCAGCATCATTTTTAGATTTTTATTTTCCTCTAAATAATGTCAGTTGTGGCTCCAGAAGTAAGTTTTGCTGGGTTGGACCTGGCTGCTCCAAAGCTATACAACAAATTTGGGTCCAAATACCAAATGTACATTTGTTTTTGTGCACACTGTCGATGAAGCCCCAAAATATATATTTTAGCTCTTGACATATTCAACTTAAATGAGGTCACCCCTGCCACACGCACATACACACACATTACAGGATGTGAGGAACTGCCAGTTATCAGATCATGTTACCACTTACCTGTTGTCCAGTAGGGCAGAAATAGTACCATGCCACCTGCTGCCTGGATCCTGTTGCATTTCCAATCACTTAAAGAGGGCTGATTAATTCAATTATTCTGTCGGCCATTTTCATGGCTTAGCTGCATGTTGGGTTTGTAATCTGCAACTGCCTTCTATGTTTATTTTAAATTATTGCCCCTAAAAAAACCCTACAAGCGTTTCCTAAAAATTCATATATCTGTTTTGTCATTCATTCCCAGAATCAGTCATAATGACACATTAATACTCATGTAAGGTGTTGTTATGACACACAGTCTGATTTAATGTTTTACCTTTCAACACCCCATAAGCTGATGCAGAGTTTTTGGCTTTAAGATTGCCGCCAGCAGTCCTAATAATGAAAGTCCCCCTCAGTCCTTGTTGTAATCTTAAAACCCCCTCTTGAACAAACACAGTTCCCTGCATACCCTCTTCATCTGCAGCTTGCAGTGAGTCCTCCTTCCACCTGTGCACCTGCAGTGCAAACCCCTGATGACGGCCCAGTGTGTGCCAGGCTCTCCTCTGATACACACCGCCTTGTTCGCTCGCTTTTGTGTCTTGACTCAGACCATTAGATTCCAACTTTGTCATACATGATCATTAAGAGTGGAAATTATAGTTCTTTGCATTTCTGGGAGCTGCGACTGTGAACCTTTTGTGTTTCACAATTTGTGGCCTGGGATGTTAGCAGGAGAAATCGAAGGGAGAAAACTCAGGGCGAGATGTTGCTCTCCTTGGTGGCTTTTGTTCCTCTGTGTCTTTGTAGGGCTTGCACTTGCTCAGTGGAGCACAGCGTTTAAGTGGGCCACAAGGGAGCGCCTGAATAGTGTGGCAGGAGGTGTGTGTGTGTGAGTGTGTGCATGTGTGTGCGCGCGCGTGTGCGTCTTTTGTGGAGGGGGTTGAGGTGAGGCAACGGGGATGAGCTGTGATGCAGGGGCTCTTTTCCTCGATTAGGTGGGCTCTGTTGGGGCCATGTGCATTAGCTCTGAGTGCCACGCGGAATATAAGTCGAATAGAAGTTCTCACTGTCTTCTCAGTGGAAACACATGTTTGTGTCAGGGAAATTTGGAGTTAAGACTCAGTTTGGCTTTGCGGCAAAACCTTTTTTTTTTTTTTGTGTGGTGCATTCACTGGCTTTCAGTAAAGAGCACTGACCTCGTAGGTTAATAAATCTTTCATCAGGGTGCTTTGATGTCAACTTATTGTCATATGCGCAGCGTCTTATCAGAATTAGAGAACACAAATATTTGTATTGGACAGAGCAATTTGTAGCAGACCGTGGCCTGTCTGGCGCAGTCTGCGAGGTGCTTGTAGATTCATCCCCCACCCACAGGTGTTTGAAAACTGTCGCGCTGAAAGTAAAAGGCTTTCTGCTAATTAATGCTGAAGGGAAAATGCAGGTTTTGTTAGTGGGGTCACTGCATACCCGGATATGAGCTCGGTACCCCAACATGAGCTAAGTATTTTCCTTTTTCGAAAAGGGGCAGTGCAATTTAGAAGGGAAAGGGGCACGTTATCCCTGGAGTGATCTGAAGCCGTTAGGAGACCTAGCTTAATTAACCAAGAGAGGCTTGCTCATGGAAAGTGTGGTGGGGAGGAGGTGGCCTTTTCCCTGGAAGGAATGGGTGATGGGAGCCACACTATTATTAACTCACAAACACAGGTTCACCAGAAGTGTTTCCTCCCACTCTTGTCTTTCTCCTCAAAATGTTTCAGTTAAGCCAGGTTTAACTTTGAGGCACCCTGAGGCATTTCTTTTAATTGTAATTTAAAGCCTTTTGTACAGATGGAAATTCAAGTGTCTTGCCTCTCGTTTTTGTTTTGTTATGTTTTTGTTTGTTTGTTACCGTAGTTGTTGTTTTTTTAAACACCCTTTTAGTTACAGATTCAGGGGGTCTTTAGTCACAAGCAATGCTGAGCCTGTTCAAGTGGGAATTGGCAGAGCAGCGAAAGGCAGCATCTATTTAGAGTTTGTTAAATATTAACTTGTTTTATGGCAGTGAATGTGGAGACAAGACCGTGTGTCAGTGATGCATGAGTCTCTCAGTACATTGAGTACCACAAGGCTGAACAGGTGCTCGCCTGCAATTGGTCTGGAGCAGCTTTAGTGGCATTGATTGGGGGGAAAACAGACAACGGTCTGTGATCAAACTTCATTCTTCCTGTTAAGCCTAGATTAGTTTCACATTTAGACATTTATTGTCTTGGTCTAATTAAACTGAGGATGATTGCTGAATTACTGGACAAAATATTCTCTAATGTAAATCTTAATTTATTTGTCTTTTATCGCATGCAGCCCATGCTGGAAACATGTGAAGCTCCACATTCATATTTGTTCAGTTAGTTTCTTATTTACTGTGAGCTAGAACCATGTAACAAATGTCTTGTAAGTTAGCAGTTTGTTCCTTATACCTAATAGATGAGCACAAACCTGTATCTGTCAATGTAATCCGTTTGTTAGGCGAGTTATCAGTGTCAGCTTCATGCTGCTCTGAGATTACAATTTAGTTTTTATTAAGCCGTAAAGTGGGCCAAAAGCCTGAGATAGGGCACGGCTACGCTACTTAGGGCGTTATCTAACCCCAGTAAACCTGTGTTTTGTCTCTCACCCAGGCGCCATGCAGACCCCTGAAGCAGGCGCTGACTCCACCTCCACTGTTCCTCTTCAGACCACTGTGCCTGGCCAGCCTACTGGCTCCACCCAGCAGGTGCCTGTCCAGCAGCAGGTACATCCTGGCACCCAAATGTGTATTTGGGTCCATATTCTCCCGCACGGTTACACCGGCATGTCGGCAAGTTTATCTGACCTAATCGTTCACTGGAAGCCTCTGCGTTTCATTTTTGACAGGCCCAGACTGTTCAGCAGGTTCAGCATGTTTACCCAGCACAGGTGCAGTATGTTGAGGAAAACAGTGGCGTCTACACCAACGGCAACATGTGAGTCAGTCTGCTGCCCAGCACTGCCCGCACATCACTCCTCAAACGTTAGCGCTACGTCCCTGCAGCCTGTTGCTCCTCATTCATGTCACAAGCACATGATGCTGTGGGAGCCCAGTCATCTTCTATGGTTTCTCTTTTTCCCTTCTTTTCTTCTTTGAATGGGTGTCTGTCATAAGTATGATTGTGCTCAGTCACCTGAACATGACCAGAAGTAGGCCCGTCTTTGAAGCGTCAAAGGGTCCCCAGTGCCTGAGCAATGGGGTTGCACTCACAATCCAGCCCAAGCTGTGTGTCTCCTACTGCGGTACACTCATTCACATGAGGGCTTCACAGAAACGGGCTCGGTGACTTCTACTGCTGGTGGAAACATTTTTAAAAAGGGTGCCGTGCTGCCGAAGCTGTGCTTAGTTATACACAATCAGACAACCAACAAACCACACACAGAGACAATATTGAGTGAAAATTGTAGGTAAAAAGTCACCCAACACGTCCGGTTCAAATTACAGTCCCACAGATATGTTGATCAATGAAAATGATTTATGAGGCTTCGTTATGGTCAGACTATCTGACTGACCTCTCCTCTGAACAGAAGAAGCTACTCGTACTCAGAGCCGCAGCTATACAGCCAGAACAGTGGAGGGAGCTACTTCGACACACAGGGCAGCTCATCGCAAGTGTCCACTGTGGTGACATCTCACGGCATGACCAACAACGGAGGAGGGGGCTCTGGAGGAATGAGCTTGGGTCTGGCGGGGGGTCAGGTAATCGGCAGCAGTTCTGGGGCTTATCTTATGGACAACTCTGGACCCCATCCTGCCACCCAGACCACACGAGCCTCCCCAGCCACTGTAAGTCGCACAGTGCCCTCTGAGTGGGGCTTTCGCTTACCTTTGCCTGCCTGCTTTTGTGTGTATGGTGAGAAACCTTCTGACTTGTAAAGCGCTCTCCGTTGACTTCGATGTAACTTGGAGATCTTCCCTTGTTCAGGTCCACGCTGCTTTTAAGTTGCCTTTCCTCTCCCTTTTTGTAAGAAAGCTCCTCTTCTGTACCCCCTTATTGACGTGCTCAGTGATGTGAGACAAACTGTGTTTAAGCAAATCATATTTGTCATTTTGACAAAGAATGTCAACGTGCCCAGACAGTCCACTTATTCTGCCTTTGAGACTGTCTGCCATGCAGGAATCTATATTTATATACATGCAGTTCAATGCACAGAGTGTATTTATTGTATAATTTAACATTAGTCGTTTACCTACCGCAGGGTTTATTTTTGTCTGATTTCCTCATTTGTTGAGACAGAGGAGAGAGGCAAAGACCTGAGACAGACAGGAGGCAGGCTGATCAGGGAGTCTGAGCTCTACACTTATGATGACAGTTACATTAGCATAGTTTGGTTGGACATCACACAATTACTTGCATCCTTTTTATAGGTTAGGTTTGGCTGTAAGACTTTTTTTTTAATTCCAAAGATGACTAAATGAGTAAACTCCCTGCACTTTACAGCTTTCTGTAGGTTCCATGCTGGCACAGTGATTTGAGTAGTCTTGAGTTTTGGTTGTGTTTATTAATGCTGGTGAAGTATCACTAAAGTATTGTGAAAAGCACTGAAAAGTATCAGATTTAGTTCTAACTCTGCCTTGGTCTTTGTTTTCGTGGTGTAGTCTGACTCTTCCTCTGTACATGATAGAGGTATAAGTGGATCTTTTCAAAAGGAGTCCATAAGGGTGGTGTGTGCTCATTGCCCTATTCGGGCAGATGTCTTCCCTGCTCTGCTTGGGTTTGGTGGTGCTTGCTTTGGTTTCTTTTCTAGACTGTATTTTGTTTATTTATTTATTTATTTATTTATTTATTTATTTATTTATGTATTTATTTTGGTTGTGGCCAGTGATGCCTCTACTTCTACTTTTTAGCTGTCCTGCTTTGGTTTTGATTTCACCTCTTACATTTTGTTGTCCTGTGCTTCGTGGTTTATCAGATTGAAATGGCCATTGAGACGCTCCAAAAATCTGAGGGTTTATCCAGTCAGAGAAGCTCGCTGCTCAACAGCCATGTAAGTTGCTTTTCTAAATGCTTGCCTTTCCCTAATCTTAACTTTTTGCGATTCCCTGCCTTGCTGGTCTGCCTCTCTGAAATCACTGTACTTTTGATTTTGGTGTGGTGCTTGCTGTTTGATGTGCCCGTTTCGTCTTTTTTATTGCTGCTTTGATATTACTGGCTGCTGTAGATGCTTTTGCCCAAGGTGCCTTGCCGCAGCATCGAGTTTACTGACTGATCTCATAGACCGGTGTGTAAATGGAGTTTAGGGAGTTAAATGTGTGTGTGGGTGTTCCCTGTTTTAGCTCCAGTGGCTGTTGGACAATTACGAGACAGCAGAGGGAGTAAGTCTACCACGATCCACCCTATACAATCATTACCTGCGCCACTGCCAGGAGCAGAAGCTTGACCCTGTAAACGCCGCCTCTTTTGGCAAACTCATTCGCTCCATCTTCATGGGACTCCGCACAAGGCGCCTTGGGACAAGGTTGGCTCCCCCCCCCCCAAATCCTCTTCTAATTACTCCACATTTCTGTACACATACAGCTCTGTGAATATGTTTAACTTTTGCTGTTATCCTGCAGAGGGAATTCCAAATATCACTACTATGGTATACGCGTAAAACCAGACTCCCCCCTCAATCGACTCCAAGAGGACATGCAGTACATGGCTCTCAGACAGCAGCCCGTCCAGCAGAAGCAGAGGTCAAACACGCACTGCCCATGCCGTATTTGCTGCATTTGAAGTTTGTTTTTGTTTTTTAAGACAAAAAAAAAAATTCTGTTTCATTCTTGTTTCTCTCTATCCTTTAAAGGTTCAAGCCGGTGCAGAAGTTTGATGGTGGCTCCGGGGACAACTATTCAGCTGGAGGCCAGCACCACCCGGGGGCAGCAGAGCAGACGGTCATCGCACAGAGCCAGCACCACCAACAGTTCCTAGGTGAGCACACTTTTAAATTTGATGGAAAATGTGAAAAAAACGGTTATATTTGCAGATTTTTATTTTATTTACTTTTGGGGTTTTTGTTTGTGCCCCTCCCCCCCCCCCCCCCCAACAGATGCATCACGGGCCCTCCCTGACTTTGTAGAGCTGGAACTAGGGCAGAGCAATACAGAGAACATCAACCCAGAGGATGTGAAAGCTCTCCAGTCCCTTTACAGAGAGCACTGTGAGGTCAGACAAATATCATCTGTGAAGCTGATTAGCTGGTTTATGAGTGGAAACACAGCCTCATACACCGACTCATAATCAGTACAGCTACGTAGGCACAGTGATGAGACATCTGCAGAGATTCTCTCATTATCGTGTCACCCCCTCTGCATCTGTAAACTTGTAAGTTATTGAACTCAGGACTTACTTTTACTCTTCTTGTTTATCATCTGGCTCTGTTGTAGGCTATCCTGGACGTGGTCGTCAACCTCCAGTTCAGTCTAATTGAGAAACTGTGGCAGACGTTCTGGCGTTATTCTCCCCCTGACACTGTAGAGGGAGCCACTGTAACAGAGAACAGGTGAGCCTGAGCTGATTATGTTTACACCTCATTCAATTCAGGGTTATCAGAATCCATGAATCTTTAATAAATTGGGTTTGTTTCCTCTACAGCAGCATAAGTGAGATTGAAGCGCGGCTCCCACGAGCACAGCTGTTGGTGCTTTGCAGAAACGAAGCAGTCCTTAAGTGGATGAGCACCTGTGACCATTTAATGTACCAGGCCCTCGTGGAGATCCTTATTCCTGATGTCCTGAGACCCATTCCCAGTGAGCTTCAGTCATACAATATCGTGATGACTTCATTTTAATGTTTAAATGTTTTACAGTAAAATTTACTCGCCGCTTTCGATTTGTTTTTCAGGTGCCTTGACTCAAGCCATTCGCAACTTTGCCAAAAGCCTGGAAGGTTGGCTTAATAATGCCATGAATGCCATTCCACAAAGAATGATCCAGACCAAGGTGCACTCAGTGAATCATTTATTGTAACTGTGTGGGAAGGCCATCCGTATTAACCCCCCCTCTAAACACACACACACACACACGTTTGATACCATCATTGACTTCAAATGGGCCAGAGTCACTATCCCCCTTCTTAGATTATGGTTGACAATTTCCTTAAATTTCAGCTCCTCTCTTATATTCAACTTTGCTATGTTGAACACAATCAAACCACAAATGAAAAATCATCTATTTTGTAGAGCTCTTTGAAACGCAACTATTATCTGTAGAAATGAGACACTTCCATAAATCTATCCAAAAAATACCTTCACTGACTTTTGCCAGACCGCTGACAGAAGCAAATGACCTGTCATTATGTGAACTACCCATTTTCTCCGCTTTGTCTTTAATAGCTGCCTTCAGCGGAACAAACATCAGTGATTTTGGTAACAGGCCATGAAACATAAAGCCCGTAACAAGGATGGTGGGAAGAGAGACTATCTTCATACTGCCTTGTTTACGATGTTCAGCAGAGACCTAACCGACTTGCTCTGCCGATGGCCAGTTTATTTACAGTATGACACACTTTATTTGGCATAAACGCTTTGCAACATTTCGAATGGTGTTTGTGATCAGAATATACTTCATATTTAAATGGACACAGTGGTCTTTGCCAACCCTCACAAACATGTGACTAAATGCGGGTTAAGGCACTTTATTTGACATTATGTCGTTATGGTCTGAAGAAACCATAGATACATGATAGCCAAATGATGATTCTTTATCTTATATACAGCAATCCCCCTGGAATTCTAACTTCTCACATGAAGGTCAGTTGACGATTCTCCCACCCCACGAGTTTAGGCGACCTAAATCTTGCTTTGCTATGGAGGTCATGAAATCCCACACATGTGAAATGTGAGAGGGTTGCCTACCAACTCCCAACTTCGGCCCCTGCCCTGTGACCAAAAACGCAGGCACGCAAAACAGATAGAGGGATTAAAAGGCTTGTAACTCTGCTGCATTTGGAAAGGTGTCGTTCATATGTTACAGTGTTGTGTACATCCTGAGGGGTAACTGTGTGCGTTCTTGTTCCAGATTGCCGCTGTTAGTGCCTTTGCGCAAACGCTGCGCAGATATACATCACTGAACCACCTGGCTCAGGCGGCGCGTGCTGTGTTGCAAAACACATCACAGATCAACCAGATGCTGACTGATCTCAACCGTGTTGACTTTGCCAATGTACAGGTCAGACCACTGAGATATTTATTTTTCCACCATCAGATTGAAAAAAACGACGGCGTACGAACCCTTCTGTTTCGGTTTTTCTCCCTCTGGCTGCTGTATAGGAGCAGGCATCGTGGGTGTGCCAGTGTGAGGAGGGAGTGGTTCAGCACTTGGAGCAGGACTTTAAGGCCACCCTGCAGCAGCAGAGCTCTCTGGAGCAGTGGGCAGCCTGGCTGGACAACGTGGTCACTCAGGTGCTCAAGCCCTACGAGCACAGGCCCAGCTTCCCCAGGGCGGCGCGGCAGTTCCTGCTCAAGTGGTCCTTTTACAGGTAAGGGGGAAAAAAGCTCTCCATGCAGCCAGAGCTCTGAGAACGTTTAGCACCGGGACGACGCATTGCGGTGGCTTTATCTCTCTGCAGTTCTATGGTGATCAGGGACCTGACCCTGCGCAGCGCGGCCAGCTTTGGTTCCTTCCACCTGATTCGCCTGCTCTACGATGAGTACATGTTTTACCTGGTGGAACATCGCGTGGCTCAAGCTACAGGGGAGACGCCCATCGGTGTCATGGGCGAGGTAAACCTGGATTTTCCAGGCTGTTTTTCTTTTACTCGACATTTATAGATTGACGTTTGGTTCTGCCTTTTCTCTCTGATGTTTATCATGATATGTCGTACAGCAGAGCAGGCGCACTGTTTGTCAGAGCAATGTAAACCATTAACGGCTCTTCATTTATGGCTTCTGTTTTTCAGTTTGACAGCCTCAGCGCCCTGTCCCTTACTAACATTGATAAAGGTAAGTCAGTCAGAAATCCTGCTTTATTGGCATCAAAACAGAGCAGCAGTACAAAGCCTACATTAGGAAGCCATAAACCAGTTTTCCGTCTCTTTCCTCCGTTCCATTCCCCACCACCAGACACTTCAGGACTCATTAGACAGGCACAGCCTCCATAAATACGTATCCTAAAGAATTGCTGTGAGCAAATTTGGATAGAGGACAAAAAAAAACTGGAAAATGATCAATTGATGGAAAAGAAATGACGCAATGAAGTTTGTCCTACAAACAACTACGCCTCCGTTAATGGCCCGATTAAAAGTACATGGGTAAATGAATAAATGGGCAACAACAGAGCTTTATTTTTACCAAGAGGCCAAAAATTCCTTCTGCCCCACATATTCCGCCTCTGCACTGAGTTATAGCAGAATGATTAGGAAAATGAAGTCCACTGAGGTGTGTGAATGGTGTGTGACTGCGGCTCTGACGTGGAGGGAGGAGGAGGAGGGTCTTTTGCTGTGGGCTTGTTTCTACTCAGGCCTTTTGAAGGCAATTGCTGAGAAAATGAGAAATGGGCGGATTATCTGCTTCACTCCTTTGTTGTCACGGCTGCCGTTCCTTCTCCTCATTGAGTTTAGAGCTCATCCAGCTGCTGGGGCCTCTGATGCTTCATCCCAGATAAAAATGGACATGGATTTGTTTACAAACAGTAATAACAATAATAACTGTCCCTGCAGTATAGCCTAAAGTCAGCAGATTTGCTATGGAGCAGAGGCAACTAATATTTAAAAAAATTAACTAATTAATGAGATATTAGACATTTCGAATGCTCAGCCAATCAGAGAAACTGAACGTAGCACACCCCAGGCACATGGCAGCTGGCTGAACAGAAAGAACTGATGCGATTTCATCTGGGACTCTCTCCCGTTTAGATGAAACGAGTGGCATGGACAGTGACTTGGAAGAGGACACCGAGGAGTCCGGGGAACCTCTGGCCAAGCGAGAGAAGTCGGAGCACGAGGTCATCCAGGTGATCCAGGTGGGGGCTCTGGAGGACGGCTCCCACCCTGTGGTGGGCGTGGTGCAGCCGGGCGTGCTGCACTCACTGCCCCAGCCGCCCCAGGACCACTCAGAGCACATCCTCACCCCCTCCGCCGCCACCCCCACCATCCGCCACTGCAGCGCCACGGGCAACACCTACGCCTCTGTGTGAGGGGGGGGTCCGGGGCCGGGGCCGGCGCCGGCCGGCTCAGGTTTGCTGTCTCTCTCTCTCTCTCTCTATCTCTCTCACTCTCTGCATATCTCTTTTTCCCGTAAGTCTGGATGTCGCCGCCGTTTTCACGCATTGTCTCCGTTTGCACTCGTGTGGACATGCTCTCCCCTCCCTTTCCAGCCCGGTCAGTGGAGGGGGGGGGGCCACTCTGGCCAAGATGTGCTGTCTTTGTCTGACTGTTTAGATTCTGGGTGTGTAGTCATCCCGTAAGCCCCTGCTCTAGCCCGGTGTGGCAGCTGTCGGGAGGGACCTGGAGGAAAAGGACGCCTCTGGCTCCTGTAGATGTTCCCCGTGCTGGCACGATGTCCCTCTTTGTACACAGATAGGTTTTTTTTTTCCCGAGGGAGAAGTAGCCTTCAAACTTCTGATGCCTCAAAGCTCAAATCCATGTCACTAGTCCCAGAAGAGCAAATACACAGACACATGAATCCAAACGTTCACCCATTGTACATAGATTTGCTTTCATTTCATTTGGTGTAACTTAAAGCTTATGGTGCTATGGCTGCTTTTGTTTTGATTTTCCAGTTGTCTCACAGTTTTTGTGTGATTGATGTCAAAATGCATTCCAACTGCTCACACGCTCCTGACTGAACGAGATCTTTTTTTTTGTTGCTAATTTGCATAAAGCTTAAAAAAAGAGAGACAACTTTCCGTTTCTGTTTGACATTTAACTTAGAAGCATAGTGCTGCACTGTTTGACCAGTATATGGTAGCATGCAGCTTTTAGCCAGAGTGAAGGAACTCCTTCAAGAAATGTATGTGCTGCTGTCCCTGTGCGTAGAGGTGAGATTGAGGGGAAAAAGTTGTTTTTAAAAAAGAAAAAAAAATCCTCAAAATGTTAGCTTTCCCGTGCACCCTGTGCACGGCGCTTGCCTTTGTCCATTTTAGATGCTCTGTAGTTTAGGTAACAAGCTGTGATCTTGAAAACGACTTTTGTGGACGTGTTGACTCTTGTTTTTTTCTTCTTTTTTTTTTTAGTTTTTGACTTTTAATGAAAATTTTTAAGCTCGCAGTGGACCAAATGAAAACAGAAAAAAAGAAAAGGAAAAAAAAAAAAGGAGGACTTTTTAAGAGTGAGCCACCCGGGCCACACAGAAGCTGTTTGCTGTCCCACAGTGCCATGTCGCAGAGCAGAAGGAATGTCAGGGATTTAATGTACCTCGGCTTTATCATAGTGCCTTATCCGCAAATGCAGCTGTCCGCGTCGTCCCGACTGTGGGCTGTAGAGAGCCCCAGCCCCTCCGCATCGCCCCGGCCACAGATTTGGCTTTCTGGTGACTTGTGGCTGGATTTGGGCTGGCTCATCAGTGCTGAGACCTGCGGGGTGCAGGCCTACACACACACGCCGTTCTCTCGGGATCGGCTCCTGGAAACCCGTAACTCACCCGGTTCCGGTCTGGGGCCTTGCTCCTGCCCCCACTCTGCCGTCCCGAGGCCTACTCTTGCATTAGCCTTTGTCATTTGGGTGAAGCGTGCGTGTCGTGTGTCTGCGCGTGTGTGTACGTGTGTGTATGTGTGTGTCTGTGTGACTACGGCCGCATAGATCTATGCTGTGCTTTTATGTGCATATGCTCTGTGTGTCTGCGTGCTTGTGTGCGTGTTGGAACACATCCATCAGTCACCCTACCTCAGACCAGTGGTGCCAGCCCTTTGATGCGTGCAGCACAGTCACCAAACCTTATTGCACACACACACCACTGTACTGCACAAATCTCAATGCGATAGAGAAAACCCGCGTTGCTTTTCTCTCACCTCTGATACCTTTTCATTTCCGTTTTTAGCCCATCAAATGCTTCATCCTATGTTCCCTGTTTAAAGATCATCTTTGTACAGAGGACCAAAAGTAGATATTTTCTGATATTCAAAGAGATATATGAATATATATAGAAATGTATATGTATAGTTTATAAAAATGATGATACATGGCATATATTTGTTTCCTTTTCGTGGTTGATCTGATTGTCAATATGTGAATGTTTCTTTTTGGTAGGACATCTGAAATTAGCTCATAGACTGTGAAATAGGAAAGGCATGGGGACTAACTTCTGATTCCTTAGATTGCATCTATACTTGAACTGTTCTAGCCTTCTATGTCGTGGGGAGTTTTGAGATTAATCCTCTAAATGGGAACATTTTGTTACTAAAATAATTCTGCTCTTACTTTTCATGCCTGTTTGTATGGCCTATCATTTCTCCACAGAAATGTTTATTTATTGATATTTATTGTGCTTTTGTTTGAAGTGCTTATGCATATGTTATAATGACTTCTGAGGATGAATCCTGAATTACACCACTGCAAAGCGCAAACCTACTGTACAGACGGAGAAGCAAAGTTTTTTTTTTTCATTTAATCCATCTATGTAGATCTGTACAAGGTGGGAAAAAGGGGAGGAAAGTTTGGTATTTATTGATTGCAGCCCTTAAAATGAAAAAGTTTTTTTTTTCTTTTTTTTTCTTTTGCTGTGTGTTTTTTTTTGCCTGTGTACATATCTTGCTAAACAGTTAAAAGAAGAAAAAGAAGGGAGAAAAAAGCCTTGGAAAGTGCAAATAACCGTGTGTCATTTAGGCTGCCAGCTCAACAGCCTCATCCAGATTTTTGTTTGTTTGTTTCTTAGGGGAAATCTAAATCAAATGTATATTCAGGCGTCCCCACAGCACATGTCGACCTTCCTCACAGACATTCGAAAAGTGTGTGAGAACACACAAAGTGCACTGTAACCAGCCCAAGTGGACGGTCTAAGGCTCCGTTTTCCCTTTAGTGTCATGGTAATGATTTCCCAAAAAATGAATGGACTGAGAACCGTTTAGCCCTGAATCATGTCCTTTGCTTCTATCAGATCAGCAGCATGTCTTCACATAACTGCAAGATTCACACTTGCCAGATTTGTTTAAGAATTTTAATGTTGTCAGTCTGGGTTTTACTTTTAGCGGTGGAGGTTTTGCAGCATATATTTCTCTCCTATGGCTTCTTTCCCATTTTTCTACTCAATTTTTTTTCTATTTATTGAAACGTGGTGCGTGTTCACTATACACTTCAGACGGTTATCTGTATTATTTTGTGCCTAAATTGAATGGCTTAAAGATGTTTTCTTTACATCTAAATGGTCTGCTTTTTTGGATTGTAAGTGCTTTCTGGTCTTAAACAGCTGCCATGTGCTGCTAGAAACTGTTTTTGTCAGCCTAGCTCTTTCCATTTTTTTTTCTTTTCTTTTTCAACCAGTGCCAGACAGCGATTAAGCCTGCATCTCCAATCCTGCCTGGCTAACTGAGCAATGCTTATGCTGCCCACACAATTGTTTTTCATTTCTTTGAAATTAAGAATTCCAATGTCTTTGTAACGGCTGCTTGCAAATAAACCCCACTTTCATCCAGAAATCTGAAGACATAAGCTACACTTGCCTCTTCATGTGGATGACCTGGCAGCTTCTTTGACCCATAGCAAACTCCTGTGCCTTTCATTTTTGCCCCGGCCGCAGCAGATGGCCCGGGTGACTACTGGGTCTTTTTGTTTTTTTCTTCTTCTTCTTTTGGCAGTAGAGCAGACATTTTGCTACATGGGTGCTGTGGAAGCATTCAGACCTATTCCCAGACTGGACTGTTGATTAAGTTACTGGATAGGACCCCCTCAGAACACACACTTTCACACAAACACACCACTAACTTACGGACGAGTACCTGCAAACAACTTTAAACATGTATAGAACTGGTAAACCAGGAGAGTCACTGTAAGGGAAATGCTCTCAAGTTGTTTTTCTCATGATTGTGAATTCTTTTGTCAGACGATATTTTCTGAATACTGTGACCTGTTTGAGATTTTGTAAGTGCCATTTGACAGTCTAGTGAGTCGTGGCCATCTGTAGCACGTTCTGATGCAAGCACAAGCATTTGGCTGTGGAATTTGGGGAAGGCTTCTGTTTGAATTCACCTTTGACAAAAAGCAGTGTACATATATCAAAAACTGAAATGGTATATTTATTTGTGTCCTAATTATTTGTTCTTTTGGTGAACATCTTATCTGATATGTTTGCTTAAATGCTTTTGTGATTTAATTTCTTCTTTGTATTTTCTTGGGGAGGGGCGGCAATGTATAGTATCTGATATAATATATACGAACAGATTTCATGTGACTTTCTTTTTGTGTGCCGTTTGCTACAAACAATGTATATTCTTAAATTGGCGAGCAAACCGTGTGTAGGGTGATTTGTATTGTGTATTTTACAGAAAAAAACAAGGATGATTGGGGGACTTTTATATTTACAAAGACATGATTTAGTGTGTCGTATTGATGATTATAGAAACTATTAAAAGACACATGTAGTTTTGTTTTCTGAATATTTCAGATCTGAGCTCAGGCTAGCTTCTTAGTGTTGTTTTCTTAAAATTTGTGACTCGTCTTTGCAGTAATAAACGTTTTCTTGTTCAAAGCCGGGGTCTTTTCTCAGCCGGTTGACTTGCACACTAACCCATTGACTTGTTAGTCCATTAAATTTTATTCATACATATAAACATCAATATCATTCAAACGCCATATGTATTCAGACTGTATGACATAGTTTTAGGGATTAAGATTATGTATGAATTTGCATTTTTGGAAAACACTTTTTCTCTTTTCCTTTTTTTTTAATCACCAGAATGGTTCAGAAAGAGTATAAAATACTGCCATGGCTGTAGGTAAACAGATTTAAAGTCTAAAATATTGTTTGATCAATAGTGCAGAGCATAAATAAAGGGTTCAGATTATTCAAATCAAGCTTTTAGAAGCAATGGAATATTGGAATGACTGCAGCCCTAACCTTCAAACACTTCAGAAAGACTATTTGGCATCTCAATGGCTTAAGCTTCCTCACAGCTCATCCTTTAATTACTCAGTTTGTTAGATTACTTTTGAGCATAATCCAATTGATTCACAAATAAAGAAGATGGTGGTGGCGAGCCATTTCTTTTAAAGTGCTGCAAGAGCCAGACCATCTTATTTACCAAAGACTTGACTAAATACATCTTTCAGACCTGTTGAGACTGTTTGACACAGAAAACATGATTTTAGCCAGACAGCACAATAAGCCACAGTTTCTGAATCATTAGCAACAAAAAAAAAAACTATGCTAGCAGACCATAAGAAACATTAAAGTAACCAACATGAGACTATGGAGCAAAATATAAAATAAAGTGCTAATAAACAATAAAAAAAGACAAAATATCAGTGTAGGTGTGTAATGATCTTGTTTAAAATTCCATCATATGAATAAAAAAAAAGGTTGTGGTAACAGATCTGATGCGAAAAGATTTGTCTCTAAGGGTGTGAAAGGAGATGCTGAACTTTAATGGATCATTATATTCTCCATTCAAATAAAGAATAAACCACACCCCTTGCCCACCACCACAAAAAAAAAAAAAACTTTTCTGTGAGCTGGGGAAATATTTTTAAGATCACATCTTACAAGCACACAAATAATGTACAACTGTTCATATATGTCCTGATCAATGTGGGGGTGGGGGGGGGACAACTCCAATACATTTCTTTCCAGCCAAAAAGAGTAAATATAGGAGAACTGGGCCGGCAGTATACTCCAGGAGGGAAAACCAGGATGTGCAGACAGGGTAAGCGGCTCTCGATTAAAAGTAGCTGATATCAGCACTGTTAAATCCAGATTGGGTAAATTAAAAGATCCACACTGAAGTACAGCTGAGAGACTTCTTGTTTGACATCCTTAAACCTCAGTGATGCATTAGTTTTCCCACACAACGCAAATCCAATTACAAGATCATTTGCACCTAACCTCTGCTCCGTTTTGGAGTGTCACTGTTCAGATTTAAGAGGCATGAGGCTCCATCTCTGTGGGCCGGCACGCAGGTGCAGCAACACAACAGTGCAGAGCACTGGCTGCACGTTTGGTTTGGAGATGCTAACAGGGCTACTGGAGTACACTGCCGGCTTCTTGGTCCTCGTTTCTAGTCATAAAACCTGTACAGAGTCCATGTGATTGCAGTCCTCCTTCAGCACTGCAGGCCTGTAGGTGGGGTATTCTGTTAAAAGTACAGCCATTTGTTTTTTTATGGAGTTTTTTGTATGTGTTGTGGTCTGTTTTTTTGTACAGTTAAAGTCCTTTCATTCGATCAGAGGTTGCGGGTCAGCTATGGGCATGGTGTGTAGAACTTCATCCAGTAGCTGCAGCGCTCGGTGCAAATGGATCTCTATCCAGCAGGGCGTCTCCTTGATGCTCTGGCGGGGGTAGTCCGGCCCCCAGCCCTTCACGAAGCTCATGCGCAGGATGCACAGCCTGCGCAGGTCATCCACCCCGATGCCCGCGGCCGCAGACAGACCTGCGGGGGATTTTACAGCGTTTGACTACAGACCGACTTTGGACCGTGAAGTGGAGCGCATGCATCTTTAATCCTCACGTTCCCTCTGAAAGTTCAGCAAACACGTAAATATTTTGCCCTAATCTGAGCTCAACCCCACAGCACATAGAGGGAATGTTTCAATTCAGATTTTGGTAAAATGCAGTTTATCCACAACTTCTCCACAGCTGAATTATAAATGCGTCGATCCTAAAAAAGGATGTTTTAATTAGCTATAGATCCTAAATCAGCTCATAAGCTTAGAAAATCCTTTATCAATGTCAGTGTATCACTAAAATGTTGATAAGATGGGTCTATTTGGCTCAAAATAACCACATTTGTTTCCTCTACTTAAAAATTCTCAATCTTAAATGATTTTGTCAATACTCAATGTTTTCCTACAACCCAGATTAAGTCAAATTACTAAAATCCATCAGCTTGTATTCATCTGAAATCTGAGTTTGAGTACGAGTCTATGGTAGCTATTTGTGACAGCTATTTGTGGAGAAATCTTTAAGAGATGTCTAGTTTTTCTTTATCTTTTGTGATTGTGATGCCTTCCGGTGGCTTTTCTAAAGGCTCATGCTGATCTAAAATGCCCTTGGCTGCTTTGCTGTGCAAACCATAAGAGCTATAAGGAAGTCTTGTTATTCAGCTCGAATCAGCCCTCCTCACCCACGACACAGCCCAAGAATGAGAAGCAATCACAGTAATACACTTGTTCAAGGCTAAGTGCGGCAGTAAGAGCACTCACTGATGGCAGGAGCGATGCCTCCCACTGAGCCCGGCCCTGGAATGTTCCCGGCCACTGCGGCGGCCTGAGCCGCAGCTGCAGCCTGGGCCGTCGCCGCCTGCTGCTGCATCTGCCTGTGGCACTGACGCAGGTCGAACACCTGGCAACGGGCCACAAAGCGCTCAGAGTCCAGCTCCCACCATCACACCCCATATAAGAAACCAGTCATAACCCGCCGGAGAAATGACGGGGTAAACTTTTTGGACGAACCCGGTCGGAACGTTTCGTTTTTCTTTTTTTACACACAGGAAGAAGGTAGGTGCTATACCTTGATGTAAGCGCTGGGGTAGATTTTGTGGACGGCGTCGCCGGGGGCGCGCCCCGCCTCTCGGTCCAGATAATAGCTCTGCACAAACACGGCGTGATCGCTCAGACAGCGCACCCACACGTCTCCCTCGCCTTTGCACTCCAGCTGCACGCCTTTGCCAATGTGGAGTCTGAAAACACCAGGACAGAACCGATCAGCAAACATGTTGATAATTAAAACGCACCCATAACCTAAATCACTGAGTATAGTCTTTCAGATTTGTTTTAAACTGGATGACTGAACCAACTGGAAGATGAGTACCTGGCTCTCTCTATGTTCTCTGTCCTGTGGACATTACTCAGCTGGCCCAAGCAGAAGCGATCCCCTCCAGATGGATCCACATAACCATCCACTGTCACTATCGGACATGTGGATGGCACCTTAAATGTCTCTCCAACCTGGACATCCATCTCAAAGTATGCGATGGAGCACCAGTACTCCGGAGCTGAAACGAGCATCCAACTGTCAACATCCTGCTCTGGTGACGTATTTGTGGAACAGATGGCTTGATACTCACCAGGGTGATTGGATATGGGGGGCTGGAATGCAATTTCATTGGTAACAGGCCCTGAAAGAGACATGTCAATCTTCATTTTGGAACATTTTCAAATCAAATCCAGAAACAACTTTAAACTAAATCACGATATACAGCCGGTGAAGAAAAACATGAAAATGACAAGAAGCAAGTGATCGTCAGATCTGGAGATTTGTGGTCAGGTTATGGTTGCTCTTTAAATAAGTTTTACCCCAGCCCGTCAGTATTAAAACTTCATTTTCTATTTCTAAAAAGAAGTTAAATTATCCAAGGCATCAGCTTACGGACTTTTGAACATATTCAAATCAGTATTCATGTTAGATCAAAACTACAAACTACTAAAGTTACTAAGTTACTTTACTAAACACACCCACTCCTTTGGTTTAAAGGAGGACACAGACTAATGAAGTTGCTTTGTTTGGTGGGTTTCATATTTCGGAGCTCACAGCAGTTATAAACGGTTGTGTTCTCCAGCCACTCACAGTAATGCCCCGTGTGAGGCATGGGAGGGTGGTGCTGTAGATGTCCATTCTGGTGCTGAGGCACCGCCGGGGTGAAGCTGCTGTTTCTGCTCCAGTTCGGGGGGGGGTCTGGGAACATGGCGTCAAGACACTAATCTTAATGAAACAGTTTCTCTGCAGACGTCTGAGCGCATTACCTAGCGGCGGACCTGACTGTAAACACTCACTTGAGGGACCGGCACTGATAGTTGAGAACGCCGACGTGGAAGCTGAGGTGCTGCCCTCTGTAGGGGGGAGGAGAGCAGGGCTGCTGAATGTCTCCTGGGGGAGGGGTCGGGACGGCGGATGCTGGATCGTTTGCAGGTGGCTGTCGGAGCTGGAGTGAGACTGTTGGTTATCGTAGTCGAACTCGTCTTTTACGATTAGCGGACCTGGTAGGAAATGGCAAACATGATTAAAAAGATGATCATCCACAAGAATCTCGGAGAAGGAAGAGTAAAGCACAGTACCTGAATTTGAAAGGGTCAGTGTTGACAAGTCTGCAAACATATTAACCAGAAGACATATGGATCAGTTTGACTCTCACAGTTTATGTGGGTTGCTAATCTGAGTGGAATTATTCCATCTAATCAAGACTAAGATTCCTTTTACCGTCATTGCATACACAGATCACACCCGAGATTCAGATGCACACAAATCAAAGTAAGCATTCGTAAGCATACCATTCACTTCGATAGATGAATGTATCTAAAATATACCACCCTATTCATTTAAACCTTAAACTGTCTTTTAGATTGTTTTGTTTGCCGAAAAAGAGAAAATTCTTAATGTATAGATCACACCTATAAAGGCGTCCTCCCCACTCACCAATTCCTGGAGAAACAACCCTCTCGTAGTGGTATGGGTTGACACAGACGTTGTCACATTTCAGGTCAAAGGCATACTGGCAATATTTAACGTGTTTTAGCTCGTTCTTGTGTAGATCTGGCCATCGCCACAATCTGGCATACACCACATGGGGGAAACCTTTACGTCCCGCAACCTGAAGCACAAAAGAGCATTCAGTTAGATTCCAAATGCCTCTCAAATCCATTCCCTCCAATTCCACAACAACTGAACAATTGACTATACCTGCAGACGCCCGTCCAGAGTGCGCTGTATGGTTACACACTTGCTGGGATGAGCTCCATTTGTTGTGATGGCTGTGATGAGAGAATCCAGCTCATCTTTCTTCTCCTTCAGCTTCTTGACAAGACTCTCAATGGCTCGCTTAGCAAAGCTTTCACTCTCCCCCCCCTGTCGATGGCACATGAGGCTGTGCACAATGCTCAGGCAGGCATCGTTGCTTGTGGGAGTGTTTGTGATTGACATCTTGCTCCTGGAGTTTCAATGTCAGGCAGACGTTGCAGTTGTCTTCTCTCTGCTTTCAGCAGTAAAGGTGTCACGCTCAGATGTGTGTTGCTTCAATGCAGACCACGTTCAGCGACCTAAAACAGAGAGATTACAATCTTATGAGTTTCTGCAGTGGATTTAATTGACGGAAATTAGACTTTTTTTAAGGAGAAATTCAAATATAAAAAAAACTTCAATATTTGAGCTTGAATGGAAATTACACTTTTGAAAATATACTCACCTCTATCTTTCTACTCTAACCAACCAAAATATCTTAGCTAGCTTAGTATATAGTTACCGAGGAAGTATTTGGTCTCATTTTCAAAATAAAATGACATAATTTTTCAATTTTGCATTTCCTTTGTAATTATAAATCATTATAATATAAAAGCACATAATACCTTCATATACTATATTGACACACACAAATATTTAGTTTCAGTACTGTAAGCCTACATCACAGTTCACACAGTCTCACAGCTCTAGATTGCAGTCTTCTCATTCTAGGGTGCTTTCTTTTCTAAGTCCAGAGGAATTTCTTAATCAAGCTTTCCTTGGGCTCTGACCTTTACGTCAAGGTCAATGAAAATGGTTAAAGATGACGTGAACGGAGACCATCTGTCGGATTATTCCATTATTGATGGTTCTGTACCAGACACATCACAGTTAAGTGTTCCCATTAACCACATGAACATTTTTTTTAATTCATCACACTAATAAACCAAGTAGAATAGTTACAGTTTAGATTAATTTAAATACAAATTATAAATGGTTTACAGAGGTAGATTTTATGGATGCTTTGGATGTTTACATAATTTTCTAAACAAGTGTGATGTCACTATTAAAAAGGTCAAAAAGGTCAAGAAATCACAACCAGACTGACATTTAAAAAAAACACAAATATAAGATTGAAAGAAGTCAAAAATTTACATTTTCTTAAATGTAGGAGAATATGCTATTCGCGCTTTCCCGGGATAATTCAGAACAAGCCATGTTAGAAAAAAAACAGTCAAGTGTATTTAGATTATTTAATAACTGTGCTTACAGTCCATCACAGCTCAAAGTCGTGCATAATACACATCCATACCTATTCAGTCTGACTGCAATGGAAATAGTCGGCAAATAATCCCAAGTGATAACGAAATCGATTACTATATACAACCATATTAGAGCATTCTCGCGCAAAACTTTGTTTACGTTAGCCGTAGTTCATTTCAGCTGTAAAAGAAAGGCAAGCAATACTTTTGTTTCCAAGCACCAGAACTGTGTCGTTCAAATTGATCCAACACACTCTGCTTTGATTGCTCCTGCAACAAAGCGGTTAAATAAATGCCCAGGTTGTCTAGAAATACAGTTACTGTAAGGATATGGATTTAACTAGCTTTGCCACGCTAACGTTGAGTAGCTTCAATAGCATTGGCATCACTTTGCTAACGCTAATCTACAAAACAAAAGTCCATGTATTGCATGCACAAACATTGAACTCATTTGTTTACTTACAGTGATTTTGCCGCAAAGAAGCGTTACTCTCAGTGGTAAAAGATTATAGGTGATTTGATTTATTCAACTGAATGGCGATATGCTATCTTTCTTGTAGATTATTTCTGGCTAGCTTGCTAGCAGACACGCTAAAAGACGCTCATCAACTTGTCGCTAGCTCGGTGCTAACCGTATTCTCTGATGTCCCCAAATCCTCAGCTTCGCTGAATTTAACGGTATTATAATAGTTACGTTGACTCTCGTTCATAGGTTAAACAACTTACACTCAATTTCTGTTAAAAAACCGTTAGCTTTTATCAACGCGTTTACTGGCTAACTGGCCACGAAAATAAACAAAAAAAATCTCCTCCACCCACCACGCTCTGATTGCGCATGCGCACACTAAATGCGAGGCATGGCGCTGCACCGCAGCTGTCCTTCTCTTACATCTCACTTACAGGTTTTCAAAGTCTCGGTGATCTGCAAGCAGTGTAATGGATTGTCAGATTGATTAACCATGAAAAATTAGGGGGAAGTATAATTTCAGTATCAAACTTGTAATCTGTTTCTGATCACTTCAAATCTATTTTCACTTTTCCTCTTTTACAATTCAATATCACTGTTTATATGGCATTGAGAATACATATCCATAGCCGTTTAGAATGACTGATCCAAGGCCTTTCTCTCAGTTTTTCTTCTATCACCTTCAGCTTTTTCTGCTCAGTTTCATCATCGTCTTCTGGTCCAGTCATTCAACAAAAACAGCTCTTTCTAGTTAGATAAAGGTTTTTAAAAGCAATATTACCTTTGCAATAGTATTTTCTACATATCTCCACTACAGTACAGTTTAAAAGAAAATCCCAGATCTTTAATACTTTGCCATTTCTCGGCCCTGCACACGTGATCCATGTAAATCCACACACTGGGTCACGATCCTGTGAAAATAGAAAGCTCCACAGCATTATTCCATCATTATCAACTTCTGACTGTTAACAGCAGAAGGTAGGTGACGATGTGACATGTTTTTTTTTCTTTTTTCCATTTGTGCTGTTGCCATGGCCATGATAAGAGCATAAGCATGCCAGTGTCAGAAAAGGGAAGTGGGAGGGCACAGAGTGCACCAAGCAACCTGATGGCCGGATAGTCAATAGGACATGTTGGCGCTTGAGACCAGGAATCTGACACCACCTTTTCACAAATACTGCCACTTGGAGTGGCGTCTCACCCTGAGTGATGGTCTACAAGATTCCAGGCTCTGACACCTCTTTATCACTATGGTATGGAAGCGGGCAGAGAGAGGCTCGCCAGGCATGTGATGCTGGAGGGATGGGGATTAAAGCCCTCGTTGGGGAGTGTTGTGTAAACCTGACAATGAAACAGTTTGTGAAAAACACCAAAGACTGTCAAAAGTGAGAATATTTGTTTTCAGATATTTATTTGTACATCTATAGTAGCACTCCCATTCACATGTGTGAGGAAAAAACAGGATATGAATGGCTTGTATAGCGAAATAATTCAGCTGCAGACAGCAATGTTACCACAGAGATACAACATTTCAGACAAGAGTTCTAAGAAACCGTTAAAATCCTCTCCTGGTTGAAAGCCCTCAAAAAAATACATTTTCTGCAAGTCTGGCAAGCAAAAAGGAAACAAAATGTCACAGTCTTTAAATCATCCCAATAGCTCCAAAATGCCACAGGGCATGAATGCAAATCATAAATCTGCAGCATGTACATCTCCTTCAAAAGCATTTTGGCAAGACTGTTATTTAATAACAAACAATGCTTTTCATATATAATGAAAAAGCCACCCGTGCTTTCAACTTTACTTTATACCTGTTCTACATTGTGAAACTTTGCAATCAGGGTGCATCTGTTTTTTTTAGATATATCTCACATACCCAAAGGATTTCACTTGAAGCTGTTGTCAGTGCTGCAAAGTTTAACCCTTTCCATTTTCTACTAATGATCCCTTCTTTTCTGAAGAACGCTGGGCAAGAATCTTTGCCATCGAGTTTAAATATTTTCTGTCCAAACTTTTCTGTTTCTCCTTTTTCAGTGTGTTGAATGCATATAACATTTTTCATGTACAAGGAAATGTGGGACTTGTAAAACGATCTAAAAGACAATAATAATTAATAGTAATAATAAATAATCCACCAATCATGGCATCCTGTTTGACAATCCTTACAGCACTGGTTTAGAGTGTTTTCTATTTCAAATCAACATAGTATTCACTGATTTACTTTTATACAGCTCCACATTTACAGTATGTGTTCATCTCTAATTTACAACTAAGTATGAGATCTCTGATAGTGTGGAAAATAGCACATGAGAAGAAACTAGACAGATACATTTAGATCTCCATCTTTTCAGTCTTTATCTCTGAGTAATACTATCTACAGCCACATTCTGCCACCACCATTCCCTCATACTTGTGGTTGAAAGTGATCACGCCATTATCATGGTAAAGCAGAGAGATTGGTTCCAGTTTTGTGGGCACGCAGCAGGCACGAGATGCTCTCTCAGGGCTCTTGATGCTGAGTCGTGACTGTACTATGGCATGTCTGGTGGGTGATACCTCGGAGGTCAAAGGCGGGTTGCACACACCGTTACACTTGTATGCTTCATACCCCAAAGGCTGGATGATCCATGAATCCCATCCAATGTCTTTGAAATCCACAAAGAGAGGTGTCCTCTTGCATGGCTCACTCTTAACATTGCGACGGATTCGAGGAGGTGTGTCATAGATAAGGTTGGACTGCAGCTGCTCGGCGGACTGTTCACCGGGCTCGTCATGGCTAGAATATCCAGAGTTGTGATTTCCGTCCCCCCACAAAGGCTGCTCACTCCTTCCCAAGTTCTCAGGATGAATATTCTCGTGTTTCACCATCTGATTAGGCTCTTGTTCGTCCTGTTTGTGGTTTTCGCTCTGATCATCTGAGAACACAATCAGCGCTGAGTTGTGGTTCCCTTCCAAGCCCTTGTCAATATCAATCTCAACCAAACTTTGGCCCTCATCTGTGGTCTCATGTGTGGCATCTGCCTCCTCTGACCCTAGATTTGCGATGTGAACTTCCAGTCGATGAGTTCCGCGCCCTGACTTCCGCCAGGTTTTAACCATATGAGTGAGGTCAAACGACACCCAGCTTTTATCTTTGGCATGGATATCCTTTGTCACCAGTTTCTCCAAATCCTTCATCTCCAACACCTCCTCTTTATCCCTCCCTCTTCCTTCTTTCCCCACCTCTTTTGTCCAAACAACACCCTCATGTACTTTGTAGATAGTCACCTTGCAGTCAAAGCCAGGGTGTGATCTTTGGGCCTTCCGCACCAAAGTGAAAAGACGAAGCTCAGCTAATATTATGTTTTCATTGTGGGGCATGGAAATATTAAAAAGCAGGGGATGTATCCTTACACCGTTCTCTCTTATGATGTAGGAGGAAGAATCTGAAATTAAAATACCAAAAAGGGCATCTCAGTGCTTCTTGTGTGAGTTTATGAAGTCATAGCATTTACTCTAACACTTAATTTGTATTTTTTCATCTGTTTCAATACCACAATTTAATGTTGTCAGAATGCAACAATTTGAAACAACACCAACGAGCTTTTACAGTATGACTTTAACATCTACTAATCACTATTAAACATGTCAAATGTTGCCTCAGTGAGAAGAAATATAAATCTTTAAATTGAATTTGTTGCTAATTTTCGCTAAAAGCGCAAATGTTAATGAAGAAAAAACTATTTGTACCTTCATTCTTGAAACTGCGCACAATGTTTGCAGATGGTACAGTCGAGCGGTCATTGGCAAATCGGTTGTAGAGTTCCAACATGTACTCCGGCAGTGGCCCGTTATGAGCAGCAAGGGGCCTGGTCTGGGGCATCAGTCTGGTGAGGTTCAGTGTGGACAGAAATTGGCTCACAAATTCCTGTGCATTGAGAAGCGGATTGTCCCCCTGATCCACACCAAGTGATGTCCTGTGGTGGCTCTGGGGGGGCTGGATTGGGCTGCTCCAGCTCAAACCCATCCACACCAGAAGCACGGCATTTAGAGTGTGAATAAACCGAGGACTGAAGAGAACTAAGGCCATGGTTGAGAAGAGGAAAAATTTAAATCCAAAGACTACGAATCAGACAAGAAGATGTAGATCTCTTGAAGATATATACCTGCAGATCATCCGTTGTTATTGAACTACAGGTTGCTATTGGGGCCAACGAGAAAACAGCTTTGCCCTTGTTGATCATGCGGTTTGGTTCTAAGGGCAGGGCTGCGCTGTCCAATGTGGTGTGCTGACATGTTTGGAGATGTCACTAAGGCCCTGCTCTCCCCTCCTCTCTCTCACCCCTCCAGACTTATGACCATCCACAAAGACCTCTGATATTTCCTCATTTTGATACCTTACTGATTTTCAACTGGTTAAACACCGGTCTTTTGGCACATTTTAGTTTGTAACTTAATCAACCACACCTGCCGACACTGAAATCTAAAGACCAAGCCCCAGATTAACTGTTTTTAAACAGAAAAAGAATGTAGAGATATAAGGTAATCACACTCCAGTCGAATAAAAAACATTTGCCTTCCACCTTTCAGTCTAAGCAGAGCAATCATGAGTTTAGAAAAGTATTGATTCATGCTTTGTTAGTTCCACAAGAGGCCACTGTAGACTCAGTGTCTTTACCGCTCCCTGATTTTGAATTACATTTTTAAATGGGGGTAAGAGGTGGACTTCTTGTTTTGAGAAAGTTAGGCACTATATAAACACGGAATACATCACATTGACTCTTAATCATACTCATGGTAAAGAGAGACATTTAAAAGAATAACCTCAAAATCCTGTAAGATCCTGTGAGCCGTGTTGAACTGGCCACAATGTGCCTATAATCTATGAAGTGAGCAATGGAAATGGAAGTGGAAACAAAGAGGACGTAAATATCAGCATATAAATACGAAAAGATACAAAGAAATATTAGAAACTAAGCACAGCATTTATTTTAGTTTTCATTTAACATCGCAATGCAAAAAGGACCACTGCAAAGCAGAGCTGTATCACTTACTGATATTGGTTATTTCACATAAATAACTCTTGATAATAACATGGGTATTACTATAAATGTTACAATATAAATGCCTTCACTTGGAATATTAACAGTCCTTTGTTACACATGTACAATCCCATTTTTCCAATCATGACAAAAATGTTATAGAGACTTGTAGAGAGAAAAAAATGACACAACAGTTTACTCTTATTTATCAAGATTAAATTCAGTCCTAAATTGTCTGGGTAATTAAGACAATAGTAGCCTTAGTACTCCTAACTGCATCAGACACTGAACAAGAATGTTTCAAGAATTATTTCAGAATCAGTCTTCATCCTTGAATCGTGGAGGTGGACAACAAAAAATCCACATGCCATTATAAGTGTAACTAGCCTTGACAAACTAAAAGTATACCATAGATAAGCAGAACAAAATCAAATTATATATGTCATATATTCTTTGGAGTCATGTTTCACCACTATTTGCATATTTGGGTTACCTTATCATTTATCACACATAATCAGTCATGAGTTGAAATGTACAGTATATCGTCCTAAATGAGAAATCTATAAAGTCTACTCTCAAATAATCTCCATAATAAATACTTGTAAATGCTTGGCACATTTAGTCCTGTAAACAAAGGAGTTTTTGTTGTTTTTTCTGTTTTTTTTAAACTGGCTTTTTGTCTGTACAAGATTGATCGGATGGCACATATCAAGATCTGACCAATGGAAAGTGTCTCAACTGGCTGGCCTGGATGTGTTGTTACATTTATACCCAGGAGTCCAGTGGTGGAGGTTTGTTATCCATGAGGCCCACTGCAGGCCTGCCAGCTCTGATGAAGTGTTTTCTTTCGCTTATCGCCTGTGTCAGGACACACAGACAGCATAAGTCAATTAGCAAGAGAGGCACAAATCACAAGGAAAAAATTCTGAAACCCAAAATACTGCAACAAAATTCGTCAGTGCTAGTCCTATGTAGTAGAGATAAAATAATATAATATCCAGATACGGAAGGCTAAATTTGTCATTAGATATCATTTCCTGTCAAGCCACTGTAATAAAAAGAAAAAGCAAAAATGGTAAAAAATCAGTAAATAAAGCAGAATGATTACCTGAAGAGTGTCTTTTTCCACAACAGCTGCCTTTCCATCTCCAACCCTGTCATTTGGCTCTAAGGAGGAATAGACATCTGCAAACAAAGGTGATGATAACAAATCAGATGATAATTAAGACCACTGAAAAGAAACAATCAGGAATCATTAACGTATCAAACTGCATCATTACTGGCATCTTCCGGGCTAACAACCACAATGCTAACACTAACCAAACGGGTCAACTTGGAATCACCAGTAAACCGTACATGTAATTTCTTCCTCTGAGGACACCACGCCACTTTAAAGCTCACACTGTCCTCTTTAAAAAAGTCAATAAAAACAGTACTGTTTGAGAGAATGCATGTAGCTTATTTTAGATGTTTGAAGGGGAAAAAAATTTGTGGCTTTCTCCAATTCCAACAGACGACAGCCTTTGAAGAAGCAGGAACCCATGTCTATACCTCCATATAAATGTAAATGTCCTGATTAAGTTTAATTGAAAAATCTAAGAAGTGAGGCTGTTCAATGCTGTTCAATGCAGAAAAGCACTCATGGATTTACCTCTGAAAATATATTGCTAAGAAAAGAAAACTAAAGCTGACTTTACAAGACCGCAGATTTAAAGCCTCAGAGTGCTTCAACTCACTCTTCTATGGGTCCTTAACATGTGTTCATGGCAAAGAAGGTAGCCTTGAGAAAAAAATGTGCCTCTTAGTGGAAAGCAAGACGTTACCGTCAGTGTGGTAAAGTTGGTGAAAAATGTTCAAAATAAATGAGACTAGTAATGCTTGAGCCTGCTCTGCTCTGGGAGAGATTATTCAGGTGCAATGACAACCGTCACAGCACATCACTGGCCATGTTTCTAAAGAACTAATGAAAATACTGATCGCTTTGTCCACGGTTTGACGTGAAGAACTTCAGTACAATAAAAAGGCCTCAGATGTTCCCTGAACTGGAGGATGCTCAGTTTATTCAGATAACTGACTCACACTCCAATGAAGGAAGGCAACACATTTCTCACCTTGGTTTTTGTCCATGAGAGGCAGAGTGATGTCGTCACCGCTTTGCTTTCCACTCTTAGCTTTTTTTGTCGCTCCAGAAGTTGTGGTCTTATAAGAACAAAAAAGAAAGTAATTACTTCCATGAGCAGTGGTACAATTGTTTTTCATTAGCTTTTGTTTCTTTTGAGTACAGTACATTTAAAGCTAACAAAGCACATAAAACCATGCATATGGCACATCTCGTATTATGGTTCTTATTGACTAATTGTGCGTGGGGTTTTCTGACCTCTGACCAAGCCCAACCATTACTGTCCCCACTTTTCTCCTCCTGAGGAGACAGAAAATTTGCATTTAAAATGATCAAGAAAAATACCTTAAAGTGGCTCTTGCTCCAGCCCGCTTTGTTCAAAGTGGTTCTCAGTTCCTTGTAGCCCCATATTGTCTGAAGGACATGGGAAGCCGCTTTGGTCTCCCGAGCGGATTGGCTGGCAACAAACCAGTGTTGTAATATAGTGGTAAACAACAGAGATTAGCCCTAAGACATCACTGTCCAAATGATTAGAATGAATGACATTTGATACTCATTATGTCATACCACAATAATTCTCTCATTAATGCAGGCAAACATTATGCAACTTGAATATTCAGTATTTAAAAAAAATATGTATACAATTAACATTTAATCGATTTTATTATTCAGTTTAGTTTGGAAGCAAAACAATCTGTAAAATGCATAGAAATTTAAAAAAAAAACTACCATTTCCTTTTGAAAATTACCTGGACTTATTGATTGCTACCAGTTTCTGCACAGCATGACCTTGTATGAGAGCTCGAGCATTCTCTGGGTTATCTGTGATGATCTCATGAATTGTGTTGAGAATAGACACCACTGTATCTCCATCCAGGTTCTTGGCCGGGTGCTGCTGCCCACACGGCAGGTTACCGACCAGATCCCTCAGAGCATAGCTTCCTGTGACAGCAGACAGGCACACGCGACAGAGTTACCCTGCAAGTCTACGCTCATACATGAAGGCAGTTATCAGACGGCCGTACCAATTAAGTCCTTATTCCTTCTATCAATGGCCAGGTTGCGAAGAGCAATGGCCACGGCTCGCACAACTTTGTCCGCATCAGAGCGCAGCAGCTCCACCAGGATGGGAAGCCCTTTCTCTTTTCTGACGGTTGCCCGAATGAAGCTGGACCACTACAAGTGAAAAAAAAAGCATAGTTTGTCAGCTAACTTATCGGCTGGCTTTTTAAAAAATCGCTTTCAATAACTGAATTGCAATATGTATATTATTTTTTAAAAACCATAAAAACCCAGATAAAGTTGGTATGCTTTTTTTTGTGACACGAGATTTCAATGCTGAAAGATTGTGCGAGCGCTGTAATCTTGGAGCGGGCTTCGTCTTAAATGACTGTGACATTTGCGTCTCAGCACATAATGAAGGAGACATATGGAGCCTCTCACAGCGAAATTCAGAAGAAGCTAGTTATTTTTGATCATATGGGCTGGTGACAAGGTCACTGTCATTAAGTTGATTAATGGCGTTGGTGCAAAAACAAAACCAACCAACTGAGAAAAAAAGCCTTGGGCACGCAACCCCTCAAATGAAACCCTACAGAAGTTGTCTTGTTTGACCTTGCCACACCATGCAGGCTGATTTACATTGAATTCACTCATAGTGCTTAGTTACAGCACGACTCTTTCTGCACCACAGACAGGATATTTTCAAATGGCAACAGCAGCTGTGGGGATCTTTCCTACATGATTCTCAGTGGTGAGCACAACAGTGTAATAAAACTGACCTTATGTGCAATGTTTAAGCAAGTGTCATTTGATGCTAATTCAAATGTTTTTTATGCATGCTTCATGATTACGGCCCTGTAGTTACGAGCAAGAATAGTAACCAGGAACTGCCCGATGCACTCACAGCCCAGTGTCCCGCAGCGAGGTTCTGCAGCGCCCCAGCGGCTGCCTCCAGAGTATTGTGGTTGTGACTGCATGTAAGGAGAGAAAGGTACAGCCTGACCACCTCTGGCTGGTACAGCAGCTCCAAGCCTTGAACAGGAAAGCAGAGAAATGTGAAAAAACGTAATACGCTGTGTTATTTTTAGAGCCAATATTTTCTGTTCAGTTTCATTAACCATTAGCTTTAAATGCAAATCCAAATTTTCGAGAGCAAAGATATTTTTAAAAGTATTTATTTCAGATACAGATTTTGTTTCCTCGGCCAGTGGGGGTTGCTGGATGACTGACAAGTATTGTAAGACTGACCCTGAACCATAACATGATTGTCATTCTGATCTGCATTCACTAGCTGCAGTGTGGGAGGCATTAGCTAAGCTGTGATCTCTGTTCCAGTCGTTGAGATGCACAGAATTCAGGCCTGCAGTAGTGATTTTTCCTTATTCATACAGCATGCAAGGCCAAGTTAAAAGAAAGGAAAAAATAGCAGGGAACATTAGTAGGTGTAGACATAATCTAAAGGTACCAAACAAAAGCATGTGCACAATATTGGACATGCAGTGTTTCGTGCAAATACTTGTACCAGTCCTAAATTGCCATCGTCCTCCAGGTACTGCAGGGTAAAATGTTATCTGTCTTTAAGGTGATGGGCCATTTCGTTTTTGTAATGAAAGTCTCCTGAAGTGGTGCAGCTGCCTGTGTATGGTGTTGCATTTAAATGACTTCTCTTCCAGGCCATGCCAATGTCATGCTTCTCAGCAAACAGCCAAACAGAGAGTACATAGAGGGCTGACACTTAATAATGTTACTCCATAACAATTATACATGATGGCTACTCTATTTACATTTGATCTATAGTAACAAGTACACAGCTCAGGCGTGCATGCTGCAGTCTATGTGTTGAATGTAAAATGCAGTGTGAAGCTGATGTTTCTTTTCTTTTTTTCAATTATACCTTTAATTTGGTCTGTACGTTTTGGTAAATCCAATGTACTGTACTTTCTGTCCATAAATCCATTTTTCCAACCTGTACATCACAGATACACACACATGCACACAAACACCAGTTTTAATTTCACTGCACAAATAGACAATATCATCAAAATCACTGAAGGGGGTAATCAAAATATCGCTTGTTTGAAAATATTCAGGATTAATGAGCAGACTGACCTTGACTGAACCACTCCTCTGATGAATATGGTTTGACAGGAAAAGAAGAAAGATCAATGTCAGAGATTAGATTATCCTGCATAAGGACACAGCAGCAGAAAACACACAGCTCCTCCATGTGTTTGGCTTTGCTCTGTAGCCATGAAGCTTGATGTCACCATTAAACGTACCTCATTGTTCCTCAATGAAGGCACGGCATACATACAAATACACCGTAATTTAATTCAAGATGTATTCAAAATAATAAAGGAATAAATAGTTTAGGGAATAAGTTAAACACCAGTAGGTTTTTAATCATTTTTAAACCCAATCTAGGTATAAAATCCGTTTTTATGGTGTAAAAATACCATAAAAGGTGAAACAGGAAAACATTTCCAGATTTGAAGCCTGGCATCCCTCCTGCAGACCAAAATCTATCATCAGCCCCCCCCCATGTGAAGGGATTTGAATTCTCCATCCTGTCAGAGGCATAAAAGCCAGTGTAAACAAAAAAGTGAAACCTGAATGTTCAAAACAGAAAAATGCCGGCAGCAAATGAAAACTTTCAAACTGAGAAAATGTTTGGTTTCACAATGTCTCCGCAGATTCTTAAACTGTAAGGTGGGTCTGTCTCATGCTTTGGGCTGCAATGCTGTTATATTAATAACTACTGAAGACATTTCTGGCTGTTTCTTACATTTCGTGTCGGGGAAAAAAGCCTCGTATTTACTCAGTCAGGACTCTACTTGCCTAATATCCACTGTCTGAATAGTTATACTGAATAATTAATAGATTTAGCAAGTCTATTTCAAATTTAAAACTGTATATTATTTCTACATAAAAATTGAAACTATCTTAAAATTGGTCTGCAAGTCCGCAAGTTAACATGCCCCTCTTGTTTCAGAGCAAAGAACATGAATATATTTTTTCTGATTGTCAGTGGTTTTTATCATCATTGATCATTTTTCCTGTAACGTGGTTAACGCACATCGCATATTCATGTATGCAGAAAATACAGTGCACGTCAGCGTAATACATAAGAAAATCAACTGAAATCAAATATGATTGAATTACAAAATATAAGTCTACCAACCTTTGGGTCTTTTCCCCGTAACGGTCTCTGGCTCCTCTTTCTTTTTTTTCTGATGTCCCACTGATCTCATCAGATGACCAGTGTGGGGCTCCTGAAATCGCTCAGCTCCTGGTATTTCTTTGTGAACATGATAGGACAGGTTTCGAAGAATGCAGACGCAATTTTCCACCGACTAAATTGAGAGCAAAGACAGAAGATTTCAATCAAAGACATTGCACAGAAAGTGAACACATGCTGATAAAATTCTCACATCCCTCTTTGAAAGCGTGTTGGTATCCCTCCTCTAAAATCTGAATGACTCTGGAGAAAAATATTTATACCCTAAACACTTTGATGACTCACATTTATTGTTGGAATCTGATGTTTTAATCAAGCAAAATGTAAAAAATTTAAAAATAAACGTAATGCTTTTGGTGCAGTATTTCATAATATCAGAATCTCATTAAGATTTTTATGACATCCTGATCAACCTTATTGTCGGTGTCCTTGTTGATGACTGCTGACTGCAGGGCGTGAAGGAGTGCTGCAACCAGCCCATCGCACTCCCTCAGCCTCTGTCGAGCCTCTGCCCCGTCTGAACTGACGTTCCTGTGGAAACAATTCTGTCAGAGAAGCTGCCCAAACTCCAAAGCGTTTGCTATTCAGCAGCCGCCGGTACCTCAGGCATCCCGAGGTGTTCTTAAACACAGTGGTCCATTCGGCACTCTGCAGTTTGGAGGAGTCTGCTGAGTGTCTCCTCCTCCAGCCTGAGTGTGGGATGATGATTTCATCAGTCAGAGTCTGAAGTCCCTGGTTGATGACTGTCATTTTGAGCGGCTCGTGTGATGAAAGGTTCCACAGAGTGCCTGAAGTGCATACAGAACAACGTTGTCAAAATGACTCAAAAAGTTGCGGGTTATCGAGCTTGGGGCTTAAAAGTTCTGATGTACCTGTGGCTAACTCTTTGACCTCCATGCTGCTGGACTTCCTCAACAGTCTAACTAAAGCTTGGATGCCATCGCAGACCTTGATTGCCATTTTGTTATTGTGGTCTTTTCCGTACGATATGTTGCGCAAAGCTCCACAGGCCTTGCGATGGACTTCAGCTTTAGGGTGGTCCAGTAACTCCACCAAGATGGGCACTCCATTTAGCTGGCGCACCTCCTGCTTTATCCGGTCGTTCTCATAACACAGATGCTGTAGGTAAGCAGCTGCATTGGACTTGACGGGGTCCATGGGGTGGCTGAGCATGGAGATCACCTCATGCAGGTTGGGGTCTCTCCAGCGAGGGTCTCTTCGGATACTGTCCAGGCTAACCATGCTGCTGCGTTTGTGGGGCATCTGGAGGGTCTGTGCTCGGCACATGGCCTGGAAAAGAGGATTCAGGTTCCCCTCCAGCTGGGCCATGAAGGCATCATCATAGCCACTCCTGCAGAGATAAGGGTTGTTATGTATATCGTACAGATACAAATGGGTAGATCGGTAGAAAAAAAAATGTATTCGGGTAGAAGATTCCTTATTGTGTTGATCACATTTTGAGAAATGTACTCAGAAATGTGTGTTATCCTGTCTTTACCAGGACATCAAATGAGGTAAAGACAACCGTAGCAGAACAGCACATGAGTGATTGCATCATGCCTTCATTCTTGAAAATCTTTTAAAAATTCAGCAGCAGCATGAGAAAAACTGTATCCACACTGCTACTGTTTTTAGAGGGAATTAAGAGTTTAGATTTCAGCCAGATACAACTCATCAAACATGCCTAAGTGAGCACTGCTATCTGTGCAGAGGCTTGGACCAGAGCCTCCAGGTGTGTGTCAACACAACACCAAGTCTGAAAAGCATCCGTAAAGTGATTTAAAACATTTGTTCCCCAGTAATCTGTGACGGGATATAAGTTCATTTTTAGTCCATCGTTCTATCATTAGAAAGTAGAAAACATTCAAAACATTTGGAAATCTTCCCAGATGTGGATGTCCAAAAGATGTTGGCCACAAGGTCAAGTTGTGAAATGCTCAATTGAAAACACAAAAGAGCTTCATCTCAGAGTCAAATACGATCATATTTAGTTTATTTGGAAAAAAGCCTCTTCCCCTTAAAGAGGACATCTTCAAGCTAAAGGCTACCAAACTGAACATCTGCTTGCCCGGTGCCCAGGTAATTAGTCTCCCATAATGCCTATATAAGGAAAATACATATTCCAGAGTCAGATGTGAGGTGCTCTGTGAAATCAGTAGAGCTTGAACTGAAATGGGTTCTGGCAATATACCAATGATTCCAAGTATACCAGCAGATTAGAGAGGGAAAAATCAGCTGCATTTCTGATTAGAACCATAGTCCATCTTTTAAAAACAGTTTTATCATCCCATATGAGCCACAGAAAGGATTCTGACAGGCAGTAATGGTAGATATCTTTCTTTTTGTATCCCTTCTACAGCAGGCTGCTATCACTGATTGATACCGGCTTTGACTTAACTGCTGTCAATCTGTCTTTCTATACAGTGTCCACGCTGACTTACCAGAAGAGGGTGGCCTCATCTGAATGTTTGTGTAGCAATCTTTATTATATGTTTTTATCATAGCATGTTTGAGAGGATTAAATTAGCAGTCATGATTAATTTAGACTGAAACTGTTGCAGTATGTGACATAACATGTTTTATATTTGACGCTATAATGTCTGGCTTGTTGTTTCAGTATATCTTTATCTAAAAGAGTAATAAAAAAAGAGTAATATTCAAAAGCTCCCCATTTTTTATGTGCTATTCAGCAGCATCTTGCACCCTTTTTTACATGATTTTTTTTGCTTCCAACAGCAGTTTCTTTAAAGACTCCCTCTTCAATAGATCAGGCCATGTTCAAAAAGTACAACGTCTTTTATACAATCTTTTTGAAAGTCCTATTGCTTCATCTTGCCAGAAAACATTATGCACTCAAGGAAAGATTGCAGATGGTTCAAATTGGAGGGGGGGCCTGATGTTTGGAATCGTAACAACAATCAGACGCATAATTAGTAGGTGATTTGATGGGCTGTTATCTCCACTGCTACTTGAAAACAATTCACTGTCTTCAGGTTTTCACAACAAGCTACACTTGTCAAACAAAGCATGTACCTTAAATCTAATTTGGCAATGAAAGAGATCGTCCTATTCAAAGAACAACCAAAAAAACTGCAGACAATCCACACTAAGCTGCAGCGTGGGTATGCTGTACTGAAACGAAGTAACTGCCTGAATCAAAAACTGCTTTTGATACTTTGTCTAACAATTACATCCTGCTGTTACATTGAGATACTGTTCACATTGGGATAATTAAATTAAAAGATACTACCATCAAATACATGTTTTGGATTCTTTAAAGGAAACAGCTACTGCAGTGACAGACTGCTAAACCTCATCCTTCCAATCTCATATTTAAGAAAGCTTTGATAGTTGCAGCCACATGGAACTATGGGATGAAACTATCTGCCATGTCCTGAGCAGAGAATGGCCCTGTTCTGTGTGATAAGAAAGGAAGTACTATGATCCTTTACTTAGCATTTGGGAAATTCAAACAGCTCTCATTTTACTTCAGGGTAAAAACTTCTGCTGCAAATCATCAGAAGCATAAAAAGACTGGTTGACCAGGCAACCAGTGTGTTTTTTTTAAAGAAGACATTTTCACATGTAGGACGTCAAACGGATTAATTGGCACCCTGCACTTGACTTTGGGTGACGGACTGCTGTTGTGCATGCTGGTTGATTGAGGAATTACCCTTTCTATGTAAGCCTTAAAGTCATTCATTTAACCTGTGCATTTCAAGCTGTGACAAGTCAAAATGTCCGCTGTGAAAATGTCCTGTGGAACATATGATTGACCAAAGTGCAAAGCAGCACTTAAACTCAGGTGTAAATGTAAATGCTGGAGCACAATTTACATGTTTGAATTAACGTGTGTGATCTGTATAACACAGAGTGTGCTATTTAAGCATCCGGTCATGTTTGGCTTTCATGTTGTAAAATTCTTAAAAGCTGACCACTGAGCAATGATACATATGTTCAGACTTAAGAATTAATGGGAGCCATCCCAATCATGTTTCTGAGGAAAATACTCAAACTACCTAGTTTGAACTGTGTTTAGCAAGTATCTCAGAGTCTTAGAAACCCATATAACCATTTCATCTAGAGAACCATTCTCTTACCTGGTTCTGGAGGGCTCCCGGAGGAGCTCCATGGTGGTAATTGGCCTAAACTGATGGATTCCACCAAGAGTTGAGTAGGTTGCAGCTGAGAGGTCTGTCTTCATGTCCAGCAGGTTCTCTCTGTCCTCTTCTGTCTGGTTGCCAAGGCCAGTGGACGCAAAGCTGTCCCTGAGGAAGGGTAAGGTGTAGTGAGCCCCAGGCTGGAAGTTTTTGGTGGGCAGGTAACCGTGGAGAGTATAGCGAGAAAGGCTCCCATATCCAGCACAGAGATCGCCCCCAATGCCTCTGTAGGCATCCGAAATGGTGTACACTCTGCTCTGGCTGTCTGTGCTCACTGGCAGAGTCTCCGCAGGCTGCAGCACCAGCTGAGGCTGTGGAGCTGATGCAGTGGTGCTGCTAGCTGTGGTTGAAACAACAGACTCAGGGGGCTCAGCCTTTGCTTCGAACACAGGCTGCCCGGGGGAAGTGTTGTCCTGCAGCTCTGGAGCTGATGTGATATCAGGTGTATCAGGTGTGTGGACATTCTCCTGTTGCAGCTCTGACGTTTCTTGGGTCTCACTCTGAGCCTTTTCTCCATCTTGATCCACAGCTTTGGATTCCTAGAAGGATTAATGCACCACCACAGTTATATGCAAGGGTTTGCTGAAGAAGCATGTCTCACCACTCTCCTTTATCTTAGTGATCTGATCTCCTGTCATTTTAAATGCCACCAAATTGGTATGTTTGCATTCAGTGCAGAAGGTATTTAGCAGTAATTTTCTTGGAATTGATCAAACATGCACTGTGTATTTATCACTGACACTGTTCAGTCTATCTCTTTTGTTTAGTTGTGATCAATCATCATCATTTCTAAATATTTCTGGCTGCATGAACCTCTGATTAATAAAGAATTCTTCTTTCCACCATATAATAATGAGTTCCCTTTTGTTGAAAATTAGTTTATATTGGACCTTATATTGGACTCTGATGAAACAACTTGAGGTCCAGCCACTGTTTAGAAGAAGAACAAATTACAGGAAATTCAATTGTCTGCTGTAGCAGATTGATTTAGATTTTAGCTCCCTTGTAGTGGAGAGGAAGAAAACAAAAACATGCTTTTAGATTTTCTTATATACAAATACAAAGTTATATATATAAAAGAAACATAACAAAGTGACAAGTATTAAGTGAATGATTTAAACAGTGATTAACAAAATATTGTAAGTAAGTAGGTGATAACCTCAGTGTCTGTCTGTTGTGGGGTGTCGGTTTCTGTGGAGCTTTCGTTGGTTGAGGTCAACACAGAAGCGATGGAAGTGGGCGTGTCCAGTTCATCAGTGCTAGTAGGGGTTTCCTGGGTCACCTCCTTAGCCTCCTGGGGCAGGGAGAGTGGAGGGGGCCCCTCCAAACTCTGATCCTTATCAACACACATATAAATCCACTGATGAAGCTCTGTCACTGAGCTGTATAATTCAAGCACTATTTGTTTGCAGTGTAGACACATTTGCCTAAATTGTAGATAAACGCTTAGATTAATCCACAGCTTTGGTGAAACTGCATTGCCACACACGATGCTGGATTGTGAGGAGAGTCACAGCTCAGAGTGCAGCTCCATGGTCATTGAATCTGTGCATAATGTGACATAAATTCAAGCAGCAAGACATACCTAACTACATATTAACAAGATTGAAGGGAAAAACGAAAGCCTTTTTTTAAAAAAACCTGACAACACAGCCCGAAAAAGAAAGAAAAGAACTCAATAAACCATATTAAGATTAAGATCTTTTGACATGTTCATGCCTATGCTGATCAGCTGTGAAGTACAGAAATCGTGTCCATGATGAAGCCATTTCTGATTAGGAATAATGTTTAGCCCTAGCAATGAATAATCATTGTTAGGGTAAACATTATTCGCAATAATTATTCCTAATCAAGTTATTTTGACTTCTAATCATAAGCAGCAGATGTAATTTCATAAAACCTCCCAAAGTGTCACGTTTGGTCTAAACATTTTGGGCTGTCCTTACACGTCATCATCATCAGTCATTAACCTGGCGTCCATGATGGTGAGGGCTGGATTTCATTTGTTTGCAATTCAACAACCATGATCATTTTTCGCACCCAACTGATTATAACAATCAGAACAGGTAGGACTAATCATCACCCTAATTTAAACTGATGAAGGTATCACCAAACTCTCTCAGAGGCTATTATAGCTTTAGTTTCCATTTCCAGTACAAAACTAGATTTAAAAACATGGTGAAAACTAGATTTTGAATTGTATCAAAAGTGACAACCGGTATCTTGCAGGATAATTTTCAAAAGCCAAACAACAGAGAAAAGAATAGAAGAAACAAGTCAATTATGTGACATATTTTTTCTGTTCCTTGCCCTCATCTTCGACAACACGCACAACAGGGAAAGATAAAGCAGCAGGTTTTTAGATGAGTGTGTCTCATCTGCTGGGTCTCTCAGGTATAGTTTTATAGGTTAACTCCACTGTTGCAAACATAATGTGGGAAATATTTGTCTGGTTGTCTGCATCTCTGTCTGACAAACTGAACATATTGGTAACTTTGAATAGAATCTGCATGTTTTTGCGATCCAAGAGCCTGGTGACTCTCACTGTGGTATGACAACATCTATAAAGAGGTTCCCTTGACAAAATACAGCAGCATCGTAATGAGAATAGATGTGAGTCAGTCTGTTATTGTCATTTACATACAAGTGACTTGCTGAGACCTGATTCACCACCACTGACTCTCGAGTAAATGATCCAAATGCTGCTGCTCATGTACAATATGTGCTTATTTTCAGTAATTTCCTCTTTAACCAGAACTTAAAAAATAGTCTCCTACTCAAAATAATGCATTTAATTTGACAGAGAGGATTAATTATTCAGAGTCTTGGTTTGAGAGAGCCAAAGGCTATTTTTAACAGCAAACACATTTTACACTGAGTTTTTATAAACTTCAGCTTAATTTGTCAACAAAAATGAAACTTATTGCCCTATTGATCTCATTAAATAACTAATTACTTTTATAAAACAACAAAACCAAAACAATAGAGCATAGGTAAAGGGATTCATCTCCCACAACGCTTTATTAATTAATCATTTTAGTGTTTGAATTGTCTATTCAGTGTCTAAATCAGTTTTCATTTTGGCAGTTATGATTCACACGCACACAATCTCCTCTGAAATGTGTTGTTGATACACAGAGAAACATTGTGCTGAAGATAATGCTGCAATGAAAAGCAGATAAACTGTAAACTCTCAGTGAAGACTCTCACAACAAATTCTGAAGCTGTGGAATAAAACCAAAGCAAACTGCACGAAACCAAGCTGCAGACAACCACCGCCTGAATGTAGAGAAGCAGAGAGCTACGCTTTCAAACACCTCAACAAAGACAAGGGTCCCTCATATCCATGTACAAAATGTGTTGGAGGAGAGAGGAGATGAAAGGCTCTGGAAAAGCCGGCAGAAGGGAGATGATCCTGGCTTGAACACCTTTGGGGGAGCTTGATTGGATTTTCTTAGGCGGAACTAAATGAACGTTTGGCCAAAAGACAGGCGAGGTGCCACTGTCCTCTCCAGACAGCTTGATTAAGGATTTGGAGGATGATAATAGGCTGGACATGGGCCTGTGTGCTGTCTCTGTCTGATTCAAGCTCCAGGGAAGACCAGGCCACTGTGAGTCAAAGCTCATTTAAATAACTCACTGCACCATCAGTGAATATGCTCACAGAGCCAAATAGGTCAAGATGATGCCTCTGAATCTGACTTGGCTTTCGGAAAGAAAATATCAAGAAGCAGCACATAGATGTAAGGTGCAGTGCTGCAGGAGACAGAATGACACAATTAGCATCTCGTTCCTGTCAACTTCCCGGTATCAAGGCCAGCTGCACGGGTATTATTTTAGGAGACATAGAGCCTGATCTAATGCAGAGCAAGTTGAGATTTGGGTGGCCAGCTCAAGGGTACATCAAGCGAAAGCCATGACTCAAACCTGTGACAAATCTATTTTAAAGCAATTGATTTGAAAATTGGGCCCCCGGATAGAAATCACAGGAGTGGGGCAAAGCTATTTTGGAATGATCCAGACAGAACATAAACGGGCTGGAACAGACAGCTTGTCTTTATCAAAGTGTGGGATTGAAACTGTGATGCCTCTACGGGATAATAAAACATGACATCAGCCAACTGATGTCAGAAATCATTAGTTCCAACTTTGTCACAACTCCTCTGCCTTCTGCTATCTGTTGAATCAGCAGGGCAGACGTTTTTAGCTCGGATTCAGAGAATGCATGAGCTGCAAATGGAAACTGCATTGAAATAGTAGATGCAATGAAAAACTTGTTATACTGTAGGAAAAAAACATCGAGATATATTTTTGCAATACATCATGCTTAACCTCAACACGATAGGCAGCAAAAAAAACAGCTTAGAATGACATTCCAGGGAAAAGGAAGAGATATCTTTCTCAAACTTTCCATTTCTCTGAGCCTCAAATGGTTAAATGCTGCATGGTCAATTTTAATGCCTCACTGATACATCATGGCAATGCACTTATCAGAGTCTGTGCAGCATTAACCCCTCAGAGAAAGACACCCTATTCTCGAAACGTAATCAAACTTATCCCCCTTTCAGGTATTCGCTGCGTATTTGTACACACATACACATTTAAGATGTAAGCATCATGTCACCATGCACACAAGGGGACCGCACCAGCCAGCAGTTAGAGGTAAGGGAGTGAGGCAGCTGATGCCTCCTTCATTCATCATGACAGAGGCAGAATGCAAAGCTGTGCAGTCTTATAGTTCTCTGCAGGAATACAGAAAAAGCAAAGAACAGTACAGAGCGGATAAAGCCATTCCAACACACACTTACCTCTTTCACTTCTGCAGGCATTGCCAAGTCTTTGCTGTCTCCCCACAAATGATTAACAGGATGCGTCCCCCAGTGACATGTGTGTTTTTCTCTGCCTCTGCTGAATTTCTGCCTCCTTTTTGAGCATGTGAAGCAGTTTCAAACATGAGCAGCCATCCTTCCTCTCTGCTCCCACCAACACACGTCCGCTGCTTCTCTCCCTCCCGCTCTCACACTCCCTCTGCCTCTATCCCTCCTTCTCTCACAAACACACACTGGACGCACCAAGCACACATTTGCTCAACACAGACGTCCCTCTCCCTCTCTGGTAACGGCACTCCTCCTCTGATCTGTGCTGCAGTTAATGTGCGCGCTATTAGCAAGGTGCTGAATCAACTGTGAGATGCTGAGCCTGTGAATGGCTTAGGTAGGTGCAGAGCCCTGCAATCCCTGTGCTCACCCCCCCCCCCCCCCCCATATTTTTTGGCCACACTGGTGCACGGGTGGCGTGCACGCGCCCCTGCATGCACACACGCACACACACACACCATTCCCTGCGGGCACACAAGCAGATGCAGCTGGAGCACAGAGCAGCCCGCACTAGCTCAGTCCTGTGTCACCCATGTGCGGCGCATAAAGGAAAAGAGGAGACTGAGGGACAAAGGGGGGAGGGAGTGGGGTGCATAAGCACTCCATGCAGCAGTGGGCTGGAAAACACACTTCTGCTTTTGCTAAAGATTTTCTCTCCAAAAGTGAGTTACACAAACCCTTTTTCATCACCCATCACTGTCCGCCCACAAACCCACTTCACAGTGCACCTGCTCAGTTCATTCTGCAAGAGTTAAACAATCAGAAAATGTGCTGTAGATCCTATTACCGTGATCATGGTACTGCTTTTCACAAAGGTCACTGCTTATTTGGACTTTCTTCAGTGGCGATTTTTGTGAAAATGACCGCTGAAACGAGAAAATCTATTTGGCTGGAGAGTTCTGGATTAGGATCATATTACCCTCTAACATACGCTGTAATACCAAAGCACTTGCTTAGAGACTGCAGTGGGCCATGTAAAAATGATTGCTATCACCAATGTAGCACTGCTCTTCATCATCTGTGTTTCTTATTGATTTAACCGAATCCTTCAATATCACTGATGGATGTTGGAGCATTCGAACTTGCTTCTGTAGGATTCTTTTGACAGTCTACACTTTGTCAGTTTTAAAGATCTCTCTTCTTTTTCATTTAATCCCACCATTGTATTGGTTATTCAAATTCACTATGTCATTACGATCAAAGGACGCATTGGTAATGAGACACTATAAAAGAAGTCTTTGTTCCACTTGTCAAAAGATCGTTTATAATTCATCTAGAAATCATTTACAAAAAATATCTGATGCGTACTTTTTTAAATGCTTTCAAAATCAACATTCCTGGAACGTTATTTTCTCATTTAAAAAATTCTCTGACATGTGAAAACTAATCCAGTGATCCAGAAGACATTTGTGATTCCCTTCCCTCCCATAGTTCCTTCGCTGCAACCAAAAGCTCAAGCTAATGCAAAATACCACTCTCTTGATGTGGTATTTTTGAACAAACCAGCTTAATTGGAAGATTTTGTTCTACTTTTAGAGCTGTCTAAAGCAAACAGGTTTGCTATAAAACCAAGTTCTGTCAACAACAGTATTGTGAGAATTTACCATGACCTAAAGCCCTGTTATTGTCAAGCACTCATCAGATGATGCATAGCACTGTTAATGGATTTTTAAATAGCTCATATGGCACCTGTCTGCACTTTATCAAACTTGCTGCTAACAGTTTTTTTGCACAACTTTTTCTCCACATTCTGTAAACTGAGATAGACCAGATTTCCAAATACAATTCTAACAGAATGAGTTGGAGACACTCAGCATGTTCAGTAGGATACTTAAACTGCCTCACAAAAGCCTCTGATGGCTTTTAGCAAACGTGTCTTTCAGTTGCTGTTTTTGTCCACTCTTCTGGAAAAATTCTTCCTGTCCTGAAAGTTTTGTGGCTCACAGGGGCTGCTGAATAGATATAATATAAATAGATATGATATAATATTCTACCCCAATCTTCTAAACCCACAGTGTCCCAGAAATCTTCCACCAAAATTGAAGAAAATAATGTACGTCATACATTAACCAATTTTCCATTTTCCATTTTTCTCCTTTCAAAATGAACAGAAGACAAGCTGGAGGTGAGGGGGATTTCATTCTTGTGATTCGTATATTGTGTTTATAGGGACTTTAGGCAGCTTTGAAAAACATCAAGCTTAATTAATGTTATGCTACATTCTGACAGTTTTTTGCACCTTTGAGACAAAATGAAGACACTTTCCCCCATGTTTTCAAAGAACACATTAAACATGCTTAAATCACGTCTCAGTCATCATGGACATCACATCCAACAGAGCCACATGCTGACCAGAGAAACTGCCTATCAGTTGGAATAACAGAGGCGGTGACTCAGAGCCTGTATCCACCTGATGCATGCATATCTTTGAGTGTGTGAGCTTGCATACAGACACGGCTGCTTTTATCTTGTGGGCATTAGTAGGAGCCTGTAGGAACCCTTTCACACTGATCTCATTACTCAGTCAATTCAGTTAAGTGGACCTTTCAGATTCAAACCCCCAGTGACCATTTACCCTTTATCACACTAACACACTAACTACCCTCACGAATGCCAAGCATTGATGCTGAATACTTTTTAGGTTTTTCCCTGCTGGCTTTGCTAGATGTTGAGGCACTGTCTTTCATCACATCTGAAATTGACTAAAGCTTCAGTCTCGGCCATTCAACAACATCATTCACGACACATGCCATTTGTTCATGAGTTTAGAGCTGCTCAAGGACACCTCACAATTCATCCATTTATGATAACACAATAACGCAAAGTGTGGAAGGCCTAATTACCCTGGCTCCATAAAACACATCGATAAGTGCATTCCGTGTTTTTGAATTTACTGCTAAATTCAGTCAGCATGTTAAATTGGAGAGTCCAGAGCTTCCAGAGGCTCTGGCAGTGCTGGTGCAGAGGCAGTCAGCACGGCTGCTGAGCATGAATGTCAAGAGATGGACAGAGCATAGGAGGAAAGCCTGGCAGGTATGAAGGAGCCAGATTATAGAGGGCTTTGAAGGTAAGAAGTAAAATCTTGTAATGAATACATTGATGATCCTGGAGCAAGAGGATCTGGGCGAAGAAGGGTGTGATATGATCAAAGAAAAGTGTACTGGTGAGTATGAAACCAAAACCTTTGATACTTAGGGCTTTTCAGACTGGACAGCCATTGTTAGAAACTCTGAAGAGAAGAGTTTGTGAAAGTTTGGTCTTTGAGCCTTTTATTTAGTCAAATCAAGAAAGTTCGACAGCTGAATGTTAATAGCCTGAAGACAGTCTGCAAGGACGGAAAAGTGGGGAGGATGAAAGGGTTTGGTTTACTGGAGACATTTGTGCATCATCAAGTGTAACCGTGAAAGTTTATTCTATAAACAGAGAACATTTTCAAAGGGATTCGTAGTAAATATATGCAGTGCGTAGAACAATTTTTATCCTGACTCAACATTGTTACCCTGTCAAGGTATATTACACAGTGCCCGGCGCTGGTCGGATATCAGGGAACACAACACCCCACTGGTTTTATTACACTTCATCCCCTGGTATGACGTTCATTATTTAAAGTTCCTCAAGATTTATGTGCATGGCAAATGTTTAGCACCAAGTCAGAGAAAGAGACGGACAGGCAGGAGGCTCTGTGGAGGTACACCATGCTTAGATTTACACAGCTGTAAAATCTTCCTGTAGTGTGTCTAAATGTGGTTTAAAGAGAAAAACAACACAGAGGTTTTGCAGACAAGCGTGCTCTGGTGCTTCAGATCCACACTTATTAAATCTGTTTAAGAATATTTTTAACTGTAGACTCACCACTTGTAAAGTTTGACTACAGTTTTTTTATTTTGATAAATATTTTTCTAATTCTTTTGCATTCTTAATTGTTTTTCATGAGTAAATTAATCATTTCGAGATGGTAAAACAGTCTTCTTTTTCTATTGTGGTTCCTGGTGTTTGAATTCAAGCCAGCTGTAGTGGCAAGAATTTAAAGTGCTTCAAACTACTATATGTTTGTATGCACAAATTCATATCTAGTGTTCATTTCTAAATCTTTAACAAAAGTTTTCTTCAGCTTTCAGTCTTTGAAACAACTTCCTTCTTGCGATCTTTGTAGAAGAGAGTAGTTTGTTTTTTTCCATCATCCATCATATTCCAAACTATGCTTGTTTAACAGTGTAAATATGACGACTGCAATAATAGCTGTGTAATTTTCATGCCGTCCCACAGTATCCCCTCAGGCTATTTTGATGGTGGCAAAAAACTCATTTTAGAAAATGGCTCATATTACGAAGACACTCGTTATCCAGTATAAGATAACATTCTGGTACATTACATACAAAAGGGATTCAGTAGTGTCAAATCAGGGACACACATCCCACTATCAGAGAGAAACTGCAGAACTTGCTGGACTTCTAGAGTGGGATTTCAAAGGTGTTTGAAAAATGGCCCTTTCTCCTTGTTCTATCCTTTATCTGTAATTTCATTGCTATTGCATGGACAACCTTGAAGAAAAAACATAATTACCTCATTTTATCACATCCATATGTCATTGAAAATCTTATATGTCTCAAGAAATACACCAGAAAATAACAACGAATACTGGACTGATTGATAGAAAATGATAGAAAATGCTTCACTGCAGCTTTGTGCATTTCTGAAAAGACTCAATTTCACTTTGAGATAAAGCACCTAATAGATTTAAGGATGATAGTCCTTTCCTTATGAATGTCTAATTATGGATAAAATCCTACTCACAAACAGACAAAAAGGAGGACATAAACATTCATGGCATATCTCCATGAGCTGAAGCTTTCAGGTAAACAACCCCTTTTTTTGTTGTAACACGCAGCTGGAGCATCGTCCCCTACTGCTTGATGTCTCCTATTCACTCAACAGGGTTTTCTTGAGAGAACTGATCAAAAAAGTTGCTTATCCACATTCCGGCGAGCAAGGACTCAAAGCAAGATTCTTTTAATGAGGGCTGTCAACGTCCTCTACAGTTTCACCCATGGAATCTTTTTGTTGTGTGGCTCTCTGCGCATTTTGGTCTTATTTCCCGTAGATGTTTCTTCTGAGCTAAGATTTTCCCCAAAACTAATGTTTTTCTGTCGCATGTGCTGGATTAAAGTGTAAACAATGGTCTTTTGTTGCTGCTTTACAAATGATGGCCGTTCTGCTTCATCACAGCAAAGAGATTGTGAATTGCTTCGGCCATGTGGCAAAAAATGAATGTAATTATTACTGCAATTACTGATGCCTATTATGTGTACACACATTGAGATGAACAGAGGGAGCACAGTCAAGTGAAGAGTGCCGAATGTGCCGACACACACCCACAGAGAAATTGATGTATAACATTACAGTATGTATGGTGGTATATTAATTGCAACAAAATGCCCACACAGTGTTTGGGGCTCAGCAGGGCATTTCACATCCCTTTCCTGTGGTCTCTGCCACACTGAGACACAGTCAATGCAGATTTTTGTCCTAATTAAACCCCCGCACTGCCCACTACTGTTCTGTTTAGGCTCACAAGTGCAGCTGATGGTTATTTATTTTAATGCAATTACAAAAAATAACATCTCAGAGGAGTTTGACAGACGCACAAAAAAAGAAACTGGTGCCATTTATTTCAGATGGCACTGTCACACAGACAAGGCATGACAAAACTGGAAATACCAGGAAAGGTCAACACATTGGCCACTGAAGAAAAAGGTCCTCTTTCATTTTAATATTCATACATTCAAATGGGTTCTAAACATTAAGAGGTTAAGCTCGGGGAAAGCTGGAATAGGGAGCAAATGCTGCTGTTTGTGGAAAAAGATCCCGTCACAGTGAGAGTTTGTCCTGAGACTATAAATGACAAAGCAGCGCTTGACGTCCTGGCTTTCACATTGACTTAATGCTGCTCTTGCTTGGCAGCCTTTAAGAGCAGCAATATCTGCCAGTCAGATCACCCGTAAATAAAAGATCTTCCCCCAAAAGCAGCGTTGCAATGCATCCCCTCCCGATCAGATAAATAATTCATATAGTGTTAAATATCCCTGATGAAACAAGAAGCCGGGGTTTACTATTAATGCAAATCCTACTTGTCAAGTGTCACAGCAGAGAGTGCTTAATCACGCCAAGGGACAGCCCAGAGAGGAAATGGAATGCATCAGTGGCACTGCAGCTGAAAATGACAATCAGCCAGTTCAGCGATGCCTCCGATGATCAGGCATATCAATGAGGTGAGAGGAAGAGGCTGAGAGAGGCACACCCACAGCTACAGAGGGGAATGTAGGTCAGTCTGCAGTGTTTGAAGGCGAGTGTGTATTTGAAACCGGTGACGGAGAAATCATTTCATGTCAAGAGGTTATCATAAGTTCATGCGGTGGGAAGTCCCCCGAGGAGACACGCACAAACAGCACAACAACAAAAGTCAGAGCACAACAGCCGCACAAAAGCCACGACAGCAGAAGGTGTGTTGATGTAGCAAACACTACAACACGGAAACACAACTTGATACAACAACTTGATAATCTTTAAGAAAAGAATCATCAAAAGCTTTCTTTTGTTTTCTTTCTGAGCTGTTCTGATTTGCTGATGTGGTTTTATGAAAATTTGCTTTTCCACCATGATGTTCTGTGAACAATACCATTTCAACTTGTCTCTCCCGAAGATTTGTGTTGCTTGGATTTTTTTGTCTCTCTGAAACATGTTATCTGTATGTATATCTTTATTGATCTAAAATTATATATTGTGTTCATGTGTTTATTTCCATTTATTCTATTCTTAACATCATCATTCTCAGCCTGATTTTCTCTGCTGCTCACCACAGACTCAGTGTACAGTATGTGCTTCTCATTTGCAGCTTCACATTTTTTTCCCTTTTTTTTCTTCTTTGCTTTGTTCTTCCTAACTTCATGCATTTGGATTTCAGGAGAACCATGGCAACACAGGCATCTGCAACCTAAAGGTATCTGGATCCCTTAATGATGCTGTTGTTAAGGTTGTTGTTCATGCAAGCTTGATTGAGTGTAAGAAATAGACTACATTTTTCAAATGTTTTGAGATGACATTTTTAACACACATATTCAGTGTTTGTAATCATCAGGTTTAGTTATTTAGTTTAGTAATTGTATCAGTTAAATAATTGAAATAGCTTATTAAGTGCAACTTTAGATGAAGCTAAGATGATGATGAATCCCCTCTTCCATTATACACTGTATATATTTGATGATGAGACATGATGTAAGATGAGAAGCTTTTCAGACACCACAGCCTGCTCAGATCCATCCTAATAATTTAACAACCTGCAATCCCTCTATTCTGCAGCCACCTTGTCATTACCATCTTACCTTCTATGACCATTTTAATTCAGAAACAGGGATGGTGGGAGTGGTGAGTTAGGGGGTAATCATGGAATAGTAAAAATAACCAAAGTCATATAAAGTGTTTTTTATGCATTAACGACCAACAAAAGCAGTTTAAGTGTGGATGACTGAAAAATCATATGGATTACAATCAGACATACCAGATAGGAGAGAGTGTGAATGCATGATGTTTATGTATTCATGTATAATACATTGCAAACATGAAAGTCAGCATGTTTGCTGCTCTGCACACCAGTCATAAAGAATGTGATGGACTTCACCATGCTTTAAATTTTGGTTATGGTCTAGATTTATATGTTCAGTTGTGCAGAAGACGGTAGAATCTTTTTTTATTTCTTTTGGCTTGCAACTGAGTTGTAAGCTTGAATAATTCGGTTTCCACATTTGGTCCACTGTGAAACAGCTGCACAAATGGCAATTACACAAGTAGTGGTTTCATTTGGAAAACAGCAAAACCGTGCATGTCAGTCCACATCTGGTGAATCATTTTATAATATTGAGGTCATCCAACAAAAATCAGTGCCATTAGTCAGAGATAAGGAAGGCTAATTTCACTGCTACACATCAACTTCCCCTTGCTTTTTTGTAAGGTTCTTTTTGGATAAAGAAGCGTAGTCTGTTTATAAAGAGGACTGATAGTCAGAGAAAATATAAATATCCTGAATTCATCTGTCTTGTTCTGGGCGGTGGGGCATGCTGTCCATCTCTTACATCTGTGTGTGTGACGGGAGATCGACTGCGCTGTGGAGTCTGTCATGACTGGCACAGTAAATTATTCATTACTTCATTTAGTCAGGCTGTGTTTTCTGTGCTCTCGCGTTAGATTAACAAATCTTCGACACCTTAATTGCAGTGGTTTTATGAAATGATGACAGTGTGAATGGATGTTTTTCTTAGAAAGCTCTAGTTTGAGAGGCAGAAATGAGGACTCAGAGAAAGCATGATTCAGAGGAATCCACTTTGGCCTCATGTGATGCACTGATAATTTGCAACCATTTGCGAATGCTGACAATTTTGGAATTATCTTTGAGTTTCTGAAAGAGAAAATCTTTTAATGATAAAATGGTTTTATACTTTTTGTATGTACAGTCCGTACAATGTGGATGTGGATCTTTGTATCACTATATATCATTTCTGAATAATCTGAATGCGGGTCGTTGCTGCAAAAAAACGTGAATGCTGAATAAACATTCCTGTTTTTTTATGGTATAGCAATTTTCTTGGCATAAGATTCTCATGCCAACTATAAACTACAGGTCGTCTAACTGAGTTCCCCACAGGTCTCAGCACTACTTGCCTCCCCAAACACACTATGCTATTTTGTGGTGTTTAACACACAATAGCATCATCTGCTGGATATTTCTGCCAAACAGATATCATGCCACTGCTTAAAATTGTTCACTAGAGGGTGCCACAGACAAATAGACATCAAGCAATTGAATAGTGCCACACACTTTTTCACAGAACTCAGATAAGCCTTTTTTTCCATTGCTACCAAAGCCGATGCATTTTATGTATGGATTTATAGATAATCTAGAGTAAAGGGCACCACTTCTGCTTTTAGAGCCATTCTCCTCACAAGAACATCTAAACAGATATGGAAATTACAAAATAAGTTTATTCATATAAACAACTACAAAATTCTGTTAAACAAGGATTTTTTTCCTTACAGATAACAATTAGATAATGTGGTGTTACAATGTTTCACAATATCAAAACACAAACACAGATAATATGTTAATCTGCATTATTGACATCGTTCTGCTTTCATTTAGTCCTAAGGGTCCCTTCTGTCTGTAGGAGGCAATGATATCCTGAGATCCATAGTTTTTTTTTTGATTGTTTAAATTTGGAAGAACATTTCTGAGTTTATCTTTACTGTGTTCTAGCTTTCCACACATACTCTCATACAAGTAGCCTCTAATAAAAAACAAGATTTTGGAGCTGTGAAGACAGAGACTAACACTGCATAGATGATTCATTCACATCATCAGAAACATGGAATGAGTTTCATTTCAGGGCTCGCAGGGTGACAGACTCCTTCCCCTCCGAGGAGAATGAGAATGAGGAATGTTTTGTCGTTGCATAGGAAGGGTATGGGGGGGCAGGGGAAGTGGTAGAAGACAAACGGGGCAGGGTGGCTGTGGAGGAGGGGACTCCCTGGCTCTGCCTCTCAGGAGGGCCATAGGCTGGAGAAGAAGACCTCCCCTTGCTCTGGAGGCTGCTGCTGCTGCTCTGCAGGGGAGAGCTGGAGGTTTTCGGGCCTCGCGTCAGAGAGGATGTGGAGGAGCTGGACAGCGTCGAGTTCCTCATGCCATAACCCAGAATGCCTGTGCTCATCAGAAACTCTCTGGAGCCGTAGGCCGGGGGGGTCGGCCCGCGGACGCCTGGCGGTCTACTGTTGTCGGGTGGCAGGCTCCTCCTGCTGGGGATGTCGTAGATTCCTATTTCTGGACCGTAGAGTGCCTGGGATCGAGCCTGTAAATGGAGCATCCGCTCTCTTTCCTCCATTTCCCGTCTCTCGTGGATGGAGGCCATGATGGTTTTTGAAAAGCTGTCGTAGCGCGCAGCGGCCGACTTCGGGAGCGTCATATCCTGGGAAGAGAGATCCCTAAAGCTCTCTCGGAGCCCTTGAGAAGTCAAATCTCGCATTGCCAAACCTGGAGGGGGAATGTCACGTGACATTATGCTTTGGGTTTGGAGGTCTCTTGGAAGTAGCCCTTGAAAGGAGGGAGAGGGGTCTCTTTGAATCAAACCTTGGAAAGAAGGTGAGGGATCCCTCGAGGTGAGACCCTGCAAAGATGGTGAGGAGTCTCGAGGCTGAGGAGACTGTCTGGTGACACCCATAAAAACAGGACTGTACGAGTGAGGAGACGAACGCTGCACTGTCCCATCTGTCCCCAGGGTCATAAAATGAGGGTGGTAGCTAACTGCCGGTGCTCCCCTCTGAGCCATAAACTGGGGTTCTGCGGGGTTGGTGAGATTATCATAGTAAGAGCACCCATTGCTGCTGCCGCTGCCGTGATTAGTCAGCAGGCCGGAAGCAGATATGATCCCCACAGAAGGATTAGATCCAGACCCATCAACATGCATGGCGGGCAGCTGGGATTTGCTGCCATGGCGACTGCCGTGTTTCAGCGTAAGAGAGCGGGAGTTGAGAGTCAGAGAGTTGAACTGCAGCGAGCTGGAGACAGTGCCGGGATGGAGGGCTAGTTGGACGGGCAGGCTGGCCGGATGGCCGCCTCTTTTGGGGCTTTCTCCAGACCCGGAGCAGAGTTCAGGACCTTTGTTGTTCCCTTGCTGCTCTGATGTCTTCAGCAGCTGAGCAAGACAAGACAAAACAGACAGCACAGTGTGTCAGACAGCCAGAAAAAGCATGCATTGCATACTCTTGTCTGAAATAAGAAACAGGGCTGAACAAAAGCCCCGTGTCAGAGAGGATGACGAAAAGGGTCACCTGCTCTGGAGGAATAGGTGATGATCCCCTGGATATAGCCTCCAGCACGGGCCGTAGCTGGGGCACAGTGGGAATAGACACAGGAATGATGGATTTAGTGTAATGTCCCATATCTGGAAAAAAAAGAGGTCATCTTGTGATTAAGTGCTATCGTGTGCAAATGTATAGGATAAAAATCTGCGAACACATTCCAGCAATGAAATCTTAAAGGGGATGGTTAAAGTACTGTTATGATTTGAAAAGATCAAGAATATTTCTGTAGACTTCAAATAGTCTTTCTACTCTACAATAAGCACACTGTGAAGATGTAAATCTTTTGAAGAGGTAGCTAATGCATGCACTTGGTGAGGTTGCTGCGGTATTAAATTTCTAGAGATGTTATTTGAAAAATCTGCTTGTGATGGAATAACTTGCAATGGGAATTTCTGCCATGAAACAAATATGAACTGTGTGTTGAAAGAAGGTTGCTGCAGTGTCTGTTATTTATAGGTTATATTTGTATGTAAAGCTATGATACCATCTAAAAGAGCGACTTGACTTTTCAGCAGACCCCGGTCTGGTTTTGGAGGCAGTGGGGGCAGAGACTGGACATCTGACAGCCCAACGGCTCCAGCTAAGGGTGGCTGGCGAGAGAAAAAACACACAGAGACATTAGAGACATATCTCATGTCTCTTGACGACTGAGATCAAAGTCTTTAGACAACATCTGAGAAAATCTTTAACTGGTTGCGCATACTTTATTTTGGAGTGCAGGATTATGTATCCCGTTGTCCCCGACTTTCACTTGTTTTTGTTGATCAAGCTCTGGTCTCAGGAATGGAGGCTGAACATGGATGACTGTTTTCTTACAGGGTCTCCCTGTATAACTAGAAACCGGGATGGAGGAAAACAGAAAGATGTTTGTAAATTATGTCCAAGCCAACAATGAGGAGGATCAATACAAAAAATGTTGTTTCTTACACTGGAGAAATCGGACTGCAAACCAGGTACTCCATGTTGTTACAACAACCCCTCGTAAAAGGGTTTATTCCTCCTTGAAACTTCCCAGTAACCTATATTTGACACAATTGTTAATGTGTAAACTGTGAATGTGCAAATACTGAGTCAGATATCATGGAAATCAGGAAAATATTGCTCACTTGCTCATTGGTGGTGCGACCTCTGGACACCAGGTACAGGTGGAACCCAGTGAGCCCAATGACAGGGATAAGAAACAGCCCTGTTATACTTATCACTACCAAACTGGAAAATCTATTCAGGAAAACTGCTTTATATCACCATCCGTCAAACAAACCCCTCACTCAGACACACTCAGACAGCAACAGGTGCTGATCATGTTTCAAGGATACGTCACAGTGCAGTGCAGCTCCCATAAGTCGTCCATGTGGCGGAGGACATATATGAGGCCAAATGTGAAGACAGCAATCATGTGGATGGTCAGAGACAACAGAAACAGGAAGAAGAAGCGGTAGTTTCGCCTCCCGATGCAGTTGTTTACCCAAGGACAGTGATGGTCAAAATCCTAAGTAAAGAATCAGAAAAAAAATCTCTGGCCTTTTGCAAAAATGTTATGGCTCTAAAATCCAGTATTATAACTTGTGCTATAATCCCCTGTGCTTTAAACATAGTTTGCTTCCTGTGCCCTGTTTAAATTGTGTTTCTACAGTGACAACAAAGGATCTGAGAAAAGGATTAACCTGATTATTGAGATATCAGCCTCAGTCACCCTCTGTTCAGCAGTTATCATGCAGAAATTTCCTTCACTGACTCTCCCCATGCGTGTTGCTACACTAGCTCATAAGCATTACTCACTTAATTTTCTCTTTGTTTTCTTTCTTTTGCAGCGTCTTATCTGTCTGTGTACTCACCTCTACACAGTGATCACAGACACTGCAGTGCGAACAGCGTGGAGGTCTGTAGAAATGGCACGATGCACACCATTTCATCCTAACCTGGACACCCTTCACATCCACATTCTTGTACAGCGGCGCGCGGAACTCGTCGTCCTTGTCTTCATCCTCACTGGCTGAAAAACCCACACAGGCGTCTTCTGAAGTAATGCTCACTAGTGAAAGAAAATTCTGTTTCCTGCTTAAATCATTACATGACTTTGCTCACTAACCCATCGGGAGAACACCAGCATCCATAAAGGTTGCCATGGTGAAATTGGCAAGCACGAAAAGGAAAAGGATGGCACAGCATAGTGGCACAGCAGGGCAGATGGTCACAGCCAGCCACGGGCATCTGAATAAACACATGCAGGGGAAGAAATTAGGAAAGACTCTATCCTAAGACAATTTTTGTCATGAAAAGAGAGTTTTTAAAGGTTAACACTTACTCACTTAATCAAGGCTGCAGTAAAAACTATAAGGGATCATCTACATCCTATTTATTTCAAGGGAAAGAGCGGATCACAAAAGTAATTGTTTCCAGTAAGAGATAAGCATGTATTGGTGTGTGTACATCGGTACCAACAACATAAGATTAAAAGAAGGCCTGCTGATCCTCTTCTTACACCCTGCAGCGGAGCAAAGTCTCTCATTGTCTTTGTGTTAAACAACGGTAGGTGAAAGATCATCACCAAAGATTCACCGCCTGTCAATATGCTGATTGGTTCTAATCAAATGGAATTGGACGTGACAGTTGTAAAGTGATAGTAAATACTGAAACTCAGTCATTAGTTTCTGCTTGATGATTTCAAACAGTTTGTCTGCTTGGCAGAACCGTACAGATTTGCGTGAATATAGAACATAAAAATGCACAAGAAATCAATGCATTTGAAAACATAGTCTTCTGTATTGCAGTATTCATGTAACATGGGCAGTATATTAGCTTTGTAATGCACGAGCAAAAAGAATTTTGCAACAGTTGTGAGTCTGGTTGATGATGACGGTAGCAATAACTTAAATAACAACATCTTCCATGCAAGCATATCTGTTTCGAAAGTAGCCCTGCCAAAAGGCCCCTAATAAAGCCCTGATTACATAGAAATTGTAGATGTGAATAGAATTTCTTACTCCTAATGTTCGCCATATTCTGACGAAACCCTTCCTAGCTTTACTCCTAAAAACCCATCCTTACTTAAAGCTGCTCTGATAACTTACCGTGTCACTGACCTGTATCAACACAGTGCTGACCGACTTAACCTACTTATTTATAAGACGCTCCTCCTTTCCAGACACTGTAGATATTCGTTTTTTCAGCCTTTTAATCTCTGACAAACTGAAGTGTGCTGCTAACAATACAGAATAAATAGCATGATCTTAGAAACATAAAATTTCTCACTTTCAAAATTTTGTAATAGTTTGTCCGATTATTTTCAGTCATGTAAAAGACATGCATGTCTTCAGAGAGACAGATCGGTCTATAATTTGCAGCTGAATCATCAACAAAGTTTTTAAGTTTTTTCTTCCAAATCTCCAGGTCAGGTTTGGGTGGTCATTCTAAACTACCGCAGGGTAACATCTGTAGTCCAGTCTTGTTTCTATGTGTTCTCCCTGTGGCTGGCCGGTGGCCTGTCCAGCATGTTCCTAGCCCCGCCCCACGAACCTGCACCTGGCACAGAACATGGATGGATAGTCTTTTATCTGACTATGCCATCACGGCCTTGGCTGTAAAAAAACATCTCACTTTGTGAAGGCATGTACTCGATATATATACGTGTGTGTGCATGTGTGTGTGTGTTCTGAATTGTACGTGTGAATCGCGAATGGGTGAGATTAAAAGGAGGGGCCGTGTAATCAGGTTACAGTTGTAGACAGAGAGGAAAAGAATCACGGGATTATCAACAGTGTCTATTTAACCTATATACGGCGTGAAACTTCTGTGAGCGGCACTGGGTAAAGGGCTGGGTAGAGAGCTGTGCAGCCTCCAAGGCTACAGAGAAACAGAAAGACATATATCACTTTCCTTACAGTTTCCTCACTAACTGTCCACACGTGGGCAAACGAATGAAAAGGCTGACTGAAAGGGAAAATACAAACAACATTGTTTGCCTCATTTTTGCACTTCATCCCACTTCAGCATCAATCCCCAAACCCCGGGGCAGGTTTTAGACGATGGGGGGGAGGGGTCCCTCTATAGAGGAATGCCTGCTGATGCCATGCCAGCTGCAAACCCAGTAATCCCTAGATTATGAACTTTGGATTACAGACCATTTCTGCCAGTACCGTGCATTGTGAATTCTTCCCATCAGATGCTAAACACAAAGACAGCGGAGTCAAGGCTTACCATATATTACATTGTGGGTTACTATATATACCGTCAATTCACTCTGGGCTCTCTTCAGCTGCAGACAGCTCTCTGAGTCCACCAGGACACACTGCAAAGTCTGCAATCATTTATTTGTAGATTTTAAGAAGTTTACCATATCAAAATATGTCAGCCTTGCGTGATTCCTCCGCCAGGCCTCAATTCTGCTGTTCAGGATTTGTGTCCAAGCTCCTCTTACCACCTGTGTTCATGTTTGACATGTACTTAAACTTTCATAGCCGATCAGTTACAGTAAGCTGTGCGATTGAAACCGGTTTCAACAACACTCGAGCGAGCCTTCACTTTCAATTCTTGAAATTAAAAATAAAGCACTGAGTAATAATTTCTCTTTATGAATCTGGAAATAGGTGTGGACCAGATTACAGAGTAGCTGTTTCCGCTTGGTCGACGGGCCTCCATCATTGGTCTGAGACCATCTGGACGGCAGAGAGGGAGACAGTTCATTACGCTGCAAGACAAGCCCCACCTAATGAAACAGCGAGGGCAGGGCTCTAATAAATCACACTGAACAGTAAGCTGCTCTGCAATCTGCACACTGTCCTCATCCCCACAGTGGGTCAGTGGCACAGCAGACTTCACACCGAGCAGCCAGTTAAGCTGAAAGTTCAGGTCTGAAATGCTGAAAAAACTTTCAGATGCATTAGTGACGCCACAATCACTTAAACTCACAGATTCCAAGCGACATAGCTGCCGAAAACAATAGTTAGAAAACGTCATTTTATGCTCTCGCTGTTGGCGTTTCAACCTTTCCTTAGATGATTTGTGTCATCCATGTTTCCCGTCTCCTTTTCTAAATGTGTGTCATCTAATTAGGACAAAGGTGGTTAGGAAGAAAGAAGGCATGAATAAAATGGGTTATTCAGTGGATTTTGCTCTGATGCATCAAAATCAAATCAGTAAAATGTTAAAGAAATTTAAAAGAAATTTCAGTCCTTCGTTTAGAAACTACAGAAGACAAATTAAGATAAAACAAATGATTTAATGATAAAATGAAGCCTTGCTCATTTCAATCCACTCAGGGGTTTTACTACCTTACATGGCCCGTTATGACCATTAGCTAATGGAGATTAACATTAGCTAATGTTGGCCAGCTTTACACATATAATACAGTCTAACAGGCACAACTTAGAACCGCAATATTGTTAACCTGATGTACTATAATATTGCCATTTTGCATAATAGAATTTCTCTTTTTACATGACCTAAAGTACCTTTGGGGCACACTAATTCACCAGCAATCTATTGTGTGCCTTTTATGAACAATAAAAGTGTCTATTGTTATAAAATAAAGACCGCTTTTTTTCATAGAAGCAAACGCATCACGATACACGGGGGGAATTTTCCTCTTTTTACAACTCCATGTCCTGCCATGGGGCTTCCAAATGCACCACACCTTAATGGCTCCCAAAACACAAGTTCACGGCCAGAGCAACAAAAGCAGGAAACCGCCAACTGATTAATATTATCAGGCAAAGGAAGACAAAAGCGCCCCCACTAATCTGAAGGTTGCTCTCTGTGTCCCGCACCTGCAGCAGAAACTGACTCGCGCTTTCATGTTCTACGCTACCAACGTGCCCCTAAAACTGCTGACACTGATCATTATAGGAATATTACCAAAAGAGAGGAACGACGGCTTTATGTATGTAACATCCCTGCAGGGTTTTTTTCCCCCCTCTGAAAGGGATTCAAATACACTGTGTGACTATCATTAATATTCACGTAGCGCTGAGCAGGAATATACTGCAAGGAGGCAGGACTTTAGCTGCACGTATGTTCAATATGCACAGCAACACTGATGAGGACTTGTTGGTAACGTGGCAGAGGGAAGACAACATGGGGCCGCACGGCGTATGGCACCAGCTCATCAACTCATGAAGGGGGGTTTAGTTGCTGCTAAGGCTTTTGAGGTACAAAATATCAAACGAGCCATACATACTAAGTCGAACTTGGTCAGAGAGACTCAACCAATTCACCTCAGCAAGCAAATATTTCTGGTGAAAGCCAATATAACAGATAATCCAGGACCAGACTGGAGGAGCAAAGATCAGAGTCAGTAAAGTACTAATTTAAAGGAAGGTATTAAAGACTGCAGCTGCAGGCATACTGGATCGAAAGATCAATGTAAGGTCACAAGGATACAAGGAAATTCACAGACGGATCCGGCCATTTAAGATCTGTTCTGCAGGAAAGATTCTAAAAGCCATGTCCTAAAGTCATCTTAGCTAAGATGCAAACCTCGTCCCCGGAGGAGCAGAATCATCACTTGTTCACTTAATCATCTGAAGCGTCCTGGTTTTTGCTGGTTTAGCACTGCAGCCCCAGTTAAGTAGTTGCTATTCAATCCCTCACGTCAGCAGCGTGTTTTTGTCTCCCCTCTCAGTAAAGATGGAGTTCATCTGGAGAGATTCTCATAATTTTCTGGCCCGAAGTGTCTGTCTCTATTTCCCCAAAGTCTCCCAAAAGTCTCGGGCCTGCAGCTTTAAGACACCGATCAGCTCGTCACTGTGACATATTTTTTGTATTCTCTCATGGAAACTGCTATTCAGTTTAAGGCGCCCGAATGGAGCTTTAATCTAAAAATAAATCATGTCCTCATGAGATATTTAATGAAACAAAGCAAGTATAGATCTGTGTTACATGGCTGTGGTATACCTCCAAACAGCTGAAAATAAAAGTCAAACACTACAGAGTTTATCTCTCCAGACGGGGGATCACACTGCATCAGCCCGAGGATCTTAATCCACATCCCCTCAATCTGGTGTCAGATTCCTATGGAAAGACTGCGCGGCTGGAGAACGCAGGAGAAACTAGGACAGATGCAGCTGCAGAGGTCGAGGATCAGAGGACTGGCATAGAAATGATGGGGTGGGAGCCGTCAGTCAGTCGGTCAATAGTTATTCATATACATAAAAGGCTTAAAATGCTGCACAGCTATGTCAGACGAACCCAGAATGATCACTTCAATTGGACTCTCAGGCATTACTGGATATATAATATGATTATTATAGTTAATCTTTTTCTCGTGCATGTCAATTTTCACTTGAGTGGGGTCTTTTTAACTGCACAAATAGGCCAAAACAGGAAGGTCCCAATTCCTCCCATTCACAAATGTGAAACTTCATAATGGAGCTTTTGGAAGCCAGTGTATTTATTCCATTGACATGTTATATTTACCGTGGTGGCACGCATCTACATGTTGATACTGGGTGGCTTAACCCCTCAACTGTGCTTACTCTAAGTCCTCGGGGTGCAGCGGGCAGCCACCCAAACCAGCCCAAACTGCAAGCCAACCAGGACAGATGTTTGCCGCTGCCGAAGGCTGTGCCAACAGGGCCAAAATTCACTGAGAAAGCTCTTTTTTAGAACAGCTTTTTTTACGTCGTCTGCAACTTTTTCCAGAGAGATTTTGCAAGACGCTTTTAAAATACGTGTGCAGAACGCTTCATTTCAGTTCCATTAAGCAGATTTCTACATGTGCATGTAGATTAGATATCATTTCTTTTTATCTTTTTTATGCCACAACGCACAGTCGTTTGGGACTGTGTTTGGGACGCGCAAATGAGCAGACAGAAAAAATAAAAAAATACGCACGTTAACGCGTGTCCCCACTTTTCCACGGCCACGGTCAGAACTTACGTGAAGACGAAGAACAGGGAGGTGGAGCCCACCAGGAGGCAGGCGGCCGTGCACACCGGCACGAAGGCGCTGGCTCTCAGCGAGTCTGCGCCGCTGGCCGGCATCCTGTCCGCGCATCAGAGTCCCCCACCGCCCACAGCCACGGCCAGGAACGTCGGAAGAAGCCCCTTCATGAGCTGCAGACTGCAAAAGGGGGCGGAGGGGGGGGGGGGGGGGGGAAAAAGAAAAAAAAACAGGGGGGAGGAGGGAGAAGAGGAGCGCGTCCCTCTCCGGCAGGCAGCAGCGCGCAGCGTCTCCTCCGTCCCAAACGCGCTGCCTCCACCAGTGACGTGAGCCGCTACCACACCGACTGAGACCTCCTCCCGTGACCTGCCGGCTGTCCGAGCCGCTGGAGTTCTTAATAATGGAAACCCCCCCTCATTACGACGAGCCCCCAAATGTATTCGATCAGAGATTCTTGGACGTTTTTTTTATTAGTAAGCCTTTGATGCCCCATTGCGACTTGCAGGAAGAAGAAAAGATACATTTAGAGAATTAGTTTTAGGCTATCAGACCACTCGTGTGGTTGTTTAAAGAGGTGGTTTATGGATTACCCTGAAATGATCACATTTAAAAGAAAGTCAAAAATAAAGGGGAGAGAAAGGCGAAGAGCTTGATATGACCAAATCACTTAGGGAAGTTTAAAGGGGATTTCTATGATCTCAAGAGCATATCAGTGCCCACTGTTCTCAATTACACCTGATATCAAGTAACATTTCATTGAAAAAAGCAGAAACAAAAGTGACAAAAGATTTCAAGGTGAACAATAAGACACATTTAAGCACAGATGTGGTACATCTGGTGAGGTGGGACACCGCCTGGGAGAGCATGTCATGAGAAAGCTCTCCTCCCTTATTCATGGATCATCATGACGAAGGTTCAATGAGAGAAAACGGCTCCACAATTGGGCAGGACTTCGAGTCCTTCTCTATAAAAGACAGAGACCAAAGCATCCTTTGGACATTACGAACCCCTGTGAGGTCTCTTTAATCGGGATACGGCTGTGGCTTGACTGTGAAGCAATGGACGTAGAAGAGTTGATTGAATCCATCATCCGAGCGATCATGTTTATAGCAGGAATAATTGGAAACAACTGGCTGGCTTTGGTCTCTATGCCCAGGCAGAAATCTGCCATTCGCACCAATGAAATCCTCTTCATCAACTTGGCCATCTCCAACCTCATCACCAACTACCTGGTGGACCTGCCAGACACCATGGCAGACTTCGCCGGCCGCTGGTTCCTGGGAGAAACCTTCTGTGGCATATTTCGCTTCTGCGCTGACCTCTCTGAAACCAGCAGCATCTTCACCACCCTCTTCATCAGTGCTTACTGGCACCAGAAGCTGGTGGGTTCCCTGAAACGGGGAGGGGCCCCGGTCAGGCTGGACAGCCTGGGGCTTGTGGGCTGCCTGCTGGCTGGGAGCTGGACGGTGGCCGTGGTGTTCAGCGTCCCACACTTTGCCTTTGTGTCAGTGGTGGGGAAGAACGAGAGCCATGAAGATTGTATAGACGTATTCCCAAATGCCGTTGCCAGGCAGACCTATGAGATCATTTATCTCACCGTGGCCAATGCTTTTCCTGTTGCCGGAATCGTGTTCGCAAGTGTCCAGATTGTTTTCACTTTGCTCCAGAATCAAAAACGCATTGGAAGCCATTGCTCCGATCCCAGCAAAGCTATGGTTAAAAAAGAGAACGACAGAGACATTAACAGCGGGTCAGTCTGTAGTGTTTCCCATCCAGGCACCTCCAGGGACCCCAAAGTTTCTGCCTCCTCGACTCCAAGCGAGGCGCCGGCAGGCGAGGGCCATCAGGCCTCTTCCCTAAAAAGAGAGAACGACAGCAGAGTTTCAGCTCAGTCCAACACTCCAAAGCCCGTCCAGACGGCCCTGAAGGGCGGCTCCGGCTCCGGCACTCAGGAGAGAGCGGCGAAGAGCGTGGTGGCCGTGGCCACGGTGGTCCTGGTGTGCTGGCTGACTCATCTGCTCCTGCGCATCACCAGCAACATCCAGACTTCCTCAATCGTGGTGGAAGTGGCCAGCTACATCGCGGCCTCCTACACCTGCATCATCCCCTACATATTCCTGCACGGAGTGAAGAAACTCTCCTGCTCATGTAAGAGACAGAAGTAAAAAAACGAATGTAAATTTAGGACATTTGGCTCTGACCGTCACTGGACCGTTCGTCTACGAAGCCTTTGACTGATCCTTAAGATTCCAGTGTTTCCTTCTCCCTGCTGTACCTTTCATTGAGCTGTTTAACGTCTGCTAATTGCTACAGTAGTTCTGCTTTATTGCACCCCTAAAAGCTGACAGTGTGTAACAGTTTAGCGAGTGTTGAACAGCACTCATTATGGGAATTTTTATGGCACTGCATATTCACACTTTTTATGTATTCTGACAAGAACTGAGCCCAGATCGTCTGCAGGAAACTAAATGCAGGCTGAGAGTTGTACGTTTAACACCAGGCTGGCAGCAAGCTGCCTGATGCACTGACTGTGGAGTGATTTCAAAGCTGTGCTGAAGCTTATCAGGCGGCGTTGCTCTTCTTCAGGTGTTAACTCCATTCTCTATGAGAAACCCTGCAATAAATGGAATCAGTCAAACAGAAAAAGGCCAGTCCACAAAAGGGATGAAGTGCCACTGTTTCTACACCCAAAACTACCAGGCTGAAATATTTAGCTTCTTCAGGCAGTTTGTTGCTAGCTGTTGCAAATATATATTATTTATACCAATTTCATTAGTTGTTCTTTAGTAGAAATAACAATAAATGCAGTTCAAAATACACGTTTACAGGAATTATATCCCAATTGTAAAGGATGTTAATGTCCCAAAAAGGTGATTTCCAAAAGAGCTATTGGCCGAAATGAGGTGTATCTCAGAAAAGTGCACACTATCAGGCCTAATGGAAAAAAAGAGGCTCTCGCTCTGTTAAAGAGTATTTGAAGGTGACACCCTTAAAAAGTAAAACTGAAGAAGCTGATCTAACTCCCGGCTGCGGAGGCCTCATCAGAGACGCTCTCTGTGGTAAAGTGGCTGTCAAAAAGCCATTCTTAAGGAAACAGGAAGAAAAAGCTTAGTTGTGACAAGAACTGGACTAAGAATAAAACCGGTGATGGATCCTCTTAAAAGCCCAGACCTCAACATTTTTTTAAGCAGCGTGAGATCATCCTAACAAAGGAAAGAATGAAAGTCAGCCAATATCCAAAGTATAGCCTCAGTATATCCTTTAAGATGTCTGGAAAACTATTCCTGAAACCTACTTAAAGAAATGGCAAGAAAGCTTGTCTAAGAGGGTTCGTTTATGACACATCTTATATTAAAAAAGATAAAGTGCTTAAGACTTTCACACACTGCTGTGAAGCATGAGGTGCTCTTAAAGCTTTGTTTTCTCTCCATTTGTGTTGTTTTTTGCTTTCCAGCAGTGAAGAAATGGACAATAATTCAATTTAAATTAAATGAATGGATTTGATCAATTGATTCCAAATGCAGAATTTTGCTGCTTTTAATATCATTATTGAAACACCATGCCTGGTATGAGAATAAAGTTTGAAAATAATCCAAAACATCCTGAATATTAATATGTGAACTGGCCTGACTTTACAAAGTCCCTACTCACACTAGTTTTATAGATGCTACACCCAGAAAATGATGTACGGATCACCTCACATAGACTTGCGCTTGCTGATTACCTTAATCACTGGAAAAAAGATAAATGCACCATTAAATAGATTTTTTTTCCCTTCATGGGATCAAAATGAAACATAATGATGCACTACAGCCCAAAGCCAACTAGAGACCGTCAGCAATTAGCACCTTGTTAGTCAGCAGAGTAACAGGCCCTGAGTGCTGGTTTAGATTAAAGATAATTACACGAACCGTCACATCATCAACAGCAATTTGATGCTCCTTTCTCCTGATAATTACTTGTACACATTTTACACATGGCTGTAATTCATTCAAAATTGTGAGAATATTCATACAAAAACCACAAAACATGTTTTTTTTCGGTAAAAATGTTTTAATGTTTTCCTCAAACGAGGGCCAGAAGGTTCAGTGGAGGGTAAAAACGTATTCTGCATTCAAAAGGGTCACAAAATCTCTCATACATAACGGCACTGCTTTCCAGTCCAAGAAGGCAATATGCTCACTGTAAATAATGCACACCAGTGTGTGACGAGCTTTGGCAGAGAAGATGACATTATGGCCAAGTTCTGTACATAATTACAACATACAACGCTTCACTCTTCACAGGCAGAAGTTGAAAGAAAAAAAAAAGGTGTTCAGAAACAGGCAAAATCAGGTTTATTTTTTTAACTATGGTGAAAACATTGTCCAAATTTCGGCCATTTCAATATATGCAAATTCACACATAAAATCCATCTGTTTCATGGTTTTTCTGCTCTTTTTGAGATTAACAAAGGTAGATCCACGTGTTGCCATTTTTTCTATTTCCAACAGCTTTATGCACACAATGCAATGTTTTTCTTTCAAAGTTCTGTGTAAGCAAAACACACCCTATCAAATAAGTTATGAAGCCTTGCTTCTTTCTTCCTAACTTTTCCCAGGGAACTTTTTTTCGAGCTCCCTCTGGAGCCAGGTGGACTGAAAGAGGCTAACTGTACTACTAAATACAAACACAATCAAGTTGTGCTTGCTGTTGTACTTTTAATCAGGCGTTTCCATAAAGCCAGCGGTGTGTGATCCAGAGCCGATCTGGCACCTGTGGCGACGCTTTGAGGGGAACCTTCAGCGTCAGTGGAGTTTCTCCAGTTTCGCTTGTAGTGACTTGAAGTTTCCGATTGTTTGTTGAAGGGCCGAGTTTGGGCTCAGAGACTGCAGTTCCACCAGGTATCCGCAGATGTTGTCGAGGCAGACGTTGGTGAATCGGCGCCTGAAAAAAAGTGGAAAACATTCAAACTCGGTCAGGCTGCAGGATGTGAAACTGTGTTTCTCTTATTTTTTTCGCAAAAAAAAAACACTGCCAGCATTTCAGTCAAAAGAAAGAGCAGAGACTGAGGGCAGAGTGTTAAAAGTTTACAAGTCAGCAGCTGAAGCGACGGTAACTACCTGTCGTAGGTTGGTACTCTGCTGGGGTCATCCACATATCCCGAGAGAAGCACGTGGATACACTCCACCAGGTGTAGAGGCTTCCTCAGCCGCTGCCAGCAGGGATCCTAAAACAAATAAATAAAAACAGTGAAGCGACATAATCCTCAGAGAAATGTGGAACGAGGGTGAGGAACAACGTCTGAGAGTGAAGTGCGTACCCGAGTTTTAAAGAGCTGGTCGTAAACCTCCAGCAGACGCGGCATCTGGACTCCAATCTCCTGCATGGTGGAGGTGACGAACCCCACATCCCAGTTCAGCCGGCAAACTTCCTGTTCCAGGAACTTTACCAGGAACTCTACAATCACAGGACAAATCTGGGTTACCTCTCAGCGCAACAGAGTATATGAGAGTAGCACTGATGTAAAGAAAAATCGGGGAGGGAAAAAAAAGGTCCCTACAAACACGACAGGTTTAAACACGCTGGGCGGAAATGAAGAGCTCCAGCATGAGCAAACAGAGCTGCACCCCAGAGGCATCCCGACATAAATGATGCAGAAGGGAAGGCTAATTATCCCACTGTTCATTAAGCTGTCAGCACCATGCACGGAAATTCTAACCAGACTAAACGGAATACACTTAAGAGCCTACCCAGAGGGAAATATCTCGGTGTGCCAGCGTATATCTTCCCCAGTGACACCAGTTTAAGATTGAGGGCCCTCATCCTGTCAGCTGGACTCATGGCCGCACTGTCTCCCATCTCTGGAACACAAACACATTAGCGAGTGCCGAGTTGTGCAGGATGCAGATGCTGCAGATGTTCTTTTCCCACCTTTCTCTAAAATTTCCTGCCACAGTGAGTGCACCAGGATTGGGTCTGAGTGTCCGGCGCAGTGAATGATCGCCAGCTTGCACTCAGACAATTTGAAATGGTCAGCAAACTCTCCGTAGAGCTGCCCGGCAAAAAAGAGAGTTGGAAAAAAATAGATAAATCAATAAACACGTTTTTCACAGTGAAAATAAAAACACTGAACCTGACAGCGGGTTGGTGTTGCGGGTTACCTTTGTGATGTCCATGAGTTCAGAGTCCAGCTGGGAGATGGCATTTTTCACCGAGGGGTGATGGGAGTACTGTCTCATCAGGGTTTCCTGGATCTGCACCTGGATGCGCACAAGCTAGAAGAGAGGGGAAGCGCACATTCAGGAACCGAGGGGCTGCTGTAATTCACAAGATTCCCCCGGTCATCGCTGGAACCAAAGTACCTCCATCTTTTCTTCCAGCTCGTGCAGAAACTCTCCGTCAGAGGCCTGAGCGGAGATGCAGGAGGAGCTCTTTGCAGACAGGATGGCTCGGGCGATGTACTCCAAACGCTGCTGTAGAGAGATCTCCGTGCTGCACACCGAAAAGTAAATGGGTATTTTAAAAAACGGCTCGGCGAAAAACTTCGTTCAGGATTTGTACGGTGCATGGGCGTATTCAAACCTGTGCATGTCAGCGAGCCGGGCCAGGACGTGAGCCGCTTTCCCGAAGTTGCGATTCCTCTCGTAGTAGCGCCACAGCAGGTCCATGTTATGAACCTTACTCTGATCCTGTTTGATCATGTGCATCAGGTGCTCCTCCAAGTACGGAGAGTTCACCTGGAGAGAACCAAAGAGAGAAGGAATCAGACAGATGAAGTGCACGCGCGTGTGTTGCTTCATGAAAATATCATGAAAGAGGTTAAAAGTGAATTTCGCTGTCCCTTTATAAATAGCAGAAATCCCATTTGTATCATTAATTAATTATATTCCCTTTGCAAGGCCAGGTCACTTAGATGAACATTTGCATTGCATGTAGGAGCAGAGCAGTACCTCCAGCAGCTTGTCGGTCAGGTCGGCCTGGATCAGCCAGTTGTACAGAGCGATGTGAAACAGCTCGTCCTGGGACCTCTGAGCCAGACCAAGCATCTGCTCAAACTACAGGGGAAAATGACCGGCTTTTCATTACAAATTCAGATCACGCAAAGTAGTTTGACGAAAAAAATCCACCGCTGTCTCTCTATTTTTTTGTTCTACTCACATGAGCAGTGGCTTCTTCATTGCTGAGCATGTTTGGGTCAGAGGTCATGACAGGGGGCCCAGGCTGCTTGGGTACACTGGGGGACTGGGGGGCTGCTTTGCTCTGGTTCACAAGCTCCTGCATGGTGTCTGTGATGCACTTGTAACACGACAGTCTGGCAAAAAGGACAAAGGGATTATATGTTTCTGCTTCCAGCTCTCCCTCTAGCTGACATTTGTTGCTCCTTGCTGCGTTTACCTTTCCTGGAAGGCTTGCTGTCCCACCCTGTCCTCCTCTGGCTCTCCATTCTTGTAGAAGTGGGGCCCAAGTCTCTGTGGATCCTTTTTGTCTGCTGCTGTGAGGCACAGCTCAAGGACTCCCTCGTAGAAACGCACTGAGAAATGTAACCGCATTAGGCGGCGTGCCAACAACACAAACTGAGGCGCCGTGGTGCGTGCTCCTACCTTGCCTGTACTGAGAGCAAACGAGTGGCAGGTCTGTGTGCTGGCTGATCTGCTGGTAGAGCCGTAGAGACTCCCTCAGAGTCCTCTCTTTATCTGCTTTGCTCTGGATCTGCTTAGAGCTCTGCAGCAGCTCATTAGCCTGAGTGTAGGACCAAAGCAAATCAATGCTGCTGGATCAATAACATTTTTAGCACGTGGCCCTAATTTTTCATGACTGGGAGACACAGAGATGTCAATAAAACAGAAGTGTGAGGAGCCGAAGCAGTGATAAATCTTACTGTGCGCGCAGCAGATTATCAAAACTCTACACCCGCTCGTACCTTGGAGCAAACGCTGTCGTCGCTGCTGTACAGCAGGGGGCAAAGGTCACGCAGATGATTGCTGATGGCATCCACTGAGGCACTATCTTTGATGTAGACATTAATGAGGCCGGTGACCAGGGCTCCAGACAACTCCCTGCAATGGATCACTACGTCCTTAAAGCTGGCCCCCTTCATCTGCTCTTGAAAATCCTACAGAAAAAAAAAGAAAAAGAAAAAAAGAAAGCACAATGAGAGGCGAGCTGGCATAGAATAATTACAATGAATGCATTACTGCACGAGCATCTGTGAGAAACACAGAAGTATTTGTGCCCACAAGTACCTTTGGCAGCTCAGACATAATGAGGCTGAACTGATGATCACAGAGGAGCTTCCAGAGAGTCAGAGTCTGATAGGAGCGATGCACCAACTGCTGGATGCCCTGCAGGGACGCTTTCTCATAAACCTGAGCCTTGGCTGGATTTAGAGATGGAGACAAAAGAGAGATTGATTTAACAGAAATGTTAATTAACAAAAGGCATTAGGGTTCAGTGGAGAGTTTCAAACATCAAAGAATTTCAAATTTCCCTTTTTGCCAGTGTGAAAAAAGCTCAATGTATTGTGTACTTTTTATAAAACGCAGCGGAAAAAATGCGGAAACTCACTGTGATACTTCCTCTGCAGCTCCTGCTGGACCTGCTGCGAACTGGATCCATCAGGACGCATAAATCCCAGCAGCCTCTGTGGCACGTTGGCAGGGGAGGTGAAGCTAACAGGGGATAAAAAGGTTTAGCTGGGTTGTTTTTTTGCCATCTGTTTTTAATTATTTTTTTTTTAAGTAATCAGAGAAAATTAAGTCCACCTACATCATCAGACTAAAATATGTTTAAGAAAATTGTCTTAAATGATAGTTCAATGTAGTTGACCTGACTAAAAGATGAGAGAAAATTACAATCACTGATGTGACAGCAGAGTTTTTTTGCAAAACTGATTTGCCGTGCTGAGGAAGTCTTACCTTGCCGCACCAAGAGAGGAAGGACTCAGCTGAGAGTTTTTATCGAGAAACTCCTGCAAACCAGCGAGCTCTAGGAGGACCGACTCCAGCTCAGACGAACTGACACTGCTCTCCAACTGAGAGGACAGCCGGCAACAACAAGCGTTAACGTCTCAATCGAGCATTTTTTAACAGTTTAACAGGTAAATGTGTTTGATACTTACAATGCTGAGAGTCTGGTTTCCATTGCTCATTGTTTTCTCAACTGCAAGGCTCCCATCCCAAATATTTCTGTTTTCAGCAGAGAGCGAGAGAGGGAGAAAGTTAGAGGACCTCATCACCAAACATCCAGTATCCAGAACCTCCGAACCAGAAAAAATGTGTTTAGCTACCCGAGAATGCGTGCAAAGTAGACGCAGATGCCGTCGTGCTTTCCTGAGAAAATCACTTCTGGGCCGGCCGACATGGGAGTTATGGGGGCAGATCCAGAGTGCATCTGTGCAAAGGGGGTGGCCAGTGCAGGGGGTACAACACCTGAGGGAGAGAATAAAACAAAGGACAAAATCGGTCACTTATCAAATATTAGATATCAAAATATGTTTTCTATGCCTTATTGATTCTGCATATTTCAAACGTGTATAAAGAATGACCCCCCTACCCACCTGGGGCAGGAGAGCTCATCACAGGTCCAACGGTGCTTGGGTTTGCCATTGCTGCAGGAAATCTCATCTGTGCTTCTCCTCCATATCTGAATCCAACAAAAGAGAAGGAAACGCCTTTAGTTTGAGCCCACTGTGAATCAGTGGGAATTTGGACCTGGAAGCACCATCCTCTGACCTGAAGAAGGCTCTGGTGGCCCACTGCGAGACCTCTCGGTCGGAAGCAGAACTGGAGCAGGCCAGGATCAGAGCGGTGGCGCAGGCCTGCTCTTCCTGGACAGAAAAGATCACGCTTTGTGGTGAATACATGAGAGACGAGCAGGCTGTTTGGTTTAAAAAAGAAAAAACAACAAACGCCCAAATGACTGTCTAGCACTGTACCCTGTGCAGCTTGAAGAAGCGTTCGATCTCGTCACTTTCTCCTCCGGCGCAGCTCACGAGGAGGTGGCGAAGCTGGTCCACTGGCCTCAGTTTTTGGAAGATATAACTCCCCTTCAGGACAACAGAGGGTTGAAGACTCAGTTAAAGATACCGTAAAAAAATGGTACTCTCTGTGTGTGAAATGTGAGGAATGGTGACTGGGTTTTTAACCTTTGCTGAGAGAAGGACGAACTTCTGAGGGGGGATATTGTGCTGCTGGACCACCATCGGCGAGTCAGTGATGGGGATTAGGTCTTTGTTCAGGGGAGTAAAAATCTTAGGCGGCCTCTCTTCAGTAATGGAACAGAGAGCCCAAGAGTGTCCATCGACATTAGACATCATCTGCAAAGCACAACATAGAAAAGAAGGTCATGGTTCCCTGGAATATGATGTCAGCCTTTCAGAGAGTGACATTTTTAATTCATATACACAAACCTGTGTCTCCATTAAAGGTTTTTTGAAAGGAAAGGAGTCATGATTAATACACCAGAGGACGTCGCTGTCTTCAGTCTCAGAGGCAGCCATTAGCAGAACACCTGTAAGAGTCAAATTTGTTAAATAATCAAATGTTACTGTACAGAAGGCACAGCTGAAACAGCAGGAATTGAAAGAGATGAATTGGGGACCGGTTTGAACTTTCACCTTTGCTGTGTAGAGCCTTATGCACCTTTGACGGTTTCTGCAGGGTGGAAGAGGCAGAAAACCCCGGTGGCAAACGCACGTGGACCAGAGCCAGCAGGCTGGGCCGGACCGGAAGGTGTTTCTGGTGCTGCAGGGCAAAAGGAGTGGTGCTGAAGTACAGCCGCACGCCTGCAAGGGCAGAGAACTGGTGAGGAGTGGGCAAATGTTATGAGCCAAGAGCACGTCGCCGCAACGCTTCTGAACACTTCACCTGCGTGAGTGACAGCGAGCAGGTGGCAATCTGAGGACTCGGATCTGTCAACCACAGAGATCTGCACAATCGGTTTGAAGACGGAACGATCGATCGTCCTGAAAGGGGTATTAAAAACAAGACAAATATCTCACTGTCAAGTCAGGGCAGGATATGTCACACCAAAGAAAAAACAACTACAACATACCTGGCAATGTTTCCAGCAGCCGCAACTATGGAGCTCAGGGACATTGTTGCTACGCGACTCATCCCCTGACCATCAGCACCCAGGTCGTACACCTGAAAAGCAAAGCAGGAGATAAGGAAACATTCCAACTCACTGCCAGTCAAACCAATTACTTTCTTTCCGATAAGAAAACTCCATTGTGAAACATTCTGATAGCTGTGAGATGTCATACCTGCAGGACGCCTTTCTCAGAGCGCGTGTAGAGAATGTTACGAGAATTATCAACAGCTATTTGAACAATAGGATCTGTGGAGCAGAGAGGAAACTGTGTTCAGCGGGGAGGGGGGGGCACGTCTCACTCCACATGAAAGCATCAGCTCTCGCCTCACCGTCCTCGGAGAAAGAGAACTGGAGCACAGACGGGATGAGGAAGGACAGGGAGCTTTTGGAGTGGTTGATTTTGCGGCACCGCTGGCTGAGCCAGCCGGCCTCAGCCTGGTAGGCGATCTCATAGAGGCAGCCGTCCTTTCCGGCCATGAAGATGCGCCCCAGGTCGGTGGAGGTGATGGACAGGATGTAGGTGTTGTCCGTGGGGATGGAAAACAGGGGGTCAGGCAGAAGCTGCATCCCACCGGACATGCTGTCATTCAGCCCTAAAAAAAGAGACATTAAACAGTTAAACAGTTCCACAACCCACTCATGATTCTAAACAAATAAATGCGCCGTGCAGGTTGTCGAGGAAAAACTCACCTGCTTGGCTCTTGGGGAAACTGAGCCCCAGGATGACTACATCCACAGACGTGGCCAGCACCAACAGGTAATGAATGTGTGGCTGCAATATCCCTGAAAAGACAAAAACAAACATGTGGGCATTCTTCAACACAAACCAAGTGAGGAAAATAAATAGTAAAGGACCATCTGATTCATTACCTTGTTTCGGTTTAACAAGACCGACTGCCAAGATAGTTTCAATCAGGCCATCAAAGTAGGCCACGTCTCCTCTGCGAGGAACAAGGAGAAAGGGCCGTCATCAGCCACAGCTGAGCCAGTTATATGTGCACTGTAATGTTCACACTCGTCACTGCTCGGTTACGCACCCGTCTTCGTAGTTCCACATGAAGATGTCGTTGTCGATTGTGAGCCAGGCTCGAGAGATCTCAGGAAACACTCCCATCATGCAGTTAAACTGCATATCTATAACCTGGTTAAGCAGAAAGCCTCGAGTAGCAAAAGCAAAAGTCAACAACTCCCCCGCACCGCAGCCCCCTCGTTCTGTCTGGTGGAAACTTCTGGCTCTATCAGCGGCTCCTAAACGAGCGACAGGATACGGCTGAATTGCTCCACCAGCTCCGGGGGCAGAGGGACTCTGCGGACAGCGCTGAGCTCTAGCAGGTTGGGCACGCTGAGCAGACCGGGGCCCTGCAGGGGGTAGTCCATGTCCGACACGCCGGAGAGAGACGGCATGTCTGGCAAAAGAAGCACAGAACGAAAACTCAATGTGACGTTGGATTTTTGAAGAGTGTAAATTCCGAATTTTAGAGCGTGTGAAACATGAAATGGTAAAACCCACCTGACAATAAAATAATAATAAAAGTACAGCGTTAACTTAACTTAAACAAGAAGAGCCAACACTTTCAGTTAAACGGATTCAAATACATAAAACTTTAATTTAGTTGTGCATTGTATTGTGCAACTCCTAATCCAGACCAGCAAACTCTTACGATAGAATTTAAAGACTAAATGAAGTAATTGAGTTAACAGGGATTTTAATTTAAAATCACTTAATATACAGGTTAAAATACATATTTTTGGAAAAAAAAAACTAACTGGCTCAATTGTGGGTTTTAAAAGGCTGATGGTGGTAATTCAAAGAGCAGATGGCCGATATGTAAAGCCGTCAACTTGAAATAAAATGAACCTAAAAAGCATAACATTTGTTTTCAATTCTATTTCCACAGGCACACGGTTAGAAGCCTGGAATGCTCCAGAATTCTAACTCATTCATGGGACCTAATGTGACATCAATGAGAACCCCTGTACGTTCAGAGTCCAGAACCCTCAGCAGGGAGCTTCGCTCCAGCTTGTGTCACAGGTCCTGAGAGGAAGCTAGCCTTTTCCCCCCTGCTGAATGAAATGATGACTTTCGTTTGTTTCTGTCAGTTCTGTAGGACGGTGGAATCTAAAGATGAAGATGAAGTGAGTACAACCAAGCGTTTGATTCTGCACAGCGCTGTCCATGCAGCATGCCCGAATCAGCAGTGGCCGATATGCCAGACAAAAATACCGGATAAAATAATTAAGTGTACTGAATCTGTGCCGAATGAACAGCCGCACGTACTAATGTTAAAATATGTTTTATAGCACAATGCTTTAGTTCTGAGTTGTAAAAACATCTCAATACATTCTCTACCTCACATATGACTTGGTTTTAAACATACATGTTAAATAACTAACAATTGTCATTTCTTATGCACCACACACAAATTAAAATATTTTACAATCTATAGGGGTCGAGCGCATGAAGCATAGGATGGAAAATGACAAAAAGACAGATGAAGATCTCAGCATCGGTGCAAATCAGAGATGCCACTAAAAGATTGGCAGCTCCTGTCAAACCACCTCTTCCTCTTCTTCATTACAGGACACGGCACACCCTCCTGCTGATTTAAGCGGTCAGTCCGTCGTCCAGGATACACCAACGCCTCAAAAGCAGGCTCTGGCTCAGCGAGTCGAAGCGGCATGCTCCTCGGTGAAAGCGAGCGCCAAGGCCGTGCTGAGTAAGCTGGGATTCCCCGCCCGCCGCGGGTCCCCCCCCACAGCCCAGCGGCGGCCGGGGTCTGAGCCCAGGCCTGCCAGCTCGGTCAAACGGCGGAGAAACAAGCCCGTCGCACCTATTCTGCGCTTTAGAAAGATACGTAAAGCAACACAGACGACGCCGATTCCCCAGATCGGCCCCGGTCTGCACGACACGGACGCCAGGCGACCGCATCCGGGGACGGGCTGGCCCTTCAGCCCAGTGGCGAGCTCCGACGACTCCCTCAGCCTGGTGGACGCTCGCACTCCCAGTGAGCTGAGGGCCATCCCGCTCATCTGTACTCCCGATGAAGTATCACTGCCCCCCACACTCTCCACTATATATCCACCCTCGACAACCTCAGCTGCATCATCGCCCAAAAGAAGAGAATTCCATCTCCCTGTGAGGGGGGTGGGCATACGGAGAAAAGGTCAGTTCGACTGTAGAATAACTTACGAGTCTGAAAGCCCACGGTTTCAATCAACCCACTTCATGTGCTTTACCATAAGCAGGGATTGCATAAATGACCATCTATCTGGATCTTAGTTTGTGCACTCAAAGACGTGGGAGGAGGATACCAGCTGCTGACGGCTCAGCACCAGCTGAACGTGGTGCTACGAAGACTGGAGCGGCTGGACCTCAGCTCTGCAGCCTGCGTGACCCGAACCCCCCCAGCCCCGCTCAGCCCGACTCCTTCCCTGATATCAGCCACGTCCTCAGAGTCGGAGGCTCCTGAAAACTCTGCCCCGGACACAACGTCGCAGGCCGAAGACGGCAAAGACCAGAGCGGCCTGCTGCCGCCGCTTTTGCGGCCCCAAAACGGCCTCTCTGAGTCTCTCAAAGACCTCGCCTCTCTGATGTGGTAAGTCTGACACGTGGAGTAAATGCGTCTGATTTACTTCCACTTCAATTGCACTTATGGTTTGACCTAAAAGACTTTGTTTTCAACCCCGGAAATGTTTCATAGTAAATTAAATGCAACTGTGTTGGCAAATGGTGAATACAGAAGTTTCCTAACAATGTTGCTTCAATGTAGGGAGGAGAAGGTGAGAGGGCTTTCTACCATAAGGGCGCTGGCACAGCACCACCCAGAGATTCTGAAGCTTAAACTTCACAAAGTGTGCCTGGCTATAATAGATGAGGTATTTGCTCTTATTTCCCCTCACATGTATCTATCGGACACTAAACGCTATTTATTTAACAATAGAATCATTGTTGAATCAACCTTATATTGCAAAAGGTCTGAATTTTCTGGACATCTTGAATATGATGGAGTCTTTTTAAGCTCCATGTTAATGAGCAATTTTTGCTTTCTGGCACGACAGATTAAAACTACAAAAAAAACTACACACAGCATCACGAGCCCCCTTTCAAAAATAATGGAATGAGAAAAGAATAGAAATTTTCAGTGCTCTATAGGTTTTAGAAGATTCTGTTCCCACTGACAACTCTCTGGTTTCCTGCTAGTCAGGAGCGAAAGCTTTCAGCTCAGAAATTATTCTCTGAACAGACTGGTTGATAGAAATGGTCTTGTAAGGGTCCTTACAATGTTTCCCTCCATATCATTAGTTAAACAATCTCATTAATGGAATTTCCGTTTTTTTGTTTTTTGATGGGGCTGTAAGTTCTGTAACTAACCTTCATTCTTACCATCTAGATTAAAAACATGCGTTCTATGGTAGCCAGTGCAGCCATAGAAACCGTCACCTCCCTTTTTGTTAATCTGAAGAGAGACATGGACAATGAAGTGGAGGCAATGGGAAGTGCTCTGCTGGTCAGGGCTGCAAATACGTCTCAAAATGCCTCTTTGCTGGAGAGTCTTAGCATGTCCCTGAGGGCCATGGTGGAGAACTGCAGCCCGCCCCGGGTGCTAACTGTTCTGTTCAATATAGGACTCAGGTAAAGCCACTCTGAACCATCCAAATCCGTATATGAACTGTAGTAGCAGCAAAGATCTAAGGAACTGCTTTTCTCCTTTTTTTTCTTCCAGCCACCTGAGTTCACCGGTGAGAGCCGTCACAGCTCTACAGCTCCACCTACTGGCTGACAGGCTGGGAGCAGCTGCAGCGTTGAAGGCAGGTCAGAGATTCACCTCACGGTTCCTCATAGCAGTGAGTAAGATGTTGATGGATGCCACAGCTCCAGTCAGGTCAGTTATCAATGCGTGTGGCTTGCATCACTCAAGATGAACGCTTTCAGGCGTGCTAAACAAGTAGCACATGTGTGCAGGGCCCATGGACATGCAATACTGAAAGAACTGGCCAAGCAAAAGGACTTTATAAAGCTGTGGAAGCAGTACGTCCCAGAGAAGGATCAGCGCTTTCTGGAAAAGACCGTTACGAATGCCGTCCGAGCGGCATGTTGACAGTTTGATGTATGCTGTCACATAAAGATTTTCAATATGAAAATAAAATTACAACAAAATGTTTCATTTCTTCCATACACTTGTTAAGCTACTGTTGACCAAACTGTAAGACAGCTTGTGGCCTCACATTTCATCTCTGATCCAAGACAACAGACCTATGATTCAGATGGAAGGTTCTTCCTGAGTTTTTCTTTCTACATATGAACACTTTAGGTGCACAAACACAGGCTGTAAGTGACTGGAGATTAAGTGTTTAGAAAGTTGATATTTTCAGTAAGATATTTCGAGGTGCTACATTTATGGCAAGCCCACAGAGAAGTAAACTGTGTGTATCAAGTCATTGAAAAATAAATATAACTATTATTTCAGGACATAGGACTAATTATGGTCATTATTAATAGTTAGGTTATATTTTTTGAAAAATTGTATTGGATATTATATTTGTAATTAAAAGGATTACAATTCTCAGGTGGTCAGTTTGGAAAGTGGTCAATAATTGGTGGATTAAAGGGGGATATAAAGACCAGCTGCTGGGTCTATGAGTGTTTTAATATTTTCTGTAAATTTCTACCAATCCATGCCCTTTTTAACTGGCTAACGTCAGCAGGGGCAAAATGCACTTCTAGCTCTTCTGCACCAGTCACAGGTATAAATATCAACACATGTGAAGTTATACAAACAAGGAGGTAAACAGTAACTTGTCTGCAACAAACACGACAGAAACTGACACACTAAGCAAAGGGGTAAAAATGGAGGGCCATTCAGAGAGTTAGACAAGTCTGACATGTAATGAGCTGAATCTATAGAGCACCTGTAACCTAAACTCCAATGTAAACAGACGTAAAGCTAGTTTACGCCAGGTCTTCCCCTAAACTTTACTCACTGTGCGAAGGGACGCTAAGCAACTCTGAGAGGTCAGGAAAGCAGCGGTCATCCTGCAGATGTCTGTCAATCAGCCGGGATGAGTTCTCCAGCGCTTCGGCGAGCGCTGCTGCGGGGCTGCTGGGTCCGGCGCTGGACGGCATAGCTGCGGCTACCACCGCCGCTGACTTACCTGCAGGATGAGAGGTCAACCCGAATGTATGTGAATAAAGACCAAGTCAAACATGGCTTGACTAGATGCTTGTAAAACAAACAGAATCTAAAAAGATCTCGCAAAATGATAGTCCGAGCCAGTGCTAGCCCGTGTTAGCAAAGAGGTAGAACACCGGTTACATTGTTACTATCATTTAGCATGTAAGCTAACAAGTAGCTAGGTCTAAAACAAAGTTTTTGAAAGTAAATTCATAGATTTACCCAAATGAAAAGATTCCGATTAATCCTGACTTTATCCAAAAGTTGTGCCAGTCACCTCACAATTTTGAACAAAAACATTCAATACACACATGCACCAATCAGCCCGCCAACCTCATGCACTGGAGGCAGTGAACGGTTTGCTTCCGGTGTATTCGCGTCACATTCTTCTTCGATTGTTAATTTCTCACAGACGTATGTTTTTGTTGCCTCCCTCTGGCCAACGTATTCCTCCAAAACGAAACACAAAATAATTTAAAATGGCCATATCGATAAACAATAACAACAATTATAGTATGGTATCAATACTAAAAATATACATATAATGATCAGTATATATTATATACTGTATTATATATTATATATCCCTATTCAAATACATAAATAAATGAAACACCACATTACGCATTGAGAAAATTTCAAATGTAAAACAAGTAATTCAGATTATTAACACTTTGTTGGTTCATAATTAATTATTAATCAGTGATAAAGGAATTCTATTTATAATATAATTGGCAAATATAGTGTTTCCAGATCCCTATCTCTTTCAGCTGTAAATTTAAAAAATGGAGAGTATTTAATATTTATTTGCAACTAATAATATAAACATTTCTATGTTGTATTCAAGTTTTTATATGCAACTAGGAAGTATGCCACATTACAAATTGTAATCCTTACTTATTATTGCCTTTCAAGGTGATAATTGCAGGATTTATGTCACAAAAAATGTATTTGTATTCATTTACAAAATACATCGATAAATAAAATATTTTATCTCTTCAGGACCGTTAATGCTACTAAACAACTTTAAAGCTATATTGTCCTGGATCTCTGTCATTCGAGGGGTGAACAAATCTCAGTGCAGGCACTGATGACTGTCTCCTGATGTGAAATGACACATGGCATGTCTGATGTACGGGAAATAAAGTACAAACAAGTAGCAAAGACATAAGAAAAATTTATTGCAATACTTCCACCAGAAGAGCTGGATAACTTTACTGTTGTCCTGTGCTGTGTAACATCAAAATCTATATTAAAAACATTACAGGCACAGATACTGCACTGCTTTCAACATAAATAAATTATATCAAAGATAATCTATTGTACAGTTGGGGTATACAGCAAAATGTTAGAAACAAGAAGTTAAAAGCTGTCGGAGCTCAAATGAGGTGAAGAAATCCATCTGGTGCTAGTTATAATTCCAAAAACACTTTATTAAGAACATCATCAATACACTAATTTCCAACATTCACTTTTTTTTTTTTTTACAGAATTATGTTCAGATATAAACAGGTTTTTTGTTAAATTATGATACAGTAAAAATCAAACAACCAAGTTGCTGCACAACAGCGAAGGAACTCCCATACAATGTTTTCCTAAACATTTCCTTCTGTTTTCCTTCTGTTTAACTTACACGTCTGTATTAAAAAAGGGAAGTGTTCACAATACTTTTCCTCCAGCAGGGCTTTAAATCTAAAGAAATGTACTCTCTCTCTCTGTATTTAACCTAGCAGATCCATAGATTTGGGCTGTGAGGGCTGGTTGAGTCCCTTTAGTTGTTAACTCTTAGCCCCCTCCTTGGCGGCGTACAGTGCCCGTAACGTCTGTGCAACTTTGTTTGTGAGCTTTTGTCCACTGGTCAAGGAGATTTTCTTGTAAATAATGTCTGACTCCTTGATATTGCCCACCCAAGGCACCTTTTTGCGACCGTCCCGCTTCTTTGCCACAGCCCACGGTCCAGAATAAGATCCCGTCATCCAGTGTATGCTGTAGCCGTTTCTGGTCTTTTGGACGACCTTTGCAATCTGTGGCCTGTCTTTGTATTTGGGATAGTAGATGGCAACGACATCCATTACTTCCACGTTCTCGTTCATTTGACCCGAATCCTCGGCAGAATCCCCACCTTTTCGTGGTTTTCGCTGTGGATAGAAGTGGCAGCGTTATTTCTCATTTCTACAGGGGGTAAATTCTTTTTTGGATAAATCAGTTATGTTCAGTGACATATGCACACTGACACAGTTCTGGTTATTTCAGATAAGTAATCTCGAATGACTTTAGATCCAAAGTTAAGCACGGTTTTGAATAAATGGTCTATATTGATATAAAGGAATCTCTTCTTTAGGAGTTCCTATTACACTTTGAAACTGATTGCAAATATGGACAAATGTTCTTTAGTTATTATCAAATCAGGTCGACAAATGCAGAATCTGGAGCAAAAGAGTAAAATGAGGAAGTTTAAGTTATTTATTTGTTAATTATCAGATGACTGAGGTCACTGGCAGATAAAACCACCTGGGAGCTGGAAATATTTTCTACTAAAACAAAAAAAAACTTTTAAACTTAAGGAATTCCTACCGCAGGTGGATCTTCGTCCTCACTCTCCTCATCATCTGACTCCACTGGAGCAGTGTGGTTGCTGTGGTTGTGGTTCCGGGGTTTTGAGACCTTCAACAGGGAGCTAATGGCTTTGTTTCTGGCTTGGGCATTTGCTTCGCCCCCGTCTTCCTCTTCCTCGTCACGATCCAAGTGCTCCATCAGAACCTTGAACTAAAGCAAAAGATGGTTACAGAATTCAAGGCCAACTAGAAATGACGCTGCGTTTACAGGAGTATGTGTCGCGTACAGAAACAGAGCCATCTTTTGCCTCCACTTTTCAGCAGATCAGTGAAGCGTCTACTTACATCTAGGTATTGTTTAACAATATTCCTTTTAGTCTCATAGCTGAGATCTCCGTTTGCTAGTTCGCTCTTCAGGTAATCCAGTGTGAGAGCAGGGTTGAAGTGCACCTTAGATTTCCTGTTCACTGCCTTGTCGTAAACTTTGGCAGACTCTGTAGGTGAATACTTCTGGATTTTACTGCAACACAAGCAAAACTCTCACACAAACACGTCATGTTTCTGTTCTTACGTTTAACAGACTCATTTACAAAGCAGTCAGTAAAAGGAAAGTGTAAAGCCCTCTCTAGTGTTACCCACCTGTCTGAGAAGCCGTATAGATTTTTCATGTGCTGTTTGAGCACCAGCAGCAGCAGAATACCCTGCGAGGCACTGGCGAACTCCAGCAGCGGAGTGGGGTTTTCAGGCAGACGGTCCATCACCGCGTCCTCGTCTTCCACGTCCGAGTCTGAGTCAGCCGTTTTCTTGCGCCTGCGGACCGCCTCATCGTCCTCATCGCTGCTGCTGGATGTGCTGCTGCTCTCCTCATCATCACTGTTGTCATCGTCAGAGCTGCTTTTCTTTTTCCGAGAATGGTGCTTCTTCCTCTTTTTTGTCTTCACCTTCTTTTCCCGCCTCACTGGCTCCTTGAGTAAACACTTCAAGAAAATCCCTCACTGGTTAAAGTTCCGGTTAAAATAAGGCTGTTTCCTTAGAACAAGGTCAGATATTCATTTACTCATCAACAAAGCAACTACGGGTGTGAGAACCAGGGAGTTTCTGTCTGAAAAATACATTGTCTGGATGGTGCTGAATGTAAGCTTAATTTTTGTTGCATGGTAACCTATTATTGATTATTCAACTGCCATTTTAAGACTTACCTCCTTGAAAGTCTGGAGCAGGTTGCTACCAGAGACAGAAAGGGTAATGTCTATATGGTGCATGATGAAGAGAGGCTCCTCCTGGGTCTGGTAAGGGAAGCAGGCCAAATTGTCTGCTATGAACAGCAGCATGTTCACCTCTATTTTCTACAGGAGAATAAAAGCAAACACATTAGCATTCAAACTAACTGTACAAGACTCATTGGTACAGTGTCGGCCACCATCTGCTTCACACATACACTTAAATACCTTAGGCCGATTGCTAATCTAAAGACGAGAAGTGAACTCACAGAACTGTCATCAAACAGGTTGAGCAGAGATATGAGGAAGGCCCGTCTATGTTGCCGGTTCCCCCGGACCATTGTGTAGAGGTGAGAGCAGAGGGCTGAGTCTGAATCCTCCTGACGAAAACCTCGGATCGCGCAAGTTTTGGATCCATTTATGGCCTGTTGCACCTGATAGGACATCTTCAACCCGGCAACTGCCTTCATCTTTGAAAAGACAGAGAGAGTTTTATTACCAATGATGAAGAGCTAGTCAGTGTATGTACCATCTGCATTATAATGTGAAGAAATTGGCTAAAATAAAGTTAAAATCTGTATTTGACAGTATGTTTCCCAACTGATGAGACTAAGTTGAAATATTAGTTTTAAATTATCTTTATAATGCTCCAAATTCTAAATTTTCATTCCCGAATCCTTGTTGGAACTACTAAAGTTAACAAATAAGAGTACAGTAGAACCTCTACATACGAATCCCATAAGAATACACTGTAATTCGTATAATTCGTTCCACAGCCAAAAACCCTACTATAACTCCTTAATAAATACTGCAGATCATTAAGCATGGACATAAAACAAATGTATTATATAAGAATGATGTAAAATGACGTATATTATAAACAAATAATCAATAAAAAGGGCTTTTTATTAGTATTTACCTCAGAGAATGGCGAACGGAGGTAGAGGTGGTGACTGAGATACAGGACGTGCCGTAACTTACTCTAACTTTCACTACGTGAACTTTAAACTAACTGATCTTATTTTCATAATTAATTTTTTATATTCTATATATATTTTTCTATGACTTCAACGTCATAGAAAATGTTCTGTATGTTGGAAACTTACTTTGGGTGTCGAGTCAAATATTTGATCAAATTTCACTTCGTATGTTGGAAAATTCCTGTTTAGGGGATCGTAATTAGAGGTTCTACTGTATAAAGAATGAGTAAGCTGATAGATGAGTAAGCTGACAACCAATCAACATATAAGCTCCGCAGAGGGGCATTTGCTGTTGTAGACTCTAAAATAATTGGCCGTGTGATGATATTTTGTTTTTTCCCCTCTCTAGCTGTTGACAGATTGTGTGCCCATATCACTCAACTGCTGATAGCAGCATTAAAATCTTCTAATTGCGATTTATGATCACATAGGCTTCCATTGCTCAGCAAATACAGCATACTCCCTGTTTCTACTAACTTTTCCTGGCCAGACTGAAATCAATGCACACAGTCCCACAGCAACAGAGACACTAAGCTGTCATGGTCTGTACTTTCACAGCCTTCAGGGTAGCAGTTACTCACATGGATGAAGCCTGAGTATTTCTTGTCGATCTCCACCAGCTGTTGGTCTGCCTTATTCTTCATGGTTGGCTCAGGATCGGTTCCCATGGCAATCAAATAGGGAACACACTAAACACAGAGCAGCAGAGAAAATAAAGAACCTACTCAGAGCTGTTCAGGTACCAGGAGATTCTCACGGTAAGGAGGATGAAAAGCACACCTGTACAGGGTGGATGAGGCCCTGGTTGAGAGTCAACGCAATGACACTCAGGGAAAAGTGCCGAACAGTGGACTGTGAGTGGAAGAAGGACTCGAGCACTTGCTTTAGGTAAATCTGCATGATGGAGCTGCTCATGCCTGATGAGATGTCCCCCATTTCTTTCAGATCCTCCTGCTTGGCTTTATCCTTCCCTGAACAAAACATAAATAAAAACAACCTGATTAGTCTGCAGATGTAGCAGGGTTAATAGCTCCATACTCTGTGAACATCTACTCTAATCACCACACAGCAGTGGCCTTCCAACGTTTGTCAAACTCACATTCACGGTCAGCTTCTTGCATTCGAGAGTCCTCCTCCTGCAGGTACGTCTGCAGGTTTTTAAGCACCTGGATTTTCAAACTGACCATGCTGCTCTCATCCGACAGGATACTGTTATATAAAACCTTCACGTCTTGCACAAACATGAGCTCTGGGTGCATGATGAACTGGAAGCCTTTACAGAAAGCATCAAACACAGATGTCATTCACGAGAAAACAACATCAGAAATCTCAAATGATTTGCAACATACCTAAACCTATGATGGCCTTGATTTGGACCTCCTCGTCTTCATGGGTGGTGAAGTACAGCAGAAGCTCCAACACTTTGTCCTTGATGACAATCTAATACGCGCACAATGTGAGATCAATCAAAATATCTTTTTCAATGGTTCAAGAAACAAATTTAAACAAAAGACTGGTGTTTTACCTTGTTAGCACCTTTGAACTCTTCTTGGTCAAAATCAAAGTGTCGACAAAGAGCCCCCACGGTAAACAACGAGCGCAGCAGAGTAGGTTTATTCACAGCCAGAGTGGAGCTACTGGGGTCCTCCTGGTGCTGTGTCTTGAGTTTAGCCAGTGCTCCTGAAAAATAAATCACAGATCTAGCAAAAACCGAATTACGAAAAGTCTGGCTTTAATAAATGTGTAATCAATGAGCAGTAAATCTAACTTTTCATTTGAAATTTAATGGACGCAACATAAAAGAAAAAGGTGCATCATTTACATAACTCTTACCATAGTACCGATTGAAACAAGCCCAAACAAACTTGTAGTTGTGTGTGACTTTGTTAACAACTGCACCGAGACAGCTCACACAGTGTTGCACAACCTGATAAAACAAACAGGACACAGGAGAGCTGAGTCGTAAAACACTGTACATACAGGTTTCTGTCTGAAACCTGCGAGATATAAATTAGACTGACCGTCATGCCGTATTTGATGATAAGCTTCATCAGGTCTTCCTCTATGGTGGTAAGGAAAGTCTCACTTGGGTGCTCCATCAGAGGAACAACAAGCTCCAGGATCTTGGCCACATTACAAATCACCACAAAGTCATTCTGAGTCTAAAAGACAGAGCAGAGACACATGAACATATTTCAAATCCATCCATTTTACGACCAGCTTATTCAAATGCATTGGGGTTGCAGGGGGGAGTCAATGGGCGAGAGGCAGGGTACACCCTGGATGGTCCACCAGTCCATCACAGGGCCACACAGAGACACACAATCACACAGCCTCAAAATTTGGAATGTCCAATCAACCTAACATGCAGCCCGGAGTACCCAGAGAGAACCCACGCAGACACAGGAAGAACATGCAAACTCCACACAGAAGGGTTCTGATTCCCCCCCGAGACTGGAACCAGGAACCGTCTTGCTGTGAGGCGATGGTGCTAACCACCACACCACTGTGCCGTTCAAATCTAACTTTGTAAAAATATTGAGTGAATGCATTTCCATGTGACTGCCACTAGATGGACCTAATGCTCCACATTACTCAAATATTCTCACTGAGCAAGACGACCTGGTACTCACGTTGCACTTGGTGGTCAGGTAGGGCTGCATAGTCATGGCATGTTTGACCATTAACTGAGCTCTGATTTTCGTAAAGAGGAAGAGAGTGGAGATGCATGCTACCACACGACCTGAGTTTACTCCTTTGTCCTCACAGTCTGAGAAACACATGGAGAAAAATTGGATTTTTATCCCTTTAAAGTCACAACAGTATTCAACCTCTTTCATCATTTTGTGACTTACCTGCAAGAGACTCCTCATATTTTAGTATATGTTCCACTAAATTGTCCACCAGCTGAACACAAGCCTTCCTGGTAGGCTTGTATGAAGCATCTTGCTCTGACTTCAGCAACTAAGAAATCACAATCATACAGTGGTTACATTCAATGCCATTTAAAATACTAAGAGCTGCAGGTGTGAAAAGAGTTCCCCCACTCACATTTTGCAGGAGCTGCTCAAACCAGTCATAGCCTGAATCTTTACATGCCAACACCTTGGATCAAATCAAAGCATGATATGAGTAGGACAATTACTATCTCATAAACTAACACAAAAATTCTCAGTTAAATCAACTCACCACATCAGTGATGTTCAGAATCTTCCTGGTCATAGCCTCTTTGTCATGACTGGGGGTTGGGGAAAACCAGAGCTTCTGGAATGTCTCATTCACCAGTTTCTGCAAAGGAAAATATGTTTATGCAAATAAAGTGGACATAAAGACTGACAGCAACTTACAAAAGACCAATGCACGTAAAGTTAAACTCAAACCTTGATCCCTTCCTCATCGTTGACCCTGCGGATCATCTTGACGCACATCTCGGTGATCTTGTGGAAGTCGGGCTGCTCAAGGCAAATGTCCCTCAGGATCTTAATTACTCTTTTCCTCACACTGATACCTGTGTCCTGTGAGTTGAGAAGGTGATAATTAAATATAAACTGGACACGAAAAGTCTTGTTTCATTATTTGCCCTAACTGGATATGTCAACATACAAAACAGAAAAAAAAAATAGAACCACGGTAGACAACTTATTAACCTGGAGCCTTTAATATGTTTGTTTAAAACTGGCAGGAAAATTACCAGTATTCTTTCAATGAGCATGTCATAATACTGCTCGATGAGCTCAGGTCGACTGAGCACGAAGCGGCCAAGGAGCTCCACAGCTGCCTCTCGTACACTGGTGGAGTTATCCATGAGGCGACAATGGACCCCTCGCTGCATATCCAACTGAAAAAAATAAGTGTGAGGGGTTGGTCAAGTACAAAAACAGATTCAACACTCACTGCTTTTTTGGAGTGAACATTCAAAACTTCAGCCATCGATGCCAAATTCAGGGACTGAATGAGTGAAAATAAACGAAAAGGAACCGAGAAAAATTGTAGAAATCTTGTCAACTGTGACCGCAAAGTTCAGTCGAAAACGACTTACCCGTGCCAGAATACTTGGATCCACAGCCACGACTTCTGAAAGACACTTCATGGCTTTAGTCCTGACGGCGATGGCACTCTCACCCAGAACCCTCAGAATCTTTCATAAAAAGATTTGGAAAGAAAAGAAATGGTCTCAGCCAAAGCAAAATAATCTCTCACTCATATCAATGCTGGATTCATCCTCTCACCTGTGATAAATAAATATCAAAGCTCTGTGCAAATGGCTTCATAGAGGCCAGATATCTGACAATCAGGCAAGAGTCCTCGTAGTCTACGGTGTCAGAGTTCATCCTGAAAGAAAAGCCATGAGTATGTGATGAGAAGTGAAACTAAGCAGAAACTTGGTACAGTTAGTTACCCAAAGTGAAGCAGAGCTTACCTTGACAAGCTGAAATTTGATGATGCCTTGATGACCTTGCGGAGAAATTTCTTCTGTGTCTCAACCCTCTGCATAATCTCCCCGGTGGAGTCAACATTTGCTGAATGGTGGTGAGTACTAGGGTTCTCGTCGTAATCATTATGAGACTTCATTGCCTTTTCTGCCTCAGTTGTAGTGTCCCTTAACCACTGGGCAATATAAAAATTCCTGGCAAACTGGATGAAAGAAAATGTCCGATGAGAATACTAACAGAAGAATCCCACTTCCACAAACATGCACTCACTCAAAAGTATGCAAGTTCAATCGTACGCGGTATCATAAATGTTACATTCATCCATCCATTGCTGGGAGGCAATGCTGCTAACCACCACACCACCGTGCTGCCTCTATTTTACATGTAGTGTCTGAATAATGGAAGTCTCACCATCAAAGCTGGATCCGTGTTGATGTTCCCACCTAAAAAGTCCAGTAAAACCCTCTGGAGCTGCTGTGTCTCATTACTCCCTGGAGCCTGTGAGGAGACAAATATGCATGTCAAAAACTACTCAACCTGTCTATTTGATTTGTACCCGTTTCAAATGATCCCACAACTGTCCGTTCACCTCTTTAAGGATGCGATCAATAGCCCTTTGGTCCATCTTGTTAGAGACAGCGTCTTTCCGGAGGCGGGATGCCACAGTGCCAAGGTAGTCCAGTGAAGCCACCCTGAGCGCCATTTCTGTCTGCTTATTACTAAACTGGTGCACCTGAGCCACAAAACACAGAGAATGCCACGATGAAAACAGAAGACTCGCGCGGCTCTAAAGATGAGCGACGACAGCCTGGATGGAAGCGATGTTGCTCACCAGCAGTCGGCCCAGCAAACTGAGCAGCAGTTCAGCCGCAGGCCACTCAGGCTTGTTGACCGCCGACAGCAAGTCATGTACGAAGTTCTCAAACAGAGGCCTGTAGTCTTCTTCTCCCTGTTTACTTCCACATCTGAAACACATCCCACAGATTTACAGTGAAAACAACGCCACAACAGGCTCGTAAACAGAGCTACAGGGAGGGAATGAGGCAAGAGCAGGGCGTCGTGACTAACGGTGAGAGCAGGAAAAATCACTTACTTCTTGAGGAAAACTGAAAGAAAGTTCTGTGCTGTCCTCATCGCAGTTTCATAAGAGTTCGTAATGTGTACATCTTTTTCAACCTAGGAAAACACGCTCAATGAGTTAGAGCCATTTCTGAATGAAGGAAAATCAGATCATAAGCGTGCGTTTACCTTCTTGTTATGTTCGTCCTCTTTCTCAGACGGAAAGTGAACCACACACTGAATTAGCTGAAGAACGAGGGCTGAGACCATCTGGATGTACACGGCCTCTCCATCTGAGTCACTGCTGTTTAGCCTGAGGAGTAAGGGGCATTCATATCTTAACTCTATCTGGTAGCACAGGGAATCTCGCTTGATTCATATTGTTTGAGAAAACGTGCACACAAATCCCAGTAACCTGAAGTTCCTGAGGCTGCGTTTATTGGTGGGCAGTCTGGCCAAGGAGGTGAAAATCTCCTCAAGAATGAGCTGCCTGTGCTTCTCGTAACGAGAGAATACCTAAATAGGAGCAAAATCAACATGTGTAGATATTGCCTCAGGGATTATTCCATTTCGAAGGAAAGGTAGTAAAGCAAGATTAAAATAGTATGTCGGAGCCAACTTACAGCTGTTACAAGAGTGATGGCACATAACTGCATTTCATTGACGTTCTCCACAAAAAAGGGGGTAATACCAAGATTTGACACCTAAAACAGGGGGCATAAAAGTGTTCAGATTAAGATGGAGCTCGACAATTAAAGGTGACCTAAGGACAAGAGTGGAACCCGCACCTGGAGAATGGTGGTGTCAGTTAGCAGCTGGATGTCAAGCAGCTCTGACATGTTGCTGATAATGTCACATACTTTGTTGTAGAGATTGACTACCACCTTCTGTTTGTGGGTGGAAGACTTTGCTCTCTTGGACTTTGATGTGTGAATGCCACCTGGATGGAGGAGATAAATAGGAAATACGAACTGATGAAAAAACCACACTTAGCCAAAGTTTAAAGGCACAACCCATTAATTAGACATTTTCTTTCTAGCGGGCAAAGAAAAAAATAATAATTTTAAAATAGTCAAGTAGATTCAGTGTGAAGCTTTTTGTTGGTAAACTGGAGACAACACAGTGACTCAACTTGTGCATCTGTCAGGGTACTGTCAGCGTTGTGCAATGTAACGTGCCAGAGTAGTCGCTTGTTTAGAATACCCTAAAACAAAGACTCAGCAGCTTAGCATTCTGCCTTTATTTTCCTACAAGAACCACAACTGAAACCTCCTGCACCCCTAAGCCCCAGAAACATAGTGCTGAGAAAACATCAGACTTTGTCAAAGCTTTAAGATCTTGAACGAATCAGAAGAAGATAACACGTAAACACTTGACTTGGGCTATTTGTGTTTACATGTTATCTTCTGTGTTTAACAGACTCAAAGCACAAGTTAGTACACTAGAGTTTATAAAAAAAATAGAGAACAGTGTGGCTCACCTCCTTGACGATCCACTCTGTAGGCAGGATCATATTGAGGGTACAGAGTGTTTTGTAGATGGTACTTGGTGAACTGCAGCACCCTCTCAATCACATCCTCTAAATAAACCGCCTTGGGCATGTGTGGGGATGTCATTATGTTGAGTGCGGTCAAACAGGCATCGGCTGACTTGGTCACTCGCTCCATTATGAGGTCACGCCACAAACGCTCCTCGTCCATTGAATCGTTACCCTACAGATTCATTGAAGACAAGCAAATTAATGCTATAAACGCCTTTGACTGTTTTACCTTCCACTGCATCTCTAACAACAAGCTGATAACTTACGTGATTCATTAAAGTAGAAAGTTTTACACTGTCCTGAATGTTCTTCTCCAGGATGTTCAAGATTTTCACCAGTTTACTTGATGAAAACTGTGGACCAAAAAGAGACGAATCAGTTTTCTTAGTCTTAAGAAAACTGGGTGAACCTGAGTGTAGCCTGGCAACAGAAACCAGGTTCTTCTTACCTTATTAAAGACACCCATGGTCTTAATCTTTGTAGAATCGCTACCAAGCTCATTCAACTGCTGCTTTCCAAGTAAGACCTCTTGAGGTATTTCATCGTCATCATCTGTTTGAAGGAAAAACACCTTTTTTACTCAACACTCCTCCTAAAACATTTTCAACTGGAAATCAGAGCAGCACGTCCTGTTTACCTGCAGCGAGATCCACATCATCGAGACTCTCCAGAATGCTGTCCACATTGGAAGCAAATCTCTTAAAGGTGGAGGAGTCTATCTTTTCTATGAAATGAATTAAAAAAGGGGGTTGTTTTAACCAAAAGTTGAATTGAAATTAATCTGGATCAATCAAAGTGTCATATGTTTACCTTCAAATGTCATGGAGTCGTATGCCATCCTGTTTCTCTGTTTCTCTTTCTTCTTGATCTTCCTGCCAACTGAACAAAACAAAAGCATGAAAACGTGAAGAGGAGTACCTGAAGAACTCACACTTTTTACTTTTTAGAAACCCTTTTAATGTCTCTTTTTTCCTTGACATATCGTCAACTTTACTTGAAAATACTATCTTCACTGTCATTTCTGAGCTATTCTGACCTCGTCGTTTCTGGTTACTTGGAAACGCAATTCTGTCAAGATTCCTGAAATGCATATAAAAAATTAAGAGCCACTGTTACTGCGCCTCTATCCATCATCCTGCCTGCAGATTTGTGCACGTAAAACCTATTAGAGCTGACTTAGTACGATTGCCATCAAAGCTTGTTCCAGGAAGGCACCAGGGTCGCCACACAGATGTGGTATTTGCATGTTAAGTTGTTTTCAGATGGATTAAATGGACAATGAGTTTGACATGGAAGGAATGCGTGCTTGGACTTTCTTCACGGTAACTCTGCATGGTTGTTAAATCAGTAGAAAAAACTCTACATATTTAAAACAGCTCCAAATGTTTCTGGAATTCATGCACTGTAATTGATATCCATATTGTATGGTTTTTCAGTAAGCCAATGTGACAGGCTCACCATCACATAGGCTAGGTGGGGGGGAGCCTTCATCGGAGTCATCTTCCCGATGACGGCCACCGGAGCCCCGCCGGGAGTTATGGAGACCTCCACTTCGTCTGTGATCTCTGGAGCCTCTCTTCTCCTCGCATTTCCATGTTTTGTCTCGGTCCTTCTTGTGCTTTTTCCTTGCAGCTGGAACAAAAGCAGAAAAAAAACAAGCTCCTGCATTACAAGCATATTCTTCAAACGCATAACGTGCAAACAAAGATTGTGACTTCTTTAGGTTCCATACTCACTCTCATTGTCGGAGTTAGACTGATCATCGTTTTTCTGCTCAACACAATCGTCTGAGTCCACCTCTGCATATTTGGGTCTCTTACTTATCATGCTGTGTTTTCGCTTAATTGTCTTCTCTAAAAATGTGTCTGTAAGAACAACAGAGAGCTTTTCAGCACAAAATAAACTCAACTTAAAAAGAGAGCGTAGTTTACAAATCCTATTATTTAGGATGAATAATTTAACATTGGCAATGACAGCCTTCATCTGGCATCATCTGGAGAGAAGTCCAACGTGCGTCAGATTAATGAGGCTTTTCTAAAACCAGAGAATTGTCCACACGTTTATTATTCCGATTAGTTTATTAGTTCCTCAGACTGCTCCGCAAGATGAACGTCTCCCCCAAGGTTTGCTCCCACTTCTAGATGGTGGACACTTCAGAGCCACCATTGAGAGTTTCCTCACCTCCTCCATCACCGTGTGGTACCCTGCATCCTCTGCCCATACCTGGAGCAGACTGGAGCGTATGGTGCGCACAGCGAGCCACCTGACAGGCCTCCAACAGGAGCCTGTGTGTGTTCTGCCCAATGGAAGATCACGGCAGAGGGCCAGGAGGGTAGTGGAGGACCCATCTCACCCGGATCACTGCCCGTTCACACCCCTCCCATCAGGTCGAAGGTTCAGATCCATCAGGACCAAAACCACCAGGCACTTGAACAGTTTTTTTCCCCTAGGCCACCACCCTCTTAAATAGGGACATCTCAGCCCTCTACAAACACTTAAAGATACAGTCACCTAAAAACACCTGAACATAACTTATGTACATTTTCTTTGCTATTTTCATATTTCTTATTTAAATTGTCCTGTTGCACTGGGATACCTGGTCAAATAACTGTGTACTCTGTACATTTGGTCAATAAAGAGATTTCTGTTTCTGATTAATCCAGTGCCCTTGATCACTTCAAGCACACAGCATTTGTTTCTCATTAGCACTGATAAATAACATCTATTCAAAGGAGCACTCGGAAAAAAATCAGCAGGGAAAGTGAGAGGAAATGTTCACTTGTAAGAATGTCAAATGTGAGTCTACAGACAGGGGGGCAGAACGTCTCACTGTGTCTGTCAAACAGTCGTCTCCTTCTTTTCAGAAATGAGTCAAAAGCCGACACCATCACGCCTTTAATATCAGTTTAATTCTCATCTAATAAACTAAATAACTGCAGAAATATTAAAGGCAAATAGTCAAGAGTCTTTTGATGGCATATTTAGTGCTGCATAGGCCACATTTAAAGTGGAAGTGTGAGTCAAAGCTGATTTAAATGTGTTGAAGTGGCAGAAAATATTGCATACTAAGTATGCTTTGAGTTTATATAAATCCCCACTAATTGCTGGATGGCGTGGCTTTCAATGACTGTAAAGTGACTAAACTGGAGTGGAATGTATTGTTTCAAATGTCTATAATAGTTAGTGATGTTTTTAATTTCAAAATCGTTTACACTAAATAAAAGATTTATTCTGAAACATGTTGAATAAGTGATGAATAAGGCCCTCTGATTCCATGAGCAGCAATTAAATCACCCCAATCATTTTTCAATAAATACAAAAGGCTGTGTGCAAAATAAAGGCACAGTAAAGAGTCAGCTAAAGAAAAAAGAAACAACAGCTCCAACACGTAGACCAGTAAAAAGTTGCTCATACCTCTCTCTGGTTTTTCAGTGGACAGGTTCCTGGATCTGGAGCTGTGATCATTCCTGCCTTCCTTCATAATCCTTTTTACATCCTCAACACCAAGTCTCTGAAGTACAACCACAGGTTTAGCTCTTTTGTTTAAATTCTCGATCAAGGACACTCTCTCCAACCGTACAAGCGGTTCACTCCGACTTTGTAACAGTTTGCTTTTGATCTGGAGCTCTTTATCTGGTCCATCTCGTTTTAATTTAGGGATCACAAAATTCTTAAGACCTCCTGATTTACCACCCAGCAGGTATGAGGGGAACTCGCTGGTCTTGGTCTCAGGGGCCTGACGTTTGTTTCCAGCCGGGCAGCTACTGCTGCTATCCCCGCTTGTCCTGTGTTCCTTACTTTGTTGGTTCTGGAGGCTGGAACTGCTTGTCCTCTGTCGACCAACAGTGTCAGCTGATTTTCTGCTTCCATCCTGCCTCATTTTGGGGCTGTCTGGTTTCGCATTCTGGTCAGGTGAGTTTTTGTTGCAATTTTCTCTAGACAACATCTTGTGTTTCCTTGCTCTGTCTCGGTCCTTGTCTTTGTCTCTCGCTACGTCTTTTAGTCTGTCCCTATCGCTTTCTGTGTCCTTGCCGTCCCTGTCTTTTTCTTTGTCTTTCTCTTTGTCTTTGACTCTATCCCTCTCTTTGACTCTATTACTGTCTTTGTCTCTCACCAGGTCTTTTACCCTGTCACCTTTTTTGTCCTTGCTGTCTCTGTTGCTCACTTTGTCCCTGTCTTTCTTGCTGTCTCTGTCTCGCACTATGTCTTTTACTCTGTCCCTTTCATTGTCCCTGTTGTCTCTCTGTCCGTTACTGTCTTTGTCTCTGATCCTGTCTTTGCCTTTGTTACTCTCTTTGTCTCCATCCCTCTCTTTAACTTGATGACCATCTTTGTCCCTGTCCCTGCCTTTCACTTTGTTACTGTTTTTGTCTCTGTTAGCATCTTTGTCTTTGCTGCTGCTGCTAACTCTGTCGCCGTTATTATCTTTGTCTCTCTCCTTTCCTTTCTCTCTTTCTCTGGTTTTGTCTCGGTCTCTGAATTTGTCTCCGTCTCTGAATTTGTCTCCGTCTCCTTCTACATCTCTCAGCCTTTCTTTCTCCTTCGTCTTTTCTTTGTTCCGGCCTTTGCCTTCTTCATGTATGGAGTTGTGGTCCACCTTGCTCGTGGTTTTTGGAGTCTCAGGTCTGGTGATGTGTGATCTGTGACTGGTGTTGTTCTTTTCCTCTTTCTGGTGCAAGTCTGAATGCCTGTCCTGTTTCTGGAGTGGTGTGTCTGTCCGTCTGTCATCTGAGGGGCCCTTATCGCTGTCAGGTTTGCTGTCATGTTTTTGCTTTGATTCACGCCGGTTTTCCCGTTTCTGCTTGTGTGTTTCTGGATGTCCATCACAACCAGACTCCTGGGGGGTGTCAGGAAGCTGTTTGATGATCCCAGCTTGGTTTTCAACAACTTTATTGACCTTTCCATCAGCATCTCTCTTGAGGTGACATATTTGATCCTCACACAATGTCTGCGGTTCCAAAACAACTACAGGCTGTCCTATAACTCTGCCAGCTTGTTGTAGATCAATACTGACCATCAAAGCCGGCCGACTGGCACCATTACTTGCAGCACTTGACTTCTTAGTTGTCAGCTTGTTGATGCTGTGTACAGCAGGCCCCTCACTTGCCTCAACTCCAGGTTCCTGAGGATATGTGTCCTGTTTCCTTTTTTTCAGCGGCTTGTCTGCAATAAAGAACAATGTAACTTAACTTCAAGAAATGAAAGAAATGGAGGAAAGCACAAGGCAAAACCAGACACATAAAAATTCACCTTTATCCTGGACCTCTTTTGAGCACCGCTCTCTTTCACTGGCTGACTCGCGCTCTATTCTCTCAATCTCAGCAAGTGTGTCTACCTCAGTATCATCAAGCACGGCCCCACCGACGATCCCAGTATCCTTGATATTCGGCTGCACAGCAACCTGAGGACAGTTTGTCTGCTCCTCAGCCTCCAACCTGTGTGATGAGTTCATGGGAATACTTGGCAACTTCTTATTGTTATTGTTCATCATGACTGTTTCATGGCCTGAGTCCAAATGTGACCTGGGGGGTTGTTCTTCGGAGTGATTTACGTCGGGAGACTTCACTCGAGAGAGTTTTAAAGTCAGCTTGGTAGAATCCTTTGATGGAGAGCTAATAATGTCGTACATGGCGTTTTTGTCCAAATGCTCATCTTCTTCTTTACTCCTCTCCCGCTGCTTCTTTTTGCGGTCTGCGGTGGAGTGGAGGCGGTTAGGTGCTGCACCATGTGGCACTTCAGGTGAGGGTGATTGCATGATAAGAGAGGGCCTGGACCCTGCATAGACACAGATGGAAAGTTTAAGTCTCAACGAAGAATTATTCTGTTATGCTGCCTAATGAAGAGCTTAATGAACTTGTTTCCAAGGCAGCCTACTTTTTGCAAGGTCTTCACTCCCAGCAGGGGAGCATGCAGGCTGAGATGTTTTAACAGAAAATGCAGCAGCCTTCATAGAAGATTCATTGTTCTGCTGGAACACAAGACAATTATTTTTTACTTGTAATAGCCTATCTCTGCTGAGGTCCATCTCAGTATGACTTGATTCGATGCATTACCTCGTTTCCCAGTCTGTGACCCACATTTATGTAATCTTCATCTGAGCCTAGTCTTGTATTATGGTTAGATGAATTACTTGATAGCTGTCCAGAGATTTTGTTGTCAAGGATACTTCTCACACCACTAGCAACTAAAAGAGAGAAAAGGTAATTTTTTTTCAATTTTCCTTAAAAAATAAAAGACGATTAGTCCCATTTAGTTGTCAGAAATCATATTTTCTGTTCAGTCAGACGGCTCTACTTTCACCGTGCCACATTAAGCTGTCAGCTCATCGACTTTTCCCCCCACCACTCAGGGATGTGTAAAAACTAATTATGTTAAAGTTCAGCTGCATCATCATTTGAGTATGTGTTACTTGTAAAAGTGCACACAACGTTCAATTTGTTACAGAGACTGAAAAGGCAGCTAACAGCTTGTGTTGGAGCTTTCCTTAGAGGCTGGGGATTTTCAAAGGGAACGTGTTCCAACCTATTACAGGGACTCATCTAAATAGCCTTCCGTTTACTCCTCCCAACAAGGTTATTAGGTTGTATTTTTCATTGCCCTGGTGTTTTCAGATTGTGGCTGGCAAATGTGATCACATTCACCCAATATGACATTTCCACTATCCTGACTCAGTTATCACAATCTCCAACACAACTTGTAAAATCTCTTTATTTTCAGCTTAATTTCTCGATATTTGTTTGTGCATGCAAGCTTCACCTTCACACTATCAGCCATTAAAGTCAAAGAGGCAAAAAAAGCGAATGAGGAGAAAGCAACAACATGACAACAAAGCCACAAATCAGGGAAACGTACCAAAGTATTTTTTTGAAAATTTCCCACGCCCTTACACCCCAAAGGACTGCACTTCAGCACAACCCAGTTGGAAGGTGCCAGATTGCAAATATGTGTGGGTGCCAATTCCAATCTCCACCGTCTTTTATGTAGGCAAAACTAATTTATTCGACAGATGCAGGGGAATAGGCTATAAATGCCACAGTGAAAATTACGCACCATGTATTTTCTCTAAACAAAACTATACTCACCTTGACTCTGTTGATGATGAGAATAGCTAGGTGGGTTGTACTGTATGTAGTCTGCAGGACTCTGAGGGGTATAGGGACTAGGCATAGGACTGTTTTGCTGGGGTACAAATTGGGTAGCCGAGCCCGACTGTGGGGACGAAAAGCATCTGTGAAAGAGGAAGGGGTCATTTTAAGAAAAGTACAAAAGCCTCTACTTCATCATCATCTGAAAATTAGGTGGCACAGGTTTACCCAGAGGGGCTTTGAGGGACACTGGTTTGCTGATAGTTTAATCCTGGACTCCCATGAACCTGATTCTGAGAAACCTTATACTGTTGGATCAGTGGCTGCTGCAGTACACCTGAGACAAAGATACAAAGCAAGTAATTACTGAGGGTATAAAAACATAAATCTTAATAACCAAACCCATCTTATAAGAAAGGCTACACACTAACAATAAGTCAGTGCCATGTCCTCCTTTAAATATTAAGATAATATGCAAAAATATATAACAAGATCAACCTAATACAAGTATCGGTCTGCTTTCCTATATGTCAGAAATGTGTTAATTAAGTTTTATGGTCACGTAGGGGCACATAGTTAGGGTGGTACCTGTGTTAAAAAAAGCCTCATATACCTAAAACGTCATATTAGTGTTTGGCTGTTAACGATGCCTAAAACATGCTTTAATTTTGCAGGTCCAGCATGGAAAAGTCTGTTTGTGTTTAACTATTTACTATCAAACTTCTTTTTAAAGTGTCACAAACTCCAACAAACTTGCACATGTATCTAATGGCATCAGGTAAGATACTCTTTCACATATGACATATTTGTGAGTGTTTGCGACGATGAGTCCCCCGAATTATGTAAATCGTACATGTAAACATATACTAAACCATATATTTACTATTATTTCCATAATGATTCATAATAGCAGGCTATGGCAGCTGACAATAAAACAAGGGTTTTACTGAAGAAAAGTTTGAAGACAAGTGTGAGAGTGTTTATGGCAATTAGTGATTCCACTGCTGGTGACAAAACAAATGGAGAAAAGGCTTTAAGGCTTTTGTTCAAGTTACATGTAAATACATATTTTTGTGACCACATGCAGACTAAACTCTGAGCAATGTCATCACAGAGGTGTGTGCAACACAAGGGGGCAGAGAGCAATGTTCCTCTTAGCATGCCAAGCAGCTAAGCAGATATAACAAGAAGCCCTAGCTTCACATCTGTTTCCCAAATCTAGAAGAAAATTTGGGATCCGGGCCATTTACAGCACACATTTATAAATAACTAATTTAGATCCTTATAATAGAAATGGTCTATAGTGCACTTCTTGTGTCAAATGCAAAGAAGTGCTCAATTTTCATTAAAATTGTATTTAATGTACTGAATATAACCAGTTATTACATAATTGTATGTATCCAATAATTTTTCATACTAGTTAATTTGCCAGTGAATGAAGACTGAGAAAGACTTCACCCCTAAGATAGGGGTTAACACATACTTTTGTCCCCAAATATTCTGGGGTTTCTGGACAGTAGAGTTTGTAGAAGTACTGGCATGTCACCCTCTGGTTCATCATTTCCTAGGTTGTCCTTTAGCTCTCTGAAAAACAAACAAAAAAAGATTGTTGTTATTCATGTGGTTGGATTCTAACAAATGTATGCATAAGCTTACTTGTGAAAGATAAAATAAAACATATAAAACAGCAATGACCTGCATCACTGATTATATAAACAATCAAAATCAAAATGCTATGATGTTGAAATGTGAAAAGTAGGTAAACGGTGCTTACATGTGTTCAGTGGAGACCTGGTTGAGGCTATGTGCTAGCTGAGTCACCAGATTCTCGTCTCGACACACCAAAAGGCTGCTGACCTCTTCAGAGATTCTTCCATTGTAAAGCAGGCTCTTAGCAGTGGTGGCAGGAAGAGGAGAAGGCAATGGAAGCTGGTTCAACACTAAAAGATTATTTAAATATAAAGTTAGACTGAGAGGAAAAGAGCAGGAAATACAACATGAGGTAAACATAACTTGTCCTAAATGTCAGTGCTTGGCCAGAGTGAAGAGTTTCAAAGTAGATGTTGTTGCACTTACGGTCTGTTAGGCTAGCAATTCCAGCGAGAGTAGTGATGGGAACATGAGGCATATCACCATTCATGCTGAAGATGAGGTCAAGAGGTCGTGTCAGTGCACAGGCAGCTCAAAATCACCAACCACTTTCTATTCGTTACATCTCCAAGGTGCTGCAAAGAAGGAGAAGAAGTGGCAATGAAATGTTTATTCCCAAAAGAGTTAGAAGCCACAAAATGCAACAAGATGCTCCTTTTAGAAATCCCCCTAACTGAAAATTGGCCAAAAAGCTTTGGAATAACTAATGCATGCTTCTTCCTGAATGGAGATCAAAACATTTCCATGGGTATAAGAACAGAATGACAGTGTCATCACAATCATGTAAGAATTGCAGCATGCCTGGACGTGTCCTTATCTCCTTATTGATTGAATATTCCTTTAAGAAAAGCATTTTGTTACCCGGACATCATTTTTAAAAAATAAAAACATACACCTCTCTACATGTGAACTGTTAACTCGTTCAAAATCAAAATTCGTCTAAAAAACAGACATCAACGAGGCAATTATGATTGACGTCCATCTGTTTTGTGTCCTGTTCGACAATTAGACTCTGATAGTCGCCAATTATGATTAATAGAAGAAAAAGTTTAGTCTAATAGCAATTGCGTCTTTGCACCGCCAACCTAAGACGTTTGCTTGTCGGTGATTTTTATTTCCTTTTTGTAGCTGAAACACACCGAACAAAATCCACAGACGACACATAAACCCTTAGATTTGTTAGCTTGTTATACCTCATTTTCTTCTTTTGTTGTCGTGTCACTTAAGATTCCTGGGACTGTCCGACCCCACAACAACGACGTTAGCTAATCTTGCCAACAGCTACGACTGTATCATTACTCTGTTGTTACTATCCGTGCTTTTCATAAACATGTAATTAATTATCCGAGAGGAAGCGAAACGTCTGAGAAAGTGACAAAAATCAACTCGCGGTTAGCCGGCTAGCAACAACTAGAGATGTAGCTAACGTATGCTAGCTGGCTAGGGATAGCTTTATTTGTAACTTGCCTAAGCTAGCATCATCGAGCGTGCATCAAAGCCAGTTAGCCTAGGGTTGCCTGCTATTCGGCGCTCTCTTTATCAAACAGGTCGCGTATACATTACGATTTTCGCCTCACAGTTTCTATGGCCTCAGTCGACGCATCTCTAGTTCACAAAGTGGACCACGGACTTGCCTAAAGGAAGCGTAACCCTGACCCGACGCCAAGGAGGCAGGGGTACAAAGCAAAGACCCCATCACAAATCAGAATTACCCCCACGGCTGATTCCGTTTTTGTGTCCCCACAGCTGTCTTGCACTGTCTGGCTCAGTGTAAACACAGAGCGAGGTAAACAATACGCCTGAAAAGGGGATGCTGCTGTTGAATGTGGCTTAGTTACCTCTGGATGTGATGAGAAAGAGAAGTGGTTCTGGTGGAAGAGGAGAAGGAGCAGGAGGGGGAGGAGCAGGAGTAGGATGGCAGCTGGAGCTGGAGAGGAGTCTCTAGCTCCCTCTCGGTCCCACTGTTCAAACAGCCCCTCCGTGCAACAGCAACACAACAGCAGTAATCCTCAACAGGACTGGCATTGTGTTTTTCTTTTTGCCTTCTCAAGGCTAGCTTCGTCTGCCAGTTTGATTCGACCCCGGAGGACAACAAACAGTCAGCAACTGTAGCAGTTAAAGTCTGTCAAAGCATCAGAGAAAAGGACAACGGTTCTTTAATAACGTCCGAGGAGCCCAGAGTGGTAACACTCAGAGGGGTTCCTGTCAAACGACTTAGAATAAACATTTCTGGGGCTATTTGGAAATGGCAAAGCTGGTAACTGAACGTAGAGCGCTGTGATTCCCAAACTTCATCCGGCTAAAGTTTACACTCACTAAAACCAATTCAGTTTATTTAGTTATTAGTTATTCCAATAACAGTAATCATTTCTGAGGACAATATTTGATAATATAATAAGATTAATATACGATCTGGTGTATAATGTATTTTGCCGTCATAACTAAATATTGAACAGGGAAGTATGACATATTTTCTATGGATTGCTCTTACAGACTTGTCATCACAACAAACACACTGAGGCAATCAGCTGACTGACTCCCACAAAACCGAAAGAAAGCCTTCGTCCTTGTAGGCTTCCGTAAATGCTGCGAGATAATTATGCACGTTACACTTCTTTTACATACAGACTATTAATGAAATCCCTTATACTATCCAATGGGATTTTAACAAGACACAAACCCTTTGCTTGAGAGAACGTGAAATACACTGAATTTTTAAAAAGAAAGCTTAGGTTTCCCTCTTGTGGGGGAAAAAAACATGCATCTGCTAAATGCTTCCTCTTATCACGTCCTCTGCTCAACAGTGAGTTCAACAGTGTCGTGGATAAAAAACAAAACAAAAAAACAATTGTTTAAAAATGTTTTTTATCAGTAAGTATTATTTTTTTATTTTTTTTATTCTGTCAGTTATTTGGTAAATGTTTTTTTGGTGATTGTCTTGTTAACTCACCCAAATTTCTCATTGGCTTGACACTGCTGTTAAACTTCTTGATTTAATCTTGAATTTATTGTTGTTTCAGAAATTGTTGTTTCAGAAATTGTAACTCATCCCGAGCTCTGAGGTTGCGCAGCTGCACAAACTGTGATACACCCCAAACAGGCTTCAAAGTCAAATGTGGTAAGATGGATTTATGCCAGTTGCCACCTCACACAGATATACACCCTGGCCAGTTCTGGGATTCAGTGTTATTACTTTGGAGATTTTTTTTTACATTAAGACTACATGAGCTGGATTCATGTCCCGATTAGTAGATGTCCTTTGTGGTCCTTTGTAGTGATGTCATTGAACCCCCCTTTTACACTATCTTTGACTTGGAGAAAATTTGACTAAATGAGGAATTATTAATGCCCAGGCCATCAGAAATCACTCTGTAGTTCCACAAATCTTCTCCTTTGATAATCTGAACTTTTTCATCAGAGTCCTCTCTTGACAAGAAGAGACATTGTCAGTCCTTAAATGCCGTCATCCCACAATGCAAATGGCAAATTTAATCTAAATAACCGGATCAACTGGCTTCAAGCAGTTTTGGGGAAATTTATTAACATAGAGGTACACACATTTGTTCCAGATTGCACTGTGGATGATTCATTTCTGTATTCAAGAAAGATACGAAAACCCCAAATCCTTTTTTACTGAATTTGCTAATTCTTTAAATTTTTAAAAGACCATTTCTGAGACATAATTCTGTTTTTCTAGAGTTCAAAACATTCCTTCAATCAGAGCTACTCTAAACTTAATCTCTGCAATGTTGCTATTCAATTGAAATTTTCTTTGTAATTGGAATAGATTCAGGCTGCTTTTTGGCACCATGGTTTTAACATTAAGCATTTCCAAAACATCTTTCACATCTCCACTTTTAGAATCTCACACACACATACATGCACATCATCTCTCACATGAAAGACCAGCAGCTGATGCCTGCAGTTCCACGAGTGGACCAAACTGTTGTTTAGGGCCACAGGGTTTCACGGTAATTACTCTGCTTCACTAGGTTTAACCATGAGTCTCTAACCCGTGACGGTCATGAGGGGCTTTTCTTTTTTTCTTTTTTTGCCCCTCTCTTCTCTCCCACACGCTGAGGGAGGTTATTTGAGAAGTGAAGAAACACAAACCTCTAAGGACCCAGTCTTTCTGAGCACGAATTCCAGCCCAGAGGATCTCTCTCTGCCGTCCAGATATTCAGTGTGGTAAGAAAGTGGTCCTTTTTTCTTCTTTTGCCCTGCAAATGTGCGTCATTATTTTGTATTTAAAAGTAAAAAGAAATGACTTTTCAAACTGGAACAGAAAATAATGCTTCAGTGTACTGAATGTAGAACCGTCAGCTCTCCTCCACAGCAGGTGTTTGTTGGTGGACTTTTGGAGCTTATGTTGGTGCACTTTTAGGACATATATGTTCGTTATTTGCTTAAACAAACTGTGAAAAGGTTCCACAGACCACCATACCAAAGGATACCTTGATGTGCTGCTGAGGAAAAAAAAAAAGCATTCTATCAATGTGAGGAGTGGACTTAAAAGAAGAAAAATAAGAGAAAAAAGTTATTTTGTGTGTAATTGAAAAAGAAGGTGGGAATTAAATGTAAGAATTTGTATATAATACAGTACACTTGTAATGACAAAGTTTGAGGGTGCACTTTATTTACTTTGCTGAGATAAATTCCTGGATACCTCTAGGTGATACAATTCCGTACAAGCTAAGCAACTGAGCCAAGATAACCACATTTACTTGTTTAACATGGTCAAACTGAACTGAAAATGCATTGTTTTATGGTATCTGTTAGTTCTCGGTTGGAGAAGAACCAGTCGAATTCCCTGAGAACTGATGTATGTCATATTTCCAATCTCATTAAAAGTATTTAGGTTAAACTTTTTATCATAGCGTACAGAATATATTTACTCACCTTTATTTACTGGAACAGGTTTGGGGAGGCAAAACTCTCACAATGAAAATCCAGAGTAGATCAAATTGGCAAACTGCATCCTAAGTCATTGATAAAATAACTACATTTTTTTTAATAGTTGCCATGTTGCTTTATTGTAGTTGTTTCTAACATTATTGCGTTTTAAGTTTTCAGCTTGATGTTGTGCAATCGTACAGACGGGATGCCTCGTGGAGACTTTAACATCTATTTTGCCGGCGGCCGGAGAGGAAATCTCAGAGCTGAGGAGTAAGTATGATCATAGAATCAGATGTAAAATGGAGCTGTTTCCACCTGCAGGCTTGTGATGCTGCGGGGTCTATTAAACTGTGAATTGGGTTGTGCATCACAGGGCAGTGGGCATAGCTCTTCTGGTGATCATCCTGGCAGCCCTCCTCATCCTGAGCTGTTGGTACTTTAAGAAGAGGAGTGGCTACAAAATAATCAGGGTGAGTCCATCACACTTAATTTTAACAATGGAAACAACTGAATTTTTTGGTCTCATTTCAATTAATTAAAAAATGATTATCCCACTAATGTTCTAAGTCTTTTGTAAGATGTTTTTTCTTCCTGTGCCCTACTACAAGTTGCTGTTTTCTGAAGTCTGTGCTACCATCATTTCTCACACAACTTTCTCTTAATCCCCAGAGCCCCCGATCGAGTTCACCGGGTTACACAGGAGGGCAGTTTTCAGAGGCAGGACCTTCAGCAGATAACAAGATGGCGCTTACCGACTTTGGCAGCTTCAGACCTGTGGTGAGGGATAACAGCTATAGTACACCTTAACTGCCCTTTTCACAATTAACTATTGTGTAGCAATAAACTATTGGTTGGACACGTACTCCATGTTAGCTTTAGTCCCATGTTAGCTTTTTCTTACATTGGCTTTACAGATAGGCAAGTTTAACTTAGTTCATTTCCACATTCAAGACAGAGAGCACTTGTTCAGTACAAAGCCTCTGCGCTTTGAGCAGTGTGGAGCATGTGAAGCTGATGCAATGCAGTGGATGCCTAAGGGAGATTATTATGTCACCAGACCAAGCAAAGGTATTTGAAAAGGTCTCATTCCCAAGATGAGGGTGTATTCATGTGTAAGGAGAGCAGAATGCTCAGTTAAATGTAAGTGTTAAGATAAATGTCATGAAAGGTTCACAAGGTAGACTGAAGCCGTTTCATACATGCATCTGTCACACTTTTCCAGGTCCCTAACGCTCCTCCGGCTTATGAAAAGATTTCTTCAGGACCACTCCCGCCTCCCTATTCTCCCTGAGAGAGGAATACTTACAGATGTTGACAGAGAACTGGAAAATACAGAAGAAGAACCTCTGAACTCCATTTGCTGTCTGGTGATTGCATAACTAGCTGTCACTGTTTCCGTTTCCAAAAGCTTTGTAGCTTAAAAACACAAACACATGAAAAGACTATCACATTGTAAAAATCTCCACATAAATAAAAAGGATGTATACTGTTGGTTGTTTCAAGAAACAATAAAAATATTCTGTGTAAGAAGAAGCAGCTCAAATACACTTGTTTTGGACAATTGCATTATTTATTTCCATGCAGTAACGTCCACAGTTGTTCAATGAAAATGTACCTAGTAAATATTTTTTCAAAATCTATATGGTAAAAATAAATAAAGGTGACACCAAAACGTTTATATGGACTCAAACATGTAGTAAAAACCCATCTATTAGTTTACATTTCTGAAAAAAAAAGTTTAAAGTTTCTATTTGAAAAACAAATTACACAAAGGATTGAATGCGCAGTTGTATTGTTTAAGAAGACAAATGAAGCAGATGAATGATAAATAGTAAACAAAATAATACATCTTGAAGCAGTATATAACATTAAAAGGTTTAACTGGCAAAGCTTGGCTTGACATTTATCTGAACTATCCTTCCATGTCACTGATTTGTTATAATCACTGGTCATTAAGTAAATTTCTTAAAGTCTACAACATTCAGATTAGAACAATCTTAACAGTTTCTAATTGAGAAACCATCACAGTATACAGGTTGATGAAGCACGTGTAAGGAAAAAGACTGACTAACCAGAGAATGTAGAACTACTGGATCCAAACTGATGAATTAAACTACTGCTGGAAACAGTTACAACTAGAGGCAACGTATATGAGTCCTACCAAACTAAAGCAGGTTAAAAAAATGGTGTCTGGGCCCTCAGGTCTCTGGGTTCAGTTAGTTCGCTTTGTGTCTGCTCGCGGGGGCTGTACAGCGGAATCATGTGGTTGCAGTGCTCCAGCTGAGCTGTTGGAGGAAGTCACCAGTGCATCAAGAGGTTTGGGGCAGGCAGTCAGCTGTGCTGGATTCACCTGGCAACGAACAGTGCTCAGAACAGCCCCGTCAGGGCTGATGAGCAGCTTGGGGGATGTGTTGGTATGCATATTCAAGGCTGAGGTCTGCCCAGAATGTTTTCCAATTGGCTGATTGGTCAAAACGACAGGTGAGTGGACAGGGATTTTTGAATTCTGTGATGCACCCGCTTGGGCTGGACTTATTATAACAGAAGTACTTGATGAAGGAGCAACTGCCATAAGTGCTGTTTCAAAGGTGCTAACAGTACTTCCAATCGGTGGGACAGTAGCAATGGGCAGCGCCTGTGTCCTTGAAAATGTGCTGACAATTGGGGGGACAGCCACTGTTGGCAGTACTTGTGTCCGTGTACCAGTGAGCACTGGCTGTGTGACTGGGACCTGCGTGTTGACTGCTCCTTTGTGCACGAAACCCTGTGGATGACCAGAGGAGGGCACTGCAACTCTAAATGTTGCCTGCTGTGGATGAACCACATTGGGGCAAATAGTTGTCCCTGCAACAGCCTGCTGGAGAGGAAGAGGACTGAAAACTGGTGCATCTGCTACAACAGAAGCTGCAGCTGTGGAGTGGGGAACAGGAACTGGTATGACAGGGCTACGAAAGGCACCCATGGCTGGGCTGGGTATCACCCGCGACGACAATGCTAGTTCAGAGGATTTTGGCGAGGAGGCTTCTACTGCTGACGACTGGGACAAACATTCAGCTTGTTTTCCTGTACCAGCAGCAGATAAAGCTGAACTGAGAGAAGGGGCACTAGTTATCACTGGGGAAACTAGGGCTGGTGCACTGCCCAACCTTGAAGGAGAAGAGACCAGAGTTGATGAACCAACAGCAGGTAAAGCAAAGCTGCCGGCATGCATGGGTGGAAACCCCGAAATAGCTGACACTACATTTGTTTTACCGGGTATCAATGTAGACCCCAGGCCGGGTGTTCCTGTAAGTCTGATTGGTGGGACATGGGGTGTGGTGGCCAGTAAAGGTGGACCAATGGTTGGGGTGCATGCGACAAAAGGAGAACTTACAGGTGGCACACCCGGCAGCCGGGCTGCAGACTGGGGTAAAACTGGTGCCCGAGGGGGTGCACTGGCATGGCTAGTCCCTTTGGGAAGTACCGGTGCTACAGTACTGTTTGGGCTGGCAGCAGGCACTTGTGGTGCAGGATTAGAAATGAGAAGGACATGGCTGCCTGGACCCAAACCCTGGGGTGGGACCACAAAGCGTGTATTGTTAAGGAGGATCTGTGTGCCAGCAGCAAGGGGTGTAGAAGTGTTGATGATGATCCTCTGCTGAACTGTGCTAGTGCTGGAAGGGGGCTGAGCAGAGGAGAGGGGGATTTGGTTTTTATTTTGAGCCAGCGGAGAGGACAACAACCTGTTTTCCTCTCTCACGCCACTTTGGTTGTATGAGGGCCTAGAGTCAATAGTAGGTATGGGGGTTTGGCCTGGGCTACTCCCAATGGTAGTGGTCACTGGAGCAGGAAAACTGTTGAACAGTGTACTTCCAAGCGTGCCAACATAATTCTTGTATGTGTTTGCTGAAGGGATGTTGGCAGTAGTAGAAGAGGATGTAGAGCAAATCGTTTGGGAGTTCCCAGAGACAGAGGGGATACCAATGAGTGGAGAGGAAGTGGTGAGAGAAGTGCCAAGCTGTGGAGAAAAACCTGCAGCCGTCATTAGACTTGTTGCTGGGCGAAGTCCGGAGATGATGCCAGCTGTGGGACCACATGTTTCTGACACAGACAGCGGTGCAGCCTTGGAAGGAGACTCTGATAGCACTCCAATATTCTGCCCAATAGCTGCCAACTTCCCTGACAACTGGTTTTGAACCCCTGGTGATAAACAAAGAAGATACTTTGTATGAATGTTTCAAGCAAAATCAACTCCAAAAGGATTTCACAAACTTCAGAAATGTTTACATTTGGCTATAACCGACTTATATGTTGGATGACTTATATGTATCACATATTACATGTATATGACTTATATGTATATATTACATAACAGGGCCAACTCCTCTCAATTTGAGATTACATAATTGATATCTTATGTAAATTATGAGAGAACCAAAACCTGAAGCAGTAAGAACTGTCCTCAGCACTTTGCGACAGAATTGTTTCAAGACATATATGTGGGGTAGGACCCATGAAACCAGTGGAATTATTTAGTGCTGCAGAGAAAATTCACCTTTGCCTTTTCTCCCAAAAAGTGAGACAAACTGTTACATTTAAAAAAAAAATGAAAAAACAAAAAAAAATTCTTATAATATTAGTTCATTTCTATTTTAAGTTTACATTGGAAACCTACCAGTGGGCAGAGAATGGTTTTTAGTCACCGATGATGCCTCTGAGCTGACACTGGCAACAGGCTGGACTGGACTTAATCCCATCTTCAAAGTCTGGCTTAATAACGACATGCTCAGCGTCTGATCGTTTTTTCCAGAGGCCATCACCTGCTTTGGAATGCTCCCCATGAGGGTGGTCGGTGACGTCACTGTAGGCTGGCTGATGAACATGATTCTTGGGCTGGAAACCTGGACTGTGGGAGAGGGTGTGCCTTTTGATGCGGCAACACATGAGTTTGGGGAAGAAGGTGGAGCAACCAGGATATATTTATTGACCTGATATCCCTCATCTGTAGCTGCTCGTTTCACACCAGGTTTGCTGGTAAACTCTTGTTTAAAAACCTGGGGAGCAACAGAGCAACTTCCTGATGAGACAACAGCAGTATCATTTAACCTCAATGCTGGAAAGGGAGAACTAGCAGTAACTGGCAGCTGGGAAATCTGTGTGTCAACTGTAGAACCAACTGAGATACTACAGCCTTGACTTAAAAGAGTAGTAGTGCCTGTATTCTGACTTCCTGGACTTGTCACAGGAATGCTACTTGTGACTCCAGTAAGCGTAGAATCTGTGAGGGAGCAAGGGACTGTTAATACCGAAGGAACCTGCTTCTGGGGTTGGACAACTGACTTGCTTGTCACTGCTTGAAGAGTAGAAGAAGAGGTCTGAGAGGCAGAAGATGAATGTGTTGCTGAGCTCTTGGATACAAGAAAGGCTTTAAACTGAGGAGAAATTGTAATGACTGGGGTGTTGGGAAAAGCCCCGAGTGCATTCTGGTCGGACGATGTCTGGACTTTGACAATGCCCGTGTTGCCACCTCTAGTTGTTACTAGGATGGACTGCGAGTCCCGAATGCACACTGTCTTTAGCTCCTGTTTAGGGTCTGAAGATTTAGCAGTCGCAGCAGAGGCTGAACTTGACATATTTGCGGTGGGTGAAGGCGTGAGCATGCCACATTGTATTGTGCTGGCTTGCACACAGCTAACTTGTGACTTAAATCCTGCTGTGTTTGCAATCCCTTGCTGCAGATGAGAGGAAACAGAAACAGGAGGAGTCTTCCCTGTTCTGGCATCCTTTAGTGGGGCCACTTGCTGAACAGGGATTTTATTCTCAGGAATTCTGAATCCAGGCACGTTGGTGGATATACATACAGGGCTGGCCACCTTAGAAACTGCTACCTGAATGCCCTTAGACTGTTGTGTGTTTGAAGAGGAAGCCTTTGCTTCAGTGTTTTTAATGAGAAGGTTAGAGGGCAGGATCACCACCTGCTGCATTAGCTTCTCTGCAGGGTTCTGCTCCACAGCAGAATGAACGGGTGCCTTGGCGGGGCTGCTGTTGTCTTTCTTCACCTGGTGACCCAGTCCCTCCGGCAGCTTGTACATCACTTGGACAGGGCCTTTTGATTCTGCTCCGGAGGGTTTTGACTGCAGTGTGTGTGGAGGAGCAGCTGTTACGATTCCTGGCTGCCCAAAGACTTGCATCTGCTGTGGTCCCGGTAGCGTCATTTTTTGCAAGTTCTGTTGAGAACCAGATGGAGAAGTTTGTGCTTTTGAAAGTTTTGTGTTAATCACTGCAGAGGTAGGGAGGGAAACCAAAGACCCTTTTCTCTGTCCTTCTACACCGGCCACACCAGGATAATCAGTGGGTCTTTTCATCAAGGTCACTTTGTTCCCCACACTCTTGGCCAGCAGGGTGGGGATGGGCGTATAGCCCTTGGGAAGCCCGCTGGTTGGAGGGAGGGTGGGAGATGAGCACGACACTGTAGAATGAGCTGGGATCCCTGCTGTCCAGGCAAAACCCCGAGATTGTTTAGTTGTAGTCAGCTCAGATCTCAACACTTCCCTCGAATCGGCGGAGATAATGTTAGAGCCGATACCCTGATCTCTTGGCTGCAGACCAACGCTTTTCTCCGAGCTGCCCAAGTGGGGCTTCAGGTGGTTTGGAGATGTGCAGGTAACCATTTGTTCTGCATCTTCAGTGCCAAACTCCCTGGTGCTGGCTGAGAAGATAACAGAGATGTCTATTATAAGTACACCAATGAATGACAGGTTGAGATCATAACTACTGATACCCCAATTGCATCACTGGGAATAGATTAAATGTAATTTCTTTTAGCCAACAGCATATTTTGGAGGTTTATAGTATGGCCTTAGAAAATAACAAAAAGACAAAAAAAGACTATCAATATTCATCAGTGCAAAAATGGATAAGAAGTTTTGTTTTTTATCCAACATTTTTTTAAGCCAATACTATTTCCCCTCTGCAGGGCCAGCACAAAGCACTGTAAATCTGTATAACAACCCAAAACTGGGCTCCAGTGATTCTAATTCATCATAGTACCTCCACTCCAAAGGCCTCTGGGAACCATATGCTCAAGGTCTTCCCCTTCCGATTCTCCACCGTGATCCTTTTCAAGGTCCCCCTCTTCCTCATCATACTCATCATCTGATGATGATGACGCACACTCCTCACGCACAAAGTTATTGTACTCTGGGTGCTTCTTGAAGTCATCAAATTCCTTCTTTAAGCGGAGCCTGATGTCAAAGCCAAAAGGAGACGTTTTCGTTTTGTTTGACCATTGGTGTCACATTACACACAGCTGCTTGATGTTACAGATGTAATTTTCCTTAAAAAAAGATATTAACATTTTGTGAGACCTTTGTCTTGATGTCTAACCTGTTTCTTTGGAAAGCTTTGACAAGTTTGGGTTCCCAGGGTGAAAGTTCATTTAGAAGTCTGATTAAAGTGCTGTGGAGATCCTTCACTGCTTCTCTCCTGTAGTACCACCGACCCTGTCCATTCAAACACAAAAGAAGGGAAGGTCAGTAATCAGGATGAAAATGTAAAACAAAACAAAAAATCCAACCTTTTATTTGTTTAAAATAATTTCCCATCCATAGGCTATCGCTCACCAATCTCTTTTTTGTGCTCTCCAGGTCATCAAGCTCATCTTCTGTCTTACTGATCAGTTCTCGAAGTTCATCGAGACTGGTGCATACCAGCTGCGCAGGGCAAAAGATGAAACATACAAGCTTACTAAAAATGATTTGTCATAATCAGTATAGTACAAGGGAAAAAGAAACAAAAGTACATGCACACACACAAGTGGGACTACCTTAAAGGAGGGCTCCGATGGTGGTTCATCTTGAATTTTCTTCGAGGTTTCCGTATTTTTCCCTGCAAACAATATACAAAAAATCCTTACACACCGAGAATATAAACCGAACGCAACACATCCCTCCCCCCCTTGTTACCTGTTTTATGCCTTTTCTTTTTCTCCTTTCTTTTGGTAGTCGTGGCATCTTTGCAGTTGGCAGGCTTGGCAGCGTCAGCTGGGGAGAGCTCTATCCCGTCCACATGCTGCAGATGCTTTCGCTCTCTTTTCCCCCTCAGCAGCTGCTCCCTCATTTGCTTTTTCTGCCGCTTCTTTTTTTTACTCCACATTTTGTCGTCCACCCTGTCTTTACTTGAGTTCTGAGTGCTCTCGGAGGGCAGTTGAGAGGTCTGTTCGGATGATCCGCAGCAGCAGAAATGCTCAGCAGATTTAGCATTGCTAATTTTGCCTTTACAACAATCTGAACAGGGAGATGTTGTTTGCTCTCCACTCAAATTAACCTCCTTTTTTGTGAGTTCCAGAGGTTTGGCTGGGGATCCCAGGTTTATGGAGCGAGCGGGCGACCTGCCTGTATAGCTGTGCTCTCCCACATTCAGACAGGGATCTTGCGTTTCTGCTTTAATGGTGCGTTCTGAGCACGGTGAGAGGCCCTGCTCCTGCCTGGACTTTTGCTGTGCATCGGCTATTTCTTCTTTGAAAAGCATTTTCACATCACTCCATCCAACATCACCGCAGTGCCTCATACATAAGGGGTTAGTTTGTATTTTTAAGTCAGACGTAGAGTCTTCACAGTCATCTCCATCACATGACCCTGAGTCAGACATCTCCTCCATTAGTGACCATGAATTAAAATCTCCCTCTCTGCTCCCATTTTCTTTTTTGAAAATCCCAATTGTATCTATTGTCCTTTTCCCAACATCTCCAGACCCTTCTATGTCCATGGGGGTTCCATCACAAGCGCTGTTATTTTTATCTCCCTCATTCTTTATTCCATCTGAGTCTTCACCCTCTGTACCCGCTTCAAGTTCAACCCTTTTTACAAGTGTAGAAGGAAAAGGGAAATCTGGGGGTGTGCTGGGGCTCTGGCAATAGATCCTCAGGTCTGCCCCACAGAAATGTGGAAAATGTATGTAAGCATTCTCCTTACTGTCGTAGCCCAAAATAGACTCCCTACATTCATGGATGGGTTGGGCCAGCACAGCATCCTGTACGTCCTTCTGTGTTTCATACACGTGGTCACACAGCCCCTTCAGAAGCCAAACTCGCTGGTAGAAGTGCAACAAATGAAAAGGCTTCTCTTCCAAAGGATTCACCCCCCCGAGGATGCTAAAAAACTGGTGGGATAGTCCCAGCTGCTCTGCCCTGTGTCGCTGATTGTGGGAGTTGCCCACAGCTCGATACCATCCCATGACGCGCTGCCTCAGATCCGACTCCCAGCGGCGGTAGGGCAGCGTGGGCCGGCGGTGTAGAGTGACCCGCCGCTGTGCGGGGGACAGTAGGGAAGACATTATTTTGGAGAGGAGCAGGCTGCATCGTGGCATCAGCAAGCAACGCTCCAGCTCAAAAAACACTATCTCAGGGAGGTTGAGAGCAGTCTGAGCCAGGCAGAGAAAGTGCCCAATGGCGGGCAGCTCCCAAAGCATGTCGACAGCTTGGGGGGTCGCCTGCGACAGCAAGCTTTTCTCCCACTCCTCCACCTCTTTAGCCGACATTTCTTCTGCCTCTTTCTTCTCAAGCTCACGCTGCCTGAAAAGGAAAGCCCACATCATTTACCATTTGCTTTGTTCTCCTCACACCGAAATTTAACTCAACTCTTGTATTATTCTTCAAACTATTTCTTCCACATAGTCCCTCACCTCTTCTCCTCCTTTGCCCTTTGCTGCTCCTCCAGCCGTAGGGCCTGTACCATGACAGACTCGTGCCCACCAACTGTAATGGTAGCGAGGCTACGAGGTGCCAACCTCCTCCTCGTGGAGGTACCCCCTGAGGACCGCTCCTCTTCTGCTCCAAAACGGCCTTTGGAGGTAACTGCCAGGGTTGTTTTCTCTCGCAGCGTCCTAGTTTGATGCAGACAGACCAAAAAAAAAGGTTTTCCAATACAGCTGAACATATTTAACAACAGGTAGCATGGTTGTTAGGAAACCTATACTTAAATGTTAAATCATAAATAAATGAATTAAAAAACATATTACAGGAAGATACATTAATGACAAAAATGTCATATGGATGTGGATGTCTGCAATGATTAAATGGTTGCAGAGGAGGATAAGATGATATGACTTTTAACTGTGATAACTTTTTGGATGCTTTCCAGTCTTTCTTAAATTTCAGCAAAAACTAAAAGTTTTTCACTGCAACAAATTCTTCCCTGGAGTGATCATTAACATGTTCTTTGTCTCGTGGATTTTGTAAACTTTAGATGGCTTCAGATTTATAAATGAATCTTCAAACTCATCATGCAAGGCTTTGGGTGCTATTCTCTGACATCCTTTCTGTAGTTATATTATTATCACTGTCAGCATATTTTTCATAAGCTGAGTATTAAGTCCTCATCTTATTTAACTGACCTGAAAATTCTAATACTGACACGCTTCTCCTCATCTTCTCTTCAGCACACACATTTACAGTGACAGTAAACCATATAAAGGCTAATTTATATTTTATCGCTTAAAACTATTTAGGCGAATATATCAAGTTAGGAATGCTAATTTGATTCTCTAAAGAATATACAGAATATATATGTTTGTGTGTTCTGTGTTTCTACACATTAGGGATTATCAAGCTTTGAAAAGATGTATATAAAAATAATACTTTTTCATTCCATTAGCAGAATAATGTCTTGAATTTGTAATGCAATTCATTCTAGATATTTTTACTGTGTAGAATTCATATTGCACAGTCTAAAGGAAATTAGAGAAAAACCTGAACGGATTAAACCAAATAGCTGCACAATTTCATCATAAACAACAACAAAATATAAACTTGGTCAACAATTTAAGTAAAGAATTACTATAATTTTTACCTGGACAGCAATGTGAGCTTCTGTTCCAGCATTATTTCCAGCTTTTGAGCCTGTTTGGAGATCCAGTGGTCAACCCCATGGTAGCGATAACAGTTCTCCAACATCAACCTGAAGTCTGCAACATACTCCGTTATGGTGTTATATTCCTGGTTGATAAACTTCTCCTCTATTCTCCGCAAGCACATCGACTGCCTGAGCTGCGACTGAACCCGGCCCTGAACTCCCTCGATGCCATGCTGGGTGTCATGATGTCCAACGGGATGGAGGAACGGGCTGGTGACCGCTTTGTGCTTGTCCAGGAGGAAGCCAGTAAAAATTCTATAAGCCTGTTGCACCTCATAGTTCATATCATCCTCGAAGCTATTGCTGTTGGTAGAAATGCAGACCTCGGGCAGTGAGAGGTCACTGCTGGAAAACTCTGACATGCCGTCGCTGCTTGGAGGAAGGTGCTCACTGCCTGCTGTGGCATCTCCACCATCACCAGGACAGCGTAACGCCACGAATGTCCCAGCCTCATCACCACCGTTGCAGAACCCGTCTTCAGATATGACCAGGTCCGAGTTTCCAGAGCTGCTGCTCACCCATTTGGATTGTGAAGACATGTCATCTGAACCGGCCTGCTGAGGTGCCGACTTCTGGTCAGAAAGAGTCCGATCCTGCTTGTTGAGCAAAGGCTTGCAAAAAGCTGCAGAGATTTTGTCTGTCAAAACCTTATGATCCGTGGCTCCTGGAGTGGGTAACAGGTGTCATTTATGACCAACTTCCATTTGTAAAAAAACACTCTAACATAGTTTGAATGAATGTTAGATTGGGACATACAAACTGTAATTGAGCATTTATATTCCCAAATCAGAGAAAAACTAAAGCCCTTCGGAGGGATGTAAAAGGGAAAAATCTATATGGTTTCACTACAATTTCTGTCACACAGGGAAGTGACATTATTAGACAAACGTGATTAGACACAAGCGATCAGGTCCAGATGACAACTTTATCGAACTGTCAGATGTTCACAAAGTTTTCTTTTCCCTGGATTAAAGCTAGTTAGCTTCAAGTTAGCTATAGCGAGTTAGCTAACGTCAATTAAGACATAGTGAGCACACAAAGTTTGTTCTGTTTGCGCTTAGTGAACTCTAAAGACCATTCCCTGGTCATTTCTTATACCCCGATCACGTGCAGAACAGGAGCAAAACAAAGTGACCAAAGAGAGAATTTGGTTGGTTCAACTACATACCTCAACGTTACCTCCTCACGCGCACAGGGCAGGACAGCTTTTAGCAAGCTTAGCAAACACGACAGCTCGCTAGCAGTGTTAGCTGGCTTTTGTCTCCAGCTTGAGGCCTGCAGTTGCTCCGTTTGCTTTCCATAGTTCAATATTTAAAAAATGTACTGTCCGAGGGATAAAAGTTACGCAGGCTTTTCATGTCGTCATCGCGCGGAGTGATGTCAGTGACAGCAAGATGGCTAATGGAGCATTAGCCAGAAGTAACACTAGCTGATTGTCTGAGAATGCATAACAGTTCATTATCAATAGCTGTCCTGCTAATTAGAGGCTGTCAAGTTGTGAGCTATTTTATGACACGTGAAAATCTGTGGGTCCACTTCACAGACACACTGTCTTGACGTGACGAGTACATTGTGGACGCGGTGAGGTTAGAAAAAAGCACTGTCGACCACTCGGGGATGTGTCAGGAATAGTGAACCGTCCACTCGGCCGAAGAAGCGCTACTTCCACTCTGCGTGCACCCTATGCTAATTTGCACAACCTGACGTAACGAGTCGCTTCCGTGTTACACCAAGAAGTTTTGATTTTCAATCCAATGTTTTTGAGGATTTTGGAGAGACAAAAGCAAAGCTTTAGTATTGTTTTTTTGTGACTGTTAGTCACCGTCACACAGTTGTCACTCAAACGTATAAAGGAAAAAAAATTATAGGGCTGGTGCGCATAGCATTTAACCAGTGATATTTGACATTAAGACACTGATTCATAGCTTGCCTAAACGTTTTTCAGTGAAAGCCAAGAGACAAAGAAAGTACTGTCTCATGTATAGGGAGTTCTCATTTATAGCCACTAGATGGCGCTTGTCATTGGAGCAAACCAGTTCGAGTATAAATGAGATTTGTTCCTTTTTGAGCCTCAGATTTCCTCTCTTAGTCCTTGTTCACCTCATCAAATTTGAAGACAATCTGTATTTCTTTATGAACTAAATCCCCTTAAATAGAGCTAAATTACACTGTGAGGTCCTGATAGGTTAGCAAAAGTGTGCATGTCCATTAGAAGGGTTTGCATTTATTTCCTGCAAGCAGTAGTAATACACGAGGCCGGACATCAATCTCCTACTGGGAAAAGTCTTAATTAAGTACTTATTCCACTCTTTGATTATTTAAGATGTCAATCTGGCAATCAAAAACATGTTCATTGTAATGATGTAGTCATACTTAGAGATTTTGGCCACCACTGTCCAGTAAAAGGTTCCAGAAGGAGGAAATTCTCAGTCCGATGTAATTTCATTACATTCACATCTCAGTGGATTATTTTACAAATCCCTCATCTTGGATTATTTTGTATCATTTTGCACTTCACATCTATTCAGGGTTCTTTGCTTTCTTAATTTAGTTTTTTCTTTAATCTTTTGTGGTAATTTTATGGCTCAGTCTGCATTGTTATGCTTCTTCTTGTCTTGCAGGTTTCTTGCTTTTTTCTTTTGATTTTTGCTGTCATTAAAAACATTCTGGTCCTTCAGTCGTATATGACGCCTGTGTGTCTCGGTGGCCTTATTGTATCTCCTAACAGCTATTCTGTTCTGTTTCCTGCTATTTTAAATTATCGCTCAACGTCCATCTCGCTCTTCACATGTCTAACACTGGCCTCTGAAAAGCCAAAGCAGTCAATCACTATACAATCTAATCTGAGGATTAGAAAAGGGGCCCCATCATCCCTTTGGGCCCCTGGCCCTGTGCCCACTAAGCTGTTCAAGTCTCCAAAGCTTCAGTTTGCTCAGATCCAAGAGCAAAATAACTGCTTTAGGTTGCAAATCAAAATACATCCCTGACCCACCATTATGATTATTTCTTATCAGAAAAGGGATTGAAAAGAAAAAAACTAAACAAAGACACTTGGGTAACAGACAATGGGTGTCCTAAATGATAACAGAAACAACAATGGTTTCCGTAAAACACAAATCATAGCGTTAATGTTGAGTGAGCTGGTTACGATGTCTTTTAGACAAGAGCACACGATTATTGGTCAAATTCACATTGCTCAAGGTCTCTTTTTATTTGAAAGGAGAGCTGTGCCTTTAACTGCACACGGAGCTCGCTTAACGTTACTTCGCGAGATTTGCTTGGCGCCGCGACCTCATGTGAGACACCTCCTGCGCGAGCCAGTCCGACGCTACCTCTGCAGAGGAAAACGCAATGGAGCCCTGAATCTATTCGTTTCTCTCCCGTTCGAGACCCTAAACACATCCGCGTCCGGGCAAACAGTTTTATCCGCTATTTATTTGAAGCGTAACAGGGCGGTGCAACGATGTGGATCCAGGTTCGTACTATAGACGGGAAGGAGACACGAACCGTTGAGGATCTTTCTAGATTGACCAAAATTGAGTCTTTAAGGCTGAAAATACAAGACATCTTCAACGTAAGCCCACAACAGCAGCGCCTCTTTTACCGAGGGAAGCAGGTAAACCGTTTTTTCTCTGTCACTTCGTCATGCAACTGCCGGTTTTGACGGCTGACAGGGCTGGGTGCTGGTGGAGGCTGAGTGGTCCTCCTGGTGTGGAAGCCTTTTCGGACCCATGCAAGCTTCCTGTTTTGATAGGAATTCGCCAATAGTTCTTGCGCAAGAGCCCGGGGTACGCGGTGTGCCATCCCGAGGGATAATGTGGATGCACGGATGTGCTTTTGCGGGTCTTTTGTCGGGGCTATTGAGGTTGGTGGCGAGGAGAGCAGTATGCAACAAATGCCCCGCCGCCGTAGACATGTTTGTTTACATCGCCACCGGAGAGAAAGGAGAACACCGCGCTCTGTTTCCACATGTCGACCGAAGTAGTGCGCCGTAAACGCACCACTTGGGTTTTAACGGTTCTCGTTTAAGCGTGATTTTTAAAATGCTGTAAAAGGTCTCCCGAAATACAGCGTCTACATTCCTGTTTTGGGATTTCTAACACGTTTCTGAGGGCTTTGGAACCTATTAGGGGAGATCAGAAATTTTGTGCACGCCGCGTTCAAATGATGCTGAGAGTGTGAACTTGCCGGAGTAGGTGAGGCTGTTTGCTACACGTGCCACAAAGCAGGTGTAGTTGTTTACACCCCGGCGTCACCACTGTACCCACAATACACAGCGAGGACACAGAGGGCTGTCTACTGTAAGGAAACACGTCCTTTGGCGTTCCAGTCTGAACGCTTTTTTGGGGCGTTTTGGGACACAGAAGCGTTACCCAGACGTGTCCGGCGTTAAGAGCCAACATCCGAACCCACACAGTCAGCCACACTTCACTTTCATAGGATTTGCATTTTGCGAGGCCCAGATTTAAATGAAACTCATCAAACCGACTCAGTGTTGTTGTAGATACTTTATTCTCTGTTAATAACCAGAGAGAAGTCATTCAGCTCTCTTTCTCAGTTTACTGATCAGTGCAATAAATTACATTAAACAGTGATTATCTGTGATTTACAGATCGAGATTTATTAAAAGATTAATTCATTATTAGCTAAAAGAGCAATTGAGCTATGAAAACCTGACACCTTAACATCTTGGGTTCACAGTAGACAAGAACAAAATTAGTTTTATAAAGCTAAAAATGGAGAGTGTTTCTGCAGCTCGAAGGCCCCGATAATGCTGCTGTCTGAGTTCACAGCTCACAAACCCATTTGAGGACCCCGGTACGGCCTATAGAACATTCCGTAAAACCTTTATTGTTTTTTTATCCAGGTATATTTGAGCCAGCACTGCAGAGTGTCACTCTAGCAAAACGACATGGTAACAGTCCAGGACATTTTCGACATCAGTAGACTGCATCCACCATCGTAGCGGCTACATCAGGGCTGAGGCGCCTAGTCACTGGATTTGCATTTCAATTCTCTGCTCATCCTACTGAGAACAGATGCCAGTGTACATTTTCCCTCAGACCTAGTAACTGCTGGCATCGTCGTGACTTGCCACAAGTTTTCCGACGACGGTAAAAACTGTAATCTGCTTCCCCAAGAAGAGCGTGTGTGTTTTCTGTGTGCGCTTTTGCTGATGACCGCAGGGAGCGTGCAGCCCTCAAAGCCTGCCCTTTTTTCTGCACAGATGCAGACTTATTTTGGTGTTATACACCACTTGCAATTTAAATTCCAGCTGTTCGAGAAATAGACAGAATAGACGTCGCACGCGTCGACGAAGTCATGCAACACGCTTTTCAGTCGTACAAAATAATGTTGCGTTTGTGCTAATTCATCAATGCACACCTACACAACGAGCCGTGATGTCTTCCCGTGTGGAGGATTATTGCGTGAACTGACGACTCTCGCTGCTGGCAGGACACTGGCGCCGTGATTTTATTCCGATTTTCAGTGTAACATTACAAAGCTGATAACTCACACAGTGTGAATCAGCCAGGCAGAGAAACCCCCGGGAAGAATGGCGTACATGATATGTTGATCTCACTTTTCTTACGTTTAGTCACACTTTCCACTGTTCGGATGTGTAAGGCTGTATTATCGGCCAACAGTTTCCTTTGCAAATGGTAATCTGCATTTTCAATTTGTGCCTTAGTTGCTGTTGACTAACTGAATGATGATGACGTCTGACTGGATCATGAGTTCCCGATGGGCAGAGTTTGTGCTCTATGTGCTGTGTCGCATCATATGGAGACAGAAAATGAGATGCCTGTTGTCGCACGTTTTTGCGTCTGAGGGACAACGGCTTAATGGGCACACTCGATAATGGTAATTGTGTAACTGATTTCCCTAAACTGAACGAATACCTTGTGTGGTTTGGAAGTAATTTAGAACATAAGAATTGCTCATGTTTACCGGGCTTGTATCAGTGGAGTTAGTGTAATTAATAATTCATGCTTTATTAATAACCAGTCAGGTGTCATGTTGGAGTTTGTGCAGGTTTGCGCAGAGGATCCCGGGCTAGGCCTGTGTGGTGAATCCTGTGCTTCCTTTTTGTCAGTGGAAAATAAGGGGTGAGCCTCCATTAGGGGATTTCCAAGTACATAGTATTGCACGGAATGAGCCAGTGACACGCAGCACAAACTAGCTAGTACCCTTACATGCACAGTGGTGCCTGCGCTCTGTTAGGATTTAGACTTGTAGCAGAGCAACTCGGTCTAATTCTCTTTTCAAAATGGCGTCTTGTTTTTCCCTCCAGCTCAGTGCTCACGCTGCCTCACCAGTTCAAAGTCATGCCTGCCCTTCATTCGGGGGGCCAAGAGCCTTTCAACTTCGCCTTATTGTTTAGATTTCTAGCTTTTTTGTCTTCAAGATTGCCGGGCCACTCTTTGTTGTGTATTTGTTTCACTTTTACTGTCTGTTGTCAGTCGTGCTCGTGAGCAGGCTCCCACCCACCCTCCACAGGCCATGTGGCCTTTTCTGCTCCGCATCCGCTCTCACTACACAGGCCTCGCATTTACTCATTTGAGATTTGGCTTTTGGTTAGTAGCTCATCTGGGCAATTTCAACATGGAGCTGTGGTTCAGTTGTGATATCTATGGAGGAAGGAGCGCGTCCCGTGTGTGAATAGTTGGGCTCCCTTTCGCGCTGGCTGCTGCCCGTGGATGGCCCGCTCTCTGTCACACAAGCCGCTGCCGTGACCTCGATATTGTTCCAATTTGATTATACATGGGTTGATGTTGTGACTCGTCAGTTGACGGGGGCTTTTGAGGGGTGTTGCTTTGCCGTTGCATTTCAAGGGAAGCTAAGTTAGCTGCAGCCATGCATGCACACAGTCACACCCTTCTTTGACAGATAGACTGGACAAAGGGCAAAGACAAAGAAAGGCACTGAACCAGGACACACAAGTGCAGGCTTTTTTAATCCACTCACTTGTTTTCACAGTTCTTCCACCCCTTCCCATATTTGGGATTTCAGCTCGCCTTCTTGCCAAATGTCCTCCCTGTTGTCTATTGGCTAATATGAACACAGTGTGTGTCATAGGGTTTCATTAGTAGTTCAGCTTACTGTGACATGTAATACCTACTAATAAATCTCTTTGGTTTGGGTCCCTTCCTGGAGTCAATTACAAAAGCACCATCCGAAATCTGGAGATGGGATTGTCTCTTAAGCATTTTTTAAGCAAAAGAACACATGCTTGTATTACATCCTAACTGAGTGAGAGTTCAGTTGAAAGGCAGTTTGTGGATTCAGATATTTTCCAACGGTCAAGAGATTATTGTGATGAAGGACGGGAAAGCAAATACGCTTCAGTTCCCAATTCCAGTCCAGCTAAACATTTCTATAGCGTGAACAAGATGATAGACATTTGCAATTTTACTTTTTTTGTTTCGGGGAATCCAACTGTAGGAGCGAGCGGCAAGTCATCTAAAGAACGATGCAAAGGGACGTAAAAACAAAGAAAACCTTTGTCAGCTCTCCCGTTAGCTGATGAGCAACGGGTTTCACTTGAAGATTAAATGACTGTGGGCCGAAAGGGGGATAAAAGGCCAAAGTTAGAGGCTTGTAGATGGCTGGCACGCAGACACACCCCATGTCATTGTTTTTGGTAATATGACCTATTTTGCTCAACTCCTTGCTAACAGACCGAGGGCGGAGATGAGAAGTAATTGTGCTGGAGTTGGATGTTTGGGCAGTCTGCCTGAGAAGGCCGATTGCAGCTCTGCGATGACATTTCCTTCCCTTAAGTCGTGTTGTCTTCAGCTTGTGTTTTACAGCTTCAGTCTAATTGCTGATATTAAATGGGCTGTTTTGATTAAATTTCTCATTTTTTCCCCGCTCCTTTTGATTCAACCTTCACCTATTACTACCTCATTGTTATTCAGTGACAGATGGTGCTCAGTTGTGTGAATGGGAAGAATTTTTTTTGTCTGTACAAGCCTTTGAATACAAAGAAAAAGACTCTGTCTCAAAGCATGTTTGCACAACAATAAAAGATGATGCTGTGTTATGTTCAGCTCTCTCTCCACCACCTGTTTTTGCCGTTTGAAAGCGATCATCGGCAGCACTTTCAACCGTGGAGACAGATTTCTTCCATTACAAGAGATCTAATAAAGAAATGCCAGCATGTTTTAGTATTTGAAGCGGGGTCTCAAATGTTTGCTGCGCCTCTACAGCAGCCACAGGTCTCTGCCTCGTCAACGCTTGATGTTTGCTCTGATATTATTCTTTGTGTTGCTTTTTCCCCCCTCCGAAGACGTGTTAAATTTCAGCAGGGGGATAAGTGAGTAAGTGTTCGTTTTATTCCCTTCTGCAGCCTGATACGCTGACATGTGAGTACACACAATTGTTTGTTCGGAATCAACCCGCCCTAATGTTGATGTGTCCTACTGGAATACTATTTGTCAATGAGATGAAAAAGACCGTAGACCACTTTCTTTAAATTATTTTTTTAACTATGTTCTGTATGAAGGTGAAAATGTCAAATCTATGGCCTGTGGCAACATTTTGTCAAAGAGATATACACCTGCACAAATAGGTAACAATTCTTCCCAACATTTGAAGGTGTATTTGCTCGTTCTTTGTTTTGGGGATTATTCTGCTGAGACTGAGACTGAAGTCAACACCTTGCGGTGAGAGGCTGATCTGGCTGACGGTAATGTAGTCGCTGTGGAGAGCGCACACAAACAGCCGACATGTCATTTGTATTTGGTGCAGTGCAATTCTGCCGTGCGCCGTCCTGATAATGCACGGTTCCCCGTCCCCCTAACCCGGACTGACCCGAGCATCCAGGCTTCCTGCCTCTCGTTCCGCAGGCAAAACTATCGCCTGTGTAGAGACCCCGGGTTTGTTTACGTCCCTCTTCTTCACGCTCGGAGTGAAGCACGGGCAGACAAAAGAGGAGACACACTTTTCTAAATCGAAGCTTGAGCGTGGGTAGGGAGACAGAACAAGAAATGACAATCCACAGACAGACAGGCAGGTGAGTGTAACTACTGTATGGTGGTGTTTGCACCACTGCTCCTCTGATCTAAATTTCATGAGACTGTTAAAAAAAAGAAAAAGAAAGGGAGGGACGGGGATGTGGCGCCTGCTCCCTCAACGCTCTCGTGCTCCATCTCCAACGGCTGTCCTCCCCATTGTCATTAACGAAGAAGAGGGAAGGGGATCATGAGCGGGGTTGGCGGCCATGCTTGTCTGCCCGGCACAATGGGTTTGTGGGGACCGAGGGGCTGAAATGAAAAAGCCGACGCCTGCTCGGAGTCGGGGCGCCCGCCATAAGCTCCACCACAGCCCTCACTGTACAGTACAGTAGATGTTTGTGGGAGAGGAGTTATTTAGGGGTTCATGATGGCCCGTGTTTTCTGCGGCGCATCTGAACGCGTTTCTGTTTGGGGGAGCCAGTTTTTCTGCCGCTCTGCCTGAAGGGGCCCCGCTGACGACGATCAAGGTGCCGGGCTGTGTTGACAGCAGTTGTGTGCACATATAAGATTGGGATTTGTGGGGGGTGGGTGTGAGAGCGTGCGCGTGTTGGTGGTTTGGGGTGGGGGGTGTTCTCATTTCGGTTGTCACGGCAACCCAGTCATTTCTTTCCCCCAGCTACATCCCACTATCACTGTAATTCCTGCGTTTGTATCTTTGATTTATTTCTTCGCAAAATCCAGCGAAAGCGGCGGCATGGCGGCGTATGCTTCCAGGGGACTGGCTAAATGACCGCACACAAGCGCTTCAGTGGCTCCCAGCGGGACGGAAGCACGCCAGTCTTTACTAATAATTGATTTCTCCAACCAGATAAGGCTACGTTGGCTCTACAGTTATGTTTAATGTGTATCTAAATGCATTTAATCTAGATCGGAGCTCTGGTAGAGAGCAGGGGAGCAGGTGTGGACCCCTATTTTCATGTTTTCTGTGTTCTGTTGTTAATAAATTATTCATGAATGGTTTATGAGATTTGAAAACCATAACATTATGTCTTTCTTTTTTAATTGATTAGGTGATAGATTTTGCACATACTTAGTGGATTGTTGGGTGAGCCCGCAAGTTATTCTGGGGTTTTTCTCTCTTGTGCTTTTTCTTTTCGTGCAAGTGACTTTTTGCTTTGTGTTTGCCTAGATGGAAGATGGTCAGACACTGTTTGACTACAATGTGGGACTCAATGACATTGTCCAGCTGCTGATTCGCTCTCAGGCTGACCCCCCTGATAGCCCGGCCACCAAGGACTCCTCAGGTGTTGCCTGTAGTTCTGCTCCTCCGCCTGATTCAAAGTCTGAAAGCTGCAGTTCCCCAGCTCCCGTCTCCCCTGCATCGATGGAAACCTCTGCAAATATGAACAATGAAAACATCAGCATCACCTCCAGCACTGTAAATGAAACCAAGCCAGACACCAGCGCTATCAGTAACTCAACCAGTACCAAAAATGGGTTCAAGTCCCCCAGTCCAGCACAGGACACTCAGCCGCCCACATCCAGCAAAAACACACTTACTGACCCAGGAATCGGCCTGTACAAGGTGAGGATGGGACCGATTAAAAGGGAAACAATTACCAAGTTTTTCATGCTGATTTGATTTCTCTACATGTATTGTCTTGATTATCTTCTTCTTTTTATTTCCCTTAAGTTGCACAAGTGACTTATTTTGAGCGCTTAGACTTATTTTTTTTTATAATTCCTTGATTAATGGTATTTAGGCACTTAGTCTATTGCACAATTCGTAAGTCTTTGATAGGAGTTTACCAGCCTTTTTGAAGACCATCCCAAAGCTCTGTTTTGCATGCATGCTGTCTTTTGTTCCGTTTTCTGACAACAATGTTGAAGTCCAGGCTCTGAGGAAGACTCTTTCCATCCCTTGGATCTGTTCTTTCTTTCCTCTCGAAATGATGGGTACCACATAGATAGACTCTACAGTACTGCAAAGTGTATTCAAACTGGTTTTCATATGGTCTAACTAACTGGGAAGCAGTGGGCATCACTGGATATCAGTGTCACATGTTCCGAGGCCTTAAGCATTCAACTTGGTATTCACAAAGCAACACAGCTGACTTGGATGGGAGTGATTTGGAGTGTGTCAAACATTTATGCAATACTTATATCACGAAACTCCCTCAATTAAAATAATATTACACAGACGGTTCATTCAATTATTGACGGGTAGTTGTGTCTGTGGTGTATTCATGTCAGTTAATTGTGGAGTGGGGGAGGTGTCTACAAGTACTTTGCACTGAACTAATTGCAAAAACCTTTATCTTCAGTGGTGGGGATGAGAATGGAAGCAGCAGAACACCGTATCTACATTTTTCTCTCTATATCAAACTCCCATTCAGTCTCCCGTTTGCTGTAGTCTGGCCCCCTTTATCATGAATTAGCTCTGAAATGCGTCCCCACAATGTCTCCTCCTGCGCTTGAAGCAGAGAGGAACAACACAAAAAAATCCTTTAAAACGGCCTGAAAAGGTCTGGAACCCTGTAAATTGGCATCTGTGTGATCTCTTGAGCCTTTCTGTCTGTGAGCCCAATCATGTTTAGCTTTTATGTGTAAGAAGGGCAGTGATGACGTTAGGTGTGAGTGGAAAGAGGAGAGGAAGCAGGGCTTAATCAACGCACTGCACACCGCCCGCATTTGAGTGGAAAACTGTGAATATATGAGTTATAACAGTGCAACTAATTAGAGGAGTATGATTGTTAGTTGACCAAAACAGGCTTTAGTTGGAAATACAGCTTTAAGTTAAATTGCTCTTATTGCTTTTTTACTTAAGGTTTTGAGTGAATGTATGTTTCTTGAATTTACTCTCAAACAACAATATCTAGCAGAAATCATAACCCAAACACAGGCGGTCTGGTTACACAATTTTCCGTTAGGGTAATAAAGCTCTTTCTCCTATTGCACAGACAACCTTGAGAATTGCCTGCCCAATACAGGAAATTAGCCGTGAAATCCAATGGAGTATTCATTTTGAGTCCTCACTGGAGACCAGGTGTTACCTCTGTGTTTGTGTCTCCTCAGATTAATGAGCTGGTGGACTGCAGAGACGTGAGCATTGGCGCCTGGTTTGAGGCGTGCATCGAAAATGTGACACTCACTCCCAAAGGACAGATAACACCCACCAAGGGTAAGGTGGGTCGGCCTCCAAAAAGGACTAATGGAAAACTGGAGGCTGAGCAGGGGCAGGCCAACAGCCAGGGTCAAACTACGGACAGTAACAGGAATAATGTTGTGTTGAATTCGGAGAGTAATGGAGCCTCCACCTCTCGGACTGACTCTACAGCAGTGGACAGCAAACAGAGAGAAGAGGATGTAGTTTACCACATTAAATATGAAGAGTGAGTAATGGCCCGTTGTACCACATCATTTGTGATCTTAACGTGCGCATGTTTTGCTGATACCTGCACAGTCACAGTGCAGCAGCATTCGTTCCAATGTCAAATGCTTTCTGGGATCAGGGATGAAAGTGTTGCACCCAACAGCAGAAACACCCGCCTTTTGTCTTCCTAGTTGTGTAGAATTTTTGTGAAAACCTCCTGTTTTGTCCACCCAAGCAATATCGGTGATGTTTGTCTCAGTAATGGGGGCTCTGCTGGAATTGCTGCCTGCTCTTGCCTGGCACTCAAAGGGATGGAGAACACGGGGTTTGTGTAGTTCATGCTACAATTTGGACATCATCGCTCACATTCCCCTTCTCCACCAAATTCATTCAGAAGCCCATGTTTCCATGGTAACTCGTGAGTTCTCGGGAGCATTACTTCTTTGCTTGCCTCCTTCAGCTTTGTCTGTAATTGCTGTGAACGTGAGACCAGTGAGACGGCCTGCTTGCTCTGCCTTTGGCAGTGAGCATGTGCGTGTATATTTCTGCCTACCGCTGCTATTTCAGAGTAATTATGTCAAGGTATGTTATATCTGTTCGTGTTTGCTTTGGTCTCTTTCTCTATTTTCAGACTTCATTGCTATTTCATATTCCTCAGTCTTCCAAATCCCATGTAGTTTATTTGGATTGCCGTATTTTACGGGACCGGAGTGCCCCTGCAGGGATAATCCAGATCTGCCCAATCACTCCCCATCTTGTTTTTACTTTCACTTTTTAATTTAATTTTTTTTGTGTGTGCGCAAAATAATGTAATTTTTTTGGCAAACCCCCTCCTTGGTGACAGTTAAGATGGACAGCTAAAATGCATCTGACAGGCTTGAAACCTCAATGTCACAGCAATGTGTGATTTGTGTCTTCACCAACGGAGCCAAAAGCACCGTCCCAATTAGTGTTTTCCAGAGTAGTCCCACTCAAACACAAATTGTCGACATCATTTTAGTTCAGTCTTAGATACAGCCTGTTTGATAGATCGTTTCGTGTCTTGTTGAATGTGAAATATCCCGCTCCGTTCTGAGTGCCGATCTTGGTTTCTTCCATCATTTTGTTTGCCAGTGAAAAGCGGAGGGTGGGTATGATTGCGCTGTCTTCCCATGCCGCGTTCTCCCCTTTTAACACCTGCCTGCATAAACCGAGAAAGACACACCAGTCCTTCTAAGAGATCCGCCATGTTTTGACTGCATCTGCACAGAATATAATGATCCACATAATTAAAATGAGCATGATGCAGGGAGGCATGTCAGAGAGGAAGTGGCATGTGCCTGTATGATGTGTGTTCTGGACTATGGTGGACTGGTTAAAACTTAACTGAGCTAATAGATTAGAATTTTGAGGAAGGGAACATATATAGACAAAAGGGGGAAAAGTGATCTTATTGTCTGCTCACTTTACATGCAAGCACTGAATAATTCTAAGTGCCCAAAAGCACCTGAATAAAGCCAAAATTGGAAAAGGTTTTAGCAATAATTGCTCCCCTCTAAAGTACAAATGACTTACATCTGTCTGCTCATCCTAATCAGAAGGTGCCTCATCAGCCGATATCTTTTTTTCAATTAAGAAATACTTTCTTAAAATTTTTTTTTTCCTGAGAAGCCCTTCTCTGCTGCCAGAGGCTGAATGTGCACAAATGGCCTGTCAGATTGGGGGCAGAGGAAGATGACAGTGATTTGAGGTGATTGCCGTCTTTAAAGATTTGCTCATATAAATAATTGTGAATTCTTAAGAAATTTGGTGAAATTTTGCTCCAGATGCTCCATGGCTGAGTTTTGAATATAGAAAACCAAACAAATGGTGTTCTACACAAAAAGAATTCTAGCAGATGTGAGATATATAAGAAAAAAAATCTTGATTTATTAAAACTCTGAACAGAAACAATATAAAAGTCTGAAATAGCTTCTATGTTGTTTTCATTCAAAGAGTTTAAGCTAATGCTTTTACAGCAACATGAACCGTGGTCTATAGATTTATCATAAAAAAATTAACTTTGATCAACAGTAAGGCTGGTAAACCACTATGTTAAGGTACAGTAATCAAATCTCTGGCCTTTATGCTGCCATAACCATGTCATATTACTCGTGTCTAGGCCCATGTTCACAGTGTTACAGCACTTAACGTTTAAAATTCTGCTTGGCTGCTTGTGGATGTGGACTTGTGTGCTGTGGACATAGGATAATTTACACTTTAATGAAAGTCTCCTAAGAAACCTTTGTTCCTAATTGTGTGACAGGGTTATTTGCCACGGTACGACACCAAAACAGGCAGTTGTATGAAGATAATTGCTGCTCAGCCAAAAACGTTTTCATTAAGTCAGTGATTCTTTATTTCCATATATGCCACCACACACTTGTCATGGGTCATGAGAGAGGGTTGAGACGCATTAGTTTGAGTCGGTACACGCTTTTGAATAGTAAAATCAGAAATGCCGAGCTCCATTTTGCTGCTTCAGTTTCGGGGGCCTTGACATCTGCATTCGGACTCACTCAGACTTTGTGATGACTTAAGCCCTCAACAAAACAACAAACCCCACCGCAGCCATGAAGGCATTCAGTGACCTGTCAGGTGACTGCAGCAGAGCAGAAACATCACCTGGTAGACGCAGTCATATCCACTGAGTCTGCTGCTTTTGCACCTTCACACAGGCTTTGAAAATACACATTTACTGAATACTGGCTTTTTGAAACAGACAAGAGCATCTACACATTCCCAAAATCAATGCGATGGCATGATGGTTTCAATAATCATGCTTAATGCTTTCCACTTTAAGGTGATAGTGGGTGTTAATGCAACCGAGTGGGTAAAACGCTGTTAAATAGGCTGTAGATTCTAATTAAATTGGGTCTACATATCCAGCAAGATGAGACTTTTCCAGTGTGTAAAGTGGTGGGAGGTTTTAAGAGCACGCCTGCTACCTGAGTATCCCTGAGAGTGGTTTTTATGTCCCGCTTTAGTTTATTATTCATTGAGAACAGTTTGAGTTTGGCTTCTTTTTCTTACGCAACTAGCTCTTTGTCTCCTTTTCCGAACAAAGCCGTCATTGTTTGGTGGCCGAGCCAGACTGACATATCAGTCATCCAGATATATTAGCCCTGAAATATTTTTTCATAAAGCAAGTTGCAGATAAAACTGCTTGGTTCTTTGTCACTTTTACTTGGCAAGCCTTGATAGGGAAAGTACAGTTTGACATTCCTGTTGGGAAAGTACAGGTAAGTAATATCCAGCAGAAGTCCGATTTAACTGGCCGTATGTTATTCTTTCTATGTCAAGTCCAGATGTTTGCGAAAAAGGCCAAAAATTCAGCTGACTACGATCTCGATGTAGCCTTTGTTTAGTACCTTTGTGCATGTAGTTGAAAAGTTAATTAGTTTAACTTTTGAATCAGTTCAATTGTAGGGGCTTATGTGGGGGAAGATTCAGGTCAAATTGGTTTTGTTGCCTCACGCTGTTCAGATAAAATGCACTTAAAGCAACATCCCGAGAAGGCAGCCTCCACCCTTGAAGCTGTAGTAGCTGCTGGGAATGCCGGTGTCTCTGCTGATTCCCTGCCAAACTGTTGGGCAGCTGTTGCCACTACCGGTGCCAAACGGATCCAACTCAACCTTTTTTTTTGTTGTTTTTCTGTTTTTTTTCACTGGCTATTGTCAGTTCCAAACAAGGTCACTCGAGGCATTTAATTTGCAGCTGTGTGGTGGCCAAACATGAGTGGGAGTTATAGTTTGGGGATTGTTTGAGCAAGTAGGGTCAGTAAGAAGCGGCAGTGGAAGTTCAAGGTTAGCGTAGACTTTAATTACCAGCGCGACCTCCCTGTGACTTCCTCTTTTGTCTCCTTTTAGAACATGTAGTTAGGCCACGCTGAAGCCCACAGAGTCGACTGCTACTGCTTGTTATTAGGAAAGCTGTTCATTTGACCAAAGAAGCTAAGGTTTTGCAATGCACGTATTACGTTTCAGGGCTAGCAGCTTAAGCTAGCTTGGTTTAACTGGTGCACGTCATGGTGCACGGTCATGTAACGCCGTTAATTTAAGTGTGGCGTCGTCATTTTACAGCTGTGCTTTCTTTTTTCCTGTTCAATGCAGGCATTTTAGGTTGGCATCGATCCTTAAATGCCCGAGCACATGCTCACAATCTGTGGCAGGACGTATGCTCCGAGTCTGTGTGGTCTTAAGCGCTGGCACTTCTGCCTCCATTGTGTTGCTCCCTGTACTCCTTCTGTACATGTTGAGTCTCATTGTTGATGGGCCTTTGGTACTTTGTGTGTCTGTGTGTGTGTGTGTGTGTGTGTGTGTGTGTCTACACGTTTGAATGTTGGCGTGTGACTGTGTGTTTTTGTGTTGCTTCTTTTCACCCACCACTTTTCCCTTAACCACATTAATCCCTTGGGCCTAAAAAAGGAAATCCCTCGTCGGTGCCCCGGCTTTCTCTTCCTTGCAGCATTCTGGTTACAGTCTGTCTCTGTGGGTCCCCCCCTCGTTGAGTTTCAAAACGACTTGATAGTTTTTCTAGAAAATAAAAAAACAAGTAACTATAATACTAATTTATTTCACTATTTTGAGCCATCTTCTTTTTTTGTTTATATGATGTAATATATGATAACTGAGTCTGAGAAGCTACTGTGTAGCAGAACTTGAAACACATATAACATATAAAAAAACATTTATGTACATTTTTAGCTTGATCATTATGAGTGAGGACAGAGAAAATGATAATACTTCTTTAAAAACTCGTGGGTATAGTGTGTACCTACGAGTACCCTAAAGTTGGTGTCTTGACATCTAAATACACCCATTGATGCTTAAAATCGAAGGCAATGATTCATGAAATAATACATAATAAAAATGGGTAAAAACACAAGCATGCGATATTCTTTTTCTAATTCCACCTTCACTACATTTTGTTAATGAGCAGGTCCAGGAGAGTTTTTGTCAGCAATTTTTTGCTTGAAAAAGTTTCCGCTAATCCTGTAATGAAACCGACACTTGGGTCTTTTTTTAAAAGAAGTTCCTTATATTACAGGTATTTTATGTGCCTCTGATCTGGTGTGTGGTTCTGCAGACTAGTGTAGACTTGCGGGTTTCTTTAGGGAGGCAGGTTTTGCTTATCAGCACAGCTCTCTTTGGCTTAATGCATTGTGCTGTGCAGGTGATGACTTTTTTAATGTCAGGCTGTTTTGCTGGTTTGTACCTCTGAGGATACTTTTGATGTCAAATGTCTCAATTTTTTCTCTTTGGTTGTTTGTAACGTAGTGAAGGCATCACACCAGCAAAACGTATATGCGGCTTTCCTGAAATGCACAGTGGTGGATCCCTTTGTGAAAGGTGTACCCTGCTTAAAGAGCCCTATGTAGAAGTGTACTGGGAGTAAGAAGGTTGGAAACCTTATATCTAAACCGTCTCTCTCCCAGTTACCCAGAGAATGGCGTGGTGGAAATGCGGGCGGTGGATGTGCGACCCCGTGCCAGGAGCCTTCTGCGTTGGGACCAGCTCCAGGTGGGGATGCACGTGATGGTCAACTACAACATGGAGACACCAGAAGAGAGGGGCTTCTGGTTCGACGCCGAGATTGTGGCTCTCAATCAACCCTCCCGTACCAACAAAGAGCTCAGAGTCAATATCCTCCTGGGGTGAGGATTGCAGGGGATGTACCGGGAAGCGTGGGCTTTGATTTGAGATGGCTCTGTTGTTATGAATTAAGGTCTCTGCCTTGGTCACTCTGTCTCCAAATCAGGGGTCCTGGAGATGTAATCGGAGATCTTAAGGTTCAGTTTCTCGATGAAATCTACCAGGTGGAGAAACCTGGAGCTCGTCCGCTCTCGGTTGCAGACGGACAATTTAAACGTACGAACCCCATCGCACACACTCAAACTCAACGCTGAAATCATGCCACACCTGCTGGTATTGGTTCCGAACGCCATATGATGTGCAGCATTACTGCGAAAGGCTTTCTGTTCGTACCTCTACAAGCTTGTGGGGATGTTTCTTGCTCGTTTTCTGACTCCAGGGAAGAGCGGGCCGGAGTGCAAGCACTGTAAGGCCGACCCCGACGCCGAGTGTCGATTCTGCTCCTGCTGTGTGTGCGGCGGGAAGCAGGACGCGCACATGCAGCTGCTGTGTGACGAGTGCAACATGGCGTTCCACATCTACTGCCTCAACCCGCCGCTGGCCACCATCCCAGATGATGAAGACTGGTGAGAAGGAGAGGGTGTCGCTCAGCTGTCGGCCGCACAGTTCAGCCCTCTGCAGTCTGTTCAGAAAAGCCGATTAATGAGGTTCAGTTTGAGGTTCATCTGAAGTGTATTTTACACAGTCGTTAATATTGAAGTTAAAATCAATTTAGAATGATGACATTAAACACTCACAGGAGGTAGTTTCTCTAAGCTTTAAATGTTTTTCTGACTCACAAAAAGGAGCTTAGAACACAAAAAACAAAACAAAGGAAGTGTTACCCAATTCAATTCAGTACTTTATGAACCCCCGGAGGGGAAAATGCATAGCTGCTGTGTAGATTATTAATAAAGATATGCTATTGTTACTGAAAGATGACAATATAACAAACATTTTCATAGTTGAAATGTGACAGGGGTGTAATAGAAACCCTGTTGAGCTGTGGAATTTTTTGCATCCCTCATGGTGTCAGCAGGTAATACGAGCGAACACATTTAGGAGAGAGTTTAGACAGGAACTTACAACCAGCCGTTCAAAATTTTGGGGGTAGAGACTCCCCCTCACAGCAACACGTCCAGCCTTACTCCATATGTTGTCATTCTCTGTCCATCACTGGGAGTCTGACCACCGCAGCGGCGTCGAATAAAATTGCTTTTCTGAAATCTCCGCTGTGTCTTCATCTGGGCTCCGTGTTCTCTCATTTTCTCCCCCTGTGATTTTACCAGGTGCCATTTTCACTGAGAGGAAAATTCACAGTGTCTGTTCCTCCCAGTATTAGAAGTACATTTAAGAGCATATCTGTAAAAATACTGAAATTACAGATCAGCATGTATCATAATTAGCACATAGCATATTAATGCTCACTGAAGCTATTTCTCACTTTATGAACAGATATTCTGTCCAAACATATGTAGTACATACTTTCATCCAGTAAATAAAACAGGTGCAACTCAGAAATGTCCAATGAAAGTTAGGCCCAGCATTCGTGTCATAGGGAACACTTATATTCTGTATGATGTAGTCTGAGAAAAAATATGCAGAAATAATTTCCTCTTTTTTTCTGCTAGGTACTGTCCAACATGTAAAAACGACACCAGCGAAGTTGTCAAGGCCGGCGAGAAGCTCAAAGCCAGCAAGAAGAAAGCCAAAATGCCTTCAGCTACAACTGAAAGTCAAAGGGACTGGGGAAAGGTGAGACTCCCCTCGGGCTTTACACAGCCAGAGAGAAGGTCTGTCCTCCTCTCTCCATTGAAGAGGCAACTTTAATATGGGTGAAAATGAATGCAGTCTATCTCAAAAGGTTCTCACCAGTGACTTTTCCAGCTTGTTTTCTTCCCAAAATTCAGTAAATCGATCAAAGACGCTTTAGCTTTTAGTCAGAAACACAGACCAATGGGGCTCCACCGTCATTTGGCATGAAAAATGAAATAAGCATTTTCCATCTCCTTCAGCAGCAGGAACATTCCTAAAAACTGAAGGATTTAAAACATTACTGACTGTATTTTAAAATCATGTCAGGGCTGTCTACCAAACAGCACAGGAGAAAACAAAGGAGCACAGGCTTTCAATACAAAAGTGTCTCAAAACCAGGTATTTTAAGATCTTCAGCGGCTCGCAAGACAAAAATAAAAAACAGATGATTTATGCTGATTTGCAAAAAAATATTCAGATTTGAATGAAAACTGCCGAAAACTGTACGACTGCTCTGGTTTTTTGGGGGTTTTTTTTGGCAAACGTGTAGCACAAGTGTCACTGTAAACTGATACTTTTCACTACAAACGCTTTAATTCAGAATTGAAGTAAAATAGTAGTTTTCACAGCAAATTACAGTATTTCAACATTCTCAGAATCTACATCTACAGAAGTGTTGGTCTACGCCATTTAATTGGTGTCCAACAGCTACACTGATGTAGTTATTATCTAATATTGATACTTAAGACATTTTCTGACTAAAAATGACAAGCCCTTTGATGGACTGTCATGGGTGTACCCCGCCTCTCGGCCAATGGCAGCCAACCCCCCCCCCCCCACACACACACACACACAGACACACACAGACCCACCCCCCAAGCCCTCCTAGGGATAAGCGATATTGATAACAGACGGATAAATCCTGAGTATTTTTCGCCTTTCCCTAGTGTTAAGAATTCACAAGCATATTTAATTAAATTTTAACTGTTTATTTGCCAATAACTAAAAACAATATAATTTTAGCTCTTGGATTCCTTTCATGGCAACGCTTTTGACAAAGTGTGTGGGTCATTTCCATCCTGGCCGTGCTGTCTCCCTGACGCTCTGCTCCATGGTGTAATGTGAACAATGCCATTAAGCATAACTTAGCCACTTTCCTGGAACTGCCAATGGAAAATAACTTCTTTCTTTACCAGAATGCTCAGTTTTTCTGAGGACTAATTGAAAACAGCCCCGCTTGTGTGCTTGGGCACATTTTAGTGCTGTGAGTCACACGGCATTTATACTCGGCTTTAATATTATCACAACTTTATGTCTCCTTACATAAAAAGCTTTGACTCCTCTGAAGGTTTGTTGGGTTCTCTCTTCCATTCACGTATACGCATTAAATGAAGTACCATCCTTCCATATTTTCCTCCCTTACATGAACTAAAGAAACACAATGTAAAAAGGTTCAAAGGCAAACATGTTGACCTCTGACTTGGTGTAATTGCAGGGTATGGCCTGTGTGGGGCGCACTAAAGAATGCACAATCGTTCCATCGAACCACTATGGACCTATTCCCGGCGTTCCTGTTGGAACCACCTGGAAATTCAGAGTACAGGTTAGCAGTTTTTGACACCCCTTCACGAGACGAGCACTGGGACTCCTCAGACAGACAGAGACCTGAGCTGTTGTCTCTGCCTCCCCCAGGTGAGCGAGGCGGGGGTTCACAGGCCACATGTCGGCGGCATCCACGGGCGCAGCAATGATGGCTCCTATTCACTGGTTTTAGCTGGGGGCTTCGAGGATGAAGTGGTAGGTTTTTGTCCCTGCTGTGGCTGTCCCCTCTAAGACATGAATAGATGTGTGCCCCCCCCCCCACCCTTTGCCGACCTTTGTGTGACGCTGGCCCCCATCTGTGTTAGGACCGGGGAGATGAGTTCACCTACACGGGAAGCGGGGGTCGGGACCTCTCCGGAAACAAACGCATCGGAGAGCACTGTTTTGATCAAACCCTGACTCACATGAATAGGTACGGCTCATCGGATGAGACTTGTAAAAAGCTTGATTGTAAAAGCTAGACGTGGATGCCATCCCAGTGGGATCTGTATTCATTAGCCTTTTAACCTGACCTTGCAGGGCACTGGCCTTGAACTGTGACGCACCCTTGAATGACAAAGACGGAGCAGAGTCCAGGAACTGGCGGGCAGGAAAACCTGTGAGAGTGGTGCGCAGCTCCAAAGGCCGACGCATCAGCAAATATGCTCCAGAGGAGGGAAACCGCTATGATGGTATTTACAAGGTAAAGCCAAGCGTTGAGCATAAATATCAAAAGTTTTACAATTCAGAGAAAACATTTCCAGTTTGGAGTTGATTGAACATTTCTCACATTTATGACATGCCAAAAACAGCTCTTTTGTGCATAGAATGTAATGCCTTTGTCGTTGCGGTGGCTCACAGGTGGTGAAATACTGGCCGGAGATCGGAAAATGTGGTTATTTGGTGTGGCGGTACCTGCTGAGACGGGACGATCAGGAGCCGGCGCCGTGGACTCCTGAAGGACTAGAGAGGATCCAAAAACTGGGCCTTGCTGTTCAGGTTAGAGCACTTTTCTTTTCAGCGTTGCACATTGCACCGCCAATGACTGCTGGACACTCGTGTTTAGAGTCGGCGCATATTTTCTGGTGTATTATGCAGAGCAGGTACTTTCCAAGCTTGCATTTGTTTCACGGGTTTGCATGCAGGAAAATATGCGGCACATACTTCAACATTGCATTTGTCTCAATCGATCCCGGCTGTTAAAATCCTCTTGGTGATTCGGTTTCAGGCTTTCTGGGCATGTCTATCTCCGTTTTTTCCGAAATGGAAAACAAAACAAAACACAAAAAGTAGCCCTTGGTAATGTCTCTCCCCGCAGTACCCACCCGGCTACTTGGCAGCCATGGCTAACAAAACAAAGAAAGAGGCCTGCGCCAGACCGGGGCGGGGCGGGCGCGGCAAGCACTATACCGGGAGGGGGAGGCCGCGGAGACAACGGAAGATCAAGGAGAAGGAGGAGAACGGGGAGGCAGCGGAGGAAAAGCCCCCGGTCGCCAAGGTGGAAGAAGAGGCACCACAAAGTAACGGAGCGCAGAAGACAAGCGGAGATACTGGTGGGTGCTTTTACAGATGATGTTCTGAGCAGGTCAAAGGTGTTCAAAGGTGTTGTGAACAGACACCTGACAGGTGAGAGCAGCCTGATCAGTGAACCCCCCTTAACATGGCAACCAGTTAACCATCTTACGAATACTTTTTTGATAACTCTCCAAAAGCCGCTGCTTTTTAAAGTCATATTGTGTTTTTTTTGTTTATCAGAACCGTCACCAGCAGAAGAGCCTCCATCGAAACGTGTGAAGATAGAGGAGACCTTCCAGCTCTCAGAGCAGCAGGAGCAGCTGATCCGGGAGGACACGGCCAACAAGAAGCTCTGGGACGAAGCCATGGAACACCTCAAAGAGGGGCCGGTATGACTCCCAGGACGCCACCTGCCAAACACATCCAAGGCTCTTTAAAGCTTCATGCTTAGATCTTAACCACCTCTTTCCACTTTACTGGCCCGTCTGTGTTTCTGTTTGCCAGAGGCATTTTGATACTCTGCCCTTTTGAACAGATAAGACTGACAAGTTTTTCTTCTTCCCATTTCAATCAAGATATTTTTTATTTAGTCTGTCTTGTGCTCCACAATTCCTTTTGTTTTTCTGTTCCCGTCGAAGAATTTCCTACGAAAGATGGAGCAGATCTTCATGTGCGTGTGCTGCCAGGAGCTTGCCTTCCAGCCTGTCACCACCGTCTGCTCGCACAATGTTTGCAAGGTAGGTGTTACTTGCACCTCAGTGGAAGTCATTTGTTCTCACCACTAAACGCCCATTTCTCTTCTCCTGGCTCCTCTCGTCCCCAGACTTGTCTCCAGCGGTCGTTCCGAGCAAAGGTGTACACCTGCCCCGCCTGCCGCCACGACTTGGGCAAGGACTATGTCATGACCCAAAACAAAATGCTTCAGATTCTGCTTGACCAGTTCTTTCCGGGCTACAGCAAAGGCCGATGAGGTCGAAATAACATTTATAAGTAGGATACGTACATACACGCACATTAAAGCATCCATTCTGGGCACCCTCGTATACCGTCAAGCACCTAACGCTCCACCTTCAAATGCATTGCACTCACATAATGTACTTACTCATGGGCAGAAGTGTATTGCATATACAGCCATTTATGTATACAATCATTCAAACACAAACCACCTCAGTAGGGACTGACCTCATCTGCTGAACTTGGACTGTCTCCATCAACATCACCAGCCTGAAATTCAAGATCCAACCCCCCCTTTTTTTTAAAAACAAAACAAAACCAAACAAAAAGTCTTCCCTACACAAGCAGGCACAAACGCACAAAAAGCCCCCTCAAATCTCACATCCCCACCAATCGACTCAAGATTTTGGCTCATTTCTCCTTTGTTTTTTTCCCCTGCCGCCATGTTGTCCGCTGGTTCCTTTCAATGACGCGCAGCCCATCTCTCTAGTGCTAATCTTTCAAATCCTGCCAACCTGTTTGCATTTTGTGTACCATGTAAGACACAGCGCCGCATGCTGTAAGGGTCAGGCTGAGCGAGGCTCCCAGGAGTTTCCCTCTTATGGCAATTCAAACAAACTCTCTTATCTGCATGAAGCACTGCATAAGTGACTCTGGCACTAAACTTTGAGGAACGTGCTCTCTCATCCCGCCAAGCGTTCCTGTCACTTGGAAAAATGCCACCTCTACGCCTTGAGCTAATAGGAATAACGAATGCCTCACCGGGGGTAAATTTCTGTGTATTGGCAGAGAACAGACTTTTGCAGCTGTGTCCTGTTTGTTTGGAGTGTTGGAAGTCTTCCTTAGATTTATTGCGGAGTGAGAAGAAGCATTTACTTGAGGAAAAGATGGAGTTGGGGAACCGATCCGTGGGGGAAATTTCAGGAATCTGACTTTAAAAAGAGAGAAGTCCGAGTTTATGGTTCCACTTCTGAAGTCAAATGACCTGAAGTGGATCTTATCTGTGTTCTGGTATTTTCTTTTCATCAAGCAGCAAAATACTCTCGCATGACGGAGATAATTGCGTTTTAGCCGCAGTGTCGTGAAATGATTGGAAGGCCTTGGATGGTGGGGGCCGCAGGTTTCTCCAGTGACATTTGAGAGGGGCACGCTGTGGCCGTCCCTGGTGTTACCAGGCAACCGCCATCAAGCGGGACTTTTCACCGAGTAAATTAGCTCACCTTCTGCTATGCAGATTTTTATCTGCCAATGGTTGTCGTAAACTGGGGCTCAGAAATAATTTACTTTGTGTGATTGACCCCATCTTGTAAAAAGAAAAAAAAAACAAGTGTTTACTGGTCCAGCCAGTAAAAGAAAGAGATTTAACCGAGTGCCTTGCAGAGGACTACAGAAGTTAGCATTCGGCAGCTAACTGGCTTTAAATTCTCAGTTTCAGTGAGAATGAATCGATTTTAAAGGCTAACGTTTTACCATGTTTTGGTACCTTCAGCGTGGTGTACAAAGCTTTTTGTTGTGCATGGGAACGCTCTGCAAAGAGTCAACACAAGAACGAGGGAGCCACCTACCCCCCACACCCCCCCACACACAAAGCATGAGGCACGCTTTGTGCCTTATTGGACACATTTCAAACACAGAATGAGAAATGAAAACAGAACTTAAGGTGGATCTAAAAGGGACTGCAGCTGAAACGTTGTCCAACACAGCTGCTGTAACACAGTACACATTCAGCTATGCACAAAACCAGAAACGCACCACAACATACTCCTAACTAGTCCGGGATACAAAACCATAAGCCTGTAAATTAGAGCAAGTGATTAGTATTTGTACACTAGTATTCTTACATAAAAAAGTCTTGCTGGACTACTTTATGTATTTCTTAAAACATTTTGCACTTTGTGTCTGAGTCAAAGGAAAAAGCACATACTAAAAAAGGAAATATTTTGTACATATGGCCGAAATATATGGATTTCTACTAGTCTACAAGACTAGTCGACATACAAAATTTAAAGCACTTATGAAGCTCATAACTGAGTTTGTGGCCACAGAAAGAATAACTCTAAAACACGACTGACAAGATTCTTATGAAAACATTTTTTTAAAAAGGAAGATGTGTCTTTCCCGATGTGCTTTATACTCACAGTTGTTTGTCGCCATTTTAGGGCTTATTCATTGCACGGAGTCTCTGGAGTCGTTACCACTGCATATTATCCTGCGTACAGACGCTTGTTTGAACAATGCAGCCGAAAATCTACACCACAAAGTCATTCCTCCAGTTAGAATGGGTTTTTGGGGGTTGTTTTGTTTTGGGTTTTTTTGGGTGTTCTGAACAGCTGAGACAGATTTCTGACTGTGATTGTGCTGATATGGTACTTTAAAATGTCCAGGGTTGGCAGGCCCGATGGGAACCAAACCAAACATGCCATGGGGAGCCGTGGCTCTGTGGGTGCGATGTGCACAGAGGTCAGCAGGGCTGCTGCCGTCCTGACAATATCTGAGTGGCTTTTCCTGGAACCTTTAGCCCCCCCCCGTTCAGCCACACACGGCCAAGTGGATCAGTCACGTTATTCCGTTATTCCGTTGAAGGCTGAATTCAGAAGTTAATGCATTGGTTTTTTCGTTTTTGTTCACATTCCCGGTCCCCCCCCCCCTCAAACCCCCTCCATCAGCAGGCTGTTTGTTTGTGGTGAAGTCCTCGTTTCTGTTCAGTCATTCAGTTTTCTTTTCCTTCCTTTTTGTTCTTTTCATTTCTATCACCATGCAAATACAAATGCTACTATGATCTTTAAAGCTAACTGTGACGTGCATTACTTCTACTGTTGCTTGATCTTGTTTAGATTGTTTTCTTCCTGCATTGCTTGGCGAGCTAACAGCCCTTTCTTTGTCCGCTGTGGCCCTCGCTGCCTCCTGCTCTCCGTGAACCTACAGTCAGTACTAACAACTTTTAGACGTCTTGTGGACGCTTGGCTTCAGTGCTGTGTCGTTTCATTTTTATTGCAACCTAATGAAGAATAAATTTTGAGAATTCCCATTCGGTTTTCCTAAAACGCTTACTGCTATGTCCATGCTCCGTTTTGTTTTCGTCTATACCATTTTAGTTGCATTTCTATTTTACTCAGTCATTTTTATGTTTGCAACCTCGACCATTTGCAGCATTTGCGTCTGAGAAGTTTCATCGCTTCATATTGTGATTTGAAATTTTATACATGTCATAATAACAGTTGATATGTACCAATTAAATATTTGGATTCAAGAAATAAGTCTTCAGTATTTTTAATGCCATTACAGTTCGTGCCTCAGTCATTTCTGAATGTTTACACACAGAGCTCATGTATTGCTAATGTCTTCTGCTTTGTGGAGTTTTCAGTCACTTTGCAGACGTTAGGACGTGGGGCCGTTTGGGCCCATTGAACGGCGGTTAACTTTTGAGCTCAGGCTTAAGCTGGTAAGACTCCTCAGGCTAAGAAGGAAACAATGAGGTCACAAATTCTGCAGGAATCAGAAACAGTCTTTGCTTATGTGGCTTTAGGATATTTATTGGGTTTACAAAGTGAATCTTCCACATTTTGCAGGTCAAATTAACCAGATAGTTTTTAATTTTAGGATAAACATAATTTCCCACAAATCTAAAGGTGCTGTTCAAGCATTTGAATATTTATTAAATTTCTCTGGCAGAAATAGGACAATAACCGTGTCTAAGCAGCATGTTGGGACGTCTCACACCCTGGTTGTGAATCCTGTGGAGCCTCCTGGTGGTAGAAGAGACCTGAAACCTGAGGGTAAGCGTTTCCCCCATCTCAGATTGATCTGTCCAAGCAGCAGATGACATTTCAGAAGAATTCGCCCTGATTTAAACACATGTAACGGGTATGGACTTCATGCATCTCCAGTAGAAAAGAGACAGAACTGTTTTTTGTTGTTTTATTATCACAGAAGCACAACAGGTACCACTATGCAGGTGAACAACATATAAAATACTACCATGAAAACAAAGTTAGAGGAATGCTACTTCCAAGAAGAAGAAAAAAAAAAAAAGACAAATCCAATGTCACAGCATTTTTTCCAAACTCCAAAACATAAATTCCACAATACTGTCAAACATAAGCATCAGAAATTAACAAAAAGCACTTTGGATTATTCACTGTCCTTACACTTTGTACCATTACACTCAAGATCTTTAAACTGAACCGCCTATGTCAGACACATGCGATAGCATCCATCTTTTCTTTCCACTTCTAGTCTTAACTTTAACTATTCAACTAGGAAGTACCAATTATTGGGGCTGCTGCTTACAGTTAAAACTTGAGAAAAAAAAAAAAATCCAATACGAGGACACTGGGGCTACAAAACTAAACTGGTCCCGTTGATTTGTAATTTAGTTTAAAAACAAAATATTTAAGCTCAAATTTAGCCAATGAAAAGAGAAAGCTGGAGTACCCGAGTTCAAACCTGATCACCTTATTGTTGTACATTCAAGAAATGGGAGGAGCCAAATAGAACTGACTAGCTGTAACAACTGCGGTATGATTTTAAGAACCAAAGAATGTCTTTTAGGAGACAACATCAATCAATCTTCAGTGATAGTTTAACACATGAATAGATGCTGGAAACATGAGCATATGCAGCTCGTGTATTCCCTTAAACACAAAGAAATGCGTAAGTACTTGCATATAGATCTACAGCCCAGGGTTTAACACAAATTGCTGTGTGGGTCGCAAGCTGCATCTGTGGTGGGGAGCTTTGAAAAAAGCACAAAAAAAAGCAATGAAGCTGTCAACACGGCTACTCATCATCCGATGAGTCCCGGTCAAAACTGTAGGCCATGAAGAAAACGTCAGGTCGAGGTGGGATGAGGGCATGGCCCGGTTTCACAATCTCAAAGCCCAGAAAACTGAAGGTACGAACCAGTTTAGCTGCAAAATACAGAGAATACAGTTAGACTCATGCAATCTGCGACGCAGCTGCCCAAATAATTCATCCAAAGAAGGGTGAACGCTCCGAGCGAAATGTTGCTGGGAGAACGGGGCTGTTGGCACGTACCACGATCATCTCTGTTCTTGTAAAAGCAGACAAACACGCTAACGACTTTCAGATGTTCTTCAGCATACTCCAGGAGAGCGGCAAAACTAGAGGGAGATAAAAAAAAAAAGGCAAATCAGTGGAAAACCCTATGGCAAACGGACAGAACCCAGCTACGTCTTAAGCTTGTTCCATATCTTCTGCCCATGTGTGGAAGCGCTACAGAAGGAGCAGATGCAGAAGCTGCAGTGCCGGACGACAGCACCAGGCTGCAGCTGAAGGTGTTGTGGGGGAAGCGTAACCAAAATGGTTTTGGTCGTCACGGTGTTTGGTACAGAACGACCTGAACACATTCGTCTTTTTCGGGGCCAGTTCCAATGTTTAAACCCATTTCAGCCTTGATGTAAATTCATTATATGAAGGACTATTTTCATCCCTCTCCATGGGTTTATATTGATAATATGGGCCTGTGTGTAATAAGGATCTGCTCAAATTTCTATAGATTTTGTTTGTTAAGCCAATATGGTCTCACCTCTCCTTGCTGCCTTCAGGAAGAGGGTCCAGAGGTATCTCCACATAGAGTGCACCACTGCTTAGGACAGCATCCCACTGTATTGTCTTGGAAACTGTGGGACGACTTTGGAAGTGGAGTATCCTAGGACGCCCATTACATGCCGGCTCTTCAGTTACAGTCAACTTTCGGTCCTGAAATTGGAGAAAATATGATGCATTTAAGATCCAGATATGCTTTCAGCAGCTTGACTTTCTAAATCTATTCTGATCCCTAGCAGGAAACTGTTAGAATGAGAATGGTCGACTATTCCTGAAGGACCTCCCCCTCAAAAAACAACAACATGCTCATGTGGGTAGACAGCACTTCTGACAAAAACTATACGTTAGTTGACTTACTGCGTAGAGCGGCCGAGCTGAAGGAGCGTGATCCCGTGTGCCATTCCCTCGCCCACCTGGGATCTTCAGGGGTGGGAGAGGGACATCAGGAGCACCACAGAGGCCCCGGGCCGCGGGTACTACTACAGTGCAGGGACAGGCTGCAGAGAGGGAAAAGACGAGCCTGTAAATGCTACAGTTTTTAGCATCTACATAAATTAAAAATAAAAAAATCTTCACGGTTGTTAGTGAAAAAAGTTAACACATCGCGGAACAAATGTCTATTCCAATTTTCAAATTTGATTCGCAGATGTCCTAACATTCCAAACCCCCCGGGGAAAATTGTCCAATCTTGCACATAATCTGCCTGTAAACTTACTGCCATTTCAGACAAAGCCACAAGAGAATATGTTTAAATATCTTGAGGGGAAAAATAAAAGCAAATATTATGCCAATAACCAACTATTTAACATTTCCTTCTTTTATTTTATTTTTTTAAATCAACCGATTGTCTAAATGTTTTGTCCTGTGTTAAGCCTAACGTCAACTTGAGATAGATCAGTTATTAGCTAATTTCTAGTAGATAAATAAGTGTTGCGGATAAAACACGGTGACAGAAGACCAATAAATCAATACTGTGATGGAGCACCACGACATCCGGCCTCTTCCCACAGGGGTGGCGTCTTACCGCACGCTGCTGTAAAATCTAACTTGCGTAATAAAAGATCAAACTTCGTTTACGGACAACGAGGTCAAAGGGGCTAAACTGGGATCACCGAGCAGATCCTCATTCCCTTAATCCAATCATTCTTTTGTTTTTTTGTGGGCAGCCAAAAATGTAACCTAAACTTAAATGTAGTGTGAAAATATTCTGAATAAGCCGTTCAACGTCCATTGCGAAAATGTCATATTATATTCGATTTAATAATTAGGTCGACTAAAATCAAAAACGAAATTCTATCAAATAGTCTCACCACTACTCTGTCTTCCAATCCAAATATTTCCTTGTCATATGAAATTGCTAGTTAGCATGCTAGCGAAGAAAACTACAATGACGTAGGAAGTTAATCATCTGACTAACGTCAGTTAACGCTGCTGAAGTTCGGTTTCGGGTCGAAAAACTAATGATCCGTTTTTAAATGGATATCTCCCTTAAAACGTGCTTGTATCAAAACTCCAACAAGACGCACAAGCGAGCGACTGATGACAGAATTCGAAGTTTACAACAACTACGCTTTAATGACATTTACTTCCGCTTTTCGAGCTCGCTAGCCGTGTTAGCTAAACCACCCCTCCCCCACGACACGGTTAGCACGAAGCTAGGCCAAGTACTTTTCGGCATTTACTTACTTCCCAATCATGTCACAGATACCACTATTTAAATTCGCCATGGTAATAATAGACAGCTGTTTTCCTTCCTTCTCACGAGCAAAGCAATGACTGTTTAGTATCCGCTGGAGGTTGGATTTTACCATCCGGCCTCGGAGAGAGACACGACTGGCTGACTTCTCTCTGCTATCGTTGCAGGGTAATGATCGGTCAGAAGGCTGGGAGCTGCATAAAAAAAAAGAAAGAGGAAGTAAATTTAAGGAAAATCACTCAATATCATTTCCTTTTTAAGGGCTTCAAAGTAAGTGCAAAGTGAGAACTTGTGCAGGCTCACGTTGCAAATACAAACATTTTTAAGACACATTTGTTGGATTAGTCTAACGTAAATGTATTAACTGGATTAGATACATAACATTTGACCCAATTTCTTTTAACATTAAAAAAAGAAAGAACTTAGAATACCGATCCTTCAAAGGGTCTATCCTATGACCTTTGTAGCTATGCATAGTATCACTAATTTTGATATTTAACTATTATATATTATCATTTAGTATAAATAATTTGTTTATTATTAATTTAATTTATTTGAATCACACCTACTGTATGTATTCTATATCAACCGCAACAATGATCATGATTGAAGAAAAAACACTTCATATCCACCAAGACTGATTATTTATCAATGAGGTAAAAGTTGAGCCAAAGTAGTTCCTTCCACATTTAAATATAGTATATTATACAAATAAATAAATGTTTCACTTCACATCTTCGAAATACTTAAAGTGTGATACGCATCACATTATTGTTTAAGAGTATTTTCTGATTCCACCTACAAAAAACAGACTTTTATATTGACAGAGGAGTTTGGCCATGGCTAAGTGTTAATGCTAACTTAACTAAAACGTCAAACGACATGTTGGCACAAGATGCCAGTAAACAGAATTAAAATATTTTATTTTTGCTCGTCAGCGTTACTGTGTTTTGAATCACACATAAGATAAACACTAAACAATATTGTTTAGTGAGGTCAAATTAAATAGAGTTAGTTTTGGTTCGGTCTTTCAGGGAAGAATAAACAAACGGTTTAGCTAATGTAGCGTTAGCTTCCGTTAGGCCCGTGTTTAGTCGGTGGGGGCCGTTTAATGGAGGTGTAATTGACAGAGGGGCCCACCAAAGTTCAGCAATCAGTCACTGCACTGATTATAAACCCTTTTTTTATTTTTTTTGTAAAAGCAGCCTTATTAATTTTTTGGCAGCATTGCAGATCACGTTGCAAATCTGTACCTCTATTTTCCCAACATTAGCTTAATGACAGAATTTATGAAACTATACCTTAACATCTGGAAGATGTGGAAGTTTGATCTGTCATTTAAGATTGAGATATATTTCAACAGATTTATTTGCCAGCGAAAAACCCCAAAGTTTTTGAAGCACTGAAATTGGACGCTCAGATCTGTTTACGTAACTTACATTTCGGTTAAATAGCTACATACAATGGACGATTTCATTGTGCCTAGAAAAAAATGAATTATTTGTGAAATTCTAAGTAATGTGAATTATTACCAAAGTTACGAAAGTAAAATATTGGATTTATTCATTATGTCCACTAGATGGAGACAAGTTGTTATTTCATGGCCACACACAACTGTCTGTGATTTATTTTATTTCATTTTGTTTCTGTGCTTCGTCTGTTTTTATACATATTTTCTTTGTATTTATATATTTACTTTGGAAAATGTAAGTTGGTATAAGTTATTTTTCAAATTCAATACTAGACATTACATATACATTTACCCCACAATTTTATATTCTGAGCTTCCGGCCATCCTACACACATTAAAACCTCTGACAAACAAATGCAGTAATTCATTTTATTTGTACTCAGATTACAAGTTAGTCAATATTTTACAACAGCAAAAAATAACACTTGCCAATCAAAAACATAATTTGGTTTCACCGTAAACTGATTCATGCCCTGCAGAGCAGCAATTATTAACATGGATGCAAAACTTTTTATTTATGGTTGTCTGTACAAAAATTACATCACTAAACTTTGTAGTTAAACAACATTGACAAAGATAATGTATTCAGGTTATGGATTTATTTGCCCCTTGGTGGACCATAAAGACTACCTTGAAGATTGGAGTTCTTTCAGTGTTACCTTTAACCCTTTTATTACATCTGATGTAATGACATTGTGCGGCATGTGGGTTTTAATGACCTTTCCTGTCTTGTTCGATTGTTGATCTGTGCCATTTACAAAAGGATTGGAGGCACTTACCCTTTTTAAATAACACTTTATCTGTACTTTCTCAAACTTTGAACCCAAATATTTTCAAGCACTCCAAGGTTGTCATTGCTACCTGTTCCATGGTGTGGTCGACTGAAGTGCACACAGGTGGAATTAACTGAGCTCATTATGGGACATTTGTAGGTAACTTGTACCCCTCTCACCTCAAAAAGGGCCTATAAATGTGTACAGTATGATACGATTTTTCTTTACTATTTTACGCCCAGTTGAACTAAAATAGTTGACAACTTAAGCTGTTAAATTTATTGAAAACCTTTCAAATTTGCATTTGGAGTAAAGATGACTGGTCGTTTGGGTTTTCAAACGCTTTCCGCCCGCCCTCTCCACAAAGTTTGTCCCTCAGTGCCTTCCGTCGGCAGTCCAGAGAAAAAGCCACAACCGAGAGCGTTCGCAGCCCGCTGATGTACCGCTCGCTCAAAAATGGAGAGTGACACCACTGTCCGGAGAATAAAGCCTCTGGGCTCTCAACTTTACGCGGCCCAGGACCACGACGGAACCCGGAACCGGTGCGGGGATAACGGCTACAGCGGAGACCCGAAGAGAAAGCCCGAAGTGAGCCTGTACTTACTGCGGGAAGGGCTCGCAGCTTGCCTGGTGTCTGTGTTTATTTTGGTGCTGTGGGGACTCGTTCACTTGTCTCTGCAGCAGCTTGTCGTTGGGGAGCCCACCGGGGAGTTTAACGCAGAGAGGGCCAGGTGAGTTGTTGTACTTTAGTTCCTCTTTTAGTTGACTTTGTCAAAGCCGCAAAGCTAACCTTCCCTGTAGTTTGGCGACAGACCTGCATAGAAACCACTGCCGGGTCTTTCTTCCGGTTCACCTCCACCTGTACTTCCAAAGGAAGCTGCAGAGTGGGGAGACAGATGTTTGCACCGTTTGAAACTCCCAAGAAGAAAGGCGCGGCAGCCGTTAGACTGCTGCTGTCTGAACTAGTCCACCCCAAACTGCTCAGGCACGCACAAACAAGCTAACTCACCCACTCCAAATGTGTTCCCAAATGACTATTCATGTGGAATTATAAAGTCAAGTCTCTTACTGAAAACATTTCCCACCAAATCAAATCACTGTGGAACATTTCAAGTCTAAGAAAAGCACGTTGATGCAGGCTTTGAGGCAGTTCAATATGTGACAGGTCTGTAAAACCGGTGAGTACACAGTTTAGGTGTTAAATGCAGTCTGCATGACTTTAGACTATTCTGTCCTTAAAAGTAGCTGCAACATTTTCAGATTAAAGGCTGAGTCTGCCTCACAGTGCAGTTTTTCAGACCCTGTTGGGAGGAGGAGGGGTGCAGGGATTATTTGCATGGAATCTGAGGTCAGCAGGACTGGGCTTGAGCTCTTAAAAAGTGCTCAGCAGCAGGATTTGCCATCATTTGGCTGGTCGCTCCATAAATGAGTGCTGCGTGCAAACTGATAAGGGCCCTGAGCTTCTTTAGTCACCATCGCCCAGATTGAAATTATAAGCACGAAGAGGTCCCATAAATACCGAAAAACAGATGGAGTGAAAGCAGCTGTTCAGGCGACCAATATGTCATCTGCTGTTGCCTTGTGAAAAACAGGAGATGTGATTTCAGCTACAGTGCAAATTACAGATATTGATCCAGGGTTCATTTGCAGGTGGGGGGGAAACATCAGTAGCCACGGCAGCACGAAGGCCGCTTTGGGCTGAAGAGAAAACTTGGATATTAGTGACAGAGATGGAGCTAACGTCCACTGCAGTTGTTTGTGGATGCTTCTTTTGGGTTCTTTTTAAAGGCAAAGAGGAGGAAAAAAATCCGTTTTTTGTTTTTTGGGGCAAAGCCATCCCTGCTTTACTTCCTGGTTTACTTATGTAAAGGAGTTAGTTCAGTGCAGGGGAGATGAGGTCAGGGTCAGATTAAAATGTGTCTCATTTTAAAATGATGTATCAGGATAGGTTTCAAGTCGGCAGGTGCACATATTTTTTCTCTTAATGCTTTTGTCAACGGATAGTAAGGAATAACTTTTGATGTATGTGGACTGAAAGCTGTCTTTTTGGATAAAAATTTTGAATGCAAACAAATATATTTTAGTATTGCTGTATTAGGTACTGGTGAAAGCTATCAGTATGATAGTGAATAAGTGCGGGGAAAAACACCTGTTGTGTAAGCAAAGTGCGACAGACACAGGCGTGGTTCACGTCTTAAAAGGCTGCCTGGGGCATTGGCATAATGTGTTTAAGCGCTGCCAACAGCAGGTTATTGCAGGTGACAACAGGAGAAACGGAAAAGTAACAGATAAAGTCGGGGAAATTTGATTCAAGGGTTTGCATAAATGTTTTGTAAAATTAAAGCATTTTACTATTCAAATAAAAGAGATTTGTATAAGCGTTTAGGCCAAGTTGTCCCATATCACTGTCTTCGTTTCCATTTTATGTGCCGATTCATAAATGATTGTTTTTTTACTGTTATTTTTTGTTGTTCCAATGCAATACATCCACAGTACTGTTTTCTGTCTTCACCTCCATTAAGACGGCACCTGGAGCAGATCACCAGTGTTGGCCCGCGTCCAGTGGGCAGCCAGGAGAATGAGGTCCTGACCGTGGGCTACTTGTTAGAGCAGATAGAGATCATCCGGGTCAAGACGGCGGCCGGCCCTCACCAGCTCACGGTGGACGTGCAGCGACCAACGGGCTCTTTCTCCATTGACTTTCTTGGAGGCTTCACAAGCTTCTACGACCATGTGACCAACATCGCGGTCAGGCTGGAGCCTAAAGGTGGCAGCCAGCATCTCATGCTCGCCAACTGCCACTTTGACACAGTGGCCAATAGTCCAGGTACAGATGCATTCACCTTTCATTTCTACATTCAAATGTTTTTTTGCCTTCTTTTCAGTGCAAGAGTTTTTGAAAATTTTCTTTGTTTGATACTATTATCTTTCTCTGATATGAAAGACTGTTTTAATGAAAACTAAAACTGGTAAGATAACTGAAACTCAGTTACACACACCAGCAGTAAGGTGGATATCCTCAACAGTTGTTAAATAACGGGAGGACTGAAAAGCTTTGCTACTGACGAGGTCAGGATGTGACATCTTTTTTTGGGGGTTTGGGGTTTTACTTTTTTTTTGTTGGTTTGTTCCTCTGTCAATCTAGGTTTGTCTGAGTTCCTTCCAACAGCACAAATTTTTTTTCTTGGCTGCTTTTTTGCCAGATTACTACAAAACTGCCAACTTCATTTGAATCAAAGTTAAAAAAAAAGACTCCTATGTTTTAGAACACTTTTTTAGAGCAACTTGAGTCTTCTGAGTTTTTCCTTTACTTTTGTGTTATGTCGTCATGCAGACCCCGTGGTGTGAAATTTAAAGATGAATAGCTACCCTGTCTAGAAAAACTCAACTCCTGATTTTAAGTCATTAGATCTTATCTGCTTAGAAGTGAAAATGTGCTACTCTGCTTTCTTGTGCCTGTGTTGGGAGACATGTTTTCCCAGGTCACACGTGCACACACGCACGTTTACACACAGTTTTGATGGTGAGGGAAACTGATCTCATTGGTTTGGACCAGGAAAATACACATACAAGCCTTTGATTTCTTGGAGTTCCAAACACTGATTCTTGCAAGTAACAGTAACGCAGAAAAAGCAGGAGCAAAGACAGGATGTACATTCCTGTTCGCTGGTCTTTGTCTCCATATGTTGACTGTATGTGCATTAACTACACACTGAACAGACACGGAAACAATGTTTATAAAGTTTCTTCCACAAGTGGAAGTGACAAGATCATGAATGCCACCCACTGTGAACCGTCCACTTAATCCCCCTTTTATACATACAATCACTCTAGGTCTGAGCAGTGCATGACCTGTCTAATCTCATGGCCATTTTATTTTTCAGTAGTGTTCTTTACCTCTAGCCTGTCTAATCTCCCAGTATCACATGGCCTGTTAAAAAATTCTTTTCTTCTTGCTTTGGCCTAGTTTCTTTTCTGCTCTCACAACTACGCAAGCAGTGGAAGCCAAGTTTTCAACCAGCTTCTCGCATTCTTCACATGCTTGCACATGGCGCCTACTCACAATGTGTTTGGGGACTCTGTCCTGCTGTATTTCAGGGGCATCAGCCGTACCATCTGTGTTTTTATCTCACCCAGCTCAACTGGTTTAGATGACATGGATAAAAATTAGCCTGCCTCTGTATGTAAACACTAAACTGAAGAGAATTTGAAGCCCGATACAAATGTGAACATTAACTTAGGGGACATTGTTAGTATTCCTGGCACACATGCCCTGGTTTCCTGTTTTAGGTGCCAGCGATGACGCTGTGAGCTGTGCAGTAATGCTGGAAGTCCTCCATTCTCTGGCCAACTTGTCCACTCCTCTTCACCATGGTGTGATATTCCTGTTTAATGGAGCAGAGGAAAATATCCTGCAGGTAAAAATCACTATTGCCGTCTGGTTAAAACTTCTCCCTTTTTTTCATGTCCTCCACTTCAGCGCCTATTTATCTTCTTGACTCTCTTTCTTCGTTTTCTTTCAGGCCAGTCATGGTTTCATTACCCAGCATCCTTGGGCTAAGCAGGTGCGAGCCTTCATTAACTTGGAGGCTGCAGGTGTCGGGGGCAAGGAAGTCGTTTTCCAGACGGGTACTGTACCTTCTGTGTCTGAGAATATGGTTCAGGTTGCTTGGTTTCATCCTAGTGTTTGCGCACCCTTGTATGAAGTTTTGTGCTCTCGTTTTGAATCTATTCCAGCTCTTTTCTTTGCAGAAAGTTACACTGATCCCTCTCTGAATGGCAGAACTCACTGCTTGTCAGTCTGTATATATATATATATATGGAAATTATCAAAGCAAATGAGAATTTAAAATAGGAATCAATGTTTTTGTCTTGGAACAACATATATCTGGTTTAGGTTTGGCCAATTCCTATTTTTTAAAGACAGTTATAAAGTAACATTAGGATTAATGTCGGTGTTGATCAGACTAACTTTAATCCTAGCTCTCAGGTTTACTAAAAATGTATTGAAGATGGCAAAGAACTGGAGTCTACGCCCCTGATTATTAGAATTGCACAATAATTAGTTTACAAGGCAAAACAAAAGATGTGTAAAATATCTCATCTAGGTCCTGAGAACCCGTGGCTGGTCCAGGCCTACGTTCACGCAGCCAAACACCCCTTTGCCTCGGTGGTGGGTCAGGAGGTCTTTCAGAGTGGGGTTATTCCCTCTGACACAGACTTCCGCATATACAGGGACTTCGGTAACATACCAGGTAAGACCACAGATTATCTCACGACCATATAAATATAACAACAAAGGTTAAATAAAATAAATCATGCTGAAAAAAGACGTTATGCAAATTACCTTTTTTGTGTTTTAAATGCTGTTTCTTTTTTGGGGGTGGGGTATATGTGCATTGCTTTCGCAGGCATTGATCTGGCTTTCATTGAAAATGGTTTCATCTACCACACAAAGTATGACACCGCCAACAGGATCCTGACGGACTCCATACAGAGAGCCGGTACACACTCATCACATGGACTCGTACTGAAATGTTTTATTGCTGTGTGCTTCAGTTTATTCTGAATCCATCAAGCGGTTTGTGGCGTTTTGTCCTGTTTAACGGTTAGATAAAAGTGAGGGCGATGGCTTTGGCAGCCCCTCTCTGTCACGGAAATAAATGTGGGTTTTACATTTGTGCACTAGCTTTATTGTCAGACCAGTCAGCGGTCGGCTGACCTCATTATTTCACAGAGAACTTTGAAAAGCATTCATTACACAACAACCGGCTACAGCATGCTGCCCTTATTTACTAAGGTGCCTTTTTTTCCTTTTTTGCTTAAGTTAGCTAAGAATTCATTCAGTCAGCACTAAAACACAAGACAGCTTGCATCTTTCCTCTCCCTCAGCAGCTACTGGACATGTCCCGCCTCTTCTCCTGAGCACAGCAGCTCTCTGTGAAAGGCATGAATTATTAGAGAGAGAATGGGAGATTTCAGTTGAAGGTAGTGTTTATTTTTAGTCTTAGAAGAAGGAGGCAGAACAGCATTGAAGTCGGAGGTTAGGACACTGTTGATCTGTTCTGTTCAAGGCTTGTGATGACCAGCAGGTTTTTTTTTTCTTTCTCCCTTGGTGGAAATTGTTTTAGAGAAAAGTTATTTCCTCCTGTGGGGGAAAGACCTGAGAGCTTGACCTTACTTAGTCAGTTGAGACAAGGTCACTTGCTTCAAGTAAACAAGTAAAACAATGAGCAATAAGTACATTAAGAGTATGTGAGGTGTGATTCTTATTTGAACAACTGAATATGTAACAAACGCCAACTTCTACACTGCCTCATAGTTCTGCAGGGCAAGTAAGGCTAGCTCATAGGTTGGTTCATTTAAGGAAAATCAATCAATATCTTAGAATTTTTAAGCCCCTGTGGGCATGAAAAGGACAGTTTCAATTTGTTAAATTCAGACATGGAGGTTGTGGACAAATCAGAAGCGCTGAGTTCCACACGAACAAGTAGCTGTTGTACACTACACACTGTTGTTTACACAGACAACTGAAGAACAATGGAGCCTTGTCTCAGCTTTGCGTGTGTGTGTGTCTGCTGTTAACTGCTAACGACATAGATAAGAGAAACTCAGAAGCAGTGACAAACAAAGCCATCTCCAACTGATTTTTTACCAAGTCGCTTATTTACACAGAAATTTCTTTAGCCAGTTTTTTAAATGTAACTCAGTCAATGAGACCAGTCAAATATATAAAAAAAGGGTGTGAGCAAGAATGGCTTTTTGTCTTTTACACACCCCACCATGGAATACATTTGGTGTGAAAATAAAGGTATGGCTCTTTATTACACAGCACCACCAGTATTTCGAGAAGAGCAGGGTGGTTGTGTTGGATATCTTGTGTGTTAGTGCCTGTGTTTGAGAGCATAGCTGCATGCACGTTTGGAAGGTCAAGTTTGATTCACATCCTGGATAGTCGACTGTCTGTAACTGATTACAAAGGAAAGGATTTTTGGGACCTGAGGTTGATTTTTCTGGTAAAAATGTACACAGAAATAGTCACATCCATCACGTCTTCTATCGTGCTGTTCATGTTCACGTGGTTTTATTGTCACAGAAATAACTATTTGGAGGCTATGCGGGAATGTGAAAGGGCACTTCCCCTTTTTTGTGTTTTACTGGTCAGATGTTCAGCGATGAGTTAACTCTGTCCTGCATGAGATGCGCCACTTCTGTAAAGGATGGCCAGTTTTTTTTTTTTTTGATGGTGTAACATTGTGATTTTAAACAGCTTAATTCCGTTCTCATTTCCCGCCTCAAGGTGACAACATCCTGGCGGTTCTCAAGCACCTGATGATGTCCGAGAAGTTGGCTGATTCCTCACAGTATCGCCACGGCAACATGGTGTTTTTTGACCTGCTGGGGGTAGTTGTGGTGGCTTATCCAGCTCGTGTAGGAACCATCCTAAACTACATGGTGGCCATAGCAACTTTTGTCTACCTAGCCAAGAAGGCCTCCCTGCCCGGCAACAGAGGTATGCCTCCATTTCCTGTTGCATGTCATTTCCTGCTTTTGGTCTGTCTCCCTCCTCTGGGTCTTTGTGTTTTTTTTCTTTTTTTCCTTTTTTTAAAAGAAAGAAAAACGAATATCATAAAAGCCAATCCAATTTTGGGCTCGGGGCTCAGGTCTCAGGGCTCAGGGCTCAGGTCTCAGGTTGTGGTCTTGAAATCTCTGGAGAAAAGTCAAACGGGATCTGTTTGACTTTGTCTATTACCCCATATCTGTCCTCCGTAGGTGGGCGTTATGTCCGTGACCTGGCCTACGCCACAGGCGTGGCGTTGCTAAGCTGGTTCGTCACTTTGCTGTCGGTGCTGATTGTTGCCCTCCTCGTCACGCTCATGGATCGGTCTATGTTTTGGTACACACACTTTTATGCCTCCATCTGCCTGTATGGAGCTGCAGCCACAGGAAAGATGATCCTTATCCACACGCTAGCCAAGAACCTGTACTACGGGGTGAGTGAGTTTTTTTTTTTTTTTTTTTGTCGTTTGCAGTGATGTTAAGAAGATGTTAAAGTGTTTTAGAATCAAGACATATTAAACAGAACCTCAGCATAACCAATGGTACATAAAACTTTCAAAGATGCACCTCCTTTCTAAAAATATAACAGAAGAATGAGAATGGGCAAAGACAAGTGCTGAAAATGGGCCTGTACTGAAGAAATTAGTTTTAAGGCAGAAATTAGGTTTCTAAAGTTCTGTTCAAATCCATCAATTTTCCAAGTCTTGTCTCTCTTGAACTGCATTTAAAACTAAAGTGGAGAGTAAAGATGGAAATGGTTCCTCCTACGGCACAGTGACACAGACCAGCAGGTCTTTTTAGTTTTCTAAAACTATAGACATGACAAACATTCACCGTCTGTCCCAAATCACCACTCTTTCAGCAAATAATGTTTTTGCTGCTGCTTGTCAGATGACTTCTCAATGCAGTGTCTTGCGATTTTCAGCTATCAAATGATGCATCTCTTCCTTAAAGTAACGCCTGCTTTCAACCAAGCATTAGAGATGCTGTTGTAAAACGAATTTCTTTAAATTTGGAGTCGCAGCTCAATGGACTTGTTTTTCGTTTGACATTTTGGAAGAAATAAAGTTTAATTTATAAACCAAACAATCGAAGAAAAGACGATTTTATTTGGATCCATAATGAAATGATCTCCAGTTTCTCAAAATGTCCCGAAGAGTTATTGCTGTTGGACGCTGTTTCCCACAGGGCGTGCGGCTGGTGGAGCTGGGCGATCTGTATTTTGACGTCAGCCTGCTGCTGTGGTGCTGCAGTCTGGTGTGGCTGACCCAGCAGGGCCTGTGCTCGGCCTACGTGCCCATGTTGATGGTGGCTTTCCCCCTCGCCACCAGATTGCTGCTGGCAAAAGAATTTAAACACAAAGGTAAAAAACTCCGCTTCAACTCGACCCTATTCACAGGGCTTGTTCACAGTCAATGTGAAAGCAGGAAAAACTGGGAGGGTTCATGTGACCGAAACCTTCAGCATGCCTCAGACAAAGTGCTCTTTGACTGCAAATTCTGAGGAGATTAGAAAGCTGTGGAAGAGTTGGAGCACATGTAATCAAATGGATAATAATCAGTGTTTGGATTTTTTTGACAACATACCTTTTTTCTGCTTTTCTTTTTCCAAGGGGCGTCATTAAAATACTGCGTGCTGTATCTTCTGGGACTGGGGTTGCCATATGTCCACTTCATGTTTCTCATCTGGGTGGTGTTTGAGATTTTCACACCCATCATGGGCCGCAGTGGAACAGAGATACCCCCTGAGGTTGTAATGGCCACATTAGTCACCCTGGCAACCATCTTCCTCTCCTCCTTTTTTGTGAGTCTTTTCACTTTGAACAACTTTGATTAACCAATCTGGACTCATTTTTAGTTTGTCTGCGTTTTGTCTGAGTATTCTCAGATTTGATCTGAGAAGCAGATTTGTTGTTAAATGCGCTTTTTTTAAATTCTTGATGTGGATTGTCTCAGCTCCATTTCATCTACTTGGTGAGAGGTACAAAGTGGATCCTGGCTGGGCTGGGCTCCGTCTTCCTCATCGTGTTCCTGTTGGTGTCTGCCGGCCTCTTCTTTCCTTATTCAGGCAATCCTGACAGCCCCCGGCCTAAAAGAGTCTTCCTGCAGGTTCATATTCACAACACGTACATCTGCAAAATATAATTAAATATATGTAAGAACTCCACTGGGGATTTTCAGTGACTCGCTGAAGGTATTATATGTAGTATGTAAGAGAGCTCCCCTACAAAGGCACTGTAGTTAATCTATAAAATAGGATTCTATAATGGTGAAAAATTAGATGTCATGCTCTGGTTGTGAAGAGTGAAACAGACCTAATGAACAATTTTGAGCATTTTCTATGAATAAAGAGCATTTTCATGCATATTAAATCCAACAGGATCAGTATAAATTGAAATGCTCGATTTGCATAATCCATTACAGAAAATGGCAAAGGAAATCGGGGTAACATATGACTACACGAATATAAGCAGACATGTCTAAATAACCGAATCCTGCCGCTGACGGCCACCTGCTCCCTTTGCAGCATACGACTCGGACTTTCCACAATCTCCAGGGCCAAGTGGAGAGCCAAGACTCTGGTCTGTGGATAAACAGCTTCGACTTCACAGGCATACAGCACATCACTCCCCACATTCCTGAGATCAACGACAGCATTCGAACGCGCTGCCGGGAGGACCGGCCCTTCTGCGGGTACCCCTGGTTCCTGCCTGTGAAGTTCCTCAGCAGGTGGGCCCTACCGCCGTCAGCCAAAGAGTTTTTACAAAGGCCCGCTGTTGCGTCAACTTTAAACTGAGCCCTGACAACTTCTTTTGGTTTCTTTGCAGGAAGAACTGGTATCTCCCTGCAGCAGAGGTGTCTCCCACTTCCCCCGTGGAATTCAGACTGCTGTCCAAAGAGGAGACGAGCTGGGGAACCGTCAAGATGACGTTCAGCGTGAAAGGTCAAGAGAGCCCTGTGTGACCAAGCAGACATAGATAGATATGTCATAGGAGTGGTGATGACGATGGAAACAACAAACGTAACAAAAACGACCGAATAGATTCTATAAAAGAAAAGACTAGTCTTGAGCGTTGAACTTACTTTCGTAATGAAATGGGAAGAATTGTGCTTATTTGTTTAGTGATAATGAGGTGGAGGATTGGAAGTGAGAAGCTTGAAGTACAGTTTTTAGCTTGGGAAAACAAAACCAAGTCTCTCCCCTCGTGCAGGACCCAGCCACTTGTCTCTGTACCTGATGCCCCACAGGGGGGCCAGCCTCTCCACCTGGTCATTTGGAGATGGAACGCCCCAGTTTGACCTGAGCGGGGAATATTTCATCTTCTATTCCCATGGCCTTAACGCTCCCACATGGACCTTCTGGTTTGAAATTCAGGTACCGAAGGAACATTCCAAACTTATTTTTATTGTTTTTCCTTCTTTAATATGACGGTAATGTTAAATAATCACACCTCAGCCCTGGCTTAAAGGCATATGTCAAACACAACTTTAAATCCTCACATTTAATAGAAAATAGCACTGTTTTTTTCCTAAATGATGGCTGCACTATTTGTGCACAGTTTTGATTGCAGCAGTATGTATATTTTTTATGTAGTTTACATGGAGCAGAATGCAAAATACATTGCCTGTTGGAATGTTACATCTTTATTGTCATTATTGCAATGTCAGTAAAGATGTATCTAATCTATCTTAATCTTCCTATATTGGATCTTAAGTCTTTTATATTTGAACACATCCAGAATGTTTTTTACTGCTATAAGCAGTTATTTAAATGACTTCAGGTGTCTTTTAGCATGAAGAAAGGGATATTTATAGAAAACATTTCAGGAAGCTGTAGGGTTCAAAAGTTTTTGTTCCCATTTTACAGAATTTATGGGCTTTTTAGTGGCAACGGTTCCTAAAAATGTTGGCAAAGCTTCAGGCTTACTGTTAACTGGCTTTTGATCTTTTCCCTGGCTTCAACAACAGAAATGCTGCATCTATAACAACAATTCTATAAATGAATAAGAACAATTAAAGAAATGGAATGATTTAAAAAAAGATGTCAGTCTTTCCCAGGTTCTCTTTGAACCATTTGTTGGAGTTTTTTTTTCTTCTTTTTTTTTAAACATTGGTGGCATTTTGGGATTAAAGCCACTCGTGATCTTGAGGCCTCAGCCAGTGATTTCTGTGAAAGATTAGTTCCCGCTGGAACAGAACTTCAGGTTTGAAGATTAGCCCCCCTTCTCCTTTTGGGGTTAAGAATTACTCTACAACCCAAAAACCTCCTTGGATTGCTTTTTTTAAATCAGCTTTTTTTGGGACTCCTTGTATCTCTTTTAGTAACAAAGCATTCATGGTTGGATTTGTGTGTGTCAGCCCCCCAGGGAACCAGACCCGGCCGGCCCTGAGGGGATGATCTCCGTCGCCATATCCTCCCACTATTTCTTTGGGGAAGACTGGAGGACTGCTCAGCTGGAGGAAATCCTGGGCCGGTTTCCCACATGGGCCTTTCCCTCCTCCTGGGTCAGCACCTACGACATGTACCGATACTGAGGCTGCTGCCCAGGGTCCGAGGGAGGTCCCCCCCCCCCCTAAGACTTTTCAAAGAACAATACCCAGGCCCGGTCCTGCTGCCTTTTTCACACTGGCACAAACACACACTCAAACACACACACACACACTCATGCTCCGTCCCAGGCCGCCTGAGAGACCATCACTGTGTCAGTAGGCTTAGCGGCTCACTGAGGGGGGAGAGCTGTGAGCCGAGCAGTCCGCCAGCAGACCGACACCCGGACTGCCACCAGCTCTGCTCACTCCTCAGTTTGTGAAACAAACAACTTTAGTTTTTAATTTAGTTTTTTTTTTTTTTTTTTTTTCTACTCAATCAGTTGTGCCTTTGCTTTCCTTACCCCGTGTCACCGCTTTCTACACTTCTGATCTGACTCACTTCCTCCCAAACTTTCCCCCTCATGCTAGGGCTTCTACTGAATGATCAGCCGTTGCATGTCCCCCCCCCCCCTCTACCAGCGAACCACTCGGGCTGCGTCTGACTCGGCGTGTGTCTGTCTCCTTCTGCTCCACCGCTGAAGGCACACTGATGGCTACATTTGGGATGGACTACATGAGACCTTCCTCAGGTCGTCTCCTCTCTTAACTGGAACTTCTGCGCACATGTCATTTTAGGAGCACGTCATTCCTTACAAAATGGCAGTAAAACGGCACCTGCTCAAACTAGCAAAAGTCAAAGGAAAAACACTCTGCGGCAGTCGAGATGTCAAAGTCCCCCTTAAAGAGTAGATCCTTTTGAATACTGAGGGTTTTATTAAGTTCTTTAGGTTTTTTTGTTTGGTTCCCCCCCCCTCATCAGCTTCTGGGATCTCACTAAAATGAGATGTGATTTTGAACTCCTGGTTAAACGAGATTAGAATTCACAAAGAACTGAGGGGAAATCTGTCATTTGAATTTAGTCGGAGTCTTACTGGTGGAAAACGTCACCTCACTTGCTCTCATAGGCTTTACCAGTTAGATTTGTTGTTGTTTTTTTCTCCAAAACGCAGCCGTGCTGTGAGCGTCTCCGGCAGCCCCAGTGGAGGTCTGTCAGAGAGGAGAACACAGGAGCTCAGGTGTGTCACAGGAGGCTTAACAGCTGCCGCTTTGAGAACGGTTTTAGTCCCCTTTCAAGCTGAAATGACAAGGATCAGTTGCTCGTGCTCAGTTGTGAAATCAAATGAGAAGCCTTAGGTTTTAACTTCTGCTCTTTGTGTGGGAGGCTGAGTTGAACACAAACATACTGGAGCAGCAAAGGCTCCGGCACTGAACGCAGTTGGGTTAAAGGCGACGGTTAAGGTTCAGGATGTTTGGTGGTAACTTCGTAAGTTTAATTATTTGGGTCACTGGGTATCGGTTTTAAGAAAAAAAAGACAAGTAAAATAGCTCCAGCTGGAAATGAAGCCTCGACTTTTTTTTCTAAATAGGGCGGTTCGTATATTAAATGTATTTTAGCTGTTAGTGATGGCATCAGATTGCTAATCAGTTGGCCCCTTCCCCTTAAGTCCCATCTCCCATTTCAAATAGAATCTGTAAGATGAAGAAATCCCAAATAATAGATTTCAGTGAATTATTTGTCAGCCACTTACTCGCGTAGAACATGACAGAATGCAGTTTAATTGAATTATTTGTGCAATTATATTTGAATCCAGCCTACTAATATATTTTATCCATAAAATAACTTTTAACTTTAATTTCTTTAATAAATTGAAGACTAGATGCATTTCCCATGTTTACAGTTTACATGATGTTGTAATTTGATATTATTCTCTAAGTATGTGAAATTTGGTTTCTATGCCATGTTCAGCCTGATTGAATCATTCAGCTACAGATTACCTCCAATGTTATATAGATTTCTTGCTGTTTGCAAAGCCTCCATATTGTTTTTTTTATCTGCTGTAAGAGTTTATCTTTGACACCGACAGAGACGCTCAGCTTTTCCAGTTGAATTGGCCAAACTGGAGATAAAAAGCCCCGGTGTTCCTAACATTTGGTACGTCTCATGTAAGGGATAACTGTTTCAGAACTACAGCAATAAGTTTATTGTCATGAGTTTGGAGTCTGTTGCAGTGCTTTGGGAAAACAGGCCGTAATGAGGACGGGCAGCGGTGCACTGGTGCTGCTGGACCTGCAGCGCCTCCATGTTTGCTGTTGTGAATGATTACAAACTGTCACACACAGGCATGGGGCCATGTGACATCATACCAACCACTACCTCCACAGGGATCTGACCGCAGCGTCCAGCACCCAGGGAACAGTTCTGAAAGCCTCCAGGCTGACTGTTAACACAGACAGTTGAGTCTGGCTAACCGATGCTAGTTTGTCGGGTTCTGTGTGACATCGACGCTCAGTTGTGGGAGATTCAGCTGGACATGACTTTGGTGGGTGGGGGGTGCTTACGTGTTGTTGACTCCACCTTTTTATGTAACCAAAGGTTGAGTCCAGTTGTAAAAAAACAAACAAAAAAAACGTTGGTAGTCTTAGACTCGTGTTACTGCCAACGAGGTGGTGAACTCACGCACTGATGTGAACGGAGGCCTTAAAGTTTGCCTCCAAAGGGGCACAAGCAGTTTACTATTGTGGACGCAAACATCTCAGTGGTCTTAAGATATCAAGTGCCGCCCTGTGTGGCTCATTCACAGCCAACAAGTGCTGTTAGGAGCTGGAGTCCATACCCATCGCCGCCTTCAGCAGATGCTCCCTCTTTGCCGTTTGTCTTTATCCTCCGAAACTTGAGGCATTTGAAGCTGTCAGGAGTTTTCTGAGTAAAATGACGCTGAGCTGTCGGAGGGATGCATTGGACCTCTGGGTCACCAAATCTGAATCTGTAGTCAGTTTTACTGTGAGATCCCCCCTCTCCCCTTTTCTTTAAAGTGACATATCCGTCTCCTTCATTTAGTGCATTGTAACTCTTCTGTGTTGTTCTGTTGGTGATGCGTTACCTAAGAACAGCCCGTGGAAATGGTTAGAGTCCAACGGCGGCCCGCTGGAAAACCAGGGTGCCTCTCTGCCGTTTTCCAATCTTTTCTGACTGAAGCAGATGCTGCTCCACAGCTGTGGGTAACAGCTGGTCAGACAGCTGTTTCTGCAGCTGGCCAGCAGCATCACCTGAAATGGCTGGAAAGCAGGAGGGCTTGGACTGACTACTGGACATCAGTCAACGGTCATGATCATTAAAATAACACATCAGTCAAGTCCAAATCAGTAGATTGTGGATTTAAACGAGATGACCGAAGGAGTCCAATCAATCTGTTACAACATTTGTAACACTTAGGTTTACAGAGTCTATAAAAAGCAGATATGTATTTATTAACTAAAGGTTTTTCTTCTATAATGAAGTGACAACTGCGAGTGTGAACATGGTCAATGTTTCTGACCTCTAACGCGACCTTTGCCCTGAAGAGTTTTAGGACATTTGAACTTGTTGCGGGTCTCTCACTGTTGGACTTCACAGCTTCAGCGTCAAACGGGTCGATGGCGGAGAGCAACTGTTTGGCAAAAAAAACTCAACTTAACTGTGAACTGACCCCTCCTACACTGTTGGTGCCCCACGGTCAAGCTGCTAGAGCTTTGCCTGAATCGACTCCCTCAGGAGTGAATTTACATGGTGACTTTACGACAGAATCTAATGTATTAACTGACTGAGCACTGCGGTGGGTTTTTAGATGAGTGCAAACTCACCTGTAGATGTAGCTTCGTCTTCATCCAGTCAGTTACGGTTAAAAAGAAATAGATGAGTAAATAAAATCATTAACATTTTTCTAGTTGGGAGATCATCCGTTTGTGATTTTTTTTTCTTCCTGGGACACATCTAAATGTCTTAATGTTAACTTATATCATTTTTCTTTTTTAAATCTGTTCAAATATTTTGTTATTTGATCATTTTGACTGTTCATGTATGTGTCACTAAATGTTCAGTTTCCGTTTTCAAATGTTAGTTCAAATTAAACTGATTGTTTTCACAGGAAAAAAAAAACAGTTGGTGGTGGTTTGGATTATTGGGGCTGATTTCAACCTGCAAAAAGCTGGACTGTAGTTAGCAGTTGTGCGGCAGTTAAAAAGCTTCTTAAGGTGACAGCCAGGCACAGACGCACTTTTAAAAATAATTTATTGGTCTTTATGTACAAGGGGGGAAAAAATGAAGTAGAAAAACCAAACCATGAGTAGAAAAAGGCAAATGTACAGAGTATCTTTACACTGCATGAGTGTCTGCCGGCCCACAGAGCAAACTTTGCTCTGAGTAAACGGGCATCACTTTTAACTGTACAGCGCGGGGGGGGGCGCCGCCCCTCTGAGACACACCTGACTGTGCGCCCCCCGCCCCGCGAAGAACACCATTAAAGATCTGCAATAGTCATTTCCGTAGGAAATTGTCTCACATGCTGTCAGCATTAGGTTCGAGCAGTGGTGCTTAACGTTTCTGTGAGAAGGTTTGGATCAGTGTGTGTGTGTGTGTCTGAGGTTTTGTTCCTTCTGCATAATGACCGGCTGTTAAAACAAAAGGCCTCTGGACGTTTAAAGTCTTTGGTACGAGTTACCGTTTTCAAGTCAAATAAAGCTTGGAGCGGTGTGGCCGCCGGCTTGTTGGGAGCGGAGCCTGTCCTGCTGCCCCTCAGCGCACAGAGGGAGATCCACTAAACGGCTCACGGGCCCACTAGTTTGACAGACGATGCACTCAGCAGAAACAAATCTCTAAAATGTTTGGTCTATTACGTTAAGAAACAAAACAAGTGGTGAACATAAAGCTTGAGTAACATTTCGATACATTGCACAATATAATACTGACAAAACCTTTTTGTGCTTGCGGTTGAAAGCCAACGCACCTCTCTGATTACTAAAGGTCAGGGGGGGAGCCATCAGTCATTAAAACAGATCTCCATTCATCTGCTCAGGAATTATCACTCAGCTATAATGCCAATAAATAATAATAATAATGACTTAATACCGTAAAAGCAATCCCAAGAGATCAAAGTCACAAATCCTGCAAATGCATGCTGAATACAATGTGGTACGTAATCGCAGAAGCACACAAATGCACATAATCTGGACGAAATTTAAGTCCTTAAAGGTGAAATGGGTTCCTCAGTTCAAAACAATACGGAAGCCTCACTCGGAACACTGCCTCTGAGCTCATGACGCTCTCGTAACGAGGGACAGATAGGTCCAAAAATTAAAATGGCTTTAATAATACATCTAGCATCTGCTGCACTCACAACGAGAAACACATTTAAAACCTCTCACAGGTTCAGACCAACTTGAAGCCACATTAAAAAGTAGGATAAAGCATGTTATGATTTGGTTTTTGTAGTGTGTTTCCTTTTTTGTTTGTACCAAAGCCTCTAATCTGGTTGGGGACTAGCCAACACTGACCTGCCTGGCTCGTGTTGTGAATACTCGGGCCACGCAGAGGGGAGCAGCTGGCCGCTTCTGGCACAAGAGGACGAACAGTACTGACCAGTGGTGCGAAACTAGTCTGCGTCACGACGGCGGATTCCTCTCAAGAGTTTACCTTAAACGTCCTGTAACTTCTCAAAATAAGTCACAGAGACTTTACATAATGAGCTTTTTTTTTTCCCACAGAGGGACAGCTGATAGAAAAATAATCTAATTTTTCCTGATAGCATTATTGAAAAAGGTATCAAAATATGTTAAAATCGTGAGGTATGAAAGTATGAAACACCTCTTGTGCACACTTTTCTGTCGGCTCAGACACACTCGGCGCGTCTTGTAAATGGTACGGCTGAAGCTTTGTTTAACGATATGCGGTTAACGATGACGCGTGAGGATCGCCTCGCCTCTTTCAGCCCACTCTCTCTCTCTCTTTGCATTCATCCAAAACAATTTCGAAGCTTTCTGCCAGGACAGCCCTGGAATTAAGAGAAACATAAAAGCGGTGTGCTTTCCTGGGACACGGGTGACCTTTTTCTTTGTTGTTTTTCCATGCAGCCCGTGGTGGTGAAATGTGAGGCTGGGCGCTCAGGGCCGGAGGAGCAGCGGGCAGCCGGGCATCTGCAGGGGGCTCTGCTGGAAACGAAGGCTGATAATACTGACCGAAGAAGTAAGAACCTGCAAACGGAGGTACTTTTTGTGCGCGCGCTCACGCAAAACTCAAAACTCAAAAGTTCCAGTCGTGCCCTGGCTGCCTCTCTCTCTCTCTCTCTCTGTCTCTCTCTCTCTCCCTGGCTGACCGGCGCCCCCGGCGGTGAGCTTCAGGACAGGGTGCAGTCGTAGGCGTCCTCCTCCTCTCCCGGCTCCTCCGTCTGTGAGGGGGCGCAGTCCTCGGAGGGGGGGCGGGAGAAAGCGGCCAGTTCCAGTGAGGGCAAAGCCAAACCCAGCGGAGTGGCCCCCCCCCGGCCGTCCTCGGGCCGGGGGCCCGCCCGCCCCCCCCCCCAGCCCCTCGGCGCCCCCCAGCTTGGCGCTCTGGCCGGCGGGCTGGAACGCTTCGGGCTGCGCCTGCTCGGACGTCGCCTCGATCAGCTGCTGCAGCTGCGGCTGGATCAGGTTCAGGAAGGGCTTGTACCCCAGGCTGTGGAAAAAAGAAAGCATTTAGAGACGGGAAGGCGGGGACGCCTCAGCTCATGGACAGGATGGCACCCACCAGTCGGCGGAGGCCCACGCGTCGACAGCCAATAGGCCGCTTTGGATGCTCTGAACAGTTTCCGGGGGAACCTCTGGACTGTTCAAGAAGTTGATCACCTGCTTGATGACGTGTGCGTCCCGCAAGATCAAACCAATCACAACGCACCACTCCAGGCAGCCTGCCTCCATGAACACGTGCAGGAGGTACCTTCAGGGGACACAGAGGCACTGGTCAGAAATCAGCTTTGATTTTAGCGTGAAGAAAAAAAACCTTCGCGCAACGCGGATCGCCTCACCTCAGCTGCACCTGCGACTTGTGCGGACCCTTGTTGGCCAGCTCCATGGAGATGTGCTCCAGCTCGGCCTGGCTCAGGCTCAGGGTGGAGGAGTTCTCATCCACCATCATCCAGTCGCCGTCCACCACCGAACTGGTCTCCGTCAGGTCGGTGGCCGAGCCGATGCTGTACTCCTCCACTGGAGGGAGGAAAGGGGGGGGGAAAAAAAAAAAAAAAAACTTCAGTGTTGGAGAAAGCAGCCCTCAGAGTTGAGCTGGCCCGCCGGGTCTGGTACCTTTGTTTGTGAGCAGTGACAGAAAGGCGTCGTGCGTCTGTGGTGAGTTCTGGGTGGAGTGAGCGGACGAGGCCGTGTCCATGTCTTTGGCCCTCTGCCCCAGCCCGTCCAGCCAGGTGTGGCCGGGCGGAGCTTCTGGGGGCGGGGCTGTGTCCATGTCGCTGTGCAGCAGACTGTCGGCGGACTGGGACTTCAGCAGCCGCGTGCTCAGCACTGAGGGGGGAGACGGGGGGGGTGGCGCGTTCCCGTCGTGATGGAGGCGGCCGGCGGCGATGAGAGGGGCCCGCGGGCAGCTAGCGGCCTCGGCGTGCGGTCCACTCACCGCTGCGACAGCGGCCGTTCTTCAGCGGCGAGCTGAGGCTTCCCACGGGGATGACGGGGAACGGCCAGAGGAAGTCCTCGTGGAGCCGCTTCAGGGCGCAGACGAAGTCCTCCACCCGGGCCACGCGGTTCCGCTCGCGGCACAGCCAGCCAATCAGCTCGAAGCCCAGCTGGGCGGAAAAGCAGCCCAGGTCCCGCAGCCGCACCTGCTCCAGGAGGTGCCGGGCGTGGCGGAACAGCATCATGTCGATGTACATGTTCTCCGCACACTCCACGTCCCGGCTGAGGGGGGGGGAGGCGTGGGGAGGAGATGTGGGAAAGGTGGGACGTTAGATGAGAGCGACACACGCGGTGGAGGCTGACGGCTGTGTGGGAGTCTGTACCCTTTGGCAGAAGATCCAGAGGGCATGCTGAAGGTCTTCTGCAGGTTGAACTTTCCCGTCGTGATGGAGTCGGCCGACTGCGATAGGCTGATGCTGCGATTCCGAAAGAACTCGAAACCTCCGGTTGAGCTGGGTTCCTACAGAGAGACCCACATGTTCACCCGTCTGAAAGAGTTTATTCTGCACCACAAAATATACCACGACATAAAGATGAACTGTAACATCTTTTGAGTTTGTGCATACGGTAATTACATATCAGTTTTATGGCCCCCAAAGATTAAATTTCAACAACCTGCAATAGAAGTTGTGTTGCTGGACATTGCTCTTTCAGACAAACTTGGCAGACACGAAGAGGAGAAGAAAAAGATAAAAAGACGTGAGTGATTTGGAGCCTCTCACCTGAGAAGAAGGTGTTGGGGGCGGGGTCTCCATCTCCCCTGAGCCAATTGCTTTGAGGAATCGGATCATGTGCCGGCAGAGGTCCCACTTGCCCTGTTCAAGTGCAGTGTTGAAGAGGAGAGTGGCGTGCTGTCTGCTCACGGCTGGAACCTCCATGTTCTTAAGAGGGAAAAGGACAGATTTTACACCCTCACTCACTCACACAGTGCAGTGATAGAGATTTCTGTCCAAAATGTTTCAGAATGCCAGCCCCGTGGACGTAACAGTGTCCATCCCTCAGTCCCGTTATCTACCTGCAGTATTATCAGGTACGAAGCGGCCGTGTCCAGATCTTGAGCCATGAGACACTCCTCAAACAGATCTTTGGGGTTCCCCACAGCCGCAAACAGGTAATTCCACAGGGCGTACTCCGTCTTCCTGGCACAGTGCACAATGGTCTGCAGGAAGAGGGGGAACTCGGTGATGAACTTGGCCACAGTAGGCAGCAGAGGGTCAGGAATGGGCTCCCGGGACGTGGCCTCTTCTTCCAGTACCACGTGGACCATCAGCTCCATGACGTGGGGGAAGTAGGGGAGCGAGGCACATGACTGAGCCAGCATCAAAGCCTGGAAATGAGGGAAACAAAGAGCACTCCTGAGTGTTTGTATTGTCACAGCAGTGGACAGAATGCAAAAAAACAACTAAAAACGCCTCACATACCTGTTCGCCCAGGTTGCGAACCAGCAGCTGCCTCAGGATGTGGTGGAGGTAGATCTGGGAGGTCCTCTCCACGGTGCAGTAGGGGAACAGAGACTCCAGAGGCTCGGAGGAGCCCTGCAGCCCGTCGTAGAGCACCGTCTCGTTGGTGGCCCCCAGCACCAGGGCGTCCTCGAACAGCACCGCCAGAGGGTAGATGTTGATGTGGAAGGGCAGCATTATACGTCTGGAGAGGAAGGAGTGGGGCTTCCGATGGTCTCTGGGAAACAGCGGCAGCCACACTTTCATCCCTGCCTCTCCGCAGGACAACCACAGGGCCTCCAGCAGGTGGCGCTTCTTCTTGTTGGAGCGGCAGGTGGTCCAGACGTTTTCCACACATTGTGCCAGCACGACGGGAGGACAGAACGGTAACTGGAGAGGAGAGCGCTGCTGTTGGCACTTCATCGAAGTAAAACCGAAAACATCCCAGAGAGGAGTCTGGACTCACCAGCTTTTTGTTGACGGTGGGCGTCTCTTTCTCTCGTACCTGTGGTCCTGACCGGTCCCTCTGCAGCATGATCAGCTGGCCAGCCAGATTCAACATGATGCTCTCTGCCATGCAGGCCTGACACACACACACACACACACACAGACATACAGTATTAACACAGCTCTGGTGGAGGCGCGGGGACCAGAACCTAACGGAGGAGTTTGTGTCCTACCTGCTGCGGGGCTTTTAATGTGATACCGGTTTCGGTGCGCACAGATGTTAGCGTGACGGAGACGACGAGAGCTGGGTGAGGGATGTAGCGAGACATGGACACCTCCTGCAGCAGCTCCACGCAGGCTGACGGGTTTGGTCTGGAATGGCGAGCACAAGTTTGTAGGGATTTCTTTTAAAATATCAATTTAATTAATAAACTGGGCCAAAGGATCCAGGCCCACAGCTTCATCCTGCTCTCCACACAGTTCCTTGCCTACACACGTAGCAGTGAGCAAGAATTGCCCTTCGCACAAACTGTGCCACAGATCTTCTAATCCCAAAATCCCAGCCAAAAATGTCCACAGGCATTAGTCCCCTCTGGTGGCGTTAAGAGAAGAAAGATCTGATGTGTATCACAGTTAGATACCGTCTACTCGATAATGTTAATCACTTTGAGAGATAACCTGCTCTGAGCCCTCTGTCTTTCTGGCTCGTATGCTCAATGCAGCTTCTGTTTAAAGCTTCTCCCTTAAATGTGGTGATGATTTACGAGGGGATAAAATCTCTAACAAAACAAATAAAACATACCATGTCCACCCATGCGACGGGTTTTAGATAAAATGCTTTTTACCAACTTTTACCAGCTTTTTTTTTTTGCCGAGGGTGTCGCTGGAAAGAGAAACTACCAGATTTGACCATGATGAGCATTTTTATGTCTCATAGTTAGAAAATATTAATGCTGATGTGTATATAACAGCAGGTCCCATGTTCATTGTGATTTTACAAGACAAGAGCCCACCTGTCGTTCCTCTTCTCTATGCTATAGAGGCAGATGGAGCAGTCGGCTCTGAACAGGATGACCATGTCTCTGAAGACGTTGAGCAGCAGAGTGTCTGAGTGCAGCTTAGTGACCGAGGCAAAGGCGTTGTCCAGGTTTGCTGTGCGCTGATAGAGCCTCAGCTAGTGGCAGCAGGGAAATCAAAGGAGAAGACACCGTAATGAGGCAAAGGCATCTTCACCTGACAGGCAGGAAAGGTGGAGGCTGCTGTGCTTCTAACCTGCTCTTGCTGGTCTGTGAAATTGTAACAGGCCACCACAATAAAGTCGTTCCACCAAGCCAGCCCTCCTGTCACCGTCATGTTCTGCTCCTGAGGCGAAAACGAAACCATTTTAACTCACCTTTGTTAAACTGTAAAGGTGACAAATTACATATTAAAAATAAGGCAGTACTTAAAATAGCAGTACAGATTTAATCAGCGTACCTGAGTGACATTCCCAAACAGCTTCCATTTCCTCGTGTAAAGGGAGTAGTGTGCAAAGCCCCGCCTGCCTGCTACAGCCATGCATTGACCTGCTGTGTCAATGGCTGCAAACTGTAAATAGAACAGTTTCAAGTGTTGACAGGGAGCATAAAACAAACCATAAAAATGAATGCCCAGTTGACATTTTTACATATATTACACATTTAAAATGAAGGGGGAAAAAAAGGGAAAATAATATTTGGTGGTGCCAACATAAAGCATTTTGACTGCTCTGTAATTGAAACTGAATATTTTTTTAATAATGAGGAAGTCAGTGGTGCTGGGATCGCATGAAGGGACATTCACATACTTACACGTATAGGCCAGTTGCTCTCTAAGTATGTGCTGTGAATCTAAAGAATGGGAAAAGAACCAAGATATTTAAGCAGGCCTCACAAACACACAGTGAAGCTCTCCTAATTCAACATGGCTCTCTGTGATATGATTAAAACTGCATTAGGCTGTTAGCACTAATTATAGCCTCTTGGAACTCATCTGTCACGATCAATGAATGCAGCTTAATCACTAACAGATGTTGGAGGTGCAGAGGCCACAGAGGCAAGAGGTGAGACCTGTTGCAAGATCATCGTCTAACATGATGCTACACAACATTCCTTAGAATTAATATGTTTTATATTTTAAGCCTAAGACGTTCTGAGGCCTCAGCGTCCGCTGGTGTCATTTTAGATTCAACCAAGAAACACGTCGGTTATTTGTCTCCTCTAAGCGTGACAAACCCTTACCTGGACCACATGCCAGTGCTTGTGTCCCAGTAAAGTGCTGAGTCCCTGAGAGAGGGGGGAATCGGGGTTGGGGGGCTGGTGCAGAGGACTGCCATCATGTGGGTGTAGATGTGCGTGCGGCTTTTTGTCAGAGGCGCTTTGGATCTGCGTCGGGTCTCCACAGGTCAGGTAGAGGCGGTCTTCACCATGGAGCAACACCTGCTCCTGGTTGCTCTGTAACAGCCGGGAGACGGGCAAACGGAGCATGAATGTTTTATGTGACTGCATGCATGTGTGCGTGAGCGCTAAGTTTCCACTGAGGCTCTCACCGTGCAGGGGTTGACTGTGAGGGCACTCTTAATGAAGTGGAACTGCAGAATACCAGCCTGCAGGGGAGGGGGGGGAGGAGAAACCATGTCCACGTCTTGCTGCTCCTCACCTCTCCTCCTGTCCTGCTTGTTAGGGAGCACCCACAGGTGGTAGCCCTCTGCTCCCCAGCTCTGGAAAGGGGCAGAGTTCCAGTGTTATTACACTCATTGGTAACACAAACACAAAACAAACCAAAGCTTTCCTGTAATTTGCTGAAAAGTTTTGATGTTGAGATATAGCCATGCAGCAGCAATGAATAAACAGACATACCATAGAGCATATTTTAAGGGGGTCTTTCTTGGTACCATCAGATCGATACCTGAAAACAGAAACATATTGACAAAATCATGTCAATCTTTCTTCCATGAGCCTGTTCTGACCACATTCTGTCCATATTAAATGATGACATGAGGTGTTAAGGGCTGTATCTGTGTGTGTGTGTCCACTCACGCAAAGTCCTCTCCCAAAGTGCAGATGAGCTGAGCGCCGAAAACACTCCACAGTGACAGGCCGCCACACTCCCATGTTACCATGGCAACGCTACAGTCAGGTGACCAGCAGATTAGCTTGACAGGGCCGGTCTTGTTATAGATGTCTAAACAGGGAAAGGATTCAGGATCGTGTTGTGTGGCAGCAGACTGAAATGGCTGCTGCTGTGTTTAAAACATCAAACACATTATAGTCCAAATAGTAACGATCATGTGAACAAACCCAATGAAAATGTTATGTCTCCCTGGAAAGACAGTGTTCATTCATTCAGTCATACTTGTTGTGTTCGCTCTGACTGAAGGAATTAAGCTCTGACTGGCAGAAAGCCAGAACAAATCCGAAATTATCATTAAACAACAACGAGGAGGAGAGCAAAGCATTTTGAAGTGGAGTCATGTCCCACAAATAACTTTCCCCAACACCTAAATGTTGATTTTTTTGCATTATGTTCAATTCACTTATAATTTCTACATGAACATTTTCACTTTATTCTACATAGTCTTTTTCAATGCACAACAAACAGGAACATAGTGTTCTTTTTTGCTGCCGTTACACCTGAATTTCCCCTTTGTGGGACAATGAAGGCTGATTTTATTCTATTATATTTTATAATCTTCTTGTCCCAGTTACCTAGAGGATGAAGTATGTGTATGGCTAAATAAAAGAGGACTGAGACAACCAGAGATAATCAGACTCTTAGTGTTGAGTTTCAGAGAAGAAAATCACTGCATTTGACAGAAAGTCATCTTTGGCAGCATCAGGTGTTTGAAATAAGCTCACACTCTGATAAGTGGAAAAAAAAGGTGTTAATATGGTGACATATAGTGTACCCACGAGGTGGCGCTATAACATTGCAGCTTCTCATCTGACTTAGACAAGAAGGAGGAGAGCAGGCAAAGAAAAGATAGGTTTGGAAGAATTTTGAGTGGAATTCCTACAAATTAGACATATTTGAAAGAAGGAGACCAAAAAGCAGTCAAGTTGTTTTTTACTTTCCGTAATTTACATTCACATTTTTTTTAAAAGACAGAATTATACAGCAAGATTTTAGAAAAAGATGGAGAGCAGTGAGTGAGTGATACCTGGATAGTGTTTTGGTGTGAGCTCCAGTTTGTGGGAGAGCTGCATGGATCCTGTGGTGGTATCTATCATGTAAACCAGCACGGAGCCACTGTGATGACAAACACATAAAGATTACACAGAATTAGATCTGGCTACTTTGAATACCAGAAAAGGCCTTGCTTCACCCACAGGGACTTATCTAGTTCTACACTTGACTGTTGGAGAATGCTGTCCACTTAGGTCTTAACTGACCAACTGCTTGTCAAATGAGTTTTAAAAAAGAGACCATTTTGATAGCTAACCATCAACAATAATACAAGGACATATAGTTTGCATCTTCTTTTTACTTTCATTTTAAAAGACAGCCTGACTTTAACAACATAAGGAGTTGCATATTACTCCAAGAAGCTACAAAAACTTGCAAAAAATAAAAAGACTAGAGAAGAAGAATGGGAATAGGTGTGGAGAGAAAATCCTGCCAACTTGGCAGATTGCATAATACAGGAGGGGATCCTGACAAGCACACTCGAGGTAACTTCTGCAAACACATTCTGACAGATTCTCACAGAGGACACACACCACATGGACAACGATCTCACTCTGACACACACATGCAAGCAAACACACCCAAACGCCATGTAGTGCACATGCAGACGGAGAGTGAGATAGCGACACAGACCTGGTGCAGCCAAAAGCCATCAGTCTGTACTTGTTGTTGACGGCCACGCAGGTGCCATCGTTCACGTCTGCTGCCCAAACTCCCTGTAGCTGCTAGACAGACACACAAAGAGAACGAAGCGGGTTCACACACACTGAGACGGGCCTGTCAGCTGAATGTGTGGCATTCTCATTAGGCTGCTTGGTCCCGATTAGAATTTGACATTCATGTCGCCATGGTAACCTTGGGACTCCCTGTGCAGTTTTATGAACATCGTTTCCAGCCTAATTAATATTGGTAAGCTCCTCTCAGCCTTTTTAAATTCAAATACACATGTTGTAGATTTGAGCATCCTGCCAAGAAAATGATGCTGCAAGCACTGTACTGAGTCACATTATCATGATATCCAATTTGGTTTATAGTCTGTATATATGAATATATACATGAATAGTTATGCCCTGCTTATACGACATGTCAGTTTAAAGAGTTGCTCTCTGTAGTTGTGTGTTCCACGTTTTGGTTACAGCTGCTGCAGAAATCAAATCAAACACATCTGAGGTCACGTTTTGTTTTCTCTGTTATCGAAAGATTTACGGTCAAAAGAGAAAGAATACAAACATTTTACGTCCACTTAATGCAATTAACTCCTATCCATCTACAACTGAAAGGTAGGTTGTCAATTCAATTTTAATGCTATTGAAACGAAGTAGACACAGTCACTTTTGAAAGCTTCCAGCCTGTGCTTTATGACCTTTGACATCAGTAGTCTTTGAACCTGAGAGCTCAAAGTTCATTTTCTTTTTTTCTCTCTACACGTGTATAGCTATGAACTAGGACACAAACTACCAACTCAGGGGTGATTTTTTAGTCTGAATATACAAAGTCAAATCTGCATTAATACACTGATGCTGCCCCCATGCTTCTGTTCCTGCTACATCTATCTGTTTTGAAAGCAAACACTCAATGGTTTTGGGTCAGTTTCCTCTGTTTTGTGACTGTGAACAAATAAAAGTGGATATATACAGTGCAGGGTTTTTTTGTGCAGAGCTTTCCTGCTTGGCCTGGGTGGCATGGGGCTCGTGTCTTTGGGGATCTTACATCTGTGGTGAGGGTGTTGCTCAGCGGTGTGATAAACCCCAGGCGTCCATCACTCAGAACCACAGCCAAGCCGTCTAGAGTCACACAGTACTCCATGCAGTGGATATACACTCCCTCCAGGTCCAGGGAGGGACAACCTACACACACCAAAGTATGTTTGTTTAGATGTGTGATTCTTAAAGCAAATGTACCGCTGATGCCATTTTTCTAAATGACTTTGTAGATGCAGTTTCTCTAACCTCGGGCAGACTGCAGGTCTAATGAAAAAGGAATTGTGGTAAGGCAGATGGCTTTGCGTCCGTTGCTGCCTAACCCATCCCAGTGCAGTACATGAATGTAACCGTCAGCTGTGCAAACCAGTAAGTCCTCCTGGAGAGACTGCACACTGGTGGGGAGAAGACAAATGTAAGAAAAACAAAACAAACCATGAATGAGCATTTTAAAAACAAAGAAATAGCTTTTCAGAAAAAAAATAAATAGGGAATGGCCATCAAAAGGAAAAAAAAGATTAAAATTGGGTGGTCGTTATATTAAGAGAGGAACTGTGGGCCATTCATCATCCAGCTGTGCCCTGACCAGTTGTGATGTAGCTGCCAGTGCCTTGTCTCACTGTCCTCTTCCACACATGGGAAACAAGCAGCCCTGTGTTTGTGTGTGTAAAGCACTTTCCTGTCTTTGAAAAAGTGGGAGACATTCAGCACGAGCACAACTGAGAAGAAAGGCAGACAGTGGGGAAACGATGAGAAGTAAAGAGTGTGTGCACAGCAAAGTGGCTGTGGAGGAGGAAAAGTCTTTTACTGCAGCTTCGCAGCAGGAGACACCCACTCATCTCCTGTACAATCAGGCTGTGCCTGTGAAATGCCAGCAGAGTGCCCCCATTCAGATGACTAACCCATAATCTCTGTCAAGCGGAGGAGAGTCGGCAGATGAGCGCTGGGACAAAGAAATGATGAAAACACCAGCAAAAAAGAAAGACGCTGGTTCAAAAGTTGTTGTCAATCTGTTAACAAAGACAGCATGCTAGAACATGTGGGTGAGAGCAGGGGAGGTGAGTGATTTGAATAAAAAAACAAAAACAAAAGAAAAACAACACAATGGAGGGCAGAACACAATTACAGAACGCTGCTGTTTATCAGATAGAACGATGTGCTGGTCATGACTTAATGAACCCTGACAATATTTCAGATATACTCTTTTACCATCAGATTGGACACTATCCCACACTTTATGTCAAGACGTGACCTCTTTAAAAATTGATGAGAGAGAAAGTGCTGCAAGTAAATTTAAGATAAGAATAGGTCATGTTTTTCATTCCTAACTTAATGTCTTATAGCTACAGAAACTGTCAGCAAACCTAATCTTGGAATGTGTCTGGCAGCCAGTGTCAAACCAGTGACCAAAAGTAAAAGACTCCAATGTTCCAGAGGCTCAAACCAGGAAAATGTTCATATTAAATCTGTCCTCCTACAGGTGGTGCTGCTTCAAACATATAAACAACTCAATGTGGAGTCAAATCGCGACATTTGCATCTTCAGAACGCACGGACTGATTTAATGGGTCTCATCTACATCAGATATGCTGCTGGCGACAGGAGTCATTTATCACTTCCTCCCATGTCTGTCCAGCAGCCCCCTCTTTAGGCACTTTGCCATTTCTGCCCATTCATGTGTTTCTCTGATGGGCTGTCTTCACAAATACCAACAAAGGGGCTCAGCTCTTCTCTACCAAAACCCACTTCCTACTGGACCCAGAGGAGCGTTTTTCATGCCAATCTGTCAAGTCAAATGTCTGACCCACAGAAATGCTGTCTTTCGGTGGAAGCTAAATATCCACCGGTGAAGCGTCTCAACATAAACACTGTGAAGCTGTGAAGCTCATTATCTATGGCTGAGATTTAAAAAAACTATTTAAAGCTGGAATTTTTCAAACGAAGAAAAAAAGGTATTTAGTTCTAGGTTATGCCGAATATAATGCTAAAAGAAAAGGATATGCTTCATATCGTTATGATGTGCATCCTTCGTATACAAACACTGAACATTTTACCCACTTTTGGCAAGTCTGCTTAATCGAATTTAAAAAATGTTTTTTTACATTTTTCGTTACTGGATTAAGCATTGGTTAACTGACATCATAAATCAAATATGTTGTTTTCTGAGAAAATATTGTTCTGGTGTATATTCCACAGCCAAAGCACTGCTAAGAACCCAGTTAAAGCAGCACCGGAAAAGTCTGTGAACCCTAAAACGATGCGTCTCTAACTCGTTTTATCCTGCATTGACTTTTATGATGCACCTTTCCTGTCTTGAAAGGGATTTGGAGCACCCCACAATTCCGCCGTTCAGTTGCTTGACATTTTTGTGGGCTTTGAATGCCATCTGTGTGGACTCATCAACATAAAAGCAAATTCATCTGCACAGCAGCTCGTGCGTTGGGCTCAAAGGTGATTTATTTCTATAACGGTGGTGTTACATCACAACTGTAAGGAGAGCCATACAGAAAAATAAATAAATAAATAGCTTAGTGAAAATCTCTTCTCAATCAGAAACGCTTTCACTTGATAAGATAAAGGACGCGTTTGCTGTGTAGTAAAAGTGTGATCTGGTACACATTTGTTTAACATGAAGTAGGAAATGCCTTTCATTCATTAGTGCAGCTTTGGGGAAAGCTAATCTGTTCATCATCAATGTTTATAGATTAAGCAAACCAGTCTTACTGCAACAAGCATCTTAATTTTCCACACTTGTTAAGGATTGGGGTAATTTGCATAAAATGAATATATTTCTGGTCTGATTTTGTTCACGAGCATACTTTAGTAGAACATAAACATCAGTGTGTCTATGTACCATTCCACATGTCCATACTATGAAGGATAATAACAAAATTCAGGCCATTTGCTCAGTTTATCGGAAGCAGAGGAGCACATTAAACAACAGTGAGTAATTATTTTGGTAGTTTGTGTGTGTGGAGATGCTGCAGATTGTAGAAGAGGGTAAGAGGACATGAATGGGGTCTGCTGTAGACATAACAAACGAAGAGATTCTAACACGGTGTTCACCTGGTAATGGGGGCTTCCAGATCCACAGGCTTCTTCATCTCTAAAGACAGAGCAGGAGCACATTGCTCCTCCTTATACCCCGGGGTGACCTTCACACGTGGACTTCCTCTGCACAGACGCACAAATACATTATTTCAAACACGTGCATTTGGTTTAACTACCTTGGTAGACTTGCTAACCCATATATCAGACATTTTCAAAGTCATGGAGCTGACAGAGATCAGTGAATATGTCCAGACTTGTGCTGGTTCTGCTGGTATCCTGTCTAGGAATTTGATGCACACACAACCATACACACTGCAGGCTGCTCAAACATCTCACACATCCTTGAAAATGGGCACAAAAATGTGAAGCTTAGTAAAGAACAGCGGAAAACAAACACCCAGAGATGGAAGTTAGACTCAGAAAAATAAATACTTTTACTTTCTGTAAAATGTACTATGTTGTATGTCTTGAGTTGAAGTCGCTTAATTTTATTAAATGCACATGAACTCATCTTATCTTTTCTGAGGGGCAGTTAACAACAGCAAGCATTTTCTAAATGCAGAAATAGGTTTGACGATAAGGCTGAGACAACGCCCCCCCCCTCCCTCCACAACAATCTAAAAACTACAGATAAGCAGCAAGAATGAGAGCTAATGGCTAATTTCTTTTAAAAAAAAGGAAAAAAAGAAAAAACTTAGTATGTGCTAAACTTACTTTAGATAGACAGGCTCATAGAGGTACTTTTCATCTCCTCCTCCAAGCACATCAAACAGAAGGATGTAGCCCTTAGCGGTCTGTGACAAAAAAAGAAAGAAGGTAGAAGACATATTAAATAACACATTTTATCATTAGACGGGACAGGTGGATAATAGGTATTGGTGAAAAAAAGTGGGAGAAAGTATGTAAAGAATGAATATGAAACTAAAATAAACTTTCATGATATATTCAAATGAATTTGGAGGTCATAACAAATTTAGATGAACTTTTTTGTTAATGCCACGAGGGAAATTTAGTTGAATATGAGATGCCATCCAAGGCAAAGGGCAACAAAACTTCATAACAGAGGGAAAAGTTAATGTGACTGATGGAAATAACACAAGCAGCCTGCTGTATTCATCAGAGATGGATGAGAGGAAACATGAAGAACACGTGAACAAAAATAAACAGCCTAAACACAGTGTTATAAGCCACCAGCTGAGTAAAAAAATGGCAAATGGACTTCTATATAGCACCTCTCGATTTTCTCCAAAGATTCTAAAAGGCATTTGCAGCACAAACCACAGACAGTTACTAACACACCTGTTAACATGATAGGGGCACAAAACCCTGACAAATGAGCTTCTGAAACCAACTCTGCAACGTAATATGAAGCAAAACTTGATCCGCACTCCTCTATAAACAATAACGCGTCTAGGAGTTGCCATGGCTGCACATAAAACAGCTCCATCATGCTAGAATGAAAAGAAGTTGAATATAAGCAATATCCCAAATCCTTCAGATTTCACTTCATTTCAGTCACTTGTACTTTACTGAAAGCAACTGAGAGAACTCCAAACCCCCCTCATATCTCTGGTGTGATGATGGAGCTCTTTTTTAGCACCAGAACAGCAATAATTAAAGTCAGACCAGAGAGGATGTAAAGCCAGCAGCAATAAGATACTGAAACAAAGAAAAAGCAGTGACTGCCAAAGAGAGGGCAGGGAGCCAGGCTGAGAACTGCTGAATCTATATACAGGCAGGGCAAAACAACACTCCAAAAGCTCATTATGTTATGCATGTATGGATTCAATTCAGCTTATCTATAAAGTTCCCATTTGAAGCAAAAGCCATCTGAGGACATTGTCTAATTTCAATTAACTCAGTTCAAGATAAACTGGAATCATACTTCATAATTGAACATGGCCACACAAAGACATGACGAGTACAATAAAACAACATATTTACTCATTCCTAATTTCACCATAGACATTTTGTTACAGAGTAAATGCTCATGCAATCAGCCTATGAACATGTGCAAAATGTAGAGCAGAGATGTTTGGCTGAGAACCAGCAGCGTTAAAAGGAAGAGGAAAAAAGGAACTGCCCACCAAACACACTGTGCCATGTGTAAATGTAGCAACACAATAGTGGACAGAGTTAGGTCCCAAGATGTAATGCGTCCCACAAACCCACATAGTTGCTAATTTCAACTCAACCCTTTTTTAATGATAAAAGGCTCTTAAAAACCCACAAACCTGGCTTTTGAGTAATAATGAACAACATTTTATATTTAGTTCTGGGTCAAAGGAAGTTTCTATCCCCTGTTGAGTGGATCACCTTCCATAGTTTGGTAAATATTTAAAAAAGAAACTAGCTTAATTATCCCCTGAAGGCTCACTGATCAGAAACTGTTGTGTAAAAATACGTAGGATGAAGTCTAATGCCATCCTTCGAGTTGACTTAACTAACAGGCCTGTCCCCTGGAGCCTGTGAACATGACTGGATGCAACTCTGATTACAGTTCTCAGGGTTTACAAACTGCTCCCAACAACAAGTGGGTGTTACCGTCTTTATAAAGTCCATTAAACCTGCTACTTTTGGAGTAAAGGTGGTTAATGTGGCACTAAGCAGCAATTGCACTTCAAAAGCATGTCTATTACAGGAACCAGGGAGTAGCAAAGATGGGAGGGGGAGGGAATGGAAATCCATTTGTCACCTCAGGACTAACTCTGGTAGTGTTGCACTGTAGACACCTCTTGCCTTTTATCCGTAGGTTGATCACACAAAAACATGAAAGCATTCACACATCCAATCCTGCGCACGGGAGTATGAATCCGGTTATCTCTGCTTATAAAATAAGAAAAAGCAGCACATGAAAGGAAAAGCATGCCACACTCAATATAAAGCTCCCATTTCTGACAGCCTTTGTGGTCTAAGTGTGTTCACACATGCAGATATAATGGTTCAGGAAGAGGCAGGAAGCCAGTTATTGTCAACTCGAGCCCCAAAGAAAGCCAGGCATTGAGATGTGCAAAGCAATCTATTGCTGAGCTGAAAGGTTTTTTTTTTAATTGTTTGTGTCCTCTCATTAATGGGCGCTGCAACAATGCGCCACGGCACCTAAGAAATAACCAGTATTTTAGTCTGCTGAACGGGGAGAATCTCCAGAGGAGCTGTTGTTGTATTACAATCGCTCAGTTTCAATATGGCTGCGGAAAAAAAAGGAAAAAAAAGGTTGAGTACAGAGTAAATAGTTTTACTTTTGAGAGGAGAGGAATATCAAATGACCCATTTAATGCTGATGTGAAAAAAGGAATAAAAACTGAAGAAAGATTAAAAAAAAAAAAAAGCTGACTCCATTTAAAATTAGCAGAAAAACAAAAACAAAATTCGCAGAAAGTGGAAGTCAGCAGAAGATGATGCACACAGTGTGATGGCATCTCTTCTGCATGTCTAAGCAGGCCCCAGAAGAGCAGCAACACGCACACACACACACACACAGACACACACAGAGGCCTTTGGATAGCTGAGCAGTAACCTCTCACACAGAGCAGAGACATCAGATGCAACTGCAGGCCGAGAGGGACACAAACACGAGCTAAATTCCAACCCGGGTGAAAGTCAACCGGCTACAGACAGCAGAAAAATGCAAAAAGAGCTACAGTAGAGATGAACGTTTAGAAAGAAAGGGAACAACAGAAAGAAGGAAAGAAAAAGACTTCTCTCTCTCTAATAATGAACAGTATGTAGCTGTAGCGATGATTACAGGAGAGGAGAAGACGGAAAAAGACAAATCAATCAGGGTGGAGTTCCTTTCACACAATGCATCCTGGTCCGTCCTCAAACACGTCAAATCACATTCGAAAATAAATCATATAAGGTCAGCTATCTAAGCCTGAAAACGGCTTGAAGAAAACAAAATAAACAAACAAAAAATCGGAACATCCTGTCAGACGACACGATTTGGCTGTACTAATGAACTCTTGCACTTGATTTTTTCCACAAAATTATGCAAAAATAGGGAACTTTAGTTCCGTTAAATTGTTAAATTATCCATTCAATTATTCAAATTTACTGCTGGGTTTCACCTTGGGGCCCAGTTTCTTTCAGTATTCATTGTGCTTACTGAAAAGCCCATTTTCTTCTGACTATAAATCTCTTTGAGCTAAAATATGGAAATGAAAGGACGCTCTTGCACGCATGGATGTAAAACACACTCGTGGAGAGGAAAACTGCCCCGCATTCTTGGTAAATGAACAAACTCTGTGGTGGAAACACTTTCTGGAGATCAGCTGCGTGAGAGCCTAAAAACGGAGAGGGAACGCTTTGGCCTCGGAGGGATCCCAAAACACACATTTAAGAGAGGCTAAAAGGAGAAAAGTATTTCCCCTGTTTGGAGGACTTGACAACTTTTTGACCCCGGTCTAGGAAAATAAGCACGTCCTTCTCATTCTATCGCTTGCTTTAGTTTCTTCTCTTTAGCCCTAATTTTTATAGACACACATTCACCGGGCTAAAGATAGTCCCAGCCTCGGTTTCGGAGGGTGATTACATTCCTCTTGAGGTGGCCGGGCTCAGGGAGCAGCCTAACATCTGGAAAACAGCTGGTATTTAAAGTGAAGACTACTGCCTGGACAGAGTTGGTCTTTACTGTTCTTTTGACCAAGTCAAGTCTCTTTGTAACTAAACCAGAGTTGTGGTGAGGGTGTGAAAAGTTGCTGCCCGTAGGGTTGATCATAAGAGAGACGCAGTTCAGGCCCCCTCACCTGGGAAAACCACAGCCACAGACCCAAGAGTTATAACAGAAAAGTAAATACAGCAGCTCTAGTTTTCCTTATTGTCCTAAATGTCAAATTGCTAAAAAACAGACAAAATAGGTGTACTTCTAAGAAGTATGAACCCTTACTTCCATTGAAAGAGATGATTTTTGAAAACTATTTTCTCAAGAAACAATGTGGCAACCTTCTTTACCACTTCCTTTGGTGTTTGCTAATGATTTCACTGTCACATTTATTTTTGCTTTAATCTGGTTGGAGCTGAAATGCATCCAGAGTGATTTTATTAGACTGAACTAAGCACAGGTGCTCATATTTAAATAGTTTCCTTAAAGCTAACAAACATCTCCCTGGAAGGATTTCCTGTTTGGAAGAATTCTAAACAGCAGGAGAAAAATCTACCTCATAGATGCAGAAATGGCTTCCTGGGGTGGAGGGAATCAAATCAGAATTTAGACTTAAAACATTCAGCTTTTACCGTGAGTGGCATTAAAGAGAGATTTCCTCCTCCTGTCAGTGTTTCAACACAACGCTTAACACTTTCTCTGAGGATCAAGCCGTTGGTTGGAGGGTGGATCTTGAATGAATCCTGGTATTTTAACCTCAGCACCTGCTCCCTGTTTTGTTGAGACTAGGCGGGCATGGAACAAAGGCAGACTTACAGCTTTCCCAAAAACATTCACAGCATTCCTTAATGTGTTCTTTGGCGTCATCTCTAGTGGTAGAGACAAAAAAAGTCTCTACCGTGAGTGAGGAGGAATAGATGTGCCCATATACATATATATATATACATGATATGAATGGGTTCATCTTTTCTTTGACAAGCTAATTTTATTTTTGTTCAGTATATTGAATTCTTTTGACAGTCTACAATGATATTTCCATCACATAAAGAACATTTCTGATATAATACAAGGCAAATGCTTTCAGTTTCAGGGTTTTTCGACTTGACCTCGTCATATTATCACAACAGGTTTGTGGATGTCACAGCTGCCTGATCATCTCAGGCACAAAGGCCTGTGTTTTGGGACAAACATGACCCAGTGGCATACTGACTTCACAGCCACATTTGTGTCCTTGATGGTATTTGCTCTCAACAGTTCTTTCACCCTGCTGATTCGACACAGAGACTAACACAAACGCCATCTTAAACTGCTAGTGTTAATGGTCTGTAAAAGTGTTTGGATTGGATTAAACACAATAACACCAACTTGCTTTTGAAAATAGGGGGTCAGAAATACAAAAGAATTCAAACATGCATGGTAATGAACATGGGATTTTGCCAACCCAGCTTTTGTCTTAGGGCTGCACGTTTCTGTTCTGCGTCTTGGCGCTTGTATTTTGCGTTGCTGATTATTTAACCTTTACAACCCGGGTGACTCATTTGCTGACTCTTGCTTTGCGTGACATTACTCAACACGACACCTCTTTTGCTTCAATGTTTCGCCGGATGCACATGCAGAGCTCTCGGATAGGAATCGACGGTAATGTACGGTGAAAACTATTTGCCTGTAGCAAATGGCTGCATCTAACACGTTAACTGTCAAGGCCAAAACATTTAGGGTAAACTATGGGGATAAGTAACAAAAAGAATGACTTTTTCTTAAATCTCTCCTTTCTTCCATGTGGAATGCCATAACAAATTAGACAAAAGAAATTCCTGGGGTGGATGTTTTAGACAATTCAATTCAATTTTATTTATAGAGCGCCGTATCACAACAACAGTTATCTCACAGCGCTTTCCAAACAGAGCAGGTCAGACCCTACTCTGAAGTTAGACAGAAAAATAACATTCCAGATGTGTTGTCTGTGCTCCCCTCTCACAGACGATTAGATGGCTCCATACTTTCAAACAGCTTTATCTCCTTCCTTTTTGGATCTCATCCACAAGTCTTCATCAACTTTCACAAATTAATTCCAGCTCCGAGATGCCCAATAACCAGTTTGTGCACACACAAAGTCCAACAGCTATCCTGAACGGAATGCAATCTAAACAACTGTGACTGATAAACTGCATTGGCTGAACTTTATAAAAAAGGTATTGTTTCACTTTGAGTGACTGCAGCAAACTTTAATGATCAATAATACATACAGAGGAGGTCAAAGTATGAAAGTAATGTAGATAGTTAAAGTGTAAACAACGCATTCGCACATTATCTGAGACAATTAGTGAGGTTAGACATTCTTGTCCACTATCTGCTCCTTTTGGCACTTTGGCTGTTTTTACTTTGATCATAACAAGCTCCCTTCCTGTTTAGGCTGTCTGCCATACTCTCTGTTAGTTGTTGAAGCCTCACAGGTATTAATTTTTATCTTTGACTTTATTTGACATGTGATCTTATTTTGTAGTACCGGTACATAAAAAGGAAGCAAAAAAAAAAAAAAAAACACAAAACGTCTGCATATAGGAGATGCAGCATTCAGGCGTGTCCTCTGACTACAATATATTTCCTCTGAGTGTCTGGAGACGAATTAAGATAAAGCTCCAGCATTTGCCCATTTCATTGTATTGTGAAGCACCAGGGTAACAAGAGACTTTCACTGTGCTTTTTTATATAACAAAGGGATACTAACAAAATCGCTGTTAACCCAATAGCTCAAAAGCCATGAGAAATAAATCAACTTGGTTTACAAGGTGTTCCAGAGTGCTGAAACCATTCCACAAATAACTGGAGACAAATTAATACTAGGTGACGAGGAACCACAGACAATAGAGAAAAAGTCCACGCCTATAAGAAAATAAGAGAAAGCTCTTATTCTAGTAATTAACATGCTGCTATATATACAAAGAAAGGCTGTAATTCTTCATTTGTGCTATGACAATTTAATTTACTTATTAAAATACAGGAAATGACAGGACAAACCACCAGCCAAATTTTGCGTACAAACAGAGCACAATAAGAGACGTAGGCTAATCAATCAAAATAAAAAACATGATGAGATGACATGGTGGAGTGGTGTACTTACAGCCACAGCTATCATGGAGTCGTCTGGTTTCCATTCTGCTTTCTGGTAGAAACCAAACTGGGCCGCCGCCTTTGCAGACTCGATATAGCTGACTATCAAAACACTGGGCTGCGGGTGAGGAAAAGGGATACAGAGAAGAAGAATTTAAAATACAAAAATCTCACAATTCACATAAATCAGGTTTGTTCCAACTGTAAACATTCAGCTTCCAGTCAAACAGAAAGGTTGCGGGTGTTAAAAGGTTAAATGGTTTGAGGCAATGAGGAAAACTAACAGATTCTTTTTTCACAAAAAAAACAACATAAGAAACGGCTGAGTCTAACATCAAGATTTCTGGTCCAAGGACTGCGGCTAAAATGGCACGCAGACACTGAGGCTCAAATCCAAACTAGATCTAAAAATGTCTTTTGTATTTTTCATCTACCTTTATCAAAATACAGAGTATCTTCAACACAACTTAACAGAACTTATGAACACAACACCACACAAGCTCAAATGAAAAGTCCTGTTGTACCTCTTATATCATCAAGATGACATTCACTGTTGTGTGACTGTTCATATTTCTCCAGTGTGCTAAAGCTGTTAGTCATTTTAAATCCTCTGAGCCTATAAGGGAGACATATAGCCCCGTTCGCATTAGAAATGTTCAAGTGCAGCTCATGACCTCATAAAACAGATGTTGAAGGGGAGAGCTGCTAACGTAACCTCTGAACACCCAAAGCCACAATGCAAAAAAAAAAACACCTGGGTCTTTCTTTTGTTGTCTTTGGAACCCCTGCAGATAATTCATATATAATAGTTACAAAGGTTTTGTTATTTGAATCATGAATAAAAAATGCTGGGCCATAGACATATGCACAAATAAAACTCTAGCTCAATCACTATATATTAAACTTTTAGCTCGTGTTTGCCCAAAATCTTTAAGAAAATACAGTCATTTTAGTGTTCAGCTAGATAAAATTGGGTTTGATTTTACAGAAAAAAAAACAAACACAAAGTAGGACACTACTGCGAAGTAGAGAAATGTGTTCAGTAATTCAAGCTGCTGCAATGCCTACTCACTGTAATACGAGAGGTTTTAACTATTTCTACCCAGCAGTGTCCCTTTCAAAGAATTAAAATTTAATAAGACCACAGGCCCGGAAACAGATACCTCCCCTCTCTTCAAGAGTCCCAAAACTCATTTCAACTGGAAAGAATTTCCTGCTACCAGCTGAGCATGATGTGGTGCACAGTCCAGCTCTTTACATAACGCTGCAACTGGTTTGTTGAATACATATATGGAGAGGGAACAAATACCCGCACAATCGATTTTCTCTTTTTATTTAAACTCCTACGCGGTATATCTAAGATGTAGTTTTAATGGGTTGATTTTCAGTCATAATTTATGATGATTTTAAGATATTTCAATCATAGTTAGATGTTTACAAGCATTTAAAAAATGTCCCTTTGTTCAGATTTATTCTGAGTAAACCGAGTAAGCTTACTGATTTTGTGTCGTTTCAGGGTTCTGTTAAGTCATATTAAGTTTTTCCCATTATAGTTTGGGTTATCCGAAAAGGCCTGTAAGCAACTATGTGTAGTGTTATTCCTCATTTTTACAGACCAGGTAGGTTTCCTCTGCATTGCCATTTCCGACATAGCACCACAGCTACATGCAGTCACAGTTTTAAGAAAGTCTCACGGAAGCCGGACTCACTGCAAAAACAAATACTCTCAGTTGCAAATGAGACTCAACACTTGTGTTTTCAGGAGCTGACCAGACCCAAGTACGCACACCTGACATATACAGCTGTAGCAGCAAGTCACATCACAGCAGCGACGAGGCTCAGCTACTGTGCCACACGGATTAGTGGCAGCTCAACAGCCTGAGCTCAGGCCCCAGGGCTGATGGGATCAAAGAGACAACACCTGGCGGTAAGAGGACGGTTGAGAACGATGGGGAGAAAAAGCAGACGCGCGGAGGGGCAATGGCAGATTTACAATCATCCAACTTCACCTGAGCCAAGTGATGGAGTGTGTCCAGCGTCACATCACCCACTGAGTCTCTGACATGAACCAATTATGGTCACATGATCAGCACAGTTCAAACTATGTGGTTATGATAAGTAGGTGGCCAAGGATTGTTGTTATGTAATGACAATGTAACAATCCATTTAGCAGCGAAGTGCTCTTTGCTTAGACAAACAGAAAAATAAAGCCCTTGGAAACACAAATTAAACTCAATCCTTTACCCTGTTCCTGTGTTGAGAGTGGGACGAGACAGTAAAGAGACTAATGAGCAGAACAGAAGTGAAAGCTGCACGTAAACGGAGCTGACCACTGAGAGATTCCTGTTCAGCGATGCCTCTGAGCTGCTTATAGGCAGGCCAGCTTTATGGAGAAACAGGGGAAGTCAACTATGGCCACATCCTGAGTGTGGCTCAGGAAATTAACGGGGACCCTGATCCATTGTTGCTGCATCACAATGATACACAGACTGCAGAGAACAGGGACATCGTGCTGAACTGATGGTTATCGGGTCAAATGACCCCTCTTCATTTCACCATTACGAATTTCCTTAACGAAGAAGGAAGGAACAACATGATTCTCAATGCTCAAAGTGCAGAGGTCTATTTAAAATTTCACCTTGAACTGATCAGTATAATCTGTTATGGTCACACCCTGTATGTCTGTGAAAGATTGAATCCTTTACAGATAATTTTTACTCATTCCAACGACTCCTCCAAGCCCACCTGAAAGTGTTCATTTATTTGCCCACAGCTGTGCTATTTAGTGACAATCTGAGCACAGGTCACTTTAAGAAAGGTAACAGAAAAAAAGTTAGGGCAATTATTTTTACTCGTAGCTAAAATCTGAATGTGACAGAACCGAGTGGGTGAGGCGGGACTGGTGGACCTGCCATGGCGGGGAACATCATAAGTTGATGGGTAAGTGTTCTGAGGAGCCTGATCACAGAACTGAGGGGAGAACTTCTGTTGTAGAACTTGGACTTCTTGTGTGATTGTTGCCGCTGTTGATGCTCCACCAAATACATGTTTACGGAGCACACTATGAAGACGATCAGCTTTCTAATGTCCAAATAAACTAATGGGAAATTAACAGCTGCTGGTGGTATTAAACGGAACTAGCCTCCACCAGCATGTAAACTTCCCGAGCAGAGACAAAAATTCTCTGGACACCCCTGGCAGCTACAGAACTACAATACATTCAAATTTTTTTTTAAATATGTCCCCTGCTTCTCTTTAGCTACTTAAATGAAAACATGTTATTTTCAAAAACATTGTTTTGTCTGTTTGAGTGACTGTGTGACCGTTGACTTTTCTGAGTAGGATATTGAGAATTCAGATCTGGAAGTTTTTTCTCGAGTAATGTGTTTTGTAATAAGTAACTTTATCCTCTATCAAATGTCTTTTTCCTGAAAATACTGACGGGAGGAAGCAATAAGAGATGATTTAAGGGTACATGTCTTTATGGCTGCCATTGTAAAACTATCCATCCTATTATGCATTTGTGCTTGAGAAAGTGAAAATAAAGAATGTGTTAGCATGACTGGTCATCTTTGACATTTACCTCAAGGAAGATTGTAATTGACTGCTGCATTTCAACCAGGAAAACCACACCTCAAAATTCCACCAGTGGATTTTTGTTTGAAGCATTTTTTGGGTCTTCTGGGCTGTTCATAATCAAACTATGAACTTGAGTGTTTTGAAAATATTACATTAATAATACACTACAAATATATACATATTACACTATAAATGCAGATAAAGTCTCAAATAAAGAGCCATTAGATCATTTTGTTGAGCTTAAGAAAGAGTGTCGGAACAATGGAGAAGGAAGCATTCTGCTAGCTCTCTGTGATCGGATCCCCTCGGACAACATCAGCCCCAAACACACTGAGATATGTGCATAGGTGGGACTGATAGCTAATGCATTAAAAGTTAAAAAGACTAAGGTACAGCAGGGTTGCACTCATCGTGTCATAAACAGAGTGGACATGCGAGCAGATCGCGGAGCTGCGTGCTGACTGAGAGCTGGAGCTGGCGTTGTTTTGGACTGGGCAGGAGGGGTTTACACGTTGAAGTGAACTTACCCGGCTGAACCAGATGCTGAGCTGGGTTTCGGATAGAAGGGCGAAGTAGAACCTCTGGGAGCTGGGCTGGATGTGGAAGGGCTCTTCTTCACTCCTAAGTGGACAGAGCAGCCTCCGGGGCCAGCCGGTTAGAAAATACATGACGGCTAACTCGGTCCGACTCTACTCTCCACAAACGGAGCGGCAATGCCAGATCCTCCTCTCGCAGTAGCGGATTTTAAATCAGGGGACTCATGGGCGGCTCTTTCCGTAAAAACTCAATAAGCCCCGTGTTAGCACTCTTGGGGCCAGAAGTGCACAAAATCCATATAAACAGATCCAAACTGAGCTATACGACTAGCCACAGGCTAGCAGTCGCTTTCCAACTTGAAGCTATCGGTCCAAGGGAGCCACGGTGTAACCGAAAACAAAAGCAACCAAATACGTCACCATGCAACACCGAACAGCATGCTGCGTGTGACAAAGAGGTCGATAAACCTGGTGTCTCGGTGCCTTGTCAGTTCTGAGGGTGTCTGGACCAGTGGTGTTTACTAAAGGCTAAGGGTCCAGTTTTAACTCCACTATGCCTCACGGTCGCCATCTTTACAAGAGTCTACCTGACTTAACGCTGGTTGGCTGGGACCGAGAAGTTTGCGTCGTGTTGATATCTGACGTCAGCTGTCTGTTACGCGAACCCAAAGTTACTATGGAGGCAGGGTGGCTGGACGCTGACGCCTGGTGGCGAAAGAAAGGTAGCAACGAAAGAAAAGTAGCAACGACAGCCATGAATGGGCCACTGCAAACCGTGCTGTCACACGAATTAGACTTATTTGAAGTGAGCCACGATACGACAGCTATGAAGCATATAGAAAGTTTTAACGTGCACGTCGTTTTCTTGTCCACATTTTGGACAATTCAACTTAAGTTGTTAGCATTGTAGCATACAAAATAAACACGAACATTTTAAGTATTTGTTGATTGTAGAAGAGACAGATTTAATTCTCTGTGGTTGCGCTCCGTACCAGAGAGGGGCGGTAATGCACCATCGGGTCCATTGGAGAACAATAAATAAATAATAGAGGGAAGAGAGGGAAGTTTGTTTCCGAGCGTGGTTTACGGCTGCTATTTTAGGTTACAAATTAGAACGTTTCTGGATATTATACTAAAACTAAACTTAGGGAGAATACACTGTTGGTATTATTTTCAATTATCCCAGGGGGACATAATCCCAGTAAAGGCAGTGTGGAAATATACAGAGAAGAAGAAGAGGCACAGGAAGAAGCATGGCTGTAGACATGCGATTACCGACTGTTAGCAAAACGGTATCTTTATCAGTCTCTGCCTTCGACCGAAAAGATCTGGTCGTCCCCGGAGATGTTATCACTTCAGACACCGGTTTCATGAGGTGGGGACTGGATTTCTTGTGACGTACTATCGATCAATGCACTAATGCTGTTGAAATGCCTATTTTACACCTAACAAGATACCAGTTGCTCATTAGTGATTATGAAGTTCAACTTTACCTTTGTGATCCTTCATATTAGGCTGACTCTAACTGTTAATACCTAAGAGATATCGTAGTAGGAAGGAGCTCTAGACAAACACCCAACACAACCATCCATTCTTTTTCAGATGTAGTGGTAGATAGTATTGTGTCAGACCTTATGGTTTGTATATTTTTTCCCCCCAGGGGCCATGGAACTTATGTTGATGAAGAGAAGTTGACAGCTTCTGTCGCCGGAGAGGTGCAGAGGGTGGACAAACTGATATGTGTCAGGCCACTTAAGACCAGGCAAGTTATGTCTCCTAAACCGTGATTAATTATTTACATGTGCTCTTCTTTAAATTGATTCTCCTTGTTATTTAAATGCAGATTTAATGGAGAGGTCGGGGACGTTGTTGTTGGCAGGATTACAGAGGTGATACGGAGTGGGAGTTTTTCATTAGAAGAACTTCATTTATTCATTCTTCATTTATGAGTCTTAGCTTTCTAAGAATGGTTTTTGCTTAAGTAAATGTCTAATACATAGGTACAACAGAAACGGTGGAAGGTAGAGACTAACTCCAGGCTGGACTCGGTGCTCTTGTTGTCATCCGTCAATTTGCCCGGGGGAGAGCTGGTGAGAAGAAAGAAAATATTTTTGATGGGAAAAATGTCCTGAATTATATTAACTCAACAGTTTTATTCTATCTCAGAGGAGAAGATCAGCAGAAGATGAGCTCACCATGAGGGAGTACCTTCAAGAGGGCGATCTCATCAGTGTAAATCAGTGTTTACTCAAATCTTTAATTTGCTACCCACTGTCTTTACTTCCATTTTAAATGGCTGTTTTCTACCTCTCATGTGGTTTTAGGCGGAGGTGCAGTCTGTCTTCTCAGATGGAGCTCTGTCACTTCACACTCGCAGTTTAAAGTATGGAAAAGTAAGTTATCACATTTAATGGATTGTGTGCTCCATTGCTGTGATGCTACACCTGGTTCATTGTCTTCCAGAGATCCTAATGTGCTATTTTGTGAAATCACAGTTCTGCCATGAAGTCTCTGAAATGCTGCGTATTTCTAACTGAAATGTATAACAAATCTTGCTGGAATTTGTGCACCTGATGGTGTGATCAGAAGCTAGGACACATCGGTATTTATTACAGCACTTTAATAGCTGCTTTAGAATAGCTGTGATAATATACCTTTGTGTGTTTAACATTAGATGACCTTTGATAAGGACTGATATGTATTTTGACCATCTCACTTTACCTAATATTTTGATTGTGGCGTTTTCCTTATTTTTCTTACTTTCAGTTGGGTCAAGGAGTGCTGGTACAGCTTTCTCCTTCTCTGATCAAGAGGCAAAAAACACATTTTCACAACCTGCCATGCGGTGCATCTATCATCCTTGGCAATAACGGCTTTGTGTGGTTATATCCCACACCGGAACAACAGGATGAGGAAGCGGGAGGCTTTTACACCAGTCTGGAGGTAGGATGAAGATCCATGGTGCGTAAAGTTGCTTAACTCAGTTGTTGTTTTATGGATAACCATTATTTATCTGTGATGTGAAACAAATAAATTCACCTTTCTTGGTGCCATCCTTACTGTAGTTGCCAGTACGATTCAAGTGTCTGTAAAGGGGATTTTTAAAAAAATATATAAATCTGTAACCAAAGAGATGGATTTATTTTTAGTATGGCTAAAAAGTACTATATCGTGGTGTAATTTATCTGCCAAAACAGTCACTGAGAAAAACAAGCAAACAGGTGCAAATGTTAGAGCTCCGCATCCAGCCAATTATTAAGCTCAAAACTTTTTTTTTCATTAACGTGTTTTTCATTGTATGAAAACAGATTTCTGACTTAAATGATGACTGTGAATCTTCTGAAGAGATAAGATACATTTTTTGTTTGACAAATGGGGACCGCATCGAGTTGACATTTTTAATGTTTTGTGTTGTTACCTCTTAGCCTATTAGCCTGTCAGATCGAGAGGTGATTTCCCGGTTGAGAAACTGCCTTCTGGCCTTGGCTACTCACAAAGTCCTGTTGTACGACACCAGTGTTCTCTACTGCTATGAATCCTCCCTCCAGCATCAGGTAGGAAGCAGTGAGGCTGACTGTGTAATACTCAGTTTAAATAATGTTTGTATTTTTTTTTTAACAAAAGCTCTGCTCCAAAACTGGAAATAGTGGTGATTAAGGGACTGTAGTAAAGCAGATACCTTTGCCAGCTGATGGTCACATTGGACATTTGATAGCAGTTATTGGACCAGCAGATCTTCCTCTAAGTTATCTTGACCTAATTCATTGAGTTAATCTTAAAGGAGGGATACATACAACATTCAGTAACTTAACTTTCTTAAAAATATTCACATGGCAGTTTTCAAGTCATCTTGAATTATATGCTATAGAAAAGGTGTGGACCTCCTGAATTCCCCCATATCCTAATTTTTTGTACTGTTTGTTTCTGTAGAGACATTGTACATTTACTAGACCATTACACTTTTCTGTAAAAGTTTGTTCCCGATTTGCGTCAGATTTGGTATGCTGTTTCCGCAGGTCAAGGACATCTTGAAACCAGAGGTGATGGAGGAGATTGTGCTATTGACACAACACAAGCTGTTGGAACAGGAAGGTTAAATATCCTGAAACTTAAATTTGAAACCAATATTTCATCTGGCAGCAGTGTGACGGGACCACGGACAAGACCACCGAATACATATGCAGGGACGTAATTGTCTTTTTTTCAGCCTAAATGAGGCAACCATGTTGTTTTTTTTAATATTAGCCAGAAATCATCCTTTTTTCCTGCTCTTGAAAAGGATGAGTTTTGTCATAACTCTCTCTTGTAATTAGTTAAAGAGTTGCTCATTAAACAAATTAGTTAAATCAGTTGTCTGTAACATAATTTCTGTAATATCTTTGCATTCCTACTAATCACAGTGTGGTCTTTATTAATATTGGTTAATGTAAACAGTTAAGACTGTTTGTGCCCGTCAGAACAGCTTCCTAATGTCCCCCCTTCCCCCCAAAAAACAAAAAAATAAAGATGACATCTTGAAAGACTCGAGTATCCCTTTACTTTTTTTTGTTTAGATTGGTTTGTCAGCTCATGTGGAAAATTATTCTTTCCCATTTGACGGCGGAGAAGTTAAATCGTGGGTTCGTTGCCTCGGGTGAGCCATGCTTCGTATCTTGGCCAAGCGACTGTGTTGTTTGTCCGTCCTGCTTTTCCACGCGATGAAAAATGTCGAAGTCGCTTCCATGTACTAGCCCACGCACGCACGTACGTGACGTAGCACGTGGCCCCACCCACATATTTCTGTAAACCACCTTGCGTATGGAAGTATGGCGGCTGCAGCGACACTACTGCGACTCGGCCAAAGTTTACTCTTCGGGTTTTCACGTTAAAAGCGATGACTAAGTACGTGAACCGAGGAGTCGGTATCGAAGAGCTCGGCGAGTGTGAACAGGGGAGAGGAGTTGCAGAGAGAGTCGTTGGCCTGTGGCCGGCAGAGTTCCCACAACTTCTCTTCGCCTCCTTGATTGAAGTGTCTCTAGTCCGGGTACCTCAGGGGGAGAAGCTCCGCAAGACGGGAAGAGTGGACACGGAAGTTTGAAACGGGCTCATCTCTGCGGCTTTGGGGGAAGAGCAGCCGCATAGTGTGGAACTGTGCTCCCCGGATATGTTTTTGGGACGCGTTTAGGTGCACTGTCTGGGGTTATTAGAGCCAACTGTTGACTGTTCGATGAGCATTCGGGGCTCCGGCGCTGCACGCCAGCGGTAAACGTTGGTTAGCTTTCATGGCTAAATTCAACGTTAGCCGGAGGTCGCCAGCTAACCAACAAATGAAATGTTTCTGTGACCGTGTAAGTTTGCATTCACGCCTGCGTTTTTCCTCATGCGCAACAGCCAACCGAAAGAAATCCTACGAATCTGTCTTTCTGTCACCGCAATGCTTTTAAGAAATGGCTGTTTAAAAATGTTTTCCTCAGACGACAGCGTTGAGGGTAACAATAGTAACACTACTCTGCTAGAGTTTATCAAACCTTTGCTGTTTTTCATCAAAAAACGTTTTGTGCTAATAAAAACAAAATCAAGCAAAGTAAGAAGGAGCTTTCCGACTTTTTAAAAAGTGGACATTTTGTCTTTAAGTGGTCTGGATGAGTGCCCAAGATGTAGAACTGGGGGACACATTAAAAACAAGAGGAAATTATCATCAATGGTCCTACATTAGGAGGGTGGCATGCTTCTGTTATGCAGTGGGAGGGGGCTATGTTGACATGACGTTGGTCCACTTGTTCGTTTTTGAGGAAAAAAAGACAATTGAAATCAGCTCTAATTCAGCAAGCCTCCTTAAGCTGAACACATTGAGCTGTGGGACCCTTTTGTACACCAGTGGGAATGTAAAATCATACAAACAAACAAATTGCCTACATGGAGAGTTACTTGTCACCCAATCTTTTTTAAATGTTTTTTTTAATTGCTTTTGAGTAATTGAAAAGAACCTTGACACCTCATTGTGTATTATTTTTCCTCCAGGTTCCTGTCAGATGCCTTGTGTAGTCATCTGAAGCACTTGAGCTCCATTAATGCATGATAAAGGGGTGCACACCGGAGTAAAACAGACCTGCGCTGGTGACTTGCACCAACGAGGAGAGGACAGTCGGAGCTGGGAAAGTAGGCTCCTGTCTTCTCCCGATCCTCTCCCTCCACGGTGAGCGACCGAGTCCAGCTTGGAGAGTCCCGGCCGCAGCCTGGCACCCTGCCCTTATGGGGCAGCAGCCGGGGAAGTTTGTAGGGGACCAGAGGAGACCCAGTTTGCCTGCCTTCATCAAGGGGGGAAAGAGAGACTCAACACGCCATGTGGCCAAGCCTTTGAATGTTTTTGATATCCATGGTAAGATCAGAACTCTCATAAAAACTTTTCATTACATTATTTACAGTTTGCAATTGAATCGGCAGTTTGCTGAGTAGTTGAAGTGTTTTCCACCTCTCTGTCCGCTCTGTCTTGTGTTGTAAAGCTACATTTCTAGACAACTAAACTTCATTGTGATAATGAAAAGATTGAGCCACATTTTTAGATTTAAAATATTTTTATCAGCCATTTTATTTAATCAATACTATCAGGTGGGTAATGCTTTCCAATTTTTCTCATCGTACACTGTACTTGAAGATTTTTAGACGCTCCAGTTGTTGTTGGGACACTAAAAAACACAAACTGTGTGTTTTTTAGCAGAAACAAGGTGTTCAGAGAAAGCTCTCAATACCAAGAATTCAGTTATTATGTTATTATGCATTAATGGAATTATAAGAGCAAATGGTCATCAGAAGTTCAGTGATTGTTGTTTTAAGAATGCAGTTTTACAGCGGATGATAAAAATATGCTTGTGTGAACTTTGGAAAGCGTGCACTTACACATTTAAACTATTTATGGTCCTGGAAGTTAGTAATACATCAGTTTTCAAAAAATAATCTTTGCTGTCATGCCCTGACATAGGTTTTGGAGTTTTTTTTTTTTTTAGATTAATCTGAACATCGGAATCACTCACCTCTCTGGGCTGTTGTTTGTCATTTGAGAAGTTCAGAGTACGATGGCTCTTGTAATGTAACAGAACAACTTATGACTTAGAGCTGCTGGCAGACATAATGCACGCAATAAACTGCACCTAGTACAGTGTTATGTTTCTTCACTTGTTATCTCAGCAATGGTTACCCGATTAAGTTACAATGTGACGTAGTAGTGAGGACTTATCTACTGTATGCTTGTTTGCAATGTTTTGAATTCGCTGAAAAAATACAAAGTCATCCAGATCTGTCACTGCAAAGGGAAAGGTTATTTTAAAATCCACGGTGCTCATGTGATGAACAACATTTAACTTTAAGCTGAAAGCACAGAACCAGGCCCTTATGAGGTGTAATTATCATAGTATTTTCCCCTTTTATGTAGTACGACTCTCTTTGCTGCCTATAAAAGCCTAAAGAGTTTTATAGCGTATTAGAGAGGTCAGGAGACCACCAAGAGAGATATCACAGCTCATGTCAAAAGTGAAATTGTATTGGGGATTTGCTCAGTGTAAGGCTAATGTTTTTTACCATTAAGTTCACAGCAAACTTTAGGTTAGTCCATCCCAAATCAAATGATTACCGGTGTAGGAAAGGGGCTTTTGTCATGGGTGGTGCAGCTCAACAGTGCCTCCTCCTGTGTTTGTGCCAAAAATTATGCCGAGCATCTTAAATGTGGAAGTAAACATGCAGTTTGTGGTGGATTACTTATGTTTGTGATTTTTCTGAAGACGTACTTGTCGGTCATATTTCTCACAGCATCTCATTTTAAGTGTAGAAATGGTTGTCATTTTCCCCCCTTGGGAGGCTTTTTGGTTTGGGAGAGGTTCTTCACACAATATGTAAAGTGTCTAGATAGAAGTTAAAGTGTTACTCTTGTGGTATGCTGGTTTGTGTATTTCATAGTCAGTTCAGAAATATAAAACCGTCTGCTTTTCTGGATTTTTAAAAAACTGACTCATCAAATCAAATGATTTTAAAACTTTTCTGGAACTCATAAATACCAGCTGTGACATCATCTCTTACTTCATGTCTTTTTTCATAGTTAATGGATTATTATTTACTAGTTTTGGCTCATGAAACATCCTCATGGTGGTCCGTTTCTACATTTATTGCCCAGAATAACACACCACATGAAATATAGCCACGCTTCAGTAAGGCATGTCGTCAGCCATAAATCCACTTTTTTTTCTTTTCTAAGTCTTTAAATGTTTTCATTTTTTGTCATTTATAATCACAGACGGTTACGAAACAAATATTAATTTACATCCCTTAAATAATTGTGTTTGGCAAAGGAATTATGTTTATTATGAAATTATAATATTTAAAAAATTTATATTTTTCTGCAATTTCATCAATTATGCTCTCAATATGACCTGAATACCTTAGTGGATAGAAGTTCTGAGAAAATTTATATAAACCATTTGTGCTTTTGCAAGTATTGTAATCCATCTGTTGAGTTAGATGCATGACTAACTGATGTGTTTAACAAAAATGCAGAATTGTTATTGCGTCGGCCCCAAGACTCTTTCCAAATGACTCAAAGTCTTGCATAACAGAGGGGGACGGCGAAGAAGGGTCAGAATAACAGAATGAAAGCGTTTGTCGGTAAATGGGTCAAATTTGGTGAAGGGTCAACAGCGCGGGGCTTATTTGTTTTCCTTTCCTCCTGTGATGAGCAGGTCAGGCCATAAGAGGGGATATGAGTCATGGTGCAAAAGGACATAAACATCAACCCAATTTTGTATTTAGTTTTTCTTTTTTCTCTTTCTCACTTTCTGTTTTTGATGAGGCTCAGCCAGTCACATGTGGGCTAGCCAGCACTGTGCTTCCTCCCAGCAGGCAGGTTCAGACCTCTGCATGCAGCTGCCGGGGAGAAAGACACGCAGGGAGGGGGCAAGCAAAGACCTGTTCCTGTTCTTGGCTCCTCTCTGTACTGCTCAGTGGGATAGGTGTGATTTCACTGGCAAGCGAACACAGATCTCAAAGACTGAGTGGGGTGGAGAATTGCTTGTAGTTCCGACTAACCTTTCAGCCCCGGACTCCATGTGCGGTTCAGATAAATAAATGTTTTTTTAAGTTTAAGCTGCCAAAATAAGTGCCAATTATCATATGTCATTTAACATGATTAATTTTATTAAAACCATGAAACTGTACCAGGAAGATGTTAACCTTAACCTTAGAGTGTGTACTGGCTGCAGTGCATGTCCCAGGAAGTAGCTTTACTGTGGATTAATGAGTAAAAATAAATGAATGAATGACACTACACCACAGTTGCTCCAGGGGATGTTGTTCCACGGGTTCAGGCTTATTTGCAACGCTAAAAGAATGTATTATTACTACAAACAAAGATGTTGGCATGTTTTATTCTGTAGTCACAAACTTTTACTGGTAAACCTCTTGGTTAGATAACTACCCTAACCAGTATCATGACATGCTACATGCCACGTCCTCTCAGAATAGAGCACTTTGTTTTGACATGTGTTTAGGTACTGTCTGAAATACAGCCGGCTTACCTTTGAGAGCAGGACAATGCCAACCTAAGTTCACTAGCCACCCAGACCAGTTTGGTGACAGATAAAGCTTGGACCTTTGACATGTTACTGCTCGCTTATGGATGTCACTTTGGGCACAACAGGGCTTTTTCTTGTCACTCATGGGCTTCACCCTTTTTTATTTATGTATGTGGCATGTGGTGCATAAGGCAGAGTTAGCATGGTCAGATGAAATAAAATAAACATCTGCAGACTAGCTTGTGACATGATTGTGTCAGCTGTGAACAGTACAGCACGTCCTCAGTCTTGTCGGTGACGGCAGCTGACGTCGCAGGTATGCAGACTGCAGACACGGGAACATCTGAGACATTCAGCATTTGATCAGGAGCAACGCATTGTACACACACATAAACACATACGCTCCTTTAATGCAGCAGCAGCAGTCGATGCTCATTCGGCATTTGAATCTACTCGTTTTTTATTCAGTTACTGGTTCTTTTTGGCTGGAACTTGAGGAATCTATATAGTCTAGACACCAAATCTCCTCCCATGATCCCTGCGGGTTCTGAAGATAGGAGGAGGGGAGGTCTTTGGTTCTGTGTATGTGTGTACTTATGCACACACACGCATACCCACAGAACAGGCGCCTCATAGTAATGTTCATTCAGGCCAGCTGTTCAGCCCCCGGTGGCTTGTCCCTCATTGTGGCAGGCCGTGTCTCCACATTTATGGACACACACAGAGAGATTCTATAAAATTTTCATCTAATAGTCACCCCCTAAACATGATACTAGTCCAACAGTCTATATGGAATTCTGGCAGGTGTCAGTCTGCATTCCTTTTTTGCGGTCCACCGACTCAGTGGCTAGAGATTGGTTATGGCTAAGATTAAGGTATCAGGACTCAATGCAGTGTTTTTATAAGCGTGGCTGTGTGTGCATTTGAGATGGTGTTTCACACCTTTCTCTCTGCCTGGATGAGAGATTGCAGCTGAATTAGTAACTGTTTTTCCCCTCTAATCAACCTTTGACCACCTGGTGAATGGCACTCTTTATTGCCTTGCTAGCTGATGAGGAGCCCGAACAGCTGTGTTTGAAAAATGAAGGGGTCGGTTCTTAACTCCTGACAAAGACAAATATGCTGACAAAGCACTTTTTAATGGTTTAGGAGAGGTCCCATTCAGAAAGTATGGCAGCATTACTTTATGACACGATAAATGTGTATGTGTAAGTGCCCCTCTGAAGAGGATGTTTTTAACATTTCCTCACAGTTGTTTATATATGTATCGGGAGAAATCAGGACACTCAAGTCTTTAAATTTGCAAAGCACATATATTCTGAAAAAGAAAAGTTTTGAGTGCTCATATATTGTAGATAATTGTAAAAGAAGTAAATTTTGAAAATGTAGAGTGGGGATCTTTACAGCTAATTCATGTGAGCTGTAAGGAATGAAATGAGAAATTACAGCAAGTCGCGGTGGACAACTTAGATCGGATGTTTTGTTAGGCAAAGAGAAAGGTTGGGAACAGGTCTGAAGTTATTTGTCAAGATGCTAATTTGCTAAATTCGACCCCAACACAACAGGGTTTTGTCACCAAAGACAAAAGTTGTTTCCAAAATTCTTAGAAGCATAAAAAGATCCATATTCTTAAAACAAATGAAAATAATTGAGTCAGACTGCACCAAATAAGTGCTAAAACATTTAATTTCACCTGCACTCTGTCTATTGTAACATGTCCACATGTCTTCTAAAATTTGAAAGTTACAATGTTTGTCAGAAAGGCGGAGGGTTGAGAGATTATTTTCCCAAAGCCTTTAGCTAGAGTTATTCACTGTGCTTG